ATAGATCATAAAAGTGCGCGAATTTGTAAGAGGATAAAAGTTATTGGCTCCGGATTTGTTTTTTTTTTTGGGATGGGAGAATGGGAAGAGGAAAAAATGCAGGTTTTATTGCCTGGTTCCAGGTGTTGTTTTATTTTATAACAAAACAAAATAACTTTTTTCGAGGGTTACGGTAGAGTTTTGGAAATAGTTGGAATAACGGAAAATCGGATATTTTGAGTTTTGAACATTCTGAAATTATGAATGTTCAGTTTGTGTCATTGGAATAATTGATTTATAAGTAAATTTGAATTTGATTTTAATTTTAATTTTCATATCTAAAAAATTCAAGCCTGAAGAAAATCATTGAAAAATTTTGCAAGCCATTTTCGGCTGAACATTTTTTTCAACATTCATTGTCAGAATTAAAATCTAAAAAAATTCATTCAGAAAATCTTCAGAAACTGTATTTTCTCTCGATGTTTGTTGAAGTATAGAAATTGATTTTAAAAGATCAGTGACTACAGAGCCATTCTGAGAATGGGCTGCTCTTTGAAACCATCAATGTTAAGTACTCGACTGTTGACATCCTGGTTGTCAAGAGCCAGCGCCTAGAGGAATCAATCAAATTTGAACTTTTTTCGGTTATCTTTTCACAATCTCCAAAAATTCCCATATTCTTCAAATAATTTCGAGAATATTTTTCAAGCACTTCCAGGAACCTCTGAAATTTTTAAAGTGATTCTACAGTACCCCTCAAATTTCCAATTCCTCTTCCATTTTCATTATTTTCTTAAAACAACAAAACATTATTTTTCCATTAATCCTTTCCTCCACACTTTTTCAATCTGTCTTTTTTCCTTTTTTTTGCAGTCATTTTTTCTCATTTTCATTTTTCCATATGGTTTTCCGTTCCGTTGCCTAACTTTTTTGCGACCTCCCACAAAGATTTATTGTGTGTTATTTTTTGCTGATTTATTTATCTATATGAATGCACAATTTTACATATGCTACTAATTATTTTTTTGCTAGTGAAGGAGGAAAAAATGAAGAACTACGTATATTTTTGAGCTCTCATCTCAGATTTTTCAGAAATAAACAGTCACTGAAAAGAACCCCTAAATTCTGAGATTTTTGAAAATTCAGTAGTCACTCATGTTATATATTCCTGATTCTATTTATTTTTATTTACACAATCGAAATCTTTTTGTTCAAAAATGTGTCGGCTGAGGGTAATATTTTATAAATTATTGCTTTTTGACCAGGTGAATTGCATTCTCTTTTCGCCCGTGTTTTTCTTTCATCTTTTGCCGCTGCCGCCTTTTTTTTGAATTTCCACTTTTTCTTGAGAGTTACTGTAATTCTTATCAAGAACAAAAAAACCATGGGAAAATTGAAAACGAAAACTTTTTTGGACTGATTAGGTTTTGGAACAAATTTTCTTTGAAGCGTATTTCTGATTTTCTGTCAACGACAAATGAGTCATTGCTCATGTTACAGAAAAAATCAATTTTATTTTACAAATCTAGATTTTGCAATCTTGAGAAAGAAACATTTTCAGAAAAAACTGAATTCTTTAAAAATTTAAAATGTTCACATGAAAATAGTATTTAGTGAATATTTATTTTTTATCCTGATTTTCCCGATTTTCCAACCAGCTCTAAAAATTTATCCTTTAAAAATTCTGGTCAAAAAATTGATATCATTCGCGTGACTCATTATATTCAGACTTCTATTTTCCAAGAAAAACATTTTTATGATTCATTGCTCATTTTATAATTATGCGGATTTTACGTGACTCATTTTTGTTGCAAATTTCTAAAGACACGCCCAACTTCCTATCTATTTATTTGAATCAAAGATATCATTTTATTTTTTAATTTTTCAAAATTATTATTCATTGCTCATATTATACTATGAAAATTTATTACAAAGTAATACTTTTCTGAAAGTATAAGTATAATATTATAATTATAAGAATAATAATTAGTTGCGCAGGCAGTGAGAAAAATCAGGATTCCAGTTAATAAACGCCTTTCACTTTTTATTTCTTGTAACTTCTGTTTTTTGAAAAAAAAAACGAAAAATTTTAGTGTTATGACATGGCAAATTTGAGCAAATTTTCACGCAGCGCATGACTGCAACACATTCAACGGCACCCGGAATCTATGTTGACTTTAACAATCAAACTTTCAAAACTGGTTTATTTTTTCCAATGAATTCAAAATCATTTTCCCTAACTTTTCTTCTGTTCCAAAAAAAAATCATCATTGTCATTTCAAATTTCAAAAACAATTTGTTCGTTTTCGGCGCGTCGGCAAAGATGAAACCCCTGCTTGCGCGCGACTTATCTTAATGCCATCATTTTAAGCACTTTTCGACACGGGCGGTCTTTTCTCCATGTCTTTTCTAGACAAAAAACCACTCGAAAGTAGTACGGTAATTGAATTAGGTTAGGTTGAAATTGATTAGGCATGAAAAAGGAGACGAACTTTTTTTTGAAAACAAAAAACTTTGAAGAGGACTTTGATCTGCCCGATTTTGATTGTCTCCAACTTTTTTTTGAATAGAAAAAATGTTTTTTTTTGAAAATCTTTTTTTTTGTTGTGAGAACAGTATTGAGGTTCATGCTTTTTCCAAATGATTCATCCAATTATTCGTGGGATTTTGGGGTTTTATTTGGGAAAAAGAGAAACGGAAAATATTTAGGTTTATGGACGAGATTTTTTCATGAAAAAATGTTTTGAAATTTTTTTAGAAATCTGGAAAATTACTACAAGCTTAAGGCTTAATTATTATTTGGATTTGGGATTGCAATTGGCCGAGATTTTTCAATCTTAAGGTTTTAGTAATTAGTTCAACGTTCAGGCTTAGATTTCAGGCTTTCAGATTTTCCTTAGACTTATCCTTACTAATTTTACTTCGGTCTTAGACTTCAGGCTTACAGATTTATCCTAGGCCTAGGCTTCAGACTACCCAGACTTTTGTTACCCTAAGATTAGGTTTTCAAAATTATATTAAAGTGAAGCGTTTGACTCCTGACCTCTCTTTGTGAGGTGGACCTTTCTGAATTTTTTTTTCAAGCTCAGTTTCAGAAAATGAAAATGCTGAATTGTTTTTCAATGAAAATTTGTCTTCAGAATTGAAATAGCCCAAACCAAATGCTAAAAATTGAATCCCTTTAGATGTTTCTGCCAAATATTTCAATAAAACGTTTCCCTCGAAAATAATTATAATTCAATTAATTTTATGAGTTTTTCCTTTTTTCTCTAAACTTCCATATAAATTCCTAATCAAAATGTTAAAATGAGCGATCAATCGATTAATAAAAATATTTCTAACTTTTAATTGAAAAATTCAAAAACTAACCCGAAATTTGTTCAAAGCGATTAAGCAAAAGCCTCAAGAATCTCCCTTGAAAAACCAGCCAATCACAAGTCATCCAAGCTCCTCCCATTTTCCTCCTCAACATGCGCAGCACCCGAAAAAGTAGGCGGAGTTTGGCGGCTAAACAGCAAAAAATTGGAGGGGGGAAAGAAAAGAAAAGAAAAAAGAGAAGGAGAGGAAGGAAGGCCATACCACATTTCATGTCCAAGTACCCAATTTTCGATCCTTTTTATTTATTTTTTTATGATCCTTTTTTCAGTCATCACATTAATTTGGTTATAGTATTAGGTATTAGGTATTTTAGGTGCTCCCCCTCTCCTTCTTTCAAATTATCATTTTATTGGGTCATTTGAATTTTATTGTATTTATGTTTTGTTATTTTAATATCTAATTATATATACTTTGACATGAATGTGATTAGTTTTACACGCTTCCAACTTTTATGCGATTTTTTATGGAATTTGATTTTTGAAACAATTAATCCTTGAATTAGCCTAAGAATAAATCAAACTTTCTCAGATTAGGAAAGGTGCTAGATTTACCTATGGGATTTAGATTTCAATCTAACTAGCTGTAAGGTGGGGCTCTTAGGCTTCATGCTCTTATTTCTTGAATTTAACCCATGGTTCTGGCTTCAAGCTTCGAACAAAAGCTTCGGCTCGGTTTTCAGATCTAGGCCAAAACCATATTTTTCAAATAAATGTTTTCAATTTATCCGCCTTCATAGTTGGTAATTATGACGTGGAATAATTTTAGAATCGCGTGACTAGAAACTTTTCAAAAAATAAAAGTTCTATTTCTTTCACATCACTGAAGTGTCTAGACAAAAGCTAAGGGAGCCTAATGAATAAGCGTTGAAGATCTAAAATGAACAGGAGCAGGAAGCTCAAGCCTAAGCTGGAAAAGTCTGATCGTATTGTTCGAATCTGATCCCATACCTGAAGGCTAGGCTGCATATCAAAATTATGATTTTAAGCCTTACCTAAGCCCGGAGAAATAGTCCAACCTAACAAACTCAAACTCCTACTATCAAGCCGAAGTCTAGTACTAAATAGTTACAGTTTTTGACTAAGCTTACGTCCAAGGAGCTAGTCTAAGCCTAATCCATTTTCTCAACAAAAAATAAAGCCAAACTTCATTTTCAGTTCAATTCACAATGCTGAAACTCAAAATTTCCAAATTTCGCAAATTTATTCCAACTCTTCTTTCACTTCCTCTTTTTTCTCTCGTTTTCCATTTTTCCCCAAAAAAAAAACGGATCGATTCGTCTCCATTTGACTCTCTAATTATAGATCTGCCAGGATTTTTTGACATTTTTTTTCTGTCAAATGGTTTTATTTTTTAGAAAATTTATTTCAATTCTTCATAATCGAAAAAACAAATCTGATGAACTTATCTAAATTGTTTTTTTATTCATATTTTTCAACAAAAAAAAATTCGACCTTTGAATTTATCTTGATCTTTTCGTTTTTTTCATTATCTTCCCATATAAACTAAATTAATCATTTTTCAACATTTTTTTGCAGAAATCCATCCAATCACACGTATCTCCTGGCCACGCCTCTTTTTTCGATAGATACTGTAGAAAAGGAGAGAGTGTGTGAAGAGAGTGGAGAGATTAGAGATAACAAAAAATGAATCAGAATTTCGATTTTGGGTCGACAACACCTTCGACTGCCACGTCGACGACTTCTTCAACACAACCCGAGGGAAATGATCATTTACAGGTTGGCAAAAAAATAATGTTGATAATTTTAAAAAGGTATTGATTTTCAGAGGTTGGCTGCGATGACACAAGGAGTTGGAAAAGAGGATCCGGAATCATCGAGTGTGACATCAGCTGAAGCTGCATTATATCCAGGTTAGTGGGGTTCAATTTTTCTTAAAATTGCTCTAGTTTGAAAAAACTTAGTGAGTAGGACTTCAAAAATTCAAAAACAAATCTTTTGAAAAACATCTGATATAATATTTTGAAAAAGTTCAATTTTCAGCCGCTTACATGCAAGGTTATGGCTGGCCTAACTACTATGGTCAATTTGGTCAATCACTAGCTCCGCCAGGTTTTCCAACATGGCCAAATTGCTATCCAAACGCAGCTTGGCCAAATTACGGTAAGTCTCATCACTCCCAGAATCCCCAAAATATTCCAAGCAGATTTTTCAGCGGCCTCGAAAAAAGGTCGACAAACCTATCAACGATATCAAACATCAGTTCTCGAAGCTAAATTCCAACAATCTTCCTATGTTTCAAAAAAGCAGCGAGAAGAGCTTCGCATTCAAACACAATTAACAGATCGTCAAATCAAAATATGGTTTCAAAATAGGAGAATGAAAGCGAAAAAAGAGAAGCAGAGAGTGGATGAACATGGAGAGCATACGCCTTTGTTACCAGCAAATCCGCCAAAAGGTTTGGAGCACGATGAAGAGGCGAAGAAATGGCAAATGGCGGCGGCTGCGGCACATTGGCCAACACCACATCATCCATATCAATATCCATTGTAAACATTTTCTTTTTATAGATTTAAAATTGGTTGAAACTCAGAAAAACAGGATTAGGTGAGAAAATTTTCGAAATTGAAGGAGCGATTGATTTTTGAATGAGTTGGTTTTTGCAGCTAATCGAATGTGTTCCTTTAAATCGTAGTACGGTAGTTGTAGTTTTTTAATGAAAAATGTTATGCTTCGGGAATCAGAACCTTCTTTGAAATTTATTACAGTAATGTTTTTAGTTTAAAAAATACCAAAGTTTTGAAATCCCAATCAAATCACCTTACCGTACTATTTTTAAAGGGGCACATGCGATTTTTCGCTGCAAGAACCAGCATATCAAATCCAAACTTTTTTCAATTTCTCTAATTTTTCTCCTCAAAAACCCTAATTTTTTGCAGTTTCTACCAATTCAAAGAGGTCTAAAACAGGGTATTTATTGACTGATTTGATTTTTTCTTCTCTTTCTTCTCCTATTTTTCCCGGTCTCAATTATTATTTATTGATTGATTTTTTATTTTCCAATTTTTCAAGTTGTAACTTACTCCCCCATCTTCTAATTTTCCACCCTTACGGGTCTTGCCACGAAAAGCATTCGATTTTTTCTCCTATCATTTTTGAATCATAGTTAATTAATTAATTAATTAATTTTTAAATTAAATTTAATTTGAATTTAAGCTTTTCTAGTCGATTTGGTGTGTTCCTTTAATAAAAATTTGAATTTCATGTAATCGAAACTTGTTTTTTTTTCTAATTTTTATAAAAGAGGAAATGAATAAGAAAACGAGGAAAATTGAGAGAAAGCAAAGGAAGATAATGGGGTTTTGAGGCGAACAAAGAAATTGGAAAATGGGTTACGGTAGGAGTAGGGTAAGGGTAAATGAGAGGAGGAAATGTGTGGTTTTGATCTACGGTAGCGTTTTTTTGGAAGTTTGGATTAGCTTCCGGCCAATACAAATATTTTTTTATTTTTAGGTTGATTTACAAAATTGATAAACAAACTTTTTTCACGGTAACTAAAAGATCTGGGTATTTTTTCCACAGTAATCCTTAAAACAATAGAGATTTCCTTGATCTTCTAAAAGAAATTTACAGCGTCGTTTTTCTCACCGAATCCAAAAATATCAATTTCTCATGATTTTAAGCTGTCTCATCAATTTCAGCACAAAATTTTGATTTTAAAAATCAATCTTTTGAAAAAATAATTCCCCTAGACCAAAATTTTGCTGTGAGAATCATACGAATTATTGATTTTTCAGCAAAACCTTCCATAATATCATATTTTTCAGAAAAAAAGTTAAGAACCTATAAATCATCTTAAAAAACTAACTAAAAGTATACAAAGTTTCGGAACACCTATAACTCATATGTTTTTTTTTAATTTTCATGTTTTCTCAACTCAAATCATAATATAATTAGTCGCCGTGGTGCATATAAATCTTTTTGATTTTATTAGCAAAAATTCTTTTTTCTTTCTGCTTTTTTTCACATTTTTATGGGCATCACTCAAAATTATGGGAATAAATAAAACTAAAGAAGAGGGGAAATGAGGAGAAAAGGAACAGATCCAAAATGGGATATGGGGCAAGCAGACAGATAGAATAACAAACCAGAAGGCAACATTTTTTGAATAAAATTTGGATAGAAAAAGAAAGGGGTTCACGAAAATCCGTCTAGAAATGAATTTTAGAAAAATAATTTTCACGTCCAATTTGATCGTGGAAATTGAAATTTCATTTTCAAAAAAAAACTTTGAATAGATTGAATTTTGAATTGAGAGTATGAATGTTCAATATATTGTAGATTTGAGAAATTTCATATGATAAACAAATTTCTCATATGATCAAAAAAAAGATTAACATGAGTAATCTCAAAAACCGAATCCATCAGAGTTTTTTCCAGAGCTTTTTAATGTATTAATTTCTACAGTACCTCCTTCCTTCCTCTACCTAGCTACAGTATTCCAAGCACACAAAAATAGTCATGCATTTCTAAATATCCTTCTTCCATGTTTGTATCCTATCCTATTCATAAAAATGCCCATTCCAAACTACAGTAATCCTTCTCCTGATCCAGAAAAATGAAAGGCGGAGCCCAGAGAGTGAAAACAGATGTCCCAGCGATAGAAATAGTGTGAATTTTGAAGAGAACAAAATCCCATTAGGAAACTCACATTAAGAAAAGAAGAAAACTGGAGCAGAGATGGCAAAAAAATGTAGCCAAAAAATTTGGGTTTTGGGGAAAAGGTACTTTTGTTTTGGAACAAGTTGAGTAAATCCTGGATTACTGTAGGTACAGATACAGTAATCCTATCCTACTTGTATACATTTTTATTAGGTTATTTACATTTTCCCCACTGAAAAATGACCTTGTTTTTCGCCAAATTAAGCGCGACGACACCAAGGCGCCAATTTTTATGTTTTTTTGTTCAAAGGACACATTTTTTCACTGAACAAAAAAAACAAAGTCAAAAATTAGGTTTTTCTGAACACAAAAACGTGCTTTTGGTGGCCTAGAAAACCAAAAACAAGATTCTGGTGGCCTAGAAACCCAAATGCCCCTAATTACGTGAAAATTGGGTACTGTATTAAAAGAACATGAGATATTTAATATTTTGGTTCTCTAACTTTATATTGTTAAGCCTGTCTGGAGATACAGTAGTTTTTTATTCAGAAAAAATGTTACATTATTTTTTCTCATAAAAAATGGCAATAAAATTTTACAACCTGCTGAATTTGAATATTATTTGAATATTATTTTTTTGTTTTACAACCAAAAGCTTGGCTACAGTAATCTTGTGAATGAGACAAAAATTAATTATAGGGAACTCAATTTTTCTGGGCGGGTACTGTAGGTTAATTGGGTCTTGTTGCGATGGCGACAAATTGTTGGGTTGTGGAGGTGATTTTTGTTTTGGTGCCCCAAAAATTTTGGAAATCGAAAAAATTTGGAAAATGAAATGAGAAATGAAAAAAGGTGGATCTGATGTGAGCTCTGAAAAAATACATTTTTTTTGGAGAAGAATTTATTGGGGTCGTATTTCAAAGGATTTTTACGAGGTTTTTTTGTTTGGAAATTTTTTGGGGAGGAAAAATTCGGAAGGAGTTATTTTAGAAACTAATTTTGAAAATTTTAAAACATGAATCATGGATTATTTTCAAAATCTTGAACTTTTATGCCAAATCTGAAATTCAGAAAAGTATTCTAGAGCCACCAGATTTTTCTAGTTTCACAAAATTCAAAGAAATCACATTTATGTCAAAATCTATTAACGCTGTTCTCAAGTTTTGAAATTGTCATATTTTTTCAGTTTTCATCATTTTCAATGTTTCTGAAGTAAAAAAAAATTTCTTAAAATTTTATTTAAAAATTTGAGAAAAAATCTATTTTCAAATTTAAACATGTCTATTGCACTTACTGATCAAAAATCAAGAAAATCTTTATTTTCAAAAAAAAATTTCAATGAAGTTTATTTTCTAAAATTTTAAAAAATATGAGAAATTTCATAGTTTCGTGAACGTAAAAATTTTGTGTTGTAATTTAAAATTATTACAAATTTCAAGGATATTCAAAGATTTGTTACTGTTTGTAAACTTTTCTTTAAAAATTTAAGTCCTCGATGAAATTTAAACTAATTATAAATTTTATTTCAGAAAATTCTAACCAAGTACAAATTTTGAGGCTTGGAACTATTACAAAAACATTCCGAAACCGTACTTAGTTTAGTTCCAAATATTTTCAACCAGCCCCACAATAAAACAAATAAAACTTTCTCAAAACTGAGAGACCCAAAGCCACTTTCAAAAATTCTTTCAAATAAAAATAAATGAAATGAGAAAAACGCAATGAGGGGCAAGCCATCCGGCCGTCGTCCGTCAACGAAAAAAATATATAAAAATGGAGGGGGCTTGACTTTTTGTTGTTTTTTTTGAGTCATTTCGTCACATACCATCTATCCATTTTTATTGTATTACCCCGCGGTTTTTTCCAGTCAGAAGGAAAGCACTCCGCAAAAATGGCCTTCTCTAAGTCTCTCTAATCATCCCACTATTTCGATGTCTCATTACATTCAAAAAGCCATACAGGTGGTCGTATTCGGAGAAAAAATGGAGAAGAAATGGCTGGCTAATGGGGCTCGTGGATGAATGCAAAAGAAACCAAGGATGAAATAGGAAATGAGAGAAAAAAGAAGAATTCTTGGAATCACTTCAAATAAACATCAAACCATGTTAGATTTTGGAAAGAAATTGTGAACCTTTCATTTGAAACACAATTTTCAAAAGTATTCCAAAAAACTTGAAAATATTTGATTGTAGTGAAAGGAAAAATAAAATTCTGAAACATATATTTTTCTGGTTTTATTTTTAAATTTCAAAATTGCGAAAAATTACCAAATCTTCATTCTACATTTACATACAAAAAAACAGCAAAAAATTGCACACAAATTAGAATGAATAAGCATTGCTCATATTACGATCAGCAATCTCCTCTTCCAAAATTCGAATTCGTCTTTCATGTTGTCGCAAAACTGCCTTCATTTTCATCAGATCATCCAATAATTCATCCATGTTTTGTGGAACGTGCTACAAAATTTCAGATTGAAAATTTGAAGGTAGAAACATTTTGAAATCAGAAATAAATCCAAATTCTTCAGGTATTTTTTTTCAAATTTTCTTTTTCAAAAAAAAATTTACCCCTGAAGGAACATCTGAAGAAACACTGGCTCTTGGTGAAGCAGAGCTACGAGTAGAAGAGGGTGGAGGTGCAAGAGAAGTGGGTGCTGAAACATCATCTTCATCCGCTTGACGAGATTGATCTCTTTTGATTCGGTCGAGTTCGGCGGCAGCGCGACGTTGTCCAGGAGTTAAAGCGCCTCCAGGTTCATCGCGATCAGCACGGGAACGAAGAGTTACCTGGGAAAGGGTAATGTTGGATAGATTTTTGGGAAAGGTTGAGAGAAGTTGGGAAAGAGTTACTGTAGAAGGGAAAGTATGTGAGATTAGTTCTTGATGTTGGAAAATTTGTCGGAAAAAATAGCTTTGAAAATTGGAATTTAGAATTTTTAATTATGAAAATTAGTTTTCTTACACAAGATTCAGAAAATCCAAATAAAGTTCAAATCAAAATAAAAAATATTCTCAAAAACCCTCTCTTACCGCTTGTTTTGGTTTCATCGGATCGGGTCCCTTAACTTCCTTTGGTGGAATTTCCGAAGCTCTTGAAGAAGGTGGTCGACTACTTGCAGCACTTGATGGTTGTTCTGGTCGCATTGTCACAATTCCCATATCATCATCAACAACTGGACGAGGACGTGGAGAAGCTGCAGCTGAAGATGGTGGACGACTCATTTGTTGCTGCGGTTTTTCAGCATAGGATTGAGTTTGAACATCAGTTGCGGTTGGAGCAAGGGTTGAGAGAATATTGGCTTTTTTGGCGACTTGGACTTTTGGTTTTGCTGCTGCGGCGGCGGCTGCTGCATTTACTGGTTGACGGATTGGATCGGAGTTCTTGCCTGGAAAAAATTTATAATTTTTTCAAAAATTTAATTGGTAATTTTGAGTTTTATTCAGAAAATCGATACAAAACATTCAGAATTTTTGGACTGTGAAAATAGAATTCTATTGAAATTCAGAATTCCCTATCACCCCACAAACCTTCCATAAATTCTTCGGCAGTCAATGCTGGAATAGTCGATCTTGTATCCGGATACAAATCATGTTGAAAAAGATCCGATTTTCTTGGCACAAAAAATTGCAAAATATCCACAACTCCTTTTGTTGTCAATTTATAAATACGATTTATCTCAATTTCCTCACTCGAAATTCCACGTTTTGATTGAAAACCGATTGCTCTTTGTGGTTCACTTGTTGTATAAGTATTGATATAATGAACAAATGGTGCTTCATTATTAATTTCGTAGTATCGAATAGCACAATCACCTTTACCAACAAGATAAACAATTCCAGTATCTTCATCCCAAAATGGGAAAATAACACCATTTGAAGTGTCCAATTCTTCTTCAACAATTGGAGTTGATAAATCTTCAGGAGCTCGAAGAGCATATAATCTTTCAGATCTTTTAGTGAATCCTGTAGTGAGAATCAAACCATCTTTCACAAAAATTGCTTTTTGTGGTTTGACACCTTCATGTCCAACACCTTCGCTAACAACTGCGCCAGTATGCGAATCGAGAATTCGAATCTTTTTATCTTTGCAAGTTGTCACAAATTGACTTCCGTCGTAATTGAAATTGATACTCCAAATTTGATCAGGATGACCAGAAATTTCGAGAAGAGCTTCGCCAGTTCCCACGTTCCATAGGAACATCACATTTTCACCTCCTGGAAACATGAAATTTAAATAAAAAGTGAAAAAATATTGACCGCTTTGGCTTTTCTTTCAAAATTCAGTACCACCTCAAGAATATACGTTTCAAAAATCTTTGATCATTTGTGGAAAAATAGAATAAGAACGAGAGTTTGGTGATTAGTGAACCATTACTAGAAATTTTTCCACAGCCTGGAAATCCAAAACTGAAGAAGTATTTCAAAGGAACATACAGTAACCCAAAAAAAATCGACTAACCTGCAGTAAGCAAAAGATTATTAGCAACCGGATGCCATGCCAAAGTATTAACTCTCTTCTGATGTCCAGTCAATTCAACAGCAGGTTCACACAAATTTCGAGTCAATCCTCTTTCTGGAATCACCCAAACTTTTGCAGTTGTATCTTCAGAACACGAAGCAATAACATTATCATTGAATGGAGACCAAGCAATTTCAAGACACGGAGCTTTGTGAGCATCAACAAATGGATAATCTTTGTCAATTCGACCGGTTTTTGTGACTGGGATTACCATGAATGGTCCACCGGCGCCTCGATTGATAAATGCGATGAATTTTGGATTGACATCGCAGAAAAGTGAATCCCATGTGATTTCGGTTACCTGAAATATGATTTAAGTGACTTGCTATCTGAAGTTTCTGAAAATTTGAAATAATTGAATTTGAATTTTCCAAATTTTCTGGAATACTGGGAACTTAAATCACCAACCCAAAAAATATTCCGATAAATTTAAAAATTACTAAAATCATTCTGAAATTCACTTTCAAATTTCCTTTTTTTCAAAATCCCTGTAAACACTCACCCTGATATCGGACATACAATTCTCATGTTTGACGGGTTTACAAAAAACATGTCGAAACTTACTTTGTCGCACAATTTGAGCCATTTTTCAAGCTACAAAGAAAATTTAAAATGTTTCAAATTTTCTTCAAACAAAAAAAAACGAAAGTGCAAATGTAAATAAAAAATTAACAATAAATATAAGCCAAACTTTTTCGTTTCGCAGAAAAAAATTTTTCCAAAAAAAAAATATTTGAAGTAAATAATAGAAATTTTGTTGGTGACGGGTCTGAGGCAAGATAAAATCCAGATTTCTCGTAATGTCTGCGTCACTTCAAATCCCATACTCTCTCCTAGATTTTTACACTGCGAGCAGCTTTTTGTGTTTAGTTTTACGAAAAGAGAAACGGCGGGAGCGGGAGAAGAAGAACACATATATCCACCCCCATTTTTCTAAAATTATCAATATTTGTTTTTGGGAAAAGGAAAACTTGAGATGAGCAATGCTTTAGATTTATTATTATTATCATTATGACAGTCTTTGACTTTAAAAACAATTCCAAAATAGGCTATCCTAAAAATGAGACATAAGTTGTTGGAAATCTGCCAGATTTCACATGATTTGACATCGGTGGCAAGCTTGAATTCGAAGGTTGACTTATGACGTGGCCAATTAGCCAGTCTTCACCAATTCGATCTTCAATAATAACACACTGACCTTCGCGAATCTGAAAAATAACAACAATTGTTGTTCGAGGGATTTTTGAGGAGGAAGAGGCGGAATTTCGCAATTATAATTTGAAAAATCAAATATTTTCATAATTGGAAAATTAATTTTTTGAAATAAATTTTAGACTTCAAACAAATATTTGTTCAATATTTCGAAATAATTTTTAAAAATGATTTTCTCAAGATTTTTGTATACAAAAAACTACAGAAACTTTTAAGGTCAACAATTTTACTGTTTCAAAAATTTAATGTTGAAATTCTGAAAGTTTATTGAAAACTTGAAAAATCCAAATTTAAGATTTGGAAAAAAATTTCAGAAAAATGTATTTTTGAAATTATGTTCATTTGTTCAAACAAAGTTCGAATTCAAATTCACCCCCTCCCCGGAAATTTTACAAAATAAAAAATCACCTGAATTTCATCAGCATGTTTCGGTTCAAAATCATACAAAACTCGACAAATTTGTTGTGGCGAAGAGCAAGAAGGTTCATTGAAAGTAGTGATAGTTTTACCATTCGAAGATCCATTTGAATAAAATCCATCATCCGATATTTTCTCATATTCCTCATAATCACAATCTACACTTCCTCGAATTGAAGAAGCACAAATCGATGTGTCAAATGAAGTCAAAGCCGGTGGTGGTAATGAATTATTCTCTCCAGTTAGGGGAATTGTCAAAATCGTCATTGGTAGACCGGATTTATCTTTGATTTTCTGCTGATATCTGGCCAATCTGTTGAAACCTCGATTTTGTCCGCCATCAACTATGCTTATCGCATCATTGATTTTGTAGAGTAAATATTCGATGAATTCAGTGACACTCTGAAAATTGAATTTTGAGGGGTAAAAGAGGGAAGGATATATTTTCAAAGAACTTGTTTGAAAAATTGAAATAAAAAGGAGACAAGAAAATTAATAGTGTCCTTTGAAAAAATAGTATAATCCCCAAAGAGACTTTTTCTCGCAAAACTCAGGAAAATTTTTTGGAGCTTGATTGTATAGTAACTTTTTTATGTTTTCGGGAAAATGTGTTCCAATATTTTAGGTTTTTAAGAAAATACTTTTTTTCTAAGTTATTTTGTGATCTTTCGTTTAATTGTTTTCAATTCAAAATCTAGAGGCTTAAACAATTGTTTAAAAATTTTTTTTTGATTCAAAATTTTTTTCAAATATTTTTCAAAGTGTGAAAAATGTTTATTTTTCCTATTTTTCCTATATTTCATTTTTTCTCATTCTTTTTCCAAAAAACCTTTCTCCAAAATTATGTGAACAAAGGAGGCTCAACAACAAAGACTTTTGTCCCCTTATTTTTCATTCACAGGAAGTGGTCCAGCTTTTTAAGTGCAAAAAACCTATATATAACAATTTTTTTAAACATTTGAAGCCCTTGTAAAAAACTTCAATTGTTGATCATCCGGAAAAAATACAGGCTTCACCTTTCAATTCAATTTCACTTTCATATTTGGTCACATCGTGTTGCGCAACGTAAAACTTGTTTCAATTTATTGATTTTTATTTTTTTTCCTGAATTTTTCTTTGGTTTGCTGTCCAGCTGTGAAACAATCAAATAATCAATATCAATATATTTCTTTGGATATTGAATTTTCAAAATTTTTCACTTTTTTCTGTTTTTTGAGTCGATTTTTTTTTTGGTTTCTTTTTGATTCAACCAACCATTTGTTTCGAATTTGCCACCATAACATCAGCTGATTGTTTTCCAAATAATCTCTTCAATTCATTATCCAAAATACCCGAAACCCGATCAAGATTTTGTCTTCTTCTCGTCGAACTCATAACCTCTCCAAAATTCTCGGCATACAAATCAACTAATGTAATATGATTCACAGCAGATGTAGATGGTTGAATCGTTTGAATAAAATCCTCGATCTGTGAATCCATAGCAATTTCCAAATTATTCGAATGTCTCTCAAACATTTGTTGCAAATTCGGTCCCATGTTCTCAATTTTTCTCTTATATCGCCCAAGTGCAGTTTGGCAATGTGCCAATCTTTGTCTCTCCACAGATTCCATACTCTCAACGCCTTTTCGCAAAACATTCTCTGTCACTCTGCAAAAATGTTATGTTTTCTTTCCTTCTTTTTTGGCGCCAATTTTTTCTAGCGCAAGGGATATATAATAAAAAAGAAGAGAGAGAACAGAGAAAGAGAGAATGAGGCATTGCTCATCATGATTTGTTTCTTTTTCCATTTTGTTTCTTTTCCTATACTTTCTATTTTTTACAAACCTTCTTTGTTTTTCCAAATCAATCGTTTGCCAAATGTATTCATCCTCACTTTTTGTCATCTGTTCTCGATATTTCTTTTTGCGCAGCGTGAATTTTTCGGGATGCAATTTGTCATTTTCAGCCGACTGTTCGATTTTCTCCAATTCTTTTGATAGAACATAAAGGCTTCGCTTCATTTTCTGCGTCTCATCTTTTTTATCTTTCATTTTTCGAATCTCTCGTTCTACAAAGTTATCAGCTGCTCGAATTGTTTTCTGTTGTGATGATTGTACTGAGCGTAATGGTTGAATTATGTCCTCAGTTAGAGCAGATCCAAGATTACTTAAAAATTAAAGAGTTATGATATTTCTGGAATGGTTATTTTGTAATGGTCATATTTTCTAACCTGTGAATTGTCGCGTGAATATCAAATTGTTCAGCCACATTTATCCAACCCTTGTCAATCCCAGATTCCGAATTTCCGGTTAGTTTTTGCAATTTTCCGGAAATCTTCTTCAAACTTTTCGAATAATGAAAATCAAGCGCTGCTTTTTCTTCAAAAGCTGTCACGATTTCAGCGAGAATATCGTTGTTGTTTCGAATCAGATCTCGTAGCTGACGGAAGTTTTGCGGTGTCTAAATTTTATAGAAACAATTTTTATCTGATAACATTTATCAGTAGCAAATAACAAAACAAACAAAATGTTTGTTTCAACTCACCGCAAATTTGTCAACTAGTGTTGTATTTGTCATAGTGGGAAGGTCAACAAGTCCATTCAAACTGTTTTGTCGACTCAGGGATTGATTCAGTTGAAATACACTCCTTGAAAGGCTTCGACGTAGTTTTGACATACGGGAATTCATCTGAAACAATCATTTGTATTATGTTTGAGAAAGCATTTTCTTCGCAATTCGAGAGAAACAAAAAAATCGAGAAACGAAAAGAAAAAAACAGAAAACAAATTTTATTTTTTTCCGCCACATTTTGTGCAATTTTACGTCAGTTGTGGTGTACGATTGCGGACCATAAATCGATTGATTTTTCATTTTGAAAAGTTTTGTTTTCGTTTTTTCGTTTTCAAGTTTCTTATCAGAATTCTTCCGTGACCTTATCTATAGGAAATCAACAAATGTAATTAGGATTTCATAGAGTTTCGTTTCGCTAATCAAATCATAGGAAGAATATTGATTTTCTCGTTATTTAGCAAAAAAAGAAAGAAATCATTTTTCTCAAAACTTTACTTTTGAATGAGAAAACATTTGCCATAGGATGTAAGTGAGAACAGCTGAGTTTCCGGTGAGGCATAGACATTTTTTCGAAAGAAACAAAAATGCGAAATGAAAAAAAAACTTCTTGCCAGCTAGGCTCTAGAAAATCCAATAAACGAAAAAATATATGAACAAAAGATGGCAATCGGCAGAGAAACACATTTTAAGGTCAAATCAATTTGATTTTGATCAATTACATGACCAAAATGACCAGTAGTTAGATTTTTCAACATTTATGAAATTGTAAGAAAATGCATAGTTCGTAACGAATTTATATGCAAATTTCCGCTTTTTAATTAAAAAAGTGTGTAAACACAAAGAAAGAAAGAAATGGAACTGTTACTTTAAAACCTATTGATTTGAACAAATGATTCACACGCTTATCAAAAAATTTAGACAAATGAAAAAATACATGTAATTTTTTGCATGTGTTTATCTCGACAAATATTTGTTCACCTAGTGGATTTTGGAGAGAAAAGTACACTCAATAAAACTTGTTAACTCAGAAAACAGTCGGCTTTTTCAATATTTACTGTTTTGAAAATGATACAGACATCTGATCTCAAAAAATCAGTTGCGTGAAAAAAAATAAAATACGAAGAAGTACAGCAATTTCATTTCAAAATTGAATGCAGAAAAATAGTTTGTTTGTGGTGTTCGCCCATTGGGTATTGTGTTATTCATTCATTCTTTCTTTCCATTTCGCATGTCTGCGTCTCTCTTGCGTCATCGCATATTTCTCCCGTTTTCTACGGTTGACAGCCGGCGAAACGGCTGGTTTCGCATATTTTCCGTTTTTCTCTAAGTCTCCAAGAGAGTTTGACCGAGGAATTAAATAAGTGTATATTTATTATTTTTAATTGGAATTTGGAAAAGTATCAATGTCTTGATTAGATTAGATATTATGAATAGAATAACATTTGTTGACAGAATTGAGGGAAATAAATAAAGTTAACGGAAAAAACTTGGAAAATTGGAGGAACATTTGGAGCTTCTGTTAACTTTGAAACAATGAGAGAATGATGCGCAGATGGCTATTGTTTTTCGCATAGAAAATATTGGGAAATGGCACTTTTCTGTGGGTTTAATTTACCCCAAGCCCAGAGGCTTATAGAAGGGGAGATTGTGTGTTGGCATTCCCCCACTGAATTTATTTTTCTTCAATGAAAAGGCACCCCTTTCTTCAAATTCCGAGAAACTGTAAATATCATGTGTTTTCTAGACGATTTCTGCGTCTCGGCAGGATCTCCTGCTTCTCACCTACAATGTTTATCCTTATATGGCCTTTCCAGCTGGTGGTCGGTTTCATGTGATAGAGTTGTTGCAACAATAGGGTTTTTCTCACTCTCTCCCTTTGTTTACTCGCTCTTTGTCCTACCATATTTTCCGGATTTTTTAAACTTTTCCGTGAATTTCAAGCATTTTTCTCGCTATTTCTTATCGAAAAAATAATCCCAATTTATCCGATTGTACTTTCACTAATCTGAATGTTGAGCATTCTGGTTCATTCATACCTTACCCAACAGCCTGGTTTTTTTTCTGAAAAAATTAATGGCTTGAATCCAGTTTCTGTGTCAAATATTCCTGATTTTAAGTATCATGTTCAAACCTTTTTAAAAGTACATTGTTATTATTTACACATTGTTTTCTACAACAATTACTGTAGCCTCTGTGCAAATATAATTACTTAGTTCATCGAAAATTAATCATCGTCATCATTTTCTACAACATCGAAATTATAGAAAATAAATGTCACAATATTTTCTATCTGCTCACTTTACACTGTCTCGTATTAACAGTGACACACTGTATTGAATCATCTTCTTCACCTCTCTGTTGGACATCTGCCACATTTATTATTTTTGATCAGAGGTTTTTATCTATCTAACTTTCTTGATGCAACCTTACTTGGTATACTTTTTCTCTAATCAGATCAGAAATCATATATTTGAGTCTTTTTGTTTTGTTCTTCATTCGAAACTTATTAATATTGAAAAATATGAAATATTTACAGATGGTCTTCAAAGTAAAATGCCTAAGATGCAAGAAGGATTTTCGAATTACTGATATCGAATCGCATATGTATTCACATTAGTAAGTTTTCTTGGAAACTTCAATAAGTGTGAACTTTTCCCTGTTATTTCTTTATCAATTGTTCTACCTACTTGAATAAAACAAACATTTTCAGCACGGGAGAACATGGGAAACGTCCGTTAAGAGCAAAATGCCTTGTATGTCAAACTTCGTTCATCGATCTGTCAGCATATTATGCTCATATTCATCGTGATCTAACAGGAAAGCATCACAAACAACAAAATGCGACACAACTTCAGCTGTTAGAGGAAACAATTCCAGGAATTACAATAGATTACCGGGACTATGTGGAGAAATACACGGTGCCCGTGACAAACGACGGATTTCGAATGATTGATGAGAGAGAGGCTGGACGTTTGCTTGGTCCTGGATCGACATTCAATCCGTATGATACTCCTAATCAGAACCATGGCACTCCAAGGTATACCGGAACACCGGTTTACAACGGAACACCGAACTATTGTGGTACACCAAACATGTATGATGGAAGGAATACGCCAAATATGTATGATAATGGTGGAAGGAATACACCAAACATGTATGATAATGGTCGTAGAAATGTGCCACTTCCGAATAAAACACCTGATTATGAGGAGGAACGAGCAAGATCGCCGTTTCCATCAACATCATCGGCAACACAAAATCGACCACAGGAAAATGCTCGGCCATCAAGAATCGGTACTCCTGGTTATGAACCATCCGGATCTCGTAGCCGACCACAAACACCGAAGTATAGTGAATCAAACAATTCGAATCGAAATCAAAATCAACCACAAACAGCGAATCAATTTCCAAATGGGCAGCCAACAAAGTCAAACTATCCGACTGCTCCACAAGTCAATAATAAACAACAAAATCGGATTCCAACCCAACAATCGAATCAAAATCAGACTGCTCCACAATCGATGAACCAACAACAAAATGGAGTGCCATCACATAATAAAGTTCCAGCTCAACACACTCCACAATCTCAAAATCGAACTCCAGCACAACCACAAAGTCAATCTCAAAGCGGTGCACAAACATCAAATCAGCGAGGACCAAGAACACCACCAATTCAACCTGAAAACCGGAATCAATCACAAAATCCAAGTCAAACTCAACATCGTTCACAAACACCGAATCGACAAGGACCACGAACTCCGCCCAATCAAAATAATCGTCGTCCACAAACGCCACGTCAGGAAGATCATCACAATCCATATGAATCAAAAAAGCCTCGACGACCATCAGAACGTAATGAACATAATAATTCGAAATCAAGGTGAGTTTTTTGTTCAGCTCTGATTTATACAACAAAAAAAACAATTTTGATTCAGATATGCATCGACACCACACGAACACGAAGAACATTTCAAAATTCGAGGCGAAGGAGTGTCATATATGGTAAGATTTGTTGGAAAAAATATGGGTTCGCGAAATTATTTCAAACTTCAAAAATTACTATTGTTTCGCGGACTCATTTTGAAAATATTTGGGAAACTATCGGAGATCGATATTGTAATGACGGGCCTATTTGGACACCAATTCCGTATTTTCCAAATTTTTAGAAATGAAAAAATGTCAAACTCACGTTTTTAAAAATAAGAAACACCTGTTTGCACCCTTTTTTAGAAACAAAAAAGCCCTTTTTTAAATACAAAAAAAAATGAAGAATTGAATTTAAAAAACCTGATATATTAGACACGTTAAACACGTATTCATTCAACAAATAGTAGAAAATTTTCAGAATCACGATGATCGTCATAATTCCGGCTCAAAAAGTCCAGGATTTTACGAACCACCAGAAACGTATGATGGTAGGTTTTCACCCCCAAAAGTTCTCTCCCCTCCTCTCAAAGAATCGCAAATTTTTCAGAAATCCGAACAGTTCGTGAAAATGCTCGTGTAGAATCTCGTAGCACTGCAAAAGTGTGCCCATCTCAAACTCGTCAATCTTTCCTAGCAACTCCGAATACTCAACCGGTTTCTAGAAAAGAGTTGGAAGAGCAAAAGAAGAAAAATCAGCGAGATATTCTTGAGAGAAGAAGAATTGCGGATGAGAAGAAAAAGAGAGAGGAAGAGTTGCAAAAACAGCAGCAGCAACAACTACAAAAGCAACAAGAAGAGCAAAGACGCGCCTCGAGACCTCCACCGCCGTTGCCAAATCGTGCGAATATTTTCAACGAATCGACCAATCAGCCAACAACTGCTCCTTCATCAACATTCCAAAATACTTATTCACAGCCACAGCCTGTTCCACCACCTCAACAAAAATATTTCTTCAACCAACCGCCGCCAACACTCAGTTTTCTTACACAAATACCCATTCCGCCACAAGCACCACAACTTTCGGAAAATGTAAGACCACAAGATCGACAAAATCATAATTTGGATATTAAACCGGATGTGAGTGAAATGAGAAAACAGATGGATAAAGCGGAAAAGGAGAAAGCGGCGAAATTGAAACCGAAAACTACGAATATTCAAAGAGGTATGCTGAAAACGGGATCTTCAGGGCAGGAAACTGAAAAAGAAACATCGGTGAAACGAAGACGGGAAGAAGACAGTGATGAAGATGGAAGTGGACCAAGTACAAGTTCGAGGTGAGCATGAGATTTATTAGCTTGAAAAAAATTATTTGGCATTGAAATTAGAATTTCCTATCAGGACTTGAAAAAATAAATAGATTTAGAATTAAAACCGAAAAGATCTTTAAATTTTCAAGATATTCTTTCCTGTGATAACTTTTTTATCAAAAAAAAAATGGTTTTGAAAGTTTCAACTAAAACATTCGAAAATTTTGAAAATTCTCCTATTTTTCAAATTTCTGTTCAGATTTTGATTGAAAATTTTTTATTCAAAAATTTCCGTATTCAATAATCCAAAAATAACGAAATACATCTTATTTTTCCGATTTACAGACACGCATCCAGCCAAAGTTCAACAACTGTTCAAAATGATTATCGATCAAGAAATCAGACTAATCAAAGCGGCTATGATTATAGAAACAGGTTAGAATTTTTAATTTTCCGAAAACATTCAATTTCACATTTGTTTTTTTTTGCAGCCAAACAAGTCGAAATGAGCCGGCTAGAAATGAGCGAGTTCAGCAAAATCAACGAAATTCAAGACAATATCAACAGCCCTCGAGAAAGAGAGAGTGAGTTTTTCTTATTTTTGAAATTTTCTGATTGAAAATTTAAATTTTTCAGGCGCTCTTATTCAGCATCGGACAGCGACTAAAAATTTCAGAATTCAGTTATTCTTGTTGACATGTATTATTAAGATATTTTAATTTTTTAATGTAACCTTTTTTCTTTGTTTTCAATTTTTTTCGAATTGTGCTTTTTCATAGAATTACATTTTTTATAGAAATTTTTTTTCAATAATAAATTTATTTTCAATTTCTTGAACTAAATAAGAAAGAAAAAAAAAATGAAAAAATGGGACCTACGAAAAATAGGATTAGGTGCTTATAGAAACAATTATACACTTTTGTTGTTTATTAGATTCAATTTCCCTTGACAAATGAGACTCCCTTGGCGATGTTCTTGTTCAATTCTGGTACTGAAGCGTCGATCAATTTTTGTTCGAAAGCAGAGACCTGAAAATTATAGTTAATTGTGAATTTACTTTGAAGTTTGAAAAAAATTGATTAGCTCACTTTGAACAAAAATTTTGAATTTAATAAGACAAGTTGCAAATCTCAAAAAAAGATGTGATAAGTCCGGAATTCCGCCACAAAATCAAACTTTCGATTTTCCAATGAAAATTATCGATTTTTTTAAAGACACATAATCCGCTAGAAATGAACAGAAAATGAGTTTGTTATTCATTCATAACACCATTCAAGTAATCGAAATTCATGAAAATCAAGAAAAAATTTTGAGTATAGCAAAAGTGAAAAAATAAAATAATTGTTTTTGAAATCGCTCAGCCGACGGAAATTTCGAAAGTGTTTGCATACAGTGTGTCGCTAGAGCGCACATGCTGGTTTTGTCGTTTGAAAATAAATGCGGGAAATCTGTTTTTTCCAGTGGCTGATGTGTCTTTAAATAAATTTTGCACATTCCAAGATGATTTTTGACTTTTTTTTTTTGATTTTTGACTAGTTTTTTGATTTTCAGAAAATTACAATTTGAATTACAGATGCGGAAAACATACCTTTCCAACTCCGAGAATCTTTTCAACTCCATTTGGTCCAAGTTCAAGTGGTGTTGAGAAATATTCAACTCCATTTACAGCATTCGAAGCAACATATGCGCATTGTACATTCTTTTGTCCCTTCAATCCACGAATCAAAGCGTTGGCGAATTTAGCTCCAGCCAAAGCCATTGAAAGTGTAGCTGATCCGGCTCCAGCCTTGGCGTTGACGACTTCAGTTCCGGCATCTTGAATTCTTGGTGTCAATTTGGAGATTTCGGCTTCAGTGAAAGTGGTGGCTGGTGTGACTTGGGAGAGAAGTGGGATGATAGTGATACCAGCATGTCCTCCGACAACTGGGACAATGGTTTTGGTGGCATCGTGTCCCTGAAAAAATAGACATCAATATTTGTATTGCATCATTGGTTAGAGAGGGACACAACTATCTCTCTTTTTTATCTTTTCAAAGAACGATCAAAATTTGTTGACTGTACCTTGAGTTCAGCGACGAATGCTTGCGATCTAACAACATCCAAGGTAGTGACTCCGAAAACGCGTTTTGGATCATAAACTCCGGCCTTCTTGAGAACTTCGGAAGCGATTGGAACTGTTGAGTTGACTGGGTTTGTGATGATAGCAATCAAAGCCTGGAAAAAAATTTGGATTTTCGGAGAAAAGTATTTTTTTTAGAAAGGATTTCCTTCAACGTTTCTATATTAGATTCCAACTCACTTTTGGAGCAGCCTTGGCGATAACAGCAGCCAAATCACGAACGATTCCGGCGTTGGTGTTGAACAAATCATCACGAGTCATTCCTGGTTTACGTGGAACTCCGGCTGGGATAACAATAACATCAGCGTTCTCAACAGCGGCGAACAATTCAGCTTGTCCAGTGTGAGCGGTAACTTTAGCATTGCTGTCAATGTGTGACAAATCAGCGGCGACTCCCGGTGTGTTGACAACGTCGTAAAGGGACAAATGAGCGACCAATGGGTCTTGTTTCAAAAGGAGACCCAATGGTTGACCGATTCCTCCGGCGGCTCCGAGCAAAGCGACCTTTGGTGCTTGGCTTGAATAACGGTATGAGGCGAGACGGATTCCATTGGATGAAGCAGAGACGAGAGACTTGGCTGGGAGGGACATTCTGTGAATTAGAAAAATAATATGAACTGAATTTCTCTATCGTGAATAAAAAGGAAATGCGAACTGATTGTTGATTGATAACAGAACAACGTGGTCAAGGTTTTAAATAATTCATTTTGTAAAATCGTCTGATTTTTGGTTTTGTTTGTGATAAAAACAATGAAAGGAATTAAGTGAACTTGTTCTAAAAACATGAGATTTAAAACTGAAAATCTGAAAATCTGACAATTCAAAGGAGAGTGAAACAAACAAATTTAAAATATGAAAAAAAAAATGGAAATCTGTGTTTTTGAAGCCTTTTCTCAACACCCTATAAAAATGAGATGATTTCAAAACGATGTGATAATACTCACGTTTCAACTACGCTAAACAAAACCAACTAAAATCACTGATAACACAACGAGAAACACTTGACCAAGCGAACAAAACAGACAAAAAAATGAACTGCTGGGTTAAAGGCGCACGTTGCTTCAGGCGGCGTAAACATTGTTCGTCGCAAGACCCTGAGGCGGCAAAAAGTGTGATTTTGAAATGGAGAGAAATTTCTTTTCTTTTTTCTTTTTTTTTCAAGAGTTGTTCACTCGGAGGGGTCTGCGAATGTTTGTCAAAGAATAGAAAGAGTTATTTGAAAAGTTTTACACGAGAATTATTTAGGGAAAATGCCAGAATTATGAAAATCAGGAGAAAATAAGTATTTTTATAGAAAAATTTAAAGTTTTATTTTGGAAAACAATTCTTTTCGCGTGAACTACGATTTTTTAATGAAATCATTTCCTACTTTCTACCAATCTTGATTGTTTTTTATTTCCATCACTATGAAGCATATGCAATAACATTTCTCGTGATAAACAAATGAAAATCTAATTTCATTATTGTTCCTCTTTTTCTCATAGATATATTCGATTCTAAAAACAATAATGAATGATATCTGTAAATTCGACTCAGAACCTTCATTTTTACATTCTCCGAAGTTTCTAAAATATTCTCTTCATATTATAGGATGCCTTTCAATTCCTATTCATATTCTTGGTTTCTATTGTGTATTTTTCAAAACTCCGGCGAAAGTTCGAAGTGTGAAACAAACTATGTTTATCACTTCGTTTTGGTAAACAAAATTCAAGAAATGTGAAAAATCCGTATCTTTCAGGGCTTGTGTTCTAGATATGAATGTCTCTTTTTTCACAATATTCCTTGTCTTGGCTCCATCAGCTTCAGCTTCATCTTTAGGATTTCTAACAGATTTTGGTGTTTCTGTCCAGTATCAAACATATATCACTGCTTATATTCTAATAGGTGTTTATCTTCTGATCTTCGTCAAGAAAACCAAAGATTTATTTATAAATTTCAGCTGTTTGTTGTTCAGTGATTTGTCTTATTCAGAATCGGTTTATCCAATTAACAAATATTCGAATTAACCGGATTCTAGCTCAGTTGCTCATTTATCTATTTAACTTTACATTTTCCACATTATTTTTCATAGCAATTCACAAACAAATACCTAAAGATCAACTGAGAGCCCGTGAAATAGTTCTAGAAAATCTGCCATGTCTTCACCATTGTATTTATAATCTTCCCATTTTCGTTATCACATTGAATACGAGTAATTTCATCGTTTTGTTTGGAATTCCTATAACTCTTACTGGTTTGCAATGCGCATTCTTCATTTCCATCACCTATTTTTATTTGTTCACTAAAAATGGGACGAATTCAGATGTACAAACGAGAAATTTACAGAAGAAATTTTTCACGAATATTTGTATTCAAGTTGGAATTCCGTTTTTATCCGTAACCATTCCTGCGTTGTATATTGGATATAGTTTTCTGACAGAATATCACAATCAAGGTTAGAATTTTAGTAAACAATGGGGATTCTATTGTAGTTCTTTTTTCTACGTCATAGCTCATGTTCAGAGTTGAGCAGTGGATAATTTGATCCTGAGAGAAAGATTAGCTTTTACTTGAAATCAAAAACCAATCATTTTGTCCTAATCTCGTAATAAAATTGTAAGGAAAAGTTGGTTTCCCTCGATTTGAAATTTTGCCACGTCATAACTCAGAATTCTAAATTTTCAGCGCTCAACAATTTTTTCATTATGTTATTCGACTCTCACGGTTTATGTCTCAATATATCAATGATTTTGACACATCAATCATATCGAGAAACAATACAATTTTGGAAATGGAAGAAGCCAAAAAACGATAGTATAAATATAACAATTATTCGGAATAATCCGATATAAACTTCATACATTTTTTCGTCGCCATGAGCCATTTTTTCCTCAAAACTGAAAAAATAAAAAATACAGAAAAAAGAAAATAAAATAAAAATTGACGTCAACGTGAAGGTCGCCACGTATCAGGCGGTCGAAAAAATACGTGGAAAATGAAATCGATTGAAAAGTAGGTCAGTTGGCAAAAAGAATCGCGTTTTGGAGCAAAAATGGATTGCTTTCTCACTGATCTTCAACGCAAATTTCTCGACATCGTAAGTTTGATACTTTTTTCGTTTTTGTGAAAACTTCCCTTTTTTTTAGATTTGCAGCTCGGAGAGAGATCCTCAAACATTGTTCCAGAAAGATCCGGAATGCGATGGACAATTAGAGGTAGATGAGAAACAAAACCAAAACCCCAGGTTTCAATCAAAACTTCATCTTTTAGAATGTCACCGAGTATTTCAAGATGTTGCTCATCGAAAAATGTCGTCTTCAAAAATACGGTCAAGCCAATTTCGCGATTCATTTGCTTGACGAAGAGATTTGTCGACTTTTCATGGCTCCCGTCTCAATTTCTGACATCAATTTGCTCGAACAATGTGGACAAGAAGCGTTGAGAAATGCCGAAATGATGGGAATGATGACCGATTCGGAAGAATCGATGATTTGTCATGAGGAAGAGGTGACATTGACTGAAAATGTATATATACCAGTTGACGAATATCCGTCGTATAATTTTATTGGGCGAATTATCGGGCCACGTGGAACTACTGCAAAACAATTGGAAAAGGCGACTGGGTGTCGAATTATGATCCGGGGAAAATATTCAAACAAAACCGTGAGTTTTGAATTTTGAAGGGGAAATAAAAAGAAAAATGTGCGGCATTTGCATTAGGGCCACGCCCACAAGTATTTCGGATTAATAAAAATGAAATTTTGACAAAAAACTCCAAAGAACTCGAACTCGAATCATTTTTTCAGTACGGCTATTCTCAACGTCAATCAAGCAGCGAAACCCTTGCTGATTCTCGTCTCCGCGTCGTCCTTCAAACGTGCGGAATCCGTGCCGAAGCGGAAGATCGAATGCGTCGCGCGTTGTATGTCATCAATTCATTGCTGATTCCACCACCAGATGGTCGCGATGAACTTAAACGTCGTCAACTTTCCGATTTGGCTGTTATCAATGGAACATATCGTCCAACTTCAATTTTCCGATCATAATTCAATCTCACCGCCCAAGAAAAGCGCCCACACCAAAATAGTTTTAACCACTCCCCAAAATGTTTTAACTTTTTTATTTATTTCATGTTTCTTGTTCATCCATTTTCAGATATATTAATTCGTTTTACCGCTTCACTAAAGTATAAAAAAATTTATTTCACAGACGAAGAGAAGAAAAGCGGGACCAAAAAGAGAGAGAAAAGAAAAACACGTATAGCCGAGATCCATAGAAAAGTGGGTAAGGGGGCGGGAGACTTTAGTTCCTAGAAAAAAAGGCATTAGGCACAGTTTACGTAAAATGAAAATCACACATTTCAAGACAAAACAAAACGAAACGGAAATTGAGCAAACCATTAAGAAAAACCATAATTAAATAGAAAAAATCAATGGGGAATGGGGGCAGTGATGATTAGTAGATATAAAAAATGAGGGGGCTGGAGGCAAAAAAAGGTCTGAAGAATCACCGAGATCAAAAAAATACACCTATTTTCTATTCAACACTCGGGTTTTCAAAAAATTCAAATTAATTTACAGGCTATGAATAGCAGGAAAAAAGAGAACGAGGGAAGAAAAGAAAATCGAATTAGTGACATGGCAAGTAAATATTACTATAAATAATATTTGATGAAAATACAAATAATCGATGAGAATATTAGACCGTCTGAATATCCTTGTTTACGATATAAAATTGATCTTTTCGCCCAAACATTCCGACTAAAACAGCTGCATTTTCAATGATGATATTGAATGGAATTGTGCAAAGTGCGCCAGCCAAATAAAGAGCCAATCGAAGAATACTATTTCTGAAAAAAAGAACGGGGGAAATTGAGTAATAAGAGAAGAGGTGTTTTGAATGGTCGAGATTTTTCAGAAAATTTTGAATTTCTTAGAAAATCTGAATTACTTCATTAACAAACATTGTTGAAGTTCAAATTTTTCGAAAAAAAAATATTTGAATGTATCAGAAAGGCTTCTTTTAAAATAATTTTTTTTGAACTTTGGAATATCCAGTTTTGAAGAGAACAACAATTTAAAATTTTCCCTTGGACCAATTTTCTCAAAAGAAATACTCACCTATATTTATGCGAGAACGATTTGACGACTCCAAAAATGTACATGTACAAATTGACGGCGCCAACAAATGAAAGGCAAAAATCGAATGGCAAACATCGGGGAAGCGGGAAAAGTGGGCAGAGGAAAACTTGGAGCGATGTGAGTGGCATTGTTGCCCATGCGTATAATGAAAGTGCCAATAATGCCTGAAAAATGTGGGGAGAATTTGGATAAATTGAAAAAATAGAATTTTGTGTTTTGGATGAAAATTTGAAATGTTACTGTCAAAGATTTATAGGTTTACAAGATTCTACGATTCTCAAAATCGATAAGATTTGTTTTAAAAAAAAATGCGAAAATCGATTCCAAAAATTTGAAGAGAATGTTTCGCACAATTTTCGTTTTGAAATTTTGCAGCAATTTCGAAAAACTTCAATCAAACTTATCAAAATTTCCCCAAATGTTCTAATAAAAAATGCCCACAACCAACCTTATGAACAACAGCAATCTTTTTCGAATGAACAGTCAATAAAATTCCCTGCAACCAACGTTTTCGTTGTTGCAAAAAATCCCACATCGTAAACGGACTCTTCTCATGCATTTCTCCCTCAATAAAATCAAAAGTATATCCATGTTTCATGGCAACCATCGAAAAGAAACAATCTTCGGCAATCGAACCTTCCATTCCGTGATCATACGATACAACGCGTTCCGCTTCGACTTGTGTTACAACATACGATCCTTTCCATCCGAAAAGTGGTTTATGGAAGAGTTTGAATTGGAAACGAAGTTTTCCCATATCATCAGCAACTCTAAATGAATCACTCAAAGTTGTGAGCCAATTGACAATTTCTCCGCTAGCATAAGTGATAACACCTTGTCCAAATTGATGTTTTCCATCTTCGCAAAAATTCAAAATTCCACAAATCGCGTTTGTTGTGAGCAAAGTTTCTTCATCCAAGTGAACAATCCAATCAGTTGGCTGAAAAATAATCAGGGTTTTTTATATTGAGAAACTCGTGAAATTTATTTGCTCAATGTCCCCGAATTTAGTAATTTAAAAAAACATTAAAATTAGGAAATAATTTCTTGATAAGTTCGAAAAAATGCCCAAATATGAACAAGGCTGAAGAATTTATTCCCAATTTTTTCTAATTGTTTTTTTTTTCAAAATTACATCTAAATATTTTAGGAAAGCTGAGTTTTGAACAATTTTCATGGGATAAAAAATAGACATGAAAATAGCCTACCTGCAAAATATTAACATCATCTTCTAAACAATATTGAAGAGCCCGAGCCTTGAATTTGGCTCCACTTTTAGTTCGATATTGAGTTGGCACAACAACTTCTCGAACTCTTGCATTCGATGGCAAATTGATTGCTTTGTCGGTGACGACTTCGAAGATGAAATTCTCCATTCCGGCTTCGAAGCAAGTTTTCATATTTTCATCGACGTTTTCCTGGAAAAAAGCATTACTACTTTTTGATTCAAGAAATAATGCTTTTGAATTTTGAAGATCTAGAAAATTTGGATGATCACTTTTTCAATTCGGAATATTTTTGATCTTTCAATTTTATTTTTTTCTATCAAACTGTTAGATAACATTTTACGATTTTTTCGGACAGTAAAAATACTATTTCATGTTTCTAAATTCAGCTCGTCTAAGAATTAGGTATTTCAGAATATTCTGAGAAGTCTAGAAAACTTAGATTTTTTAGTTACTTCAAGTTTTTCTTCGGAGCTTTCGAATTAATTTTTTTTAAATAAATGATCTATTAGATAACATTTTACAAGTTTTCGCACAACAAAAACCTTTTTTTGCATTTTTCTGGTCCAAATCCACCGCACCCTTTTATTGTCTCAATTATGCACACGTAATCATAAATCATAATCGGTTCAAATTATCAATGAAATACTTATAAATGCCAACTAAGAAGTGAGAAGAAGGAAAATATCAGCATAAAATCATATTTTGATAAAGAAACACACTACAACTTGCAAATGTGCTACTTTCAAAAACGTGAGTGAGCTATGACGTGGCAAGAATTATGAAGGTCATGAAAACAGTTCGAATTTTGCCACGTCATAAATCATTTCCAAAGTTGAGAAATCATGATTCTAGTGTTTGTTAGAGGTCAAAAAAATTGTGGGAACTCTGAATTTCGTTCCAAAATATGATTTTCCTGGAAGTATTCCGAACTTCCTGCAAAATTTTCTGAATAATAATGAACATTGAATTTGCCACGTCATAACTCAAAAAACACACTTCCAAATTTCCAATTTCAATTTTCCAGCCACTTGGTCTCCCCGCAAAATTTTCAAAAATTAATAACTTTCTCTTTTTTCTTTGTCAGTAGTGAATCACCGCCTTTTTTATCAGTACAATACACACACAAACTCTCTCCCAAAATCAAAAAAAAAAACCAATCAGAGTCCAATCAAACATACCTTTACAAGGAGCGGAAAATTGCCTTTCGTCACAACCCGAAAACAAACAAATGGTGATAATAATGGAGCCGCTTTTAATGGCACCTGAAAGATTCGTAATTTAGAATTTTTGAAAAAAATATTTTAGAGAATTTTGAAGCACATGACTGAAAAAATCAAAATTACTACCAAATCTCTATAAATTCGAGATTCAGAAACAGTTTATGTAACTTTAAAATCAGTCTTCTGAAAAATTTATTAGTGAAATACCACCAGAACTCGAAAATTGAGCTTCAAAAAAGAACACACAAAAACGAGAGAATGAAGACAATTTTTTGAACGTGTTCTAATTTTTTCCACGTGAAAACTGTCTGCGCTCTCTCATCATTTTTGTTTTTTTTTCTCCGGATTCGTCATTTTTGCAATTATTTCAGGAAACTCTAAATCGAAATTCTTGAAAACCTTACCTTCTCGCGAAAAGCGTTAAATAATAATAACCCGAATAAATTACAAAGACATTGCGGTAAAACGAGAAGTGCGGTGAAACGTAGTAAATATAGGAATGCTGTCCAAATATATCCATAGCTGAAAAAAGTTAAATTTAGTCGAATTTTGGGTTTTCCCGGACATTTTTTGGTACAGATAAGATTAGGTTTGGTTTAGTGATAATGCATTAATTTGACTAGAGTTGTTCGACTAAAAAGATTAATTTTGGGAGTTTTTTTTGAAGATAAGAAAATACATTTGAAAAAAAAAACTAGATTTGAAATATCACGTAAAATGTTAACATTCAGGAAGGAGAAAAATCAAAAGTTCAATAATTATTGAAAGGAAAATTTTGGCTTAAAATTTTAAAATCAACTTGTTTTCAAAATACACTTCCACCTCGAATTATATTTAAAAAAAGAACAATTCGTTGTCACGTCATAACTCTAATCTAGGAACGTTATAATTTTTATAAAAACTGAACTATTGAAGTGTTCTTTTGACTGTAACTAAAATCTAGATCGTCTAGCCGAAAAATTATATTCTAGAGCAAATAAAACAGGAATTTTTTCTAGATAGAAAAGACTTTGAGCCAAGAAAAACTAGATTTTCAAATTAGAAATTCCAGATCCCCTATACTTCTTACACCCTGCCTAAAACTCACCTTTCAACAGGACTATCGGGCACAGTTCCTTTAACCGGTTCACTAAATACCCCACAAAAATAGGCGAATCCACCGATCCATGTCACAAGAATCGCGCAATGCAGCGCATGTTTCACTTCACAGTTCATCACCCGATTTGCTGAAATGAGCAAAAAAATGATTGGAGTTGTTGAAAAAAAACAAAAAAAAATGAAATGATGACACATAAAGATAAGAAGACGTGACGGCGAAAAATATTTAAATTTTTTGAAAATTTTGTTCTCTCTTTTGAATTTTTGAATTGAATACAAAGCAAGGCAGAGGTGGGAAATTTAGTCATGCTTGATTGTTATTTATTTATTTCGGGAGAAGAAGGAAAAATGACATTGATAAGGGTATGAATCAGCTTTTGGAACAATTTTTTGAATATTTTTAAATGGGGTCCGGGAACGCGGAAATGAGCATTGTCGAAAAAATTGAGAGATGCACAATCAAATTTATTTCGACAATATTATTCTTGATTTTTGAAAGTCAAAAAATGCTCCGTGAGCCCCGGGACTAGGTTAACATCATTTAAATTCTAGTCCCTGGACTTGTGAAGCATTTTTTAGACTTTTAAAATTTAAAATTTAGACAAAACCAAGATTCGGACCCAAAAAGTGGTACACCTAGAATTATTGAAAAAAATTGGCAATTTTTTGTTCGCCCCAATTTCCGTTCACCAACTTTTGCGAACCACTTTTTCATGAGTCCACATCTTGATTTTGCAACATTTTGCCGTTCCTTTTTTTTGCTTTCTTCCCGCAAAAAAAGAAGATAAATTGGTCTTTAGAGAGTACACTTTCTCAGGCTCGAAAAAATTTCAAACAAATCAAATAGCAATAACCATATTCATAAAATATTCATCGAATAGCAAATAAAGGAGCAGTGTTTCAAAAAAAATCGCTATATTTTGCACTTTTATTTTTTCTAAAAAAAATGTCTTCTTTTCCGTAAAAATAAATTAACAAAGAAATGTGAGAAAAATCAAAAATTTACATAGATGATTCTTTTTCACTATAATAATATTGAAAAAAGAGACGAACTGATAAAAAAAGGCAAGAATCATTGGGAAAAGAGATGAGAGATCATTTGAAAATTAGAGATTTTGCAGAAACACAAAAGTTGGAAAAACAGCAACTTGGCGAATTTTTACGTGACATTTGAAAAGACGCTCAAAAATTCATGGAATCCTCGATTTAAAATTCCGAATTTATTTATCATTTACAACTTCTTTTTTCTTCCGCTTATACCATAGAACGGGAAGAAAAAGAAATAAAGAAAAATAGGAAAAAGAAAGAACAGTTTAATAAAAATTGCAAACTTATATTTTTTGAAAGCTTTTTATATTGAAAAATGCGGATTTTTTAATCGGAAACGATTTTTCAGAAAAAAATGAAGATGAAATTGATGGATTTTTGGAGAAAAATTGGATTTTGAAAAATATGGCCCAATATCTCAAGATTCTAGATATCTGATTTTTTTTTTCGATTTTCCAAGAAATTATTTTTTGTAGTCCCGAAAGGTTTTTCTCAAAAATCTACGATGTTCTTCGACGAAAATCTACGACGAATTCAGGCTGAAAATTATTTTTTCGGAAACTTACGAAATTAGACCACTTTTGAAGAGACACAAAGTGCGAAATAATCAAATTGAAAAGTGCATTCTCGTACCAGATTTGAAAGTGTTCGGTTTTCCTTCAAAAAAAAAAGTTAGGAACTTTTTCTAAAATTAAACCCAATAGGAACACTACTTCAAAAGTAGTACGAAAACGAAATGCACCTTTCAATTTGATTATTTCGCACTCTGCGTCTCCTTAAATCATGTCATCTGGAAATAATGAATTATTTGAAGTATGTAAAATATTTTGGAAAGAACTAAAGAATTTTACTTTTATTTAGTTCCTGGCAGAAACTTCTTTGATCATTTTTAAGAAAAAAACTAGAAGAACTGTTCTATTATCAGTTCAATTATATTATTTATAGGTTTCAGGAACAATTTTTCCTTGTTCAAGAAAAAAGAAGTTACATTTTTGCTGAAAAAAACTGCATAGAAAAAATTCTTTTTTGCACTTCGCAACATTTTTTTGAGACGAAAAGGAAGAGAACATCAATTTCATTAGCTATACATTTTAGCACTTTATTTCATTTTCCTTTTTTGTTTTTTTACATACATACTCAATCAATGAATTGTTATTACAAAAAATAAAAAATATCAAGCGAGAGAGAAAAAAGTGAAAAAGAAAGGACAATTTTTTCAAGTTCAGAACCGCAATGATGATCAATATAATGAACAATAAATACCAAAAAAGAAAAGGATAGTAATTGAAAAAAAGGGAAAAGTGTGTGACTAATCGACTTATTTGAACAGATCAGCAATTGTGTTGAAATAAAAAAAAACACAAAACAGCGAAAAATTTTTGGGAAAAACGAGAAAAAAAAGAAAAGAGGGGGAAAGATATTGAGATATAGTGATAAACAAACTTTTTTGAAAAAAGAGAAGCGGAATTTTCATCGATGAACTTTGGAACTTTAAAATTATCAGTTGAGTTCAAAGGCATCGGAATTTCGTAATAAAATTCGAATTTTTGAATCTTTGTATCGTAACGAAAGTTTGGTCACACCAAAAATGATTAAAAGTTCCCATATAAATTTTTAGCTTTCTACGATTCGGACCAGACATTTTCAAAAAATCAAATCCTACTCAGAACTTGCCCACAAAAAACGTACTTTTATCCACAGAATATAGCTGTTATTAGGTTAAACCGGATTAGTGCACGATGATGAATTTTTCTGATTGAACTAATCTAAAAATGCAACATTTCTTTCAATGTTTGCTCAATGACTAGTAGAAAATTCATTAACTTTTGTAGAGAATTTAGAGTCTAAATTAAAATCATTTGATACCAATTCATCATCAAATTGAAAAAAGCGTAAACTGATACGTTTTTTTACTATCGAACAAACTAAATAAATAAATAAAAATAAACTAAATTGAATCAAGAAAGAAACATGATAAAAATGGGCAGAAATTTTTCAATTTCCTTTTCGGTGTGACGAAATTCAGGAAGGAGCACGGAAAATATAAATTGATAACACTTGAGATTGGTTTGTTAGTCATTAAAGGCATCTTGTTTGATTTTAGGTGTCAAGGTTATTTTTATATGGTCTATCAAATTTCGATTCAAAGTTCTAGAAAAATTTCCATAATTTTTAACAACATTTCACAAATTAGCCTAACAAGAAAATGTATACAATGAAAATGTTGTCATACGAAAAATGGTATGTTATGTTTCAAAATGCGCTGTTCTTATTTGAATCATTGCTATGGCGAAATAGCATAATTACACTGAACAGAACTATCAGAACATCATCATATCAATTACACTGTATAAACAATTTTTAAAAGCTGAGAACTATAAAGGCAATTCGTATTGCTAAATAGCGAGAAAATCGATCCATCGATTATACACATTATTGTTGGTTGTGTGAACCAAAATTTATGTCGTGCAACAATATTTTTCATAGAAGTGAAAAAATAAAAATACGAAAACTAATTAATAATTTTCTTCGTATTCTCATTTTTTGGACGAATGCTTATTATACTAATGAGACATTTTCAGAGTTATAATTAATTATCTAATTATCATTTGGCGTGTATTTTGTTGCTGACAATAAACAAAAATCATCGGTGATTTTAAGGTACGTTTAAAGGTACATCCCAAGATAATCTAAATACTTGGAAAACAGAACGGAAATGAGGTTCGGGGTGCGGAAAATTTCATGGCGGGACCAATTTCAAAAAAAAGAGTCATAAATAGACAGTTTTGTGCATAGACCGGGACGAACAATTGCATAAGTCATGAGCGTACCGAAACCCAGCAAAATGGAAAAAAAATATTCCAGATCGATAAAATATAAAATAAAAAAAGCAAAAAAATGAATGACAATGCGGATTATCATGTATGGCTTGTCTTGGGCTTTTTAGTTAGTTAGTGACAAAAATCAGGAGGGCGTAGCTATTTAGAAATCTCGAGCGGGAAAAAATGCAAAATTTTGAACTGCCTCTTTGCTCTTGGCAAATATTTGGCACGAGAAATATAACAGAGTTCATACAAAAAACATATGAATTTATGACAAAACTTATCAAATAAAATAAAATAAAAAGTTAGAGAAAGCGAAAAAGAATCAAAAAATAAACGAGATTTGAACCGGTTTATGTTGCATATTATATTATGTATCGAAACAACATAAATACATTTTCTAGCCTTTTTCCTTCAAAAAAAAAAAAAGACTATTAGGTGAAAGAACCACATTATTCGCCTCTTTGCGCTCATCTCATTTCCCCCGAACGAACACTTCTTTTTTTGCTCATTTGAACACTGAATGACAAACGAGAATTTCTCATTTTGCAACATTATTGAACGAGAAAATAAGTGGAATGTAATGGAAATTGAGTCCATTTGATATACTTTGACCTTTTAAAGGGCAAAAAAAGAAATACTTATGCATTTTTTAGACGAAATTAATTTATTTGGGGAGATTGAGGGGAGCTGTGAAATTTGAGCCAGATATTTTGGAAACAGTTTTTTCTGTTATATTCTAGTCATCAGGAAAAATTTCCCGAAATAAATTAGTTTTTTACACAGTTTCCTAATTAAAAATTCGAAGTTCGAGGACTAGGAATAGCAAATTTTCGCTATCTAAAAACTTTTCAAATTCTTCGTAATTTTTTTTTTGATTCAAATAAAAATGTTTCACTAATCTATGAGTTTAACCAGGAAATTAACTGGTCAACAGCCACTGCAAACAACGCATTTAAAAAATATGAAGAAGAAGAAAACTAACTCTTTTATTGCGCAAACGCAACCAAACCAAACCTACTCAAAAAATATTTACAAAAAACAACAGAGAAAACCTTTTGGTGCTGATATGTTCACGAGTAAATAAACTAGTTTTTACTTTTGTGCTATGCATCATCGAAATATATTTCATAACTTAAAAATCGAGTCACTGTACTGTATTAAATATGATAAGTCATTGAATTTGCAGCAGCAGCAGAGTGCTAATTTTTGCAGAAGAGAGAACTAAACTAAAACTAAAAAAAATTTGTTGTTGAATAATAATAAACAATACTTTTTCTTCCTCTGTAATAAAATTTTTATGTGAATAACTAAATAAATAAACTTGTTGATGTTTTTGGTTGAGTTTAGGTTGACCTTTTGGGGCAACTACAAAAGTGAATGGGACCATTTATTATTATTACACTGCTGAATGGGGCGTCACAGAGAAGGGACCATATATTTTCATTTTGAAGGTGATTAATATGAGCACATCATTTTTAAACTGATGAGAGTCATCATTACAGAATATCGGACGTGGTGCCTTTTTATGGTCCCATTCAGAATTTAGATTAAAACTTGCGTGGTCTTTTTTAAGCACCCTTCGACAAAATTTGAAGCTCTGTCGCCCCAGTTGGAGGTTCTTATTGTGGTCCAATTCAGTATTTACTAACTTTCGACTACACTATTTTAGACAAGGAAGTTTAGAACGTATGACTCATTTAAAAGTATCAAATATTTATCTTTTGACCTTGATACGTCACCCAGGAAGAAAAAAAACATTTGAAAATTTCCATTCCTCATTCATGACCTCGAAAAAAGATTAGGAATATTCTATGTGCAAAAGAAAAAGGAAACAAACAACAAAAAAATGGCGAACAAAAAAATCTTGTTGGACGAAGTTAATTTATTCGCTATCACTAGGCAACGCGAATTTGTCGACAAGAGAGTTGGGGGCGAAAAACGTGGAATTTTCCGACGGAGGCAAGACAAAAAAAGAAGGAAATGCAGCAGAGATTCACAAATATTCTCAAGTCGAGTCAGAATAACATAACTAACGAGAGAGTAAAGAACGAGTACTAGAGATATCAGGTTGATATATTTGGAGAAATAAAGCGAGCAACAAAACAGGTATTATTTGAAGGACTCTTGGTTTTGGCCTGAAAATATCAGATGTCTCGGGGAAAGCTGATTTTTCATCTATTCCTAGAAATGAGCCAGAAAAATTTGAATTTTTCTATAAAAAATACTCGAGAAACTTCATTCTAGGGCTAACTAATAGACATAGGTTTATATTCAGTGAAAAGCTCTAAACCTAAAGAACATTTAGGTATACTACACACTTTCAGACTAATTTTGATCTTCTGATTCAAAAGTTTCCAAACCTAACATTGTTATTATCAAAAATCGATCACATCAAGGTTATCTCAAACACAATATTAAAAAAAAAACTATCTCGCAAATCAAAAGGTGACAATAAAGGGTGATTATCACACATCACATGCGCAAAAAGTAAATACGAAACTAGATTCGCAAAAAAAATGCAAAAAAAAGAGAAATCGAAATCGAGTCGAAAAAGTTTCGAATTTCAGTTTCATCAGTTGAAGGACCAAACAATGTTGCGAAAAAAGGAGAAAGAATAAAATTGGCCGGAAAAATGTTCATTTTTTGCTCTTGGAAGAGGAGGAAAGAGCAAAAAAAGGCATGATAGATCAATGAGAATGAACTGGTCAACCTCATTATTTTTGGGAACTTTTTATGTATATTCCTATAGGAATATAGGAAGTGTTCAAAAAAACAAGAGATATGTGAAGCCAGGCTGTTTGGGTCGACTGTTCAGTGACCCATAAAAAAAGGATTTCAGCCCGAAGATGATAAAAATGGACCTAAACCGTTTCATGCCACACCCGAAACGAAAAAAAAAAGCCTGTTCTATCTCCAAAAATCTATTTATTTTCATTTTCATCTAGCGAAAAACAAAAAAGCAAAAAAAAACAGAAGCAACGAAAATCTCAAAAGTCTATTTGTCCGTGACTGACCAAGAACAAAAAAGTAAATAAAAAATAGTTGAGAATTTTCACCTTGACAACTGAGAATAATAAACATTATGTTTAGAGCTCATTGATGAAACTCATATTTTTGAGCTTCTGATCTTATCTCGTTTTTGAGTGACAACTTTTCAGAAATGGTCATGTGGAATGTGACGTGGAAATTTCACGTTTTTATTTATTTAAAAGTTCATTAATTTTCAAAATAGTGGAGGAAACACTGTATTTTTTTTGCAATTCGAGGGAGACGCAGACTTTAACGTGTGCAGACAAATCTCTCGTCGAAAAAGGGAGAGAAATAGTGTGTGGCAGACACACATCGTGTCGAGACCAGCGAGTGTCTGCGTCTCCTCGAAATTGCATTTTTCTATTAGAAAAAAACACAGTGGAAACAGTGAAAACGGAACGCGAGAAAAAAGAAAAGAAAAAATATTTTCCCCGTGGCTACGGTACGCATCTTGTGTTTGCAGACACATGCACGCCAGCATTTAAAATGACGCGCACATATTTTTATTAAAAAATTTTCGCATTTTCAAAACTTTTCCACAAAAACCTCATATGCTTCACAAATCAATAAACATCTGGAGTTAATTAATCATAAAAACGGAAATTTTTGAACTAAAATCATATATTAGTGTAGAAATTAAAAATAATTCGTTTGTTTCCCGCCAAAAACACCTACCAGACTATACAAAATGACTCATTGTCCTCCAATTTTTCTCTACCACCTCCACCTATCACACACTATCTCGCCCCCGAAACAAATAAATGATGCGAAATTGTGGTTTTTTGACTAAATGCCAAGTTTTGTTTAAAAATCATGAGAGAAACAAAACAATTGAAAAAAACCTTGTCTGAATGAAAAATTGCAGAAAAAATGAAAATAAAGAGAAAATGTATATCCCTCTCTCGTAAAACCACGCTATTTCTAGACATGTTGTTGGCCATGTGTGCTCCATTGTACTTGCTTTTGAAAATGAATGGGAAATGTTTTTTTTTTCGAGCTATGAGAAATGAGCAAAAAAATATATCCAGACGGAAGTACAATTTTTTCGATTGAGTGCAGATTTTTTCTCTCACTTCTGAATACAACTATGTAAATACAGTACACCATTTGAAGGAACATAACATAATAATGAGACTATTAAAATATTTGTGTGAAATGTTCAATTTTTTCAGATCTCCACTTTTTCCCATCGGCCTATTTTTGTATTTCATCGATTCGACGCCCAAAATATTTCGTTTTGACGACAACAATAAAAAATGTCGTTATCATTTGTGCATAATAGTTTTAACTTTCTTTCCAAGCCACTTCTTATCAAAAAAATAATTTTGACGTTGAATACTTTGTGCTTTATTGCAATATTTTTCAGGAACCAGGCTTCTTAGATCAAACGGGCTTCTGTGGAGCTTTTTACGATTTTTAAACATAAAGGCCAAAAAAGCCCACTTTTCAATAACCCAGCAAAAAAATTTCTGCAGGAAGTGGGATTCGAACCCACGCACCCATACGAGTACCAGAACACCCATGAGACCTCGAACCTGAGGCAAGCGAATAGCTTGAGTCTGGCGCCTTAGACCGCTCGGCCATCCCTGCATGGGAAAACCCTCTTGAAATTTCTATCAAATATCCGTTTTCGCAAATTTTTTGAAGAGAAATTTTGAAGAGGGTATTTGAAATAATTTTTTTCCAGAAAAATGTCCGTCGACTTGAAACAACACTTGGCATTGGAAGATTATTTGGGAGTTCTTGCAGTTTGGTTAGTACTACCTATAAGTAATCTAGGAGTTTTTTATCCTGAATTTAATTCCAGGTGTGTTTTCTTCGCAATTCTTTTCGTCATCAGTATTTTCATCAATTTCGCTTGCATCAACGAAGAGGACGATATCACAGCTCTTGAACAAGTTTGTTTTTTTTTTCACAATACATTTCTAGACTTATCCTAACTTCATTTTTTCCAGTGGGGATACCGTAAAAACCTCGGACTTCGTCTCGGACCACACTCAAAATCCCAAATCCGTCGTCAAGTTCCACACCACATTGTCGATTAATTTTTGGGTTGCATTCAATAGTTTATCTGTTATAAGAAACATAAAGATGTGATATAAATTACTAAAAACGGGAGAAATTTTGGGGAAGAAATAACAAAAAAAAGTTTTCAAATGAAAATAAAAATGCTTGTTTGTTTATGGTGTAATTCTTTTTGGGTCACGTGGGAACAAAGAGGCAAGACGAATGTTGTGAAGACCCAAGAAGAGCATGGTGACACGTTCCAAACCTAGAAAATGTTGGAATTTAATTTTAATTGAGAAAATAGTTATGACATGGCAAAAATAATATATCTTCAAAATGTAATTTTTTTCAGAATTTCTGAAAATTCAGAAAATATCGAAGAAAGAAATTTGCTCAAGTCTTCTGAAGAATTATGTGAAATCAGAACTCTGAAAATTTCGGGAGTGGCAATTTTTATTGAAAACAATTCAAAAATGTTGTATAATTATTTTTAACATATTGAATTATTTAAATTTTGACCTTTTTCAATATTTTTGAGCTCACAAATTTTCCAGGTAAATTTGAAGTTCAGATTTCAAAAAAAAAATAGTTCCTAGTAATTTCGAATCTTAAATTTTCCTCTAGAAAACCCTTTCAAAAACTGACCAATACCACCTCCGGCGTGTGGTGGACAACCATATTTGAAAGCATCAATATAAGCTTGAATCTTGGCCAAATCAACAGCATGATGTTTGGCGCGTTCCACAAGCATATCAGGGTCATGAATACGTTGAGCTCCCGACAAAATCTCTTCTCCTCTCATAAACATATCATAACTATTCGAGTATTTTTGATCGTGCGCATCTGGCATTGTATAGAATGGTCGAACAGCCAATGGGAATTTATCGAGAACATAGAAATCGGTTTTGTATTTGTCTTTGACGAGTCTACCAAGAAGTTTCTCAACTGGAGTGCTCAAATCTTCTTCATCTCCGATTTCAACACCGTTTTCGCGGAGAATTGCAATGGCGTCAGGGTATCTAAAAACAAGATTATAATTAGACAATCCGTGTTTTGAAAATGTAACTCACTTTAGGATAAGTGGTGGTTCACAGAATTGGAAAGGTTCTGCTGGATATTGATTTCCGACCGCAGAAATTTCATCTGGATATCGTTCTTGTAATCCCTTGAAGAGTTCAGTAAGAACATTAGCAATTGTCTCCATAACTTCATGATAATGGAAATTGAATGCCATTTCAAGATCAAGTCCAACAAATTCAGTCATATGTCTATGTGTATTTGAATCCTCAGCACGAAAAACTGGTCCAATTGTGTAAACCTTCTCAAAATCTCCAGCAATTGCCATTTGCTTATATAATTGTGGAGATTGTGCCAAATATGCGGAACCTTTGAAATATGAAACTTCAAACACATTTGCTCCACCTTCCGAAGGCGCCGAGATGATTTTTGGAGCCATGATTTCAACAAATCCACGAGCATCAAGAATATTTCTGAATTGATTACAAATTCCAGCTTGGATTCTGAAAATAGCTTGCGATGTTGTTGTACGAAGATCAATAACTCTGTTATCCAATCGAGTATCCAAATTGACAACAGCAAGTTTGTTTTCTTTATCGGTGTTTTTCTCTTCCTCACTTGGCGCTTTTCGGGAAGCATCTTCGATTTGAAGTGGAAGTTTTGGAGCTGAAGCTGACACAACAAAGACCTGCAAAATACTTTTTTTTAGAACAATGTCATTATTTTCTTCAAACTCACTTGAAGTGGAGTCAATTCAACATCTTTTTGTGTGCATGATTCGATTGGCGATTGAGCAACATTCACAGTTGCTTGAACATCAACTATTGATTCTTTCGAGATGGATGATACAAATTTCAACATTTGCTTGCTAATTTTGTCATTAAGGAACATCGCAACTTGAACAGTGTTTACTCCTTGACGAATAACCAAGAAACAATTCTTTCCTTTCGATCGACTTGTATGAACTCGACCGCGAACCCAGATCTGAAAATAATTAAAAATTAATTTTCTGTTTTTTTTTCATTTTGAATTCTACTCTATTAAAAACCTACAGTTTGATTGGCAACAGAAGAATTAACATCTCTAACACGAAGGAAGTTGAGTTCCTTTTTCTCCTTCGAATTTACAAGTCCATAAGATCCATATAAATCTTTCGAATAATCTTCTTCTTCGCTGGCTCCTTGTTGTTGTTGGCTACCTCCTTTCTGGAAAAATGTCAATAATATAGGGTTTTGCAGAAAATCTGAAATGAACATTTTCCACTCTATTATTTGACATCTTTTTGGAACACGGTGATTTTTTGAGGAATATTCATTTTTATAAAAAAAATTCGAACTTACTTCTTGGGTAATTGCGTCTTTCTTGGCTTTTCTCGCCAATTTGTTGAGCTCTTTTTTCGAAAGCTTTGGCTCTTCTCCTTCTAAAACATCAGCCATGATCTGAAAAATGTAATTTTTGATTGGAAAAGCTTGAATTTAGGTTGCATTGCACCAGATTTTGAAATATTACACATTTGTGCAGTTTTGCGTCAGCGTGTTGGAATGCACACCACACATTTCAAATGACGCGCAATTTTTGAATAGTTTTTTTTTGTTTGGCGTCGACGCGTCTTGAATTTTCAAGCTTTTTTCGTGTTTCTTGTGGTCTACCTATCTAATATTTTGTTTTCAGCAAATAGATCAAATCACGGGACGATTCAACTGAAAAATGGAGTCGCGATTTATTGCAATTCCATTGAAAGACAGTCAAGAAGATGTGAGTTTTACGGGAAAAATTTGTTCATTAAATTAAGTTCCTAATAAAAGTATCTAAAAAAATAGTTGAAGATGACCGCCATCTGAAATTCTTTATTTTTCAGGATGGCGGTCATCTGAAACGTCTTCGCCGATTTTCCATCGAAGTTTGGAATCTGACCCAAAACTGGGGAGATGCATCATCTCGAGCAGCCAAATCTCTGGAAAATATCATAAATTCTCGCCTCCAACTATTATATTCTAAAGAGCAACAAAATGAAGAAACAATTATGACGAGTGATGAAAAATCTAGACAAATTGCAAAAATAGTTGAGCAAAATGAGATATTGAATTGTTCGCTGGATGATTTAGAGAAAATTATTGGAAAATTTGAGACTGCTTTTGGAAGAATTGCTGCGTGGAAACAATTAATTGCAAATTCCTCTAACAAAGAATCCATTTTTATTGTCGAAACTTTGGAATCTGTTCTACCTGATTTGATAAAAATGCTGAAAACTGAACTAAATGTGAAAAAAACGGGACTTTTGGATGTGGCGAATAATGAAAATCGAAATGTTTTCACATGCATTTTATTAGCTTTCAAATACGAACCTTTTGTTGATACTAATTTTTTATCAAAATTGTATGCTCTTGTAGCGAATGAGGCACAATGATTTGTTATTTTTTGAATGTTTGAAAATAAAAAATAAATAAAATGTTTTTGAAAAATTGATTATCTATTGGGGGTTCAAGAATAAAAGTTCACAATTTTAGGAAGTGATTGAGATAAGTTGCGATGAACTGCCAGAAGGTTCAGAAGTTTTAGCGATTTTGGAAGCCGAAGAAGCCAGACTTTCATCATGGATCGAAGTTGCTGTAAGTCATCTTTTAAATAATTTTTTCTGTTTTACCTAAAAATCACTTTTTAGATCGAATACTATCGACATCAACGAATTGAACCGTTTTTATTGATATTGGAATCCGCCGGAAGTAGAGCTGGATTAAATTATGCAAGTGTGAAATCGGATCAAATGAGAGCTTTGGATATATTGGCTGCACATTGGATGCATTGTGTAAGATAGGGCTCTTTTTGAAAAAACGCGATTTTTTTCGTACCAGTATTTCACTTTGGAATTGAAGAAAATCTAGCAATACGCTCAAAATTCGAAATTGTTCAATTCAAAAAATTCAGGGTTTTCGCGAAAAGCAGAAAGACAAACGTCAAGATTTCTTCTCAAAAGCAACTGTTCTTTTCAATACCGCCGACAAAATTTTGATGTACGATTCATCTCATTTAACAGTCAGAGCCTGGTTTTATCTATATGAAAAAGAAACTCGAACAAATAAGTTAGATTTAGCTGATCAACAATTCAATTATGTTGTTAAAACGGTAAGATTCTGGTAAAAGTTCATAAATTCATAAAGATTCTTAATTTTCAGCAACCTACAAATGTTTTATCATTAATTGGAAAAGCTGTGATCTCATTCAACAAAAAAGATGCAAAACTCGCTGTTTATTATTTTCGAAAAGCTCTTCGACAAAAACGACATTCAATTGCGGCCCTTCGTGTCGGACTCGGTTATAGTTTCTCGAAATTGGGACAATTTGACAAGGCTCGATTAGCATTTGAAAGAGCATTAGAACTTGAAGATAATAGTGTGTCAGCAATGGTTGGATTGGCGATTATTCTATTGAATACAATGGAACCAGACAATTTTAATATGGCTATAAATTTGTTCGGAAAAGCGTATGATTTGATGCCCGATCATCCGGTTGTTTTGGTTCATTTGGCCAATCATTTCTTTTTCAAGAGAGTGAGTTTTGCTTTTTCCTTTTTCGAAGAAAGGTTCTCAGAGATTCGCTGGCCAGCTCGCGACCAGGTGGGGAGGCTGGCTGACCTGGGAACCACATGGAAACCATGTCGCCCGGTTTTTTTCGCTGGCAAGGTGGCCAGGCTCTGGCTAGGTCACGGCCACATGGCTACCATGTGGTGGCCACTTCGCCGCGTCAAAATGAATTTTCATAAAAATGTCTGAAAAACTTGTGAATTGAGGCATTTTCGAAAATTTTGGCTCATTTTCTGTTTTTTCGCAGCATTTGAAACCTTAGGAAGTGAAAAAAACAGTAGAAAATGCAGTGTTTTGAGTACAAATCACTGTCTTGCCAGCTTTCCAGAATTTCAAACACACAGGCCACGTCGCCGGAAAACTCGAGGCGACCTGGCGGCCATGCGGTTTCCAGGTGGCCGCAGCGATCTGGTGGCGAGCTGGCCAGCGAATCTCTGAGTTGTTTATTTGATTCAATTTAAATTTTGTAAATCTATATTTCGCGTGAACATTAACGTGGCAATTTGAGAATTTTTAATTTCGAAATTCGAAAAAAAATAATTTTTCGCTCAATATTTCAACGTGATCTACTTCTAATGATTCATCATTTTCCCTTCAATTTTCTCATTTCTGCTTTTGTCCAGGAATATGAAAATGTGCAACAATTAGCATGGCATGCAATGCAATCAACTGAAAGTGATGCAATCAAATCCGAAGCCTGTTATCAATTGGCTCGTCTCAAACACGCACAACATCAATACGAATCGGCATTCAAATATTATTATCAGTCGAAAAATTTGAATAATGGAGAACACACGTTGGCCTTTTTTGGACTCGGACAACTTTATATTTATCGAAATGAGTTGGAAGAGGTGAGCGGGTTTTGAGAGGGGTTTCAATCGAAATTTGGGAAATCTTGGGAATCACGTAAAAAAGCTACGTGTGAAAAAATGTTTTGAATTCTTTTTTATTTTCTGTTTTTCCTGAAATTTTTCTATTCGAAACTAAGCTTCGATGTTAATTTTTTGCTCAATTTTATTATTAATAATTAACAGATCACAATAGAAAAATAACCGGTATTTAAATATTAACAAAAATAAATATACAACACAATATAATTAATTAGCCATAAATAATTTCAATATCCGAATCGTAGTCATCATTTGCTCGATTTTCATCGCCTTTTCGATATCGAGCTTGTTCTTCGCCGAATCTTGAAATAGCGATTTCCACATTAGCATCTGTGTAATGATTTTCTTTTTCGGAAGGATAGTAAGCATTTGCTCGATATTCGTCGCCTTCTTGATATTCAGCTTGCTCACTTCCAAATCTCGGAATATTGACCTCAACATGAGCAGCAGTATAGTCAATATTTCGTCGATATTCGTTTTCTTCTCTATATTCAGCTTGATCGTCTCCATATCTTGGAATATCAATTTCAACATGTGCGGCTGTATATTTATCAGCTTTTCGTAGTTTTTCCTCTTCGATAAATTCTTCCAGCTTGCGACGTTTTTCCTATAAGAAAATTATTTTTGTTTTGTTCGAAGCTTCATGTCAAGTTTGAATTTTTGAACAAAAGTCTTACCGCATTATATTGTCGATAGGTTTTATCTTCATTGATTACATGATCGTGTTTTCTCTTTCTCTCGGCTCTTCTTTCATTATCTAAAAACGGATTTTGCTGAATTCCTCTTCTTCTGCATATTGCCATTGGTCTTCTCTCATTGATTTTGAAAATTTCGCCAAGTTTTTCTTCTATATCTCTACGCTTCCCGTAGAATCTGTTGATTGTGGCTTGTGGAACTTGAACACGATCCATTTCAGCCAATACAGTTTTCATGAAAAATTGAATGGCTTTGTGGTGCAGATCTTTGCGAAGATTGCACATTTCGTCGTAATGTTGGGCTCTTTGATATTCAAGATCATGTTTCTAGAAAAATAGATTCTAAGAATTGAAAAGAAGAGAATGTTGAAAAAAAAACTGACCTTTGATTCTTGAAGTTGGTTCAATTCTGCAGTGAGTTCTCGATTCTTATCACAATTCACCACATCTTGAGCATTGAAAAATGAATAGAGACTTTTGTAGTGAAGAAGATCGAGTTGAAGTTGAGCAGAAGAAATAGTTTCAGCAGACATGGTTAGAATTACTAATTAGTAAATGGTAACTTTACCTAATCCAGCCAACTCTTTTATAGTTTTTGAATAAGCTCCGCCCATTTTTAACACATTTGTGATAATTTTGACACTTTTCATGGGAACTAATCGGTTATTCATTTGAAGTGACATATTTCACACATTTTTGTTATTATTTTTATAGAAGCTTGGGAAAATTGTGTTTTAACTTGATATTTGAAAAAGGGTATTATGGGAAAATCTCACTGTTTCTATGGTACTGCGAGAAATTTCCCAATTTTAAAATACCACATTTTTGTGAATAATTTTCAGGATGAAAAGTAGACTTTAAAAAGTCATTCAAAAGTTACTGGAACTTTCAAATTCACCGTTTTTCTCAAACTTTTCCTCCAATTGAAATCTATCTTTTTCAGGCGATCAAATGCTTCGAAAAAGTACACGAAAGAATGCCAAACAATGTTGAGACATTGAAAATTCTCGGCTCTCTGTATGCTCATGTTCAAATTTCTGATCCAACACTTTTGAATGAGGCAAGACAAAAAGGTCGAGATATTCTACAAAAATATTTGAAAATTGTGCCCGGTGATATTGAAGTATTGATTGATTTGGCACAATTGTTGGAACACTGTGAACCGAAAAAATCACTCGAAATGTATGAAATGGCGATTGAGTTGTTGGAAACAATGGAAAATATCGGACCACAGCCAGAAATGTTGAATAATGTTGGAGCATTGCATATGCAAATGGGAGATTATCAAAAAGCGAAACAGTGTTTTGAACAAGCCAGAAATCGATTGACTGTGAGTTTTTTGATGTTGTCAAAATTTTTATATCAAAAAATCTCGCGAAATGTAAATTGTTCAAAATTAAAAAAATGTTTTCATGAAACCCTGCGAACCAAAATTCGAATTTTCCCAGGAAATGATTGAAACTCAAGAACGTGACGAAGCCGAAAGACCACAATTGTTAACAATTCGCTATAATTTGGCAAGATGTCTCGAATATTTGTGCGAAAGTTTGGAAGCTGAACAAATGTATAAGGAGATTTTACATGAATGTCCAAATTATACCGATTGTGAGTTTTTTTATGAGGGAAGGATTTGAGATCAAAAAATGAGAAAAGTGTTGCAGGCTATATGAGATTGGGATGTTTGACAAGAGATCGTGGACAAATCTACGAATCGTCGGTTTGGTTCAAAAATGCTTTACAATACGATCAAGCTTCGGCTGACGCGTGGACTTTGATTGGAAATTTGCACATGTCGAAAAATGAATGGCAACCGGCACAAAAGAAATTCGAGCATATTTTGACAAAAGCCGGACCAAAAACATCGGATGCTTATTCATTGATTGCATTGGGAAATGTTTGGTTGGAACAATTGATGAATCCAGGAAGGAAGAAGGAGGATGTAGGTTTTTTATTCAAATATTTTAATTACCATCACTTATTTTGCTCAGACTCCAATTTTAACCATAAAAATATTCTTAATTTTCACACAATCCTCATATTTTTTAGGAAAAGAAATATATGGATCGAGCACTTCAAATGTATCAAAAAGCCCTCAAAATACAACCAAAAAATATGTTGGCAGCAAATGGAATCGGATGTGTTTTAGCATTCAAAAAAGCATTTATGGATGCACGAGATGTTTTTTCGCAAGTTCGAGAAGCAACCAGTGAATATTTCGATGTTTGGATAAATATTGCTCATGTTTATATGGAAAAAGAGCAATATATGGCTGCTGTACAAATGTATTTTTCAGCAATGAAAAAATTCAAACATGAAAATGATCCGAATATTTTGCATTATTTAGCGAAAGCTTATTATAAAGCAGGAATGTTGACGGAATCGAAAGAACAATTGGAAAAAGCATTGTTGGAAGCGAATGATAATGTGCAGATAAAATTCAATTATGCTGTGGTTTTGAAAAGAAGCGCCAAAAATATATTTAAATCGGTGACGAAGATAACATCTGAAATGGTCAAAAATGCGATGGATAATTTGAAATGTTCGGAAAGAATATTTGTGTTTATTTCGAAAAATGAGGATTTGAGTTTGCCGGGAGCGAAATTGTTGTCGCGGACGATTTGTCGAGAAGAAGCGCAGAATTGTCGAGATTTGTTGGCGCAGGCGAAGGTGAAATTGGAAACTGCATTGATGAATGATGAAGATGATCGAAAATTGAAAGAGAAACAAGAAAAAGAAAAAGAGGAATTGAGAAAGAAATATGCGGAAGAGGTTGGAGATTTTGGGAAATTTTGAAATTTTTGTATTCTAATTTTTTTTCTTGAAAATTCTTTAGTTTTAAAGCGAAAATTTCACATATTATTATGAAAAAATCAAATTTTCTAGGTTTTTTTTCGATTTCCAACCTAAAATTGAATTGATTTGCAGATTGCTCGAAAAGAAGAAGAAGAACGAAAGAAAATCGAAGCGGCCAAAGCACTTCGATCAACTTTCGTCGAAATGACCAAAGATATTCTGAAATTACCCGAAGTCGTTGAAGACAAAAAACGAACTGGAGGTGGAAGAGGACGAAGAAAAGGCGGAGATGATGGAGATGAATTTGTTAATGATAGTTCGGATAATGGAAATTGGAAATCAGGAGATGAAGAAGGTGGAGAGAATCGAGAAAGACGAAAGAAGGATAAGAAATCAAGAAAGCGACGAGAAAAAGATGGAGGAGGATCGGATAATGACAGAAAACAAGATCGCAAGAAAAAACGAAAAGAAGATCGGGAAAGGAAAATGCAGGAAAAGCTGTCGGCAAAACAATCGGCAAAAAGTTGGTTTTTAGTGGGGTTTTTGAGGGGAAAAATTTGAATTTTGTCGAGTTGTTCAAAAAGTTTAACTTTTTCTATGAAACTTGATAATTTCCTGATTATTGTATCTCAAAACGTTTGAGTTATGAAAACATTTAAATTATTTTTTTGAAAGATTTTCTAGAATTTTTATCAATTCTTTCATATCAAAAACCATAACATTTTTTCAGTCAAATCTCGTGCATTTTTATCGTCTTCCGAATCTTCTGATGATGATGATAAAAAAGGTGGAAATTTGGATGAAGATAGCGATAATGAAGCACCAAGGAATAGAGTTGATGAATTTGGTGAGTTTTTTAAAGACATTTTTCTTCTGAAAGTTCGATTTTCAATGAAATCTTCAGTTTTTGAACATTTGAGTTTCAGGATTTTTCAGAAGTTCATCAAACTTTTCCTCACTCGGGAAAGTTTTTGAACATAAACCCCTTTGAAAATTCAACCCAAAATCTCAAATTCTGGCACCTAAACTTCCGGTGGTTTTCCCTTCAAAATCACATTTTTTTCGAAAACCCTGAAAAAATACGTTGCAAAAAATTGGCTTCAATAAATTTAAAAATTTTTAAACAGTATGTTCTTCAGAATTGTATCTTAAAGGGGTTGTCTTTCCACAAGGCAAGATATGCTAAATCGCTTGGGCTAAGGTGCTTCTTGAACGTTCCGTGTTCAGAAAATTTTCTTGGTGCGCAAATACTGATCTTTTGGTGAAAAACACAAGCCGCTAAAACCTTAAAACTAGGAAAGAAAGTGCGCTCTATCGCACACATTATTTATTTGTGTGTACTTCTCTCGGAGTTCACACCCAAACATTTATTAAGTCGTTTGGTGTGTTCCAAGTCAATTTAATGGCAGTTTATAGTTAGTTGAAAATAGTGACGCACAATTGCAGACTTGCTTTCTCGCGTAGAAAGACAACCCCTTTAATATAACAAAATTTTCCCCGCAAAAATTCTGGATTACTGTAAGTATATAACTTTTTGGTGAAAGTGAACGTTTAACTTTTGTCAGATTTAAAATCGAGTTTTCTATTTAAATAAAATTTTGTTAACGATCGTCATGCTCTTTGAAAACTCGAAAAAATTTGAGATTCGAATCTGTTTTTCTTCTTGAAAAATGCAAAATAATTTGCAGAAAGTCCTCCACCTCCAATAATTGGAAGCAGTGACAGTGATAGCAGTGATGAAGAAGAAAAAAAGACGAAGAAAAAACGAAGAAAGACTGTGATGGATTCGGATAATTCATCAGCTGGAAGTGAAAATGAAGAAGAAGGAGATGCACCGATTATTGGAGCATCTGATGATGATGGTTTGTTTTTTCGGAGACTTCGGAGGGGAATTTATTTTGGGGAAATTCAGAAACTTTGAAGAATGCTTTCAGTTGTCAATTGGTTTTAATTTAAATTATAGTAAATCACCTTAAAAGCTTCCGAATTTCAAAAATAATTTTTCAGACGACGAAGGACCGAGTAATAAAAAGTCGAGCGACGAAGATGTGCCTAGTAAACGAAAGAAGAAAAAGATGGTGAGAATTGTTGTAGGAAAATTTGATTCAAAAGTTTTTTATTCTGAAAAAATTATATCTAATTATTTTATTCGAAAATCTCATCCAAATCATTGTAACTGGATCAGTAATCTATAAAATGTTTCCAAAAAAATTACCCAACAATTTATTTTTTGCAGCTCTCAAGCGGTGAATCGGACAGCGACGAAAGTGACTGATTGGTTTTATTTTTAAAATATTTTTGTTTTGTTCTATTTTTTATTTATTTCCCACATTTTATTTTTCTGTCTGTTTCACCAAAATTTTGACAATAAATATAACATTTTATTATAATATAATATGAGTGATTCAAATCTTCCAACTGGATCAATATCGACATCGTCACAGGCTCCTCCAGGCGGCGGTGTGAAAAAAATTGCCACGTACACAAAATTTCTTCGACGATCGAACATGAGTTTTTAAGGCGAAAAACTATGATCGTTTTCGAAAATTTCGAAAAAAAGTTTGAAAATTTTTTACAAAAGTTTGAGAATTTTTTTCAATAAAATTTTTTTTCAGGTGATCAAACTTTGAACCGCAAAGGATCTGTGGTGAAGAAGTTTCACCATGCAGGATATACACCATTTTGTAGAGCTTGAAACGCTGAACAATTCATTGCGAGCCGATTTTTGAAAAAAAATTCTCAAACTTTGAAAAAAATTTTCAAACTTTTTTTCGAAATTTTCGAAAACGATCATAGTTTTCCGCCTCAAAAACTCATGTTCAATCGTCGAAGTTCCATATAAAATTTAAATCACCTTGTAGAGAATCTCCCCCTCTACAAACTTAGTTTTCAAAAATTTTCAAAAAGTTTCGAAATTCAACTCAAACTTTGTTTTTCAAAGGATGAAAAACTGCAAAATAAAAACGTGTAAAACAACGAAATTTTGTGTACGTAAAAATTTTTTCACACCGCCGCCTGGGACGTGTGACGTGTCAAACACGTCATATTTTTTAATTTCGAGAAATTCAAGAAAATTTTTTCAGTTTTTTTGTTTCTCAAGGGTTTCTCTCTTGAACAATAAACATTCCAATTCAGAATGAACAACAATTTGTATGATGCGGCTAGAAACGGACAATGTAATGACAAAGTAAGTTAGAAATGAGTGACACGAAAAAAATCAAATATAAATAATGTCAGTATACTTTCAATTTTTCAGTGTCGCTTGTTGAAGTCGCTTTTGCGACAGCCTCGATATCAAAGTCGACAACCACTGAAAGAAGTTGACTTCAACCGGACATTTGGCGAAAATAGTAGGGTGAGATTTTAACTTTTCCACGAAATTAGTTACTCATATAAATTGGATCATGAATTATTTTGAAAACTGTAGGCAAACAATTTTGTTTTTTTTTAATTTTAAAATTGAACTCGAAAATTTTGAGGTTAAGAATTTCAAAACAAAAACAAATTCTTGTTCCAATTTATATGAGTTAGGCATGATCTTTTCATCGAAATTTTATATTCAAGACTAGCTGAAATTTTGGTGAAAAGTGTCCATGTTAACGTCAGACTTTCTATGAAAATCCATTATATTTTTCAGATCATTGGGTATCCACTCTATTATTTTTATAAGCACCCAAGTTTTCATGATTTCATGGAAACATTATTGATTGACAAAAACCAGCATTTGTCATTGGAATGCTTGCGGCGAGCAAAAAGCGCCTATAAAAAAAATCCATGCGCTTGTCGCATGGTTTTCGAACAGATGACTGATGCCTTTCCCGTGAGACCAAGAAGAAGTCAGATTGTTGATTGGGTATTTAATGCCATTTATGAAGAAGTGAGTAGAGAAACCAGACAAAAGTAAAATATGATTTGTTTTTTTTTAGGAATTCGGAGATATTCAGGAGGCGGAAATCATCAGAAAACTGAAAATAATAAAAGTAAAAGAGGAAGTCATATTGGATTATTGTCTGGCGAATGGGGTTGATATGAATGCGGCGCAACGAGCCTGGATTGAGTGAGTTTTTCTCAAAATTTTCTTGGTATAACTTTCAGTTTAAACTTTAAAGTCAATTTTCAATAAAAATGATTAAACTGTAAATTCGATATAATGAATATTCTTCCCTATAAAAAAACGCGAAAAATAAATGACTTCAAAATGTGTGCAAACATCATGACGCAACCGTGCACATAAATTTTTTGAGCAGCTTGCCAAAATTGCCATCCTAACAAAAGAAAGAAAAATTCTAAAATTATTTACAAATTCCACGTAAAACGTGCCCTAATTTTCCATTTCTCACAATCTTAGTTTATTCTTCCTTTATTGGAAGCCAACAAATGGCTGCAATTATTTGTGAGTTTCTTACTTGGGTGCTACCGTAGTTTGGGATTTTGACGCGTTATCGATTATCAATCAGATAAGAAAGTAAAAAGAAAAAGACGGCAGCCAGACTCAGTGTTTACAGTATCTCAGCAGAAACTCACACATGAATTTGCTCATTGAACCGAAGCGAAATATTTTTATAGCTATATAGGAAAACGTTTTTGTGCGGAGTACTCTAATTGTAAATATAATTCAATTCCTAGTCTCGCCTCGCCTCGCTTCCATAATAAGATCATATAACATTCAAAGTTATTTATTCATAGTATTTTGTAAGAAGTGAGAACAATATTTATTTTTCAGAAGAGGGATTTCGAGGCAATGAAATTCTGCCACGATAATCCGGAGTTCACTCCGGTCACTCAAAGAAACACAATCATGTTAAACAATATCAGCAAAGATGTTGGAGAAGACACTATTTTGAAGAATATGAGCGAACTGGTGACAGTCGTCAAAGTTGAGAAATACAAAAATGCCAATTATGCTATTGAAGTGGATACGGAAGCAAATATGTGGAAGATCATAGATTATTTCAATCAAAACACAGTTTTCTTATTTGGGTAAGTTTTTAAAAATTTGTTACAAATCTTACAAATAGAAAATGTTTCAGGCCTTCCGCCATTCCAACAACAGCTTCAGTTTATAAAGTTCCGGAACATCATTGGAAAACTGATGAAGCAGCCAATGTCAAGTGAGTATTTTCTTCAATCTATATAATGGGGTGATTCAAGTAGAGAAAATAATGTTTGAAAGCATCATTTTTTGAATTTCGAAAAACCAAATGGCGAAAATTATATTTTTCTTACTTTATTCCACAGAAAAATCAATATGAAAAAAGTAAAATTGCAAAAAAGGGAAAAATAATTTCATGACAATGGACATTTACAGACCATATTCAATCGATCAAAACGATTATTTGAGAAAAGAATGTGCAGTTAAACAAATTCAACATCAGACAAGATTTATGGTGAATCAAGAGTTAAACGGCGGCAACGAAGAGTTTCGATGCTGAGATTGAAGAAATTCAATCTCAGTATGAATTCTTAATCTTCAAAGCCGAGTTCAGTAGTAGTAAGTCAATTTATTTTGAATAAGTCTCGAGTTATCAATTATGTTACAGAAATAGCTGAGAAGATCCAGAAAATGCCGACTGAAAATCGAACTCGTCGCAAGTGGTTGAGTATGTCATTTCCACCATTTGTTCATCAATTTTTTTCCTTGTTTTCGTCTTCTTCATTTGAAATAAAAGTTGCTTTTCAATGAATAAATGTTCTTGTGGTTTTTTGAATTATTTTTTTCTGTCTGTTTCACAAAAATTTTGACAATAAATGTAACATTTTATTATATATACATTATTTTTAACAAGAAAATACAATTAAATATGGCTTCAAATTAGGAAAATACAAATGGTAATAAAAATACAAATACAAAAAATTTGGAGGATTTTGATGATGAAATTGGTTGGGATTGTATTAGAGGAGGAAGTGAAGGAGTTGCGGATTCGATTTGTTTTTCGGATATTATTCCTAAATGCAAAAAGTTATCGAAAGTTGTAGATTCTCAGATGGTACCTGACAAAAAATGCAGATTTTTTCGGGTAAAAATTGAAATTGTATTTTAATATCTGGGATTTTTTGAAAATTAATATATCTAAATGGTCCCATTCTTCCAAAATAAATTTATGACTTTCCCCAAAATCCAACTCACCAATAATTCCACAAGCCAATCGACTTCCAGCATTTCCAGTCGATTTCGAGAGATCCGATGTTCCTCTTCCCAAATCATCAGATTTTTCATGAATCACAACAGTTCGACCAATTATTGAATATTGTCCAGAAAGTGAGGCCAAAGAATCGGAAACTGAGATTGCGGTTGAGCCCGAGGCCTGAAAAATGGAAGTATTTTTGAGGATGAGAAAAGGAGAGCTGAATTTCAATCCCTGAATTCAAAATACAAAAAACCCAAGAAAACTAAACTGTAAGCTTCTGGCGCTAAAAATCGGAATATAATTTTTTTTTCTAGAATTTTTCAAAGAAATATTGTTTTTCATAATTTTTCTATCATTTTCTGTCTGGACCACACGTTTTAAAATAAATTCATATTGAATTTTTTTGGCCCTATTTTAATTATTTTAATGTGCCTTTGAAAAACCAAAAATATCTAGTAAATGAACTCTTCGCCCCGCGATGGAACCCAAATTCTCACTCACCGGCGACTCGATATTTCCCAAATCTCCAATATGTCGATTCGAATCATCTGGTGCTCCATGACTCAATTTATGTGGATTATAATGTGGTCCAGCACTTAGACAACCATTTCCAATATCTCCTTTTTCATGAATATGAAAACCGTGTTTACCAGTTGGAAGAGAGCTCACACTTCCGTTTAACTGCAAAAAAATATTTTTTTTTAGAAAAAAAATGGTTAGTTGAAGTGAGAAAAATGTACTCCTAGTTACTGTAGATAATTTAGAATTAGCCTGAAGCCTTTAAAATTTACATCCTGGTTACTGTAAAATATTAAGATAAGAACTTGTAGATTCTAAACCTTCTCAAAAATTTCCGGAAACAAAAAGAAACATTTTGGTATCATTCTGAAGCCCTATAAATTCTCTACAAGATGAGATACAATAATCCTGATGACTGTAAAATAAAAATTTGGTAATATTTTAAACAAGAGAGCTACAGTAATCCCGAGTTACTGTACGCTATTTTTCATCATCAACTTTTTGAGTGATTTTGACCTCAAATCAGTTCGGAAAAAATCAATTTTCATTTTGTAATCCCCCCAAAAACTATCACATGATTTTCATTTTAACAAAACACTCACCTTCAAAAAACTTCCTGATTGTTCAAAATCGATAGTTCCAATAATTTCGGTTGGAATTCCTCCAGCAACTGCCTTGAAAATATAAGCCCTTGCTTGATTTACTGGAAATCATTTCAATTATTTAAAATAGCCAGTTAATTATTTAATTACCTTCTGTAGCGCAGAAAACATTTTGGGAGAATAATGAGGCAAAAATTAAAATTATGAACATTTTTCTGGAAAATGAAAAAAAGTAGAAATAATAGAAAAATAGAAAAATAGAGAAAAAGAAACAGAAAATGTTATTGTCTGTCGAAAGAATGTGAATGTACTAGTAGTAGATACGAAAATGTGAAAAAAATCGAGTTTTTTTTGGTTATCTGTCAATTTCTCTCATGTTTTCTTTTTGGAATTTCATTTCATTTCATAACATATTTCAAAACGAAAGTTTTTTTGTTGAAAAATGTGACTAAAAAGTTACTGACAAAAATTTTTCGAAATTTTTTCATTGATTAGGAAATTTTGTAGAGGTTTTTAATTGGATAAGACAATGACCTTCAATTAATTATCTGCAAAAAACAAAAAAAAATTAAGCACAGAGGGGACTTTAACCAGCGCCAGACATGAAATTACTTCAATTCAGTTCAGGTGTGCTTAGAACTTCCTGGCTATTTTTAATCCGTAGGATTTCTGGGCCATAACGGCGCTTAAATCTATACGAGGCGTGCTTGGCAAGTCCTATTTAATTAGCAAAAAAAGACGCAAAGGGGAGTCGAACCCTAGCCTCAAAAATACTTTAAAAATTTCTAACCGACTGAGCCAGATTACCAAAACACGCATTTTTGGACTCAAAAAAATTCAAAAACATATTCAGCCAACAACAAAAAAACAGGGTAAACAATAATATGGAAAAAGAGACAAGACATGATTAAAATGACAAAAGAAGCGACTTGCAATAAGAAAAAAAACAAGATGAATAAAGAAAAAACATCATAGGAAAATGAAGAGAGCGCAGACAATGCTTTTGATATGGATAAAATATATTTAGATAGTGCTTAATCAATTTGTCGTGTATTGGATAGAATTATATAATAAGAAACGAGTGGTTTTATGTGTGTTTTTTCATTTATTTCATTTTCTTTGTCATCAAGTTCAGAGACATTTTGTGAACCTAGCAACCCAACAACAAATATTTGAACAGGCCAACGGGGATTACTGTAAATCATTTGCTCCTCAACAACAAAAATATCTAGCTAATGTTTGCTAACAATAGAAATCATCTCAAAGAAAATTTCAACAATTGAAAAAAAATTTAAAAAAAAGAAGGTTCCACCGAGATTTGAACTCGGGTCGCAGGATTCAAAGTCCTGAGTGCTAACCGCTACACCATGGAACCGACGAGAGCGACGGCCGCCGATGGCAAAGACAAGGTCGATGGAAAAAGATGAAAAGAGTACGGAGAGATGGGGACGCAGAGAAAATTGTTGCACTATGATGTCGAACCATATTTTATTATCGCGATTTTTCATGAACCTCGAGTTTTTTTTGGCGAGGAATTGATAATTTTATGTCATAGATTATGGCATATATGTTTAAAAGTTTGATTTTTCCTATTTATTTTTGTTTAAATTTTCTGTGGATCCCTGAAATTTTTGAGCTCAGGTGGCGTCATTTTTTCACAACAAAAAAACGCATAAAATTTTTTCTCTCCTTTTTTGCTATGTGTTGTGTTTTTTTCTATTTCAATGATGTGTTTTCTGCCTTTTCCAGCAAAAAATGGGCTTTCCTAGAAAAATATACGTTTCAATTTGAAAAAATAGGCGCAAAGGGGATTCGAACCCACGCTCAAAACACAGAAAATGTAGAGGCTACCCGACAACGCCATTTCGAGCGTTCCAAAAAAGTTTTCTGGATTCTAGGCCACCTGGAGCATTTTTTTCAATTTTCCGACAGAAATGTCTTATTTTTCATGTAATTAGTTTTTTCCTAGAAATCTTGAATTTCAACTCCAACTTGATAATTTCTCGATTTTTTGCACCTTTTATCCAGAAAAATATACGTTTCAATTAATTCATTCAATAAACTGGTTTCAAAAAAAGGTGAGTGCCAATAGAAAAGAGAAAAAAGCGAAAGCAAATATTGAAACAAAAACTCGCGATTGCTGCTGGTTTTTCAGTTTTCAGTCTTTTTTTTGTTGAAACATGACATTTAGTTTCCGGAAAAAATTAATTGAAACTTTCCTTTTTTTCAAGCGACTTCTAAAAACTCAATTAGTCGATGTTGCTCTTTTTCTTGGAATTTTTCTCGTCATGCAAACACAAAGAAAAAGTCTTTGTTGTTTTTTTCTCAAAAAAATAATCTTGTGCTTTTTCAGCTTTTCTGAAAGTTTTTTTACGAGATTTTGAAAATTTTTATGGAAGCAAAACACGAATGAATTTTTTATTTTTATTTGATTGTTTTTCGGACAAAAAATTGTGGGGGCGTACTTTAAAAATAGTTTTTCATGCTCTAGAACTCTGGTTTTTGAGTACAGTAGGAGGGGGACATTTATGTGAACTCAGTTTTTCAGCTTTGAGTGAAAAAAAACTGGTAGGCAGTGGGAATCGAACCCCAAACTTCCTGAGTTGAAATTAATCGGCTGCGCTAACTTTCGAGTGTAGACCGCAAGCTTCCGCGAAGCGCAAGTTGTCCTAACTTTTTCGACTTGTCAAAAAAGTTGGGGTTTCCCACTGCGAAGTATTGCTAGAAAATACGTTCTAAATATTAGCGCAGCCGGTAAGTCTGGGGTTCGATTCCCACCGCCTGCTAAAGTGTAAAAATCCCGAAATTTCTATAATTTGAACCTTGGCCCTTCAAATTTACATCTAAAATTCTAATTTCAATAAATCACCAGCATTTTGTATCGGGAAAAATTCAATATTTATGTCAAATTTGACTGTGTTGTCGTCTGCTCTCTTTCGTTTTCTTCTTGTTCATTTCCTATTTTTTCTTGCTTCCTTCCTTCATTTCTTCATTCATTCATTCGTTCTTCGTTCAGTTGGCGCTTTTTCTAGCTGCCTTTCCTAAAATATTCAGTTTCTCTCTGCCTGTCTTCTTCTTCTTCTTCTTCCATGTCAAAACTTTTTTATTATTATTATTAATACGACGTCACATTTTTTTCAGGCACAGAAGCCGCCAAAATGCGAGTAAACGTGGCGAGAGTTTGGGAGGATTCGGATTATGAGAAAATCAGAAGTTTGTGTTTGCAAAATGAAGGATGGATTGAGGTGAGCAAAAAATAATAAGCTTTTTATACATACGATATTGAAATTTGTGTGTATTTGTGCATCGCAGTGTTTACAGACATGAGAATAATTTCTTTTTGTCAGGAATTGCGCATTTTCAGCACGGTAGAAGGGTTTTAAGATTATTTTGAATTTGATTCCTCTCGCCAAGAAGAATTATTTGATTTTTGTGAAGGTCTCGCAGCGATAGAAGATTTTCCAAAAGAAAACTTTAAATTTATCCATTTCTGACATCTAGAAATTGATGTTTTCTCGAAGACATCAAATTTTAATGATCAAATTTCCGCTCGTTTTCTGTTCGGCACCCACACATTTGCCCCCTTCTTATGATCACAATTATAATCAAATTATTGGAAATTTCGCAAACATGAAATAAAATTTCCATTCTCGCTAACAAAATTCGTTTTCTCACAGGTTTACAACAAAAAAGACACAGAAGTTCATGTGAAAAATGTGCCGAACAGCGATTATCAAATGGTCAAAGCCACCGCCTATTTTCCTGATGTTTCATCGAGTGTCGTTTATGATGTTTTGCATGATTCAGCGTATCGACCGAAATGGGATAAACATATGGCGAAACAGGAGAGTATTGGGATTATTAACCCGAATAATGATGTTTGTTATCATGGATGTGAGTATTTGGGGTGGGGATCAAAATGAGTTGAGAGCTTGTACCATAGACTTCTGAATATATCATTTTTCAGATAAGAACTATCTATGGGAAAGTTAGAGAGATAGTATAAGACCAACGGATTTTCCTAGAAGATCCAATAAATTTTGGATTCAGAAAGTTTTTGGATATTTTTTTCACAAAGTTATACGACTTGGGTTATAAAGGTGCTCTAACTTTAACATAGATAATTTTCATCAGAAAAATTAGCCTATCATATCATCGTATGAAAAAACCTCAAATTTTCACTCATGTTTCAGTGACATCATATCCACCAGTTCGAGCTCGAGATTTTGTTATGCAACGAAGTTGGTTGGAAACACAAAATGAGAAAATGATATGTTCACATTCGGTTTGTCACGAAGATTATCCGCCAGCAAAAGGTTATATCAGAGGAACTATTCTTTTATCCGGTTATTTGATTAGAGACAAAGGTGAAAAAGGTGGATGTGAAGTGATTTATATTTGTCATTCGGATCCAAAAGGTAAACTACCAACTTGGTTGGTTAATCGAGTTACGAAAGTGGTTGGACCGAAAATTATCAAAAAATTACACAAAGCTTGTCAAAGTTATCCGGATTGGAAACAAAAACATCATCCGGAATGGAAACCGTGGATTAATGTTGAACAACAGGTGGGTATTCTGATGTATACTATAATAAGTCTATCATAATTTTTAAGATCGATTCCCCACGAGTAGATTTGAGTAAATGTCAACCAAAAGAATATGAACAAGATATAATCGACGAATCGAATTTATCTGCAATGTCAATAAGCACAAAAGACGAGGATGAGGAGGAAAATTAATAAATTTTATCATTACTGTGATTTTTTGTTATTTAAAAATATGTGAACTATATGAACAAATAAATAATTAAGTTAAAGTTAATTAATTAATAAGTATTTAATTTACCCGTATAAGGTTTTGGAATGTTTTTGGGAGTTCAAGGAATTTTCAAACTCTTCCTTTTGGATATACAAATGTTAAACTATCAGCCCATTCGATTCCTTGCTGCCGATAATGCTGAAAATACAGGCTTTCCAGGAAGAATTTCCAAACGTGAACTTTTTATATATCCATACGTGTATTTTTTTAAATTAAAATTTTGAAGCTCATTACGTTCTATTTGAAAACAAGAAAAGGTACGTATTTATTTTTCCCCAAATAATCCGCAAACCCATTTTTTACATCAGATCTTACCTGGAAAAATGTTTCCCACGAAACTAGAACAATAATCCAAAATACGGTTCCAACAATACTCCCGATAACATAGCGCCGAATTTGTTGTCGATGAGTCGTGATTGGCAAAAGGAATGCTTCGGAGAAAAACCAGCACGCATTTGCCAGCCAAACAAACGGTAAACAACAAGCTCCAATGTAAAAATACCTGAAAATCCCGATTTCTGACAATCATATTTTGATTAACACTCACTTTTTACATAAATCCACTTTCTTTGTGTCGGTGATTTTTGAGATATCCATGAGTAAAAGCGTCGAGAAGCGTGAAAAGAAAAGAAAAATCGAATAAAAAATTGTCGTCTAGTTTAATGTGTGCACAGACTGCGGTGTTTGCAGAATTTTGCAAATTTCCCAAATTTTTATTCGAGTTTCTTCAAGTTTTGGCTGAAATTCTGCCGTTTTCAGTTATTTACAATGTTTATTTGTTTCAGGGTTAGAAAACAATCAAAATGTCGATTCTCCAAAAAATTGCCGATATTGAAAATGAGGTAAATTCGCAGACTTTTGTCGAAAAATACTAAAACTTGTTTTCAGATGGCCAAGACTCAAAAAAACAAGGCCACCAATGCTCATTTGGGAATCCTTAAGGTTAGTTGCTTATAGAAATCGAATCAAATAAATTCATGAATATGATTTAGGCTAAATTAGCCAAACTTCGTCGAGAATTGATTACTCCAAAAGGAGGTGGCGGTGGTCCGGCTGGAGAAGGTTTCGATGTTGCAAAGACTGGAGATGCTCGAATCGGGTTTGTAGGTTGGTATTTTGGGAGATTTTTGAATTAGTTGTTAGTGGTTCGATTCAGGTATCCTGAAAATTAGGGACGTGGTTGATTTCCTGTAACTTTGCCTGTAATTTTATTTACATCTAACCTCCCTACTCAAAAAATTCAATATTTTTCATCTTATTTGAAAACACAAATACATATAAATAATGGGAAGCATACATATTTCAAAAAAATAAAAACGAAAATTGAGCAAAAATGAGAAGAAATATTGTGAATGACAAATCACCGGGGAATCTAAAAATATCTCTATTTTATTTAAGTATTATTATCGAAGAGAATCCTCATCATCTGAAGAATTATGAGAATTTTGGAGATAATTGTTGTCAGATCCTGATTCGGGTGGGGAGTCAGGCAGGAATGTTGGTCCGTTGTGTTGTGGTGGTGGTGGTGGCATTGCCTACAAAAATAGTTTTTGAATTTATTTTTTTATAAGAATATAGGTGTTCAATTTTATGTTTAGTAGATGCTAAAGTATTATATGAACAGTTACAAAAAAGTGCATAAAGTTACCAGATAAATTTTTGATAAAACATATGGGAGTATACTAAATCATCCACGTGGATCATGATCTCGAATCGGAATCTTGATCAGCGTTTTCGATTTAATATTTATTTCTATGTTTAATCATAAGTTCATTTGGTGACCCTACGCACTTCTCCTTTGTTAGAAGTAAGTACCTTCATTGGTTCCAAATCTAAATCCATTGTATCCAAATCGACAACAATTGGTGGATGAGGTGATAATTCTTCCCTTAATCTCTCATACAAAAATGCATCATCCGGCTCGTTTGTATCTTGTTTGTTATGTTCTTCCATTATATCTTCATCTGAATTTGAATTAGGACTAGACTATTCACAAAATGGTGTTAGGAAATAACAGGGTGATAAAAGAAGAAAATATAGGTGGTATTTATAAAATGAAAAAAAAATATTTACCTTCCGAATCGGTGTCGATTATATTTTTTGTTTGAATTGGCGAAGATGGCGGTGTTTCGGATTTTTGTTTTTTATCAAATGATGTTCCACCTGGCAAAGGTGCTCCCTGTTTAGTTGCTTCTTGTTCTAATTGTGATTTAGTTTTTGATTTTTTCCAATCTAAATCTTCCCGTGTTACATCTTCTTCATCACTCATTTTATAATATACATCTACATCTCCTTCTTCACTACTTGACCATCTATCTTCATCATCTACTAATTTATTAATAAGTTCTGGTGGAACTGGAACTTCCAAAGGATCTTCTAGTGGATCTTCGGAGCTGAAATAAATTATGTTTATGAAGATAGGAAAGTTAAAACAACTTACTTTAATGGTTTGAGATCTGGAATATCTAATGTTCCTTCTTCTTCATCAATTCGACTTCCTCGCCTTGATCGAGGTCTTGCAAATGTTGGACTATCGCTACTCAAACGTGATTTCTTTGGAATAAATTCTGATTCTTCTAAAATTGCCTGTGCGACCATTGGAATATCAGGTGTTTCGGATTGTAATAAAACCACAGGTGGTCCATTTTTCAATGGTCCCATCTCATCCCACGGATCTTCTTGTGGTGATTTTGGAACAATTTGATCAGGACTACTTGAAGATGTTCGACTTTTATTGAAACGATCTTCGACGTAATCACTGAAGTCTTTTGATGGTGGGAACATTATATCAGATGATTGATGTGTAGGAGCCGCCACTGGTTCACGTTTCGTCAAGATCTGAAAATTATTGATAAATTAATAATAAAATTCCGCGGTTTCCTTATTTACCGGTGACTCTTCTTTCTCTTGTTTATGTTCTGGTTCTTGATAAAGTGATTGATCAATTGTTGGCTCCCTTGGTAATTGCGATGAATCACATGCAAACCAATTTCTCATTTGTCGTTGTGTTAATGGTTGTGGTTCTTGATTAGCATTTTCATCAATAGCTTCATAAGTAAGAGGAATTCGTTCTTCAACATGAACATGACCATTTCTTGAAGGTTTTCGTTTATTCTCACATGTTCCATAATTTCTACATTCTGCAGTTGCAGCCAAACCAGATTCTGCATGCTTTGCTTGTTGCTCATTTTGCCGTTTTTTGTAAAAATATCGAAGACATTGAATACACGCAATACAGTATGTTGTTAAAAAGAAACCGCAAACAATAATCAAACCAGTTATCAGTTTCGAATTATCTTTTCCGTTCTCTAATCGTTGTTGTGGACTCGCGTAGCTCAACTGAACAAAATCCTCATTTCTCTTCATTTTCGCTAGTCGAATACTATCCAATTTTACTCCGCCTAATGATCGAGACAATGATGGAGCACTTGTTCCAAGTATCAGTTTTACCTAGAAAAATTAATTTTCGGCTCCACGAAGAAGGGTTTTTGGTTCAAAACAGGGCTGTGCGGAATTTACTTGTCGGCATTTCGCAACGCCGACTTTCAGTGCCGAAAATTTTTTCGGCTGGTCGGGATGCCGACTTCTTGTGCCGAAATTTTTTCTCGGACTTTCAGGATGCCGACTTTTTTGCCGAAAAAAAATTCGGCAATTCGGCACCCCGATTTTGTTCAAATTCGGCATTTTGGCAGTGATTCAGAAATTTTAAAAACTATAAAAGTGATAGAAAAATGAATAAAATTATATTTTAGTTTGATTTTAGTCATAACTCAATAGATATGAAGCTAAAACAAGACATTCTGCAGAAAATAGAGGTAAAAACATATTTTTTATTTTACTAGAGAACATTTCGGTTGTGATTTCGGCACATTTTGAAATCGGTACGAAATTCGGCTTCTATCAAGTGCCGAAAAAGTTTTCGGTCGGTAATGCCGACTTGAAAAACTGCCGAAAATATTTTCGGGAGGTAGTGCCGACTTCAAAAATTGCCGAAAAATCAGGAAAACTCGGGATTTCGGCAAATCGGCGTGCCGATTCCGCCCAGCCCTGGTTCAAAAGAATGACGTGTACTAAATTGAAGTTTTGTCCAAAGCCGGCCAAATAATTTTTTCGGAACTTCGAGGTTTCTGGTAGAGTTTTAACTACCAATCAGAATTTCCCTTGTGAAACCTTGCTTTGTAAATTCGGATTCTGGGCTCAGTGAACGGTAACCAAAAAACTGGCTATAAAAGGTTGGAATTCTAGTTTTCTTTATTTCCGAACCCTGAAAATCAGGCTGATTTACCTTCGTTGGATCTACAACTTCTTGATCATCCACAACTCCACCGGTATAATCTTTACTTCTCACAGCGAATAAAATTCGAGTAGCATCACCTTTCAAATGATCCAAACGTAGTATAACTACATTATTCTGTAAATAATTGTTATCACACTAAAACTAAACATATCTAGAAGGATTGGCTTTTGTCTTTTTGTTGTTGCTCAAACTGATTAATCGAAAAGAAATGCGAAGGCAACTAAATGAAATGTGCGCGAATAGTATAGTAAAGTTTTCGTTTTTTTTTGAAGAAGTTAAACAGAGACCTTTGTGAAAAGTGGGTCATATTCATCTCTTTCCGGATACAACACTGATTTGTCCAAATCGTCGATTTCGTCTGATGTTAAAGTTTTGATCACCTCCTAAATTTTGGCTGTTTTTAACCGAGAAATTAAATCATCTATACACAACACGATTGTTTTTTTTCTTTTTCGTGCGAAATTACGACGAACGAACAAATCAGTGAGATTGGTGGAAAACGAAAGAATAGATTGAGGTTTGGTTGCGAAAAGAGGTCTGGCACCAATTTCTAATTTGTTCTGAAATTTTTTGTGTTCAAAATCGGCCCATATTCAATCTGAAACATGCAAAAATAAAAAAAAAGCGCGGAAAAGTGGAAAAATCAGCTAATACATAAATTATAAAAAAGATGGATATGATCTAATAGTTTCGTGCATACTCACTTTACTCAATTTCACTTGTGTATTTTCACAATCAGCCAAATTGAATTGACAATATTGCGAGACTATATTGGCGATACGTGCTTTGAGGTATACCTGGAAATTGATGGATTTAGAAAAGCTTGTGAGACGAAGGTATGTCTCGAAGTTTTTTTCTTACCTCGAAAGAAACTCCTGAATTTGTTAAGAATTCATGATTGAAATGTCGAAGTCGCATATCAACAACAGACAGATCATTATTCTGAAAAAAATATTTTTTGTTTTGTTTTCTCTTTTGGTATGTATATAGTTGCCAGCCATCATTATTGATGTGTTTTGTTTTGCTTCTTCGCTCCAATTTTTCTGCCTGGATTATTTTCTTAATCCCTTTTCCTCCCGTTCTTCCGATTTCTGATAAAACTTGATGACATAAATATCACAGCATTTTTTGCATGTCTTTTTTGCGCACACATTTGTGGGCTTTCGAAATAAAAGAAAAATCACATCTTTTTTGTCGCTCCTTCCTCAATAAATGCAGAAATTCGCAAAAAAAAGAAGCAAAAAAGGAAAAATTCGTTGAATAGGACCCTTTGTGTTTTTTTTTGTTGTGTTGGGTGACGAAAGAACAAAACGTGAGTTTTTTGAATGGGCCGAGGAAGTTTTTTCTCTTGTTCTTAAATGCAGGCACCGGGAATTGAACTGGGAATTTGAGGTTGGAAACACGAGCAAACGGGCAAAACGAATTCTGTGATATTTTCTAGCCACCAAAAAATTAACGGGTGCCTGTTTAAACCAGCCTATATTTCTATTTCTTCGAACTTTCAATTTTGTTTTGGATTAAAAACCAAAAGAGTTCGCCATTTTTCGAAAAAAGGATTACGAATTTGCATTATTCTTCTTCCCTCCCCAAACTTTTCCCTAAAAAAACATTCTTGTGCACTTTCGTTGCTAGACAAAAAGTAACGAAAAAATGAGACATGTGTTGTTTTTGTTGTTTTTTCTTCTCCGTTATTCTTGCTCCCGGCTGTTAACAAGCGATAAACAAACCTTGATAAAGGTTCCGCAATCTGGTTGTGTGACATTTGGTGTTGGCGAATGTTTTGAGATGAATGGTTGGGTGCAGACACATTCGTAATCCGTATTATTGTTGCATATGACTGGACGTTTTGATAGAATTATTTGAGATGGAAGAATTACTGGATGAGGTTCGAATGGATAGGATGGAGGTTGAACACCGTATGGTTCATTGTTCACAGATCTTCTGCAAAAAAAACTTGCTGATTAGGCTCAATTCGAAAGATTTTCCCTGATTTAGTCTAGCTAAAAAAGTATTCTTGCGCTGCTAAGTTCAAACTTGGGATAGTTCAAAGATTCAAAGTGACGTGATGGAATGCCGGAAGTCACATTTTTGGACTTTTTTGGGAAAAATTATGTAACTCGATTTATGGAAAGTTGGAACTTCTAGGAGATTCTAGAATCATTCCACACGTTTATTTCTGAAAATCAAATCTGAGAACTTTGTGTGAAAGTTAGAGACTAATTCATTTACTTTTTCGCGTAAGATCAATCATGTCTCATGTTTATTTTTTAAACAAAAATCACTTTTGTCGTTGTTTTTTTTCAAAATGTTAAATATTTTCGAAATCCTTCATATTTGCACATCGATGATTGACACTTTCTCACTCACAAATCATCTGTCTTTTCTTTTTATTTTTCCCCTATTATTGAACTTTTCGTTTTTTCTCTGATCTCGAATTACTGAAGCGAGAAAAAGTCAGACACCAGCTCCCAAAAAAAACACTAGTGAAAAGAAACGAGTCTCAGGTTTCAGTCGGTTTTTTTCACATGAACATGACATATATACATTTGTTGGCTGGAAGAAGAAAAAAGAAACTTACTTGACTGATTCGGCAAAAGTTGGGTCGATTTGGGAGAAAAGAAAAAATAGTGAAATCATTTGGAGGAATATGCCATTAGAATATTGTATCGATTTCGTTCTGAGCAACATTTTTTTGGAGATTTCAAATCGCAAAGAATGTTCAGGTGTTCGAAAGTCGACATTTACAATCAAAAAACATTGAAGAAAGAATAAATAAATATGGATGATAGATAGATGAATATATGCGCAGGCAACACACACACAAAAATAGGAAGAAGCTAGAAAAAAAACGAGAGGCGGGCCTCGTTTCGTTTCGACTAGAAGAAGAAGAAAAAAGAAGACGTGAGGAGAGATGTAGAGAATCAGAGAATATTTTTTTTTGTTCGTATGAAAAAGAAGAGATACATGAGCAGAGGGGTTTTTTTTGAGCAGTAGGGGGAGCACATACACATGAGGAAAAAATCGAGCTGATGTATATATGCCGAGTTTTTTTTTGGGCAATAAGCGGACGAGGGAGAAGAAAAAGAAGGAGGAGGACAAAAATTGGATGTATAATGATATAAATAAATAAATAAATAGGGTTGGATAGGATAGGTTGTTATTCGAGAAATGCATTTTTTCGTGCACTTTTAGGTGTTGGAGATTGGGTTTTTGGTCGAAGAACTGTGAATTTTTGGTTTGGAATATGGAATATCAAATTTGGTACACTTTTGAAAGGATTTTTAAAAAGTTCCAAATTTGGAAAACTATGTTAGACGGAACCGTTCTTTTCCCAAATACGGTATGAATCTCCATTTCTAACTTCGTTTCGAGATCACAAAATTCTCTTTTTTTCGATTCATTTTCATCGCACAGATGTTTTTGACTTTTCACGAATTCTGAAAAATCTTCCAAAATCTTAGAACGTCTAAAAATTAGTTTTGCACATTATCTCTACCATTTTTGAACACATACTAATATCAGAGTAGTGTGAGAAAAAATTTTTCATCATGAAAAATTTAAAGTTTGAGCTCGAAACTAGATTAGATTTTTATGTGATTTCGCATGTGCGTTTGTCATCATAAATTTTGAGGTTTTCATTTCATCTTTGAAGTATTATATTTTTTGTTTCACATTAATCCAAAAACCAATTTTTGTGTGACTCAGAAACATGTGATGTAAAAATAATCGAGTTAACTATTTATTAGATTTGGCTGCTGAAAAAGAGAGAAATCAAATCAAGTTTTGAAAATTCAGGAAATAGGCTTGTTCCGCTTTTTTCTAGCTAGAAGCTGAAATTGGTCTTGTTGAACGCGTTTTCGCAGGATATTTATTTTTGTTTTATTTTGAGAAGAAAAAATGGGCATTGACGAGAAAATGAGCACGCATCGTGATCAGCGTATACAGTTCTATAACACGCTTTTTATTATTTTTCAAGATCTTTTGTCGTAGAAATTCGAAAAATCAATAGCGAAATCAAAATTTCGAGTGGAAAAACAGAATTTCACCAGCTTTTTGGCTAGATTCAATCTCTGCTTCTTGTTGAACGCGTTTTCCCAAGACATTCATTTTTTTGCACTTTTTTTCAAAGAAAAAGGTGATGTCTAACTTTTTCCCCTTTGCAGAAACAAGAAACAAAAAACGCCAAAAAAGTTGGCATTTTTTTAGTCATTTTTTCTTTTTGTTGAAAAAGCTTCTTCTCATTTTTAGTGTTTATCTCACGGGAAATGAAAAAAGGATGGGGAAAATGCGCGAAAATTTTGGGGGTCGAGCAACGAAAAATAAAAGAAAAAAAAAGGATATCTGATGAGTTAGAGAGAATAAAATAGAACAAAAAACAAAGAATGTGGTTTTTGGCGAGATTTTTTGCCGCCGCGCACACACACGAAAAAGTGCATAAATTGAGTTTGAATATTAAAAGAGTTGGTTCTTTTTTTCTCGTTTTTCGAGGAAAAATTTGAGGAAAACCGAAAAAAAAAGAAAAAAGAGCAAAAGTTTTGAAACAATGTAATTTGACCTCTCCTTTTTTTCAGGATTTCCATCAGTTGGAAAATCAACATTGCTTTGCAATTTGGCTGGAGTGTTTTCGGAAGTTGCAGCTTATGAATTTACGACGCTGACAACGGTTCCTGGTGTAATTCGGTATAAGGTGAGGATTTTTGAGATATTTTGAGTGGAAATTCAGCTTTGAGGCCTTTTTCTGATAAAAATTGGACATTCTTTTGAGAAAACATTTAAATTCTGGAAAAATCTATAAATTTCTGAAATTATTTCAGAATGTGCGAAGAATTTTGAGCTTCTAGTTTTTTATTTGTGAAATTTGTAATTTGGAAAAATTTTAAAATTATCTGAAAATATAACTTTCAAAAATTCTAATTTCAACGAAATTCAAAAAATTTCCTGAAAACATTAGTTATGACTATCAGAGTTGTTTGAGGTTTTTCTACAGTACAATAACTCGGTTTTAATAAATTCAATTTATCGAACTTCATCCAAAAAAAACTCCAACTAATAAGATAATTTTGTTTCTCTAAATATCAAGCTGAAAACTAAAAAAAAATTCTGGAAAAAACCTATTCGGATTTATGATTGAATTGTTGTATAAAAAAAGAAGAAAAAAAAAAATGTTTTTTTGTTGTTGTGCTTTCGAGAAGAAAAAATCTTGGCCCCGACATTTTGTTGTTGTTGTTTTTTTTTTGTTGTTATTGAACCCACCCACAATCTTTTTTTTTCAGGGAGCAAAAATTCAATTGTTGGATTTGCCCGGAATTATTGAAGGTGCCAAAGATGGAAAAGGTCGTGGTAAACAGGTTATTGCTGGTAAGTTTTTAAAGAATTTTTGAGAGAAAAATGGTATTTTTTAGTTCAATTTCGACCAGAGATGGCCAATTTGATCCTAGAAATTTTGAAAAATTGATTTACCAGAAATTTTCACCAAACAATTCCAAAATTTGGTCAAATGTTAGCAAAAACTTTGCCACGTCATAACTCATCATTTCCTGTTTTTTTTCAGTTGCTCGAACATGTTCCTTAATTCTAATGGTTCTCGATGTAATGAAACCACTTCAACACAAACGATTATTAGAATATGAATTGGAAGGTTTCGGAATTCGACTAAACAAACAACCACCAAATATTGGTTTCAAGCGAAAAGAAAAAGGTGGTATAAATCTGACAATGTTGGTCCCACAATCTGAACTCGATTTGGAACTTGTCAAAAGTATTTTGGCCGAGTATCGCATTCATAATGCTGATGTTACATTGAGGTATTTTTGAAGGGAAAAGGAAGTTAGCCTAACTGGCCGCTCTCGCTCCACCACCGCATATCTATTCTAAACTTTTCAGATATGATGCAACATCGGAAGACTTGATCGATGTGATCGAAGGAAATCGTGTCTATGTTCCATGCATCTATGTTCTCAACAAAATTGATCAAATCTCAATCGAAGAACTCGACATCATCTACCGTATTCCGCATACTGTACCAATTTCGGCTCATCACAAATGGAATTTTGATGATTTGCTCGAGAAGATTTGGGAGTATTTGAACTTGATTCGAATGTGAGTTTTCAGAAGATTCCACTGTCAACTAAATTTATCCATAATTGCAGCTACACTAAACCAAAAGGTCAATTGCCTGATTATTCGCAACCAATTGTTCTCAACGCCGAACGTAATTCGATTGAAGATTTGTGCATGAAAATTCACAAATCCCTTCAAAAAGATTTCAAATGGTTAGTTTTTTGAATTAAAAAACGATTTAAAAATGTTCAACAAAAAGGGTATTTTTTACGTTTCAAACGTGGTGGATTATTTTAGATTTTCTGTGACTTTTGGTTACCCAATTATTCTTCTGTTTAATATAAATGTTTTATGTAGGCAAATTTGAAATTCGTAAAAAGAAGTTCAAAATTATAAAATTTTGTCAGTTTCTAAAATTTGAACACTGAGATAAAAAAACATTTTCAAACTTTATTGTAGAAAATTCGGGTTTGGACAAGAAAGTTCGATTTATATTTCGAAAATTCCTAGAAAAATTTTGAGATATCAAAATCGACCCATAATTTCGCAGTGTTGAAAGAAGGGCCATTCTACTTCCCCCTAACTCCAATAAATCATTTTCAGTGCTCTTGTTTGGGGCTCTTCAGCCAAACACAATCCTCAACGCGTTGGTCGTGATCATATTGTCAATGATGAAGATGTTGTTCAAGTCATCAAAAAGTGAGTTTTCCCCTGTTCTTTGTTTTTTCTTTAAAAAATCCTCTTTTTTTCAGGGTCTAGTTCAATTGTTATGTTATTTATTGTTTCAAACAATATGTTTTTTTGGCAAAGTATAAATCGGTTTCTATCTCAACTATTCACAAATTGTCTTTCTTCACCACGAACTTTCAAATTCTCGGTTTCCAATTTGACTTTTCGCTCGTCTCGCATTGCAACCCGAATCCATTTGTTTTCGTTACAATTCTGGAAAAATTGGGGTGCTCTTCGGAGACATTTTTAAAATGTTCTGTTTCATTTAAAATTTCGAAATATATAAAAATCACAAAAAAATTCAAATTTTCAGTTTTGTTGGCTGAAAATTAAATTTTTCTAAAACAAAAAAAGTGTCACTGAAAACAATTATTTTTACGTTTCAAAAAATAAATATTTCAGATATTCTGTCAATTTTGATAATGTTTCTTTGGAAAACAAATTAAAATATCACTCACATTACACGGTTTAACCGGCATCATTTCGAAACAAACAACTCTTCTTTTACACGCAGAACATTTGAAGAATCTTTTATCCGCTTCATGTTTCGTCAATTTATGCGATTTTTCGATGCACAATGGAGCAGCGCTTTGAGCAGTGTATTTACACTGAAAAATTGGGAATTTGATGAATGAGTTAATTAATTAGATAATAAAAATACCTCATTGCAAGTAACAACTCGAACTTTTTTCACTTCCATACAAGTTGTGGTAAATGTCTCGATTTTTTCGCGTTCTTCCATACTTGACAAATGTTTTTGAATCGCATCGCTTTCAGCCTGAAAATAAGAAAAAATGAAGTTTCTGAGTTTTTTTTCAATTTTGATCGGTGAAAAAAATCCGGAGGGAAATTTGATTTGCTACAAATCTTAATTTTTTTATTCTCAATGCCACGTGGAACTTCAAGACAATTTTTTCTCAGAATCTGATATATAAAAACGTGTCATATTTTTGTGTTTTGATAATTTTCATAACTCATAAAATCGATAAACCTGTTCAGCTTCTCCTTGATGCAAGCTTTTCCTAGCCAAAATAGCCCTTATTCTATCCATTTTCGAATTTTTATCCTCTTTTTCCTCATTATTTTCTTTCATTTTCTTCATGCCATCATTTTTTAATGGTTCCAATGCTTTTCTTTTTATTCCTCCTCCTCTTTCTTTTTCCTCTTTTTGTTTTTTCAATATCGCAATTGCTCTCAATCTTGCCGCATGTTCTTGCGCATCTTTCGCCCCAATCGGTGCTTTTTTCCACAAATTTTTTCCACCAGTTCCAGCTTGCAAATCGACAGTTTCTTTCGATTTTTCAGAACTCAAAAAATCCCCGAAACTCGAATGTTTTTCGGGTTTTCTTTCGAAAAATAAATCTTCCACTTTTGGCTTGTCGATTGTTGATTTTTCGTGGATTTTTAAAAATTGTCGCGCAGCGAAGGTGTTTTTCTGGAAGACAAACATAAAGTACATAATTCGATTTTTATAGTTTTTTAATGCTGATTGTAAAAATTTGCATTTAAAACATGCCTTGTGAACTAAAGATGTTTCAAAAAATTAAATTTTCCACGTCATAACTTATATTCAAAGTTGTATAAAGTTCAAATTCACTCACCCTTTGATTCAAAATTTCATCCAATGTCGATTTTTCCTCTTCTTTCGTCGTTGTTTTCATATTTGCATTTACATTTACAAAAGAATTACAATTTGATGGCTTCATTGTATCTTTTAATTGAGGAATGGGCAAAGCTCCTTTTGGCATTGTTCCAATTGGTCGCGCAACTTTTTTGGGAATCGAAAGACCGCCAAGATTTGGTGCACAAGTCACTGCGTTGAAAGTACCACGTTTGGCGGCGATTTTGCGAGCGGCGTTCATTACGTGATACACACAAAATTCGCTGAGTGAGGAGTTGACGAAATTGTTGCATGGTTGACCGTCTTGTTGGCGGACACCCTAGAAAATAAAAGGGTTTTGATTGTAAGAGGGAGCCCAGAATCTGATTTTCAAATTCGGCGCCAAAATAATTTTTAGACGTGACAAGATCTCATTTTAAATTCTCACTGCCAAAAATTCTTCATTTCTTACCTTACACATTCCAAAATGTGCGGACGTTCCGATTTCCACGATATTTGTCGATTTTGCAACTCTTAAAGTCGCTGATGGTTCTGAAAGGATAGTTGCATTTATGGCTCACACAACAGTGTTCCCAACAGGTTCGGAATTAACTTACTCTTGCCTGAAGTTTGATTATCTTCTGATAATTGAGGACTCATTAAAGAGATAACTGTGCCAAGCTGCAAAAAAATCAATAATTTTCCTAATTTAAATTTATCTTACTGTTAATTTCCAGTGTTCTTTTATCGCATCACCAAAAAGCAGCAATTTATAACTTGGAGATTGACAATCTTTCAGATCATGTAGCCGCCAAATCAAATATTCATTTCCATTCGCTGATTTTTTGGTGATTTCCTTTTCAACAATCACACCCATTGTACACCAAGAATCTTTGAATGTTGAAGTTGGCTTGAGATTTGACAATTTTTCGCATGTCATTCCAGCTGTGAACACACCAAAGTTGTGTGAACTGATTTTTGGATTTCGAACGGAGATTTGAAATTTATCGAAATTAAAAATTCCCACACATGTTGTCGTTTTTCCCTCCTCATCTTCATTTGCTTTCTTGCTAGTTAATCCGGTCAGAAAAGTTTTCTTTTTCGATCTCCAGGCATCTGTTGAATTCGGCCCTGATGTTGAGCTATTCTTTTTCAACCAACTTTCTAGTTGCATTCCTTGTTCTGATAATTCTCTCCGTTTTGTGTATAATTCTTCATCTTCTTCATCACTATCATGTTTAATTTCGCTAGTTGTTTCTTTGGAAATTGTAGAAGACGATTCGGTGGCGAAAATATCGATTTCCTTGATTTTGGAGACTGGTGTTAGTTCCTCCTCTTCAACGTCACCCAATTGTTCGAGTAAATCATCCAAGGGATCCATCTGAATATGAATTTTTACCCGTCGAAAAAAACAGAAGATAAAAAATTAAATTTCGAAATGCCACCTTCTCGGTGTTTGCACACAATGCGCGCCACCGTACTTTCTATCAGTCAAAAAATCATTTTTCTTTTTCTTTTCCTCTCGCATCGCCATTTTTTGGGGTTTTTCTCTGTTCTCTGTGTCTATTCGTAACATAAACAAATACAGGCAAAACTCAACGAACCCCGCCAAATTATTTCATAACATTTTCGGTTTATTTCTATCGATTGAGTTACAATGCCAAAACGAGCAGTTTCATTTGCCGATGATATTGAAACGCGGACTTTTAAGCGAGACCGTTTGGATATTGAGGGGCTAGAAAAAGATGAGGATTTTGATATGCCGATGGAAGAAAAAAATGAACAGGTAGGCTGGTGTTTTAATTGTTTTGTATTTACGAAATAAAAGATTAATAAATAAATTCCGATCCAGAAAATTGATGAAGAAGAAGATGATAAGAAAAAGCATCATACATTGGAAAGTGACGAAGAAGAAGAGGAAGATCACAAAAGACTTGATATGAAAAAAGTGGAAGGACAAGAGGAGACAACTATGGATTTCGAAGGAAATATCAAAATCACCGCGTTCAATATGAAAGAAGATTTGGAAGAGGGACATTTTGATGAGACTGGCAATTTTATTTATGATAAGAAGGAGAAGGATTTACAGGTAGAAGCTAGATTTTTCTGATAGTTTATTTATTGTTTTTTTTTTTGCAGGACGCTTGGCTTGATGGCATCGATTGGTCGACGGTGAAAAAACGAGCCGGTGATCAATGGGAAGGTGAAAATGGGAAAAAAGATGGCGAAGATGATGATGATGAGGAGAATGCGCCGGTGACAATGAGTGATTTGAGAAAGAAGGAGATTTTTGAGCAACTTGTGGAGGTAATTTTTAATGGAAAATATGGGGGTTCCATCTTTTTTTTTGTAAAACATATAATTTTTGGTTCTAACACGAGACCTGAACAATGCTTCAAAATTCCATGTTCCTTTGAACTTCTTGGTCTCGCCACGATTTCCTCTATTTTTCCCCTAAATTCCACATTTTCCAGCTCCTCAAACCGAATCAAACAGTGGCGAAAGCATTAACAGAGTTGAAAAAGAAAAAGGGTGAGCTCTACTTTCTTTCTCTCTTTCCATATTTAAAAATATCTCTCATTTTCGAAAAAAAAACAACAAAAAAGTAATTATAGGTCTTTCTGCTGCCGAAGAGCGAAAATTGCGATGGGCAGCAAAAAAGGCGGGAAAATCGCTGGAAGAAACGGATGGACAAAAAGAGACGACAAAATTGAGCGGATTGGCTGATGAATTGATTTCGGCTGGATTTGTGAGTTTTTTTGGGTGAAATTAAATTTTGGTTGGCTACTCGAAACACTCCAGTAAATTTTTTTACCTTTTTTGAATGGTTCGGCTATAATTCTAGTTACCAGAATTGATTTTTTATGGTTGATTTTTCTTTATTGATTTTTCAGACTGTCTGGTTTGAAAGTTCCCAAAATTTTGAAAAAGAACGGGTTTTATAGAAATTTTTCTGAAAATGTTTAATTCACAAATTTTCGAGGAGCTCTTAGACTAATAATTATTTTCAATGAAATGTTTTTTCAAAAAATCAAATGTGAAAATTCCCCAAACAAAGTTTAAATTATGACGTACCAACTAACCTAAAATTTGTCATATTTTTTTCCAAAAAAATTTTTTTTTTTTAATTTTCAGATGGATGCTTATGAATGGCACAAGGAGAAAATCGCATTTCTCCTCCAAAAAATGACAAATACAGCTGTCGATGATTTGGATATGTTTTCTGATGAACCAGCAGTTGCCACGTCATCTACTTCGGCAACAAACCAAAATGATTTGGACGATGAAGTGAAATGGGAATATAAAGAAAATGATGAACCGAATACACCAATACAGGTTAGAGATTTCGAGTTTTTTATGCTAACGACCTGAAAATACAGTATTTTTGAAAATTTGAACTAAAAAAAATAAATTTCGCTTTTCTAAATTTTCAGAACCTGGAAAATTTTAGTTTAAAAATCAGGATTCAAAGAAAATATCACGAATATTGTGAGCTTCATTTTTAGACCATAAAGAAGCAGCTGAATTTTTGAATGACAACATTTTCCGATAATTCTCATGTAGGCTACATTGATTATGCAAATAGAGAAACAAAATATTTGCCAAAAAACAAATTGATTTTTGGTTTAAAAATTATTTTTGTAAGAACATCAATACCTTATTTGAAATACCGATATTATCCCTAAAATAAATCAACTACTCTAAAAATATCTTTTATCTCACCCTAACGTTACCCAAACTCTTTTTCATTTTTCTTCCAGGGACCATTCACATCTTCTCAAATGGCTGATCGGCAATCAAAAGGCGAATTGTCACAAAAAGGAGTTGCAAAACGCATGAACACACCTGGATCTTTCAATCCGGTTTCAAGAATCGATTTTGATTTGTATTGCTAATTGGCTAATTAGCAATTTAAAAATTTCATTTTTCTGATCTTGTAAATGATCTCTTTTTTATTTCATTTTACTTGCCTCATTCAATACATTTTTTGTCTTTTTTTTAAACCTTCGTTTTTTTTCAAAAACTATCAGTTCTGAACTGTTAAATATCTATTTAATTAGTAAACCTTACTAATTACAAGAAATTCAGATGGCGGGTGCTCGCGATTACGATCATCTGTTCAAATTATTGATTATTGGTGATTCGGGAGTTGGTAAAAGTAGTTTGTTGTTGCGATTTGCTGACAATACGTTTAGTGGTAAGTTTTTCGGGAAAATTCTGAACGTTTTGATAATAAACATTAAATATTTTGAAAATGCAATTTTTTACTGGGTCGGGCTGGAATTTTATTAAAATTCAAAGTCAACTTCCAAAATTCGAAAAATTTCTGCAGAAAACTACATCACAACAATCGGTGTCGACTTCAAAATTCGAACAATGGACATCGACGGACAACGTGTAAAATTGCAAATTTGGGACACAGCTGGACAGGAAAGATTCCGAACAATCACATCGACTTATTATCGAGGAACACATGGTGTTGTTGTTGTTTATGATGTGACAAATGGAGAATCATTCGGAAATGTTAAAAGATGGCTACAGGAAATTGAGAAAAATTGCGATTCGGTTCATAAGGTTTTAGGTGAGTTTCTGAAACTGTTTTGGGAGGTTTGGGTAATAAATTTCAAGGCTTACATTAGTTTTCTAACTTACGCGAAATTGATAAAAATCAACGTTGTTTCCAAAAGTTGGAATTTTTCCACAAAAAAACTTCTGAGAACAAACATAATTCTCAAAAATTTAGCTGAAACAGTAGATTCCAAAAATCATGTAATTTTAGAAAATTAATTTCAGGAAAAATTTGAATTTTTATCCACAGTACTCAAAAAATTATCAAAATTTTAAATACATCATAGAACAACTTTCCCTTGAAAATAGTTTCAAAAAAAAATCCAAACATCAATCTACAATCTATATTTCTGATCTACTTTTTCTCCCGATAATCCTAGGTTACTGTGGGGTCCCGAAACGAACATTCTCAATCCTTGTTTTTTTTTCAGTGGGTAATAAATGTGAAGACAATGAACGAAGAGTTGTTCTTGAATCTGATGCTCGAAATTATGCCGATTCAATGAATATCAAATTGTTCGAAACTAGCGCTAAAGAAGATCGAAATGTTGAACCGGTTAGTTGAAATTCACAAGTTTTGAGAAATTATTCACCTAAAAAAATTTGCAGATGTTCTCCTGTATCACTCGACTTGTTCTAACTGCCAAACTCGCAAATCCAGCCGCTTCTTCACCCCAACAACAACGTACTGGCGGAGTGTCGTTGAAAGACAATGGAACAAATCAGCAGAAAAAGAAGTGCAAGTGTGGATAACTCATTATTTTTATTTAGCTTTTGTTTTTGCAAATTTCTCTACTGATTGATCAAAATAATCTTTCACTTTCCTATTCACAGGTGATGGGAGAAAAGTGAAAAATTGGTGCAATTTTGACCAAAAGTTTTAGGTCAAAATTTGCTCATAAATTAGCCAAAAATCACCGATTGGCCAAATCTAATTGTAAGTCTTTTTGACGAAAAAAAAACGAATTTTTGAATTATTAGTTAAAACTTGGTCAAGCTCCCACCACCTGTGTTCTATCGCTCCCTCATTTTTCTTTATTTTCGCTGATTGCAATTTTATAACCCCCAACTAGAGCTGCAAAAAATCCGCCCGCCGCTCATGCCAGTCGGGTAATTTGCCCCCCGGCCCGGCTCGAACACCCTCGATAGACTATGATCGATTTGCCCGGGTAGCCCGCACCCGTCTGCCTGTTTGCCCGATTTGCCCGTTGCCCGTCACACCGTGCATTTTCTTCTCTTTTTCTTTTCTATCTCTCGTTTTTTTGCACTCTCTCTCACTGTTTTTTTGTTTTCACACGTGTGAATGCACGGTGTGGCGGGCAAAACGGGCAAAAGAAGCAAAGGGGCAAGTGTATGCGGGCAAACGGGCAAATCGGGTAAACGAGAAGGCAGGTGCGGGCTACCCGGGCAAATCAAGAATGTGTGAGCGGGGGGCATCGGGCAGTTTTTTTGCAGCTCTACCCCCAACTAACCTTTTGTTTTGAATCGGACCCAGAAAATGAAGAAAATTAAGGCTCTTTTCTCAAAAATCGGAGCTTCATAAATTAGTGAAAAAATTCTCTTCGTGAATTTTTGATCCTTGAATCATTTCAAACATCCTCCATTTTCTACCAGATTTTTCGAGTCCGATTCAAAAACTTCCCTAACTTATTCCAAAAAAACTAATGTGCATAAATTTTGTGATTAAAACTTTTCATATTTGACAAAAAAAGAGATCTTTTTGCAACGGATTCGGATTCAAAAACAAAATACAACAAATTTGTGGGGCAATAATAATAGTTAAAATTTACAGATTTTCGATTCGCAGAGGTCGATTTTCAGCCATGAGTTTGATCATCTTCAACAAAATCGTGAGCTTGTTCACGAGTGACGACATCAATATGCGACACTTTGTTGCGGAAACGAACTCCGAAGAATTTTTCGGCTGAGGCTAATAATTCGGGTCGGAAGGTTGTGGTAATGAATTGGGCATTTTCAGAGAGTTCGTGAATCATGTCTGAAAATTATAATAATTTTAATGAACATTAAATTTGATATAAAAACTCACCAGCCACTGCTTTTCTGTGTTGTGCATCAAGAGCTGCGTCAATTTCATCGAATAAGTAAAATGGAGCAGGATCACACATCTTCAAGAAAACATTATGAATTTTTAGGAAAAAAAAGAAGTTAGATCTACCTGAATCGCAAAAATAAGAGCCAATGCAACAAGTGATTTTTGTCCTCCAGATAATTGTTGCATTTCTCGAGTTTCAGCATCTCCAGCATCAGAAACGAATGAAACCTGGAATATTGAAAGAATTGCAATTTTTCCCAAATCTCATACCAAAAAACTCACCAATATCGCAATTCCAGTATAAGTTTCAACAACATTCATACTTCCTTGTTCAATTTCTTGCGATTGCGAATCATTTGCCGGATCTCGAATCTGCATCACAAGTTTTCCTTGTCCTCCAGGAACCAATTTCTTGAAAACATCTTTGAAATTTTTGGAGACTTGTTTGAATGTCATCTGAATCGCCTCATATTTGCGGGCTTCCAAAACTTTCAACAATTCTTCGATCGACTGAAAAAAATGTGGAATTTGAGAGAGAAGATGGGTTTTACAGCTTTGTGAAGTAAACATTTTTAATTTTTTGATTAGAAGGATTTCTAATAGAAATCATTTTTGTGAACATTTTTCCCCGAAAATTTGAGAAATTCAGGCTATAAATTGTTTCGAAACTCAAGAAAAAATTCATGGCTAATTTATAGTGAGATTGGGATTTTCTGTGATAAATCCGGAAATTTTCCTTCACAAGCTTTTTCCAATCAATTTCAATTAAAAATTTCAAAATTACCGATTCCGATTTCAATTGTTCCTCCATTCGTTTTGCCAACTCATCTTTCTGTGTCGATGCAGTCAAATATTGATCCAACGCTTTTTTGTTAACATTTTCATATTTTTTCAATTCATTCACACAATTTCCCAATTTTTTCTCCAATTCTTTATGCTTCATATTTTGATATTTCGAAAATGCTTCAGTTGGCAACGCTCCAAGTTGTCTCAATTTCTTCAAACTCTCTTCTCTTTTCGTCTGCAATGCTGCTTGTTTTGTACAAATTGTATCAGATTGTTTTGCAAATTCAGCGAGTTGAGTTTCCAAATCTTTTTGTTGTTCTTGAACATCATCAATATTTCTGTTCAAATTCTCTGATTTTTCTTCATATTCTTGCAAACTTTCTTCTAATTTTGCCATTTGTCCTCTCAATTCAACTAATCGATTTAACAAAGATGTCAATTCAGCTTGATGTGATTGCAATCGATGTCTTCTTTCATTTTCCGAAATATCGTCTATTTTTGCCGACAGATTTTCTTGTTTTTTCAACAAATTCGTTTTCAAATGATTTTCCAATGTTCGTTTTCGATGTTCTAAATCACTTCTTTGTTTGGCAACACCTTCCAATTCTGCGCGTAATTGACTGACACTTTTCTAAAAAAAAACATTTGGGTGATTTTTCAGATGACTGCGCCAATTTTATAATTTTCTCTCATTTTGGAAAAAAGTGTTTTCTCAACTTTTTTTTATATTTCGAACTTTATGAATTTTAGAAAATAATCAGAAGTTTTCTGGAATTTTCATTTTTCAACCAACATGCCCACAAAATTCCAAACTAACTCTCAATGTATCGACCGTAGTTTGATCATTAGTTGATAATTGAGATTGCATTGCAGTTCCAATTTCCTCTTCATATCCTTCTCGTTGAGCAATCAATTCACGTCGACGATTTTTTAATTGAACCAATTGATTTTTCTGGAAGAAAAGAAGCGAATAAACTTGGAATAATTTGATTAATTTTCTAAGTACCTTTTTAATATCTGTATTCTCAATAAAATGAGATTGATAAATTCAACAAAACAATGCAACATTTTTGAAACGTATTTTTTCGACAAATTTTTTTTCAAAAAAAAAATGGTTCGATTCGGTTTCATTGAAAGTTAGATAATTTTTCTATCAAAATTTCAAAATTGTATACCTTTGGTTCTTTATTCCTCGCCAATAATGTAAATTGTTCATTCAATGCTCTTCGTCGATCAGTCAATTGTGAATGAAGATTACGATATTCTCGAATCTCTTCTTCAGTTTGTGACATCTTTGCTCGAATTTGCTCCATATTTTGTGTTTTTTCTCGAACCTTCTTCTCAATTGCGTTGAAAGTTTGTTTGAGTTTTTCCAATTCTTCTTCCATTGTTCTTTTCTGATTGTGAATTTCAAGTTTATTTCTTTTTGTATCAATAAATCCACCAGTAAGTGCTCCGCGTCGAGAAAGTTGATCTCCGTCAAGAGTAACACAATCAAATCCTTCTTTTCGAATATTTTTAGCAGTTTCCTGAAAATGAAGATTTCTAATTTGGTTTCTCGACTACCAAAACCACAGAAAATACCCAGAGATAAAAAAAAACTCACATCCAATCTTCTAACCAACGCAACATTCGCAAAAATACTTTTAATAACTTTATCATATTTGACATCATAATCAACAACTTCACAAAGTGGTCGACAATCTGCACTACTTGCCAAATATCTCTCTTTTGGTGCTTGAACACGATTCAATGGGAAGAAATTGATTTCACCAGCACATTGCATTTCATTGAATTTTCGCAAAATCTTAGTTGCAACTCGATCTGTTCCAACAACATGATAGAATAAACGAGTTTGGGCGATGACTTCGACGGCGGTGATGAAAGCGGATTCAACCCATGTTAGATCCATAACAGTACCATAATATCCTTCAATGACGTCATCGTGTTCACCGTTTCGATTATTTTCTCGGAAATAATCGAGAACTTTGCGAATTCCAATTAATCCGTTGTAAATTGGCTGAAAATTAGGACGGATCAATTAACACAAAATTTGCCATAATCTTACCCTCGAAGTCAATCTTCTCATGTTATCATTACAAGCAGTTATTTCAGTTTCCATCGAACTCATTTGATCACGAATTTGTTTCTCTTCTCGATTTGCAGCCCTGAAATATCACATTTAATAAGAGATTAATTAATTAGTAACTAACATTTGCTCGTTGATAGCTTTATCATATTCTTGTTTCAAACCAGTTGATCTTTGACTTTTACTATCCAATTCTGATCTATTTTCCTCAATTTGTCTACCCAATGCTTGAATTTCCGAATTCAATCGTTCATCTTCAATTTCAGTATCCTTGATTTCTTTTTCAATACTTTTCACTTGATCATCTGTATCTGCTGTCAAATTTCGGAGTCTTTTAACTTCTTTAGTCAGAAATTTATCGCGATCGTCTTGTGAAGAGAATTGCGATCTTTGTCCTTGTTTCGCAAGAATTTCACGCATTCTTGTCTCATTGATTCGAACATCTGTGATAATTCTAGATTCTTCTTCAACAAGTTTTTCATATTCTGGATTGATTGTTTCGAGTTCGTTTTGTTTTTCGATGATTTCAGCGCGAAGTGTATTCAATGTTGATTCGGCTGTACTTTTTCCTTGGCGTTCTCTGAAAATTATATAACCCTTCAATTGTATTTAAAATACAAAATTCTAACCTGTTTGTCTCTTCTGTTAAATCTCGAATCTTCAAATTGAGCTGTGCTTGTTTGGCCACCAATTCAGTCTCTTCTGATACTAATATTTCCTTTTCCTCTTTCATTCCTTTGAATTGCGAATCTAATTTTCTTTTCTCAGCTGCTGTTCTTGATTGTTGACTTTGAACTTGTGCTAATTCGCTGGTAACCATATGATTTCGATTTGTCAATTCATCTCGTTGATCATTCAATTTCGACAACTCCTTTTTCGCATCATTCACTGTATTTTCATACATCGCATATTCAATACTTCTCTTCGTTTTATCCCATTTCTGATACTCTTTCAAATCCTCTTTTTCATTTTCCAAAGTTTTCAATCGTTCTTCAATATACTTCAAAAGTCCTTCGATTTTCTCAGTTTTTGTGCGAGTTTCCTTCAAAATCTTCAAACTTTCCTCTTTTCTCTCGTCATAAACACGAGTTCCAGCAACTTCTCTCAACAATTTCAATCGATGATGATCTGGCGAAGTTGCCAATTCATTGATTTTACCTTGTTTCACAATATAATATGGATTTGAGCGAGAAAAACCAGCGGATTCCATGAGATTTACAACTTCAGCTCTTGCCACAATTTTCGAATCAATTGTATATTGATCTTTCTTTTTACCAACTTGTCTAACAACTCGAACTTCTGTTCCATCAATCGCCATAATACGACGATCCGAATTATCGAATACGATTTCAACACGAGCAAGAGTTTGTTTAGGTCCTGTACTTTCGTGCAACATTCCTAATCTTTGCTCTTCACGCAAATGACTGAACTCATCAGATAAAACGAATTGAATTGCTGAAATTATTTTATATTTTTCAAGTTAATTTTAATGTAAATATCTCACCCAAGAAAAAGTTCGATTTACCACTACCATTTCGACCTACAACAACATTATGTTGGGGTGAAAAACCATCAACAACTGTATTATCCTTGTAACTCCGAAAACCATTGATTACGACCTCTTTAATATGCATTTCGAATATTCATCAGCAGTATTTAGAGGCTGGAAAATATAATTATTAAAATTCAAATATGTGCTACTAATTGCGAATACGATAATTGAAAACTGACAATAGAAACAGAAAATGAGCGAGCCAGTAAAGTGGAAAATTTATCGGTTAAATTTTTGGCGGGCGGCCGAACTCTACGGAAAACTAGTCCGCGCGTCTCCACTGTGAACGAGAAAATTGTGAATTCTATTCGATAATAACGGAAAAAGTTGATGAAATTTAGCGAAATCCGGTCAAAAACTTTTAATCAGACATCGCGAAGAAGAAACGAGAAAACTCACATAACATAATGCATTTTTTTCAAAAAATGAATTTCTACTAGACAAGTTCACGTATTCATCAATAAACCAATAATTGCGTGAACTTGTTCATTTCTATTTATTTACTTCATGTTTCTCACGTCAAAACAAAAACCAACAAAAAAAAACCAAAAGAAACACGAAAAACAAAAGTAAAAAACGAACAGTTTACTGTACCAAACAGGTCTCGTAGCGATTTTGACTGATACACATGTGCGCCTTTCAACTTTTTAGGGCAAAAATTTGAATTTCTGTTTTTCATTTCTTGATTTTTTTGTCGTCGCCGGAGAGGTGAGACTGCAATCCGAGTCGTTGTTGTTGGTCCTTTTCTTAAGAATTTCAAAGGGGGTCGATACTATTTCCGTTGTTATTGTGATTGCTTCGAAACTGAGATTCTTGATTTTATTTTATTTCCAATTCCATAATTTTTCTTTCAAAAAAATTTTACAGCACAAAATGGAGGATGAAAACGTGGCTCCAGTGAAAAGAGGACGAGGTCGTCCACTAAAAACCGACCAACCACCACTCACAGAAAAACCAAAATCGACTGCGAATATTCGTAAAGGAAGATCAAAGAAAGATTCTCCAGAATTGGAGAAGGACGAGGAAGTGCATGTCGCTGAAGAGGCCGCTGAACCAGTTGAAGTAAAAACTGCTGGCGGACGAGGCCGCAAGAAGGCTGTTCAACAAAAACCAGAACTTGAAGGAGAGAAGGAAGTTCACGCTGCTGAGAAAGTCGTTGAACCAGTGGAAGAAGTGGAGAAGCCAAAGCCGGCTGGCGGACGAGGCCGAAAGAAAGCTGTTCAACCTCAAGAAGAAGTTCAGGAGGAGGATGAAATTCATGGCGCCGAGGAAGCCCCTGAACCAGTTGAAGCTCCAATTCCAAAATCTGCTGGCGGACGAGGACGCAAAAAGGCTGTTCAACCAAAAGTTGAAGTTCAAGAAGAGGAAACGCATGGCGCCGAGGAAATCCCTGAAGCTGTTGGAGAAAATGAAAAACCGAAAGCTGCTGGTGGACGTGGTCGCAAGAAGGCTGTTCAACAAAAAACCGAAGTTCTTGGTGAACAAGAGGAACAACCAGAACTTCCGGTCGAAGTTGCTGAACAATTGCAAGTTGCTAAGGATGCTGGTGGAAGAGGAAGAAAGAAAGCTGCTCCAGCTGCGGTAGAAGAAACGAAGGAAGATGATGAAGAGAAGGACCAAGGAACTTCATCTGGAGCTGGTGCCAAGCGTGGTCGTCAACCATCGTCTAAGAAAATAGAAATTGTTGCAAAACAAACTGTTGAAAAAGACGAGGCTTCACAAGAATCGGCCGAGGAAGAAGATCAAATCCCTACAGAAGAAGCCGCAGAACCAGAAAAAGGTATTTTCATCACTAATTTTTTACAATTTAAATTTATCTGTTTCAGCTCCAGTCAAAAAAGCTCGTGGCGCCAAAGCACAAAAGACACCAGCAACTCCGGAGAAAGTTGCCGCGGAAGAACACGAAGAAGAGACAGCGGAGCTTGTGAAAGCTGACAAAAAAGGTAGTGTTTTTTTTCAAGCTGATTGTCCCATAAAACAATTTTCCAGCCACAAAACGAGGTCGCCCAGTCGTCAACAAACCAAAGCCAGCAGCTGGCGCAAAGCGCGGAAGAACCGCACAAGTTCAAGAAGAAGTCGTCGAAAATGACGACGAATAAACTATTCATGAATCCTTGTCAATTTTAAATTAACAATTAATGTTTTCATTTATAGATTTTTGTCAAATAAATTTTTTGAGTAAAAAGCTGTAATGAATTTAAAAAAAAGAGAATCGTTGCCACGAATTTATTTATTTATTTTTCTTGGCGTGAACGTGACACAAATTAGGGATGACGATTCACATCGAATTTATTTATAACAATTTTGAAATGGCAGAACAAACAGCTGATCTAAATGAAGGCGATCGTGTACTTATATCTGAAATTTTTCCAAACTATTCTCAAAGAAGAAATCTATATTCTCAACTTATGTGGACAAAAATGCATTTATTGGTTTGTAATTAGGAAAAACCACTTCAAACTTTCCAAAAACGAAAAATTTCAGCTTCTCGGTCATGTTGGCTACTTGAAAAGCATTGATCGCGAAAAACAAATCGGTGTAGTTGTTGTAATGTACGTGCCAGATCCGGAAAAATTCGAACTTTGTCAAGCAACTTGTGAATGGCCATTGGGATCATTGAAGCATCCAAGAAAAGTTTTCTTTGCTTGCGGCGATTCGATTGCATTGACACGTGGAAAAGATACTGTATGTTGTTGAGTTGAAAGGGAAAATGTTGAATATTTCGGAAATATTGGAAAATGATTTTTTTAAAGAAAAATTAGGCGAATTGAATTTGGGATAATACGATCTTGAAATACCTGAGAAAAGTCGATTTTCCAAAATCATTTTTCCAGGCTTCTGTTGCCGTTGTGTCTCGAGTCGAATTCAACGAACTCGGCGAAGCATCTTATACCGTAATCGCTCGAAATTCCTATGATTCTTATCTCACATATACAATTGAAAATCGTCAATCTCCTTTCAATTCACATCAACAAAAACGTGATATTTTCATTTGTCCAATTTATTCTGGACCTCGTTTAGCTTTTGTTATGCGAGATAATTGTTCGCCAGCTATTCATTCTTATAAGGTAATTTATTGTTTATCAGAAATGTTATTGAATCTTGATTTACAGCATACAATTCATGGATACACAACTGAAAATTTGATGAGTGTTATCAGTAATTGGAGAGATGATAGTAGTTCATATGCAAAATTAGTTGAATCAATTCGCGCGAATCCTGAACAAATTCGAACTGCTGTTGATGGAGAATTGCCGCTTTTTCGAGCAGTTTCAGATGATAATTGGAGCCTTGTTGTTGTTTTATTAGCCCTTGGTGCTGATAAATTTTCGAAAGATTTGAAAGGAAGAAGTATAATTCATATCGCAGCGGAAAGAGGATTTGATAGAATGCTTGAAGGTGTTTTATCATTATTGGAGAAAGAAGTTAATCGAACTACAAAAGAGGGTGATACTCCATTACATTTGGCGGCAAGAAATGCGCATGCAGCTTGTATTGATCGATTATTGGCAACACCTTCTTGTCAATCGAATATTCAAAATGAAAATGGAGATGCGCCTTTGCACGAAGTTTGTCTTTTGGCAGAATCATCGAATAAAAAAGCAGCGATTAGTCGACTTCTAACAAATTCAAGAGCTTCAATTCATCAAACTAATAATAGTAATTTATCGCCTTTGCAAATTGCAATTATGAAAGGACATGTTGGAACAGTTGAACAATTGATTCAACTTCGACCGCCACATCGAAGTATTGGAACGAAATCTGGAATGACACCTCTACATTTTGCTGCGAGTTGTGCTAATGTGAATATTGTTAATAAGTTGGTTGCGGTAGGTTTTTTCTGGGGATTTAGCGATATAAAATGGCCTAGATTTTCAACCTAAAAATTAGGGTTTTCATTCTCGAAATGAGAATAATTTGAAAAATATAAATAGAACACGTCAAAAATATTTTTTTTCCTTTATTTCTCAATGAAACATTTTTGAAATCTGAGAAATTTTAAGCCTGAATAAGCCTAGATTTTTCAATTAAAATTTTTTCTCGAGCCAAATTTTTACCTACAAAACATCAAACACGTTTCCAATAATATAAAAATTCCAAAATTTTTCTCCAGCTTGGAATGGAAGTTCACCGAAAAGATAAACTTGGCCGCGGTGTCCTCCATTACGCAGTCGAAAAATGGACAGGACAAGCTGAAAAAGATATGGCGAGATTGGCATCAATTCAATCACTCGTACATTCTGGTGCTCCTTCAAATGTTGTTGATGTTTATGGACAAACACCACTTCATTTGTTAATTAGAGAAATAATTAAACAAAATGAGACGTATCCAGCTACTTTGATACCGATTTGTGCACAACTTGTTAAGACGAATTTGGTGAGTTGGAGTTTGGAGAGGGGTGTTTTTTTGGGGAAAAGTTTTTGCGAATTTTCATCCTTTGAGTTTTGATATGCCTTAATTTTCATCTGAAAAATATAAATATTTCAGAACTTGGATGAGATGGCTAGTCGACTTCGCCCCCATTGGCAATTGGCTACAATGTGCTTTTTCGTTGCAAATGGAGCTGATATTAATATAAAGTAATCCTCTCCTTTTCTCTCTAAAAATCTCTCTAAAATTTCCAGAGATCGAAAAGGTTTGACAGTTTTGGATTTATGTCAAGAATCTACAATTCGCCCGGTAATTGTTCATATTTCAAATATCAAAATTCGATCTTGCCTTCCGATGGTTTCAATGAATTGCAATGGAACATTTGACAGTGCCGAAGTTACGATGTGCACATTTATGTGTCAAGATAATATTGCGAGTGTTCGATTTGTTCCGTGTGGACATCGTGTTGCGTGTGTTGATTGTGCCCAGAAAACAGCGTTTCGTCGATGTCCGTTGTGTTATCAGATTATTTCGCAGGCACAGGATAATCGTGAGTTTTTTCAGATTTAAATTTGGGTTGAGGTTTGGAAAAAACAGGGGATTTTTTGGAATTTAATAAAGGACTTGTATCAACGTCAACATATTGGCAAATAAAGAGAAAAATCAATTCCCATATTCAATAAAAATAAAATGTTGCAAACAATTGTCCGCTCACTTTTTTTTCATTTTATAAGCTGTAAATTTTCAGTTTTTGGACCTCTGAGATTCTCAAATTTAGAAATTTTTGAAAATTGTACTCTGTTTCACAACTGATTGGCCGGGGTGTGAATTTGACGAAGTTTTTTGATTTTTGAATATTTTTTTTGGAAAATTTTGTATTAGTTTTTTTTTCGAAATTTCAACGATAATTCTCCAGAAATTTCTGATTTTGAACGTTTTAAAAATTTTAACAAAATGACTATTTTTCAAATAAATAATCAAACTTGATTGATCGATTCTCACACACATAAAAAATCACAACCGTCAACAAATATTATTTATTTTTGCAGTTGGAAATGAAGTTATAATTGGTTGTCGTGCTGGTGAATCAGTCGATGTTGCGGAAAATTCTGCGATATCCGAACAAATTATGAAGAAAATCGCAGAAGACGCGGCTCGTGAAGCGAAAATTGCAGTTGAACACGAAAAAATGATTGAATTGAAAGCGTTGCGCGAAAGATTGGAACAACTTGAGATGGAAACTAGTTGTGCAATTTGTATGGATTCGAAAATTACGGTTGGTTTTCGATTTTGAACATTGAGTTCAAAAAAAAAAAATTATATGTTTAGCTTGTGTTTAATTGTGGACATACTGCTTGCTCGGATTGTGCATCGAAATTAAAATTGTGCCATATTTGTCGGAAAACTATTGAATCAAAACAGACTATTTACTCGTGAAGCGAAACTTTTCCCCGAAAACGTAATTTTTTCACCAAACTAAAATATGAGTAGAATAAAAGTGTTTTTTATACGTGGCCTAGCAACCGACACAGCCAAATGTTCCACGTTTTTATTTCGAAGCGCCGCCGCATTTTTTATTTATTTTATATTTATAGTATTTGAACAGTAGCTAGGGCCATTATCTAACAATATGCTTCGATATATTATTCCACGAAGAAAAGCGAGTTTTTTAGCTGGATTTCTAGTAACTTTTGTGTTTTTTGCATTTATTTTTCTGTCTGATAAACCGAGAAGATTCAAGTTTCCGAATATTGGTGGGTTTGAAATATTTATTTTTCACTCAAAGAAAACATAGTTTTTTTGCAGAAAAGCTAGCTGAAGAAGTGGTTCGAATACCGGAAAAATGGAATGGTGAAATGCACGTGCGACCAGATTATAGTGTAGCAAGGACAGGACCAGGAGAAAATGGAAAACCTGTTATTTTGACCGGAGACGATGCGATTCGAGGAGAACTTGATATGAAGACGTGGTTTATGAATACACATGCGAGGTTGGATTTTTGACAAGGAATATTTTAAAAAATATTGGAAAAAATTATACAGTAGTCTCTAATCTTCGCAACGAGACCCATATCTTGCTACGTTTCAAAATTACAATGAAAAACCAAAAATTAGCAAAATCTTGACCAAAACGCAAGAAAATTTTTTAAATTCCAGTGACAAAATCTCATTGGATAGAGATGTGCCGGATCCGCGAATTGAAGAATGCAGAAAAATAAAATACGATTTGCAAAACCTCCCGAAAGCCTCAGTTATTATCATATTCACTGATGAAGCTTGGACTCCTCTATTACGAACAGTTCATTCAGTTGTAAATCGAAGTCCGCCGGAATTATTGCATGAAGTAATTTTGTTGGATGATAATAGTCAGAGAGGTATGAATTATATGGACTTTTGGTCTCACAGAGATTTCAAGTTTTGTGTATTTCTCGTGGACAATTTTTCGAAAAAAAAATCATTTTTTTCAGAGGAACTCCATTCGCCGCTTGATGAGCATATAAAACGATTTAATGGATTGGTGAAACTTGTTAGAAAGAATGTGAGACACGGATTAATTCGAGCAAAATTAGCGGGTGCTCGAGAAGCGACTGGTGAAGTTATTGTGTTTTTGGATTCGCATTGTGAAACAAATCATGGATGGTTGGAACCATTAGTTCAACGAATTCATGACAAAAGAAATGCAATTATTTGTCCAACAATTGATATGATTTCGGCTGAAACTATGGCATATTCTGGATCTTGGTCATTGGCTGTTGGTGGATTCTCTTGGGCATTGCATTTCACTTGGGAAGGAATGCCGGAAGATGAAAGATTGAGAAGGAAAACTGAAACTGAGTATATTCGATCACCAACTATGGCTGGAGGATTGCTTGCTGCAAATCGAGAATATTTTTTCGAAGTTGGTGGATATGATGAAGAAATGGATATTTGGGGAGGAGAGAATTTGGAGATATCATTTAGAACTTGGATGTGTGGAGGATCTATTGAATTTATACCATGTTCGCATGTTGGACATATTTTCAGAGCTGGACATCCATATAATATGACAGGTTGGTTCATTTTGAAGAAAAAAGATATTTGAGCTATGTCGATTTGCAAAATTGACAGTTGTAATCTCAATTTTTATCACTTCAAAATCCCTATTTAAATTCCAGGAAGAAATAATAATAAAGATGTTCATGGAACAAATTCGAAAAGATTGGCTGAAGTTTGGATGGATAGTTATAAAAGATTGTATTATATGCATAGAGAAGATCTAATAAATAAAGATGTTGGAGATTTATCATCGAGAAAAGAATTGCGACAAAAATTGAATTGTAAATCATTCAAATGGTATTTGGATAATATTGCAAAAGGACATTTTATCATGGATGAAGATGTGAAAGCATATGGAACTGTTAGTTTTCTTTCCTCGTATTTTTGCTTCAAATAATTATATTTCAGCTGATGACTCAAGTAAAAGATAGTCGAATGTGTATTGATACTTTGCAAAAAGATGAGAAGCACTCGAATTTGTTGGGAGTTTTTCCGTGTCAAGGAAAAGGAAGTGCATCGCAATTGATGTCATTGTCAAAAGAGGGAAATTTGAGGCGAGAAACGACGTGTGCAAGTGTTGAAAATGATAAAAATGTGCGGATGAAGATTTGTGCGCGAGATGCGAAGCATAATGATGAATGGGTTTATGAGGTGAGCATTTTTTGGGAAATTTATAGATTTTGGGGGTGGAAAATCTGAATTTTCTTTCTGGCACTTAAAAATTGTATATTTGTGTTCTCTCAGATTTTCCATAATTTCTCTAGATTCCAAGTTTTCAGAATTCCCTTCTCCGAAATGTCCGATCAAATCGATGTTTATCAACAGCTCAACTCAAAGCCAGTGATGATATAATTGTAACAGAATGCGATGAAAATGATCCGCATCAAAATTGGAAATTCCTAGACCCGCGGGCTTAATTTTTAGGCTGAGCCTAACTTTTTTCTAGTCAATAATCAAAAAACTTGTCCATTTTTATTCCAAAAATGTAAATATTTATTGAATGGGTTGTTCTACAGTATTTTTTGGGTTTGCAGTTTTCTTGTGATTTTTTGTTTTTTTTGTTATTTATGAAATATTTATTGCTCAGATTAGTTATTTTCTGGGAAAGTTTGAACTCTTTCGAATATATTTTTAAATGTTTTTTCGAAAAATTTCAGATTTTTCTAGATGTCTGAAGCGGGAGATATTGCAAGTCTTGCTCCAGGGCCAATTGAAGGTGTTGAATATCCATTGAAGGTTCTGTATTGTGGACGTAAGGATTTTTGAGGGGGGGGGGGATTTTTTGGGCTGAAAATTTGACAAAATTTTCTAATGACTTTGAAAATTGAAATTAATTATTTCATAAAAATCATTGGAAGTAATTTTTAGACTGAAAACTTAATATGAATTATATTTCAAGAAAAATTCAGGAATGTTTTAGATATCCAGAAAAAAGGCGAAAATTTAATCCAAGTCTCTAAAAATTCTACAATCCTAAATACATTTTCTATAACATTTTTCATTAAACATTTGAAAATTTCAATCTAAAGTTCAGAATCTCAGAAAAACTGAATATATTTCATAATTCAATATTTTTCAGAGTTTTTTAGTTTTGAAAAATTTTATATATTGCATATAAATTTTGCCACGTCATAACTCATTTCACATGTTTTTTTCTTCAGAATGCACAATGCCATTGGAATATTGCGATTATTCGGGACAAACTGAATTATGTCGCGCTTGGGCCACTCAAAATGTTCCGGATCTTCTCGAAGGTTTGAATATTGATGATTCGAAAGGTGGAGATGAAAAAAAACATCAGACGAGAGGAGGAAAAGGATCGAAACCGGTGAAGGTATTCATTTTTCAAAGTTTTTAAATTTTATCCTATATTTTTGTGTGTATTTAGGAAAAGAAGAAGGCTAGCGGCGGAGTTCAAAAAGTTACAGTTCAACGAGAACCACGTGGCAAAAAGTCGGTGACAGTCATCAAAGGTCTCGCCACATTTGAAATCGATTTGAAAGTGGCCGCCAAATTTTTCGCGCAAAAATTCGCGTGTGGAAGTTCGGTGACTGGAAATGATGAGATTGTTATTCAAGGAGATGTCAAAGATGATCTTTTCGATTTGATTCCTGGAAAATGGGCACAAGTTACTGAAGAACATATTGATGATTTGGGAGACAAAAAACGATAATTTATGTATCCATGTTTTTGAATAGCTTCTCTTTTCTTGTTGAATTGAATTGAACTTTTTTATTTTACAAAATGAAATGAACTCGTATTTTTCTTTGGAATTTGAATTGTAAATACATGAGATATTGAGAAATTATGGCCGGAAAGAATTTCCAATATAGATCCATTTCTTCTTTTTCTCCTCTTCAAGTGTTAATTTCAGCTTGGCCATTCGAACATCGTGAAGTTCTGAAAGATTTGGAAATTATAGATGGAATTTCTATATTTACGATTAGCAAAAACTCACTACGCTTCATGTCGCTCATATTTTCCTGATCTTTACTTGCAAGCAATTGTGGACCTGAAAATTGAAAAGTCGTTTTTTCCTTTCTGAATTTATTGCGTGAAAATTTGTCTGAAATCGAAAGAAAATCTTTAGAAAACCTGAATCCAGCTGAAAAACTGAATATTTTTACGAAATTTCCAGTTTTTAAAGAAAAATGAGATCTTCCAATTGAGATTTTCACAAAAAAGTGAACCTAATTTATTTCTCAATTCAAAAATTCCATTTCCAGATTTATCACGTTATAACTCAGAAAAAAACTCACTGATTTTCGGGTAGTACATTTGCGCCTGAAAAATGAAAAGTTTTCAGAAGAACAAAACAAAAAAACGAAACATTTTCGAAGAGACGAGAGAGTGGAGGGTTTAGAGATGAAGAGAAAAGGAAAAACGGCTCCTTCAATTTTTTGCGGGCGAAAGATCAGGATAAACGAAAGCTAGCTATTTTTTAGTTTTGAAAAAAAAATTTTACAGAAAACTTTTTTCGATATTAAAAAAGCGGAAAAACATGACGTTTTGAAATTTGCTCGTGTGTTTTTGTTTGTTTTGTGATCTCTTTCTCTCTCTCGTTTTTCCCGCGGGGAGCACAATATTACTCTTTTTTTGAACAAATTTTTGCTCATGATTTTCATTTAGGTGTTCCCTTAACATTTAAGCTAACTTTAGGAGCGTTAACAAATTGTTTTATGACAAACTTTAAAAAAAATTATAATAATTTGAACGCTGTGCACACAGATTGCGCCAATCTTAAAGATTGGTGCGTTTTCTGTATACTTGCGGGAAATTAAAAATTTCAAATATCTAATATTTCTAACAACCCTAAAGGTTTCCATAGTTGCATATAAATATTTTACATAGGGTTTCATATTTCATTCATTTTTTCTCCCACGAAAATTATTTTCTCTTTCTTTTTTTCGAAAAAATGTTTTTGAAAAATTGTTTTGTTTTTTTCCTTAGTCATCGACTGTACGATTTTCATTTTGTTCTAATTTTCATTTCACCAATTTTCCAGCATAGATTTTCAGACCAGTTTATTTATTATACCAAATAAAATTCAATGGAAAGGGGAAAATAAGTTTTTTTGTTATGTTATCAGTTAGTTTTTATCATATCGTATAATATTCTCGTTTTTCTTACATTCACCTCTTCTCTAAATATTTTTGAAATTGGAAAAAATGGCGAATTTGAAACGACGTAAAAGTTTAGGATCTATTTTATTCCGCCGGAAAAATAACAATACCCGGGGAAGAAGAATGAGCACAACATCAAGAAGGTCCGCATCAATTTCATCAAATCAATTTGCTATAGAATCGTGAGTTATGGCTTTAAACTTGGGAAACAAAACTTTGGAGAAAAAAAAGAAAAATAAATGACTATCGTAGTTTTTCAAAGAGACAAGAGAAACAGAAAATGGGTCTCGCCGCGACACACAACAGAAGAGCGAGGGAAAAGCTACGGTAGCAAACAAGTTTGAAAAAAAATATTTTCGTTTTTTTTTCTTCAAATTTTCTAAATTTTTACACGTTTTCTTTGTTTGAAACACGTGAAATGGATCCACCTTCTCATTTCGATGTTTAAAAATGTATGAAAGTGATTGGACATCTCATTGTTGTTCACCCATCTCTCAAAAATCTCCTATTCTAAGCTGGCCAACTCAAAAATCATCGCCAAAGTATTTAGAGCGTCTATAATACTCTCAGGAATATTTTCTAATTCCAGAAATAGCGAAAAATCAGGATGGCTTCAAAAATGGACAAATTATATAAAAGGATATCGCCAGCGTTGGTTTGTACTGGATTCGAATGGCATGTTGAGTTATTACAGGTTAGTTTTTCCCTCACTCGGGCATTTTTTTGAGTTACAAAAAAATGGGAAGTTTTTAAAAATAACAAAAAAACTTGTTTCTTATCTGATTTCTTCTTTTTTTTCGCCCTAGGAATACAGTATTTGTACTTTTTCTATTTATTCGTTTATGAGTAAATATAAATATGTAGTTTGCAAGTTTTTTATAGGCTGGCTGGATTCGAAACGTTTTATGCGTTTTTCCTCACTTCAGCAAACACTTTTTGAATATTATTTTTTGTAAGAAAATTTTAATTTTTCAAATGCAGAAAAAAACGAAAAACAAAATATACAGAATATTATTTTGATGAGACATCACAGTTTAGGAAAAAATACAAAAATAAATGCATATTTTGTATTTTCGACTTTTTTCTGCATTAAAAATATATTTTTGCTTCCCGAACATGGGGCTAATAACACAACTGAAAAAAACAATTACCAAAAATTGTGATTTTCGTACAATTTTCGGGTTTCACGAAGTTTTGTTTAGCGCATCCAGCCTAGTTACTTGCCCAGGCTGATCTTGACCCGAACAAGAACCTAACCCGGGCTTTTGTGCAGGATTTGAGCTCGCCCAAAACTATCAAAAATTTGTTTCTCGTTTCTAATTTTAATTACACCTTTGAAAATGTTCCAAACATTCTATATTTCATACATTCGGTTTTTCCTACACACACATATCATTATCCAGTTGATCGATCTAATCTTGTCTGACCTCCTCTCCAATTCTTCTCGCCTTTCCTCCTTTTCTTTTTTTTCTTGGCGAAAAACTCATCCACCTATCTACCTCGATTCGATTGTATAACAGTTTTCCTTCGTTTTTTCCATCTCTCCGTCTCTATTTACACACACACTCTTTTTTTTGGGCACGATCAAATGCAAACGCATTTAAATATTTGATTATTGATTTTTTTTCAAAAATTTTTTAACATGAGTCATGGTTTTTATTGACCAACGTTTTTTGTCTTGAACAGAGTATTGTAGTTTGTTTTTTGTTATCTAGAGTCGCATATATTGAGAGACGTCAATTCGAGAAAAAAAGTTTGAAGAAAAAACTTCTGGAGAGAATTTGTAGGCGTGGCTTAAATTCAAACATCGTATAGTTCTTTTCTCTAACGTAAGTAATTATTATTTCGAGCCAAGAAGGAGTCTAAAGTTACAAAAACCGTGCGGTAGTTGCATTTAGGCCACGCCCAGAAATCTTTTCCAGCGGGAATTTGAATTATTTTCTATCTAATTATACTCGTTTTTTGTCGATTTCTCTCATCTCGATATCATTTTGCAGGCTAATATCATTCGCCATAACAACTTTTTTCTCTCGCTTATTTCATCCTCGAATTGTTTCATTTTCGCCTCTTATCTTCTGCTAACAACATAAAAAATGTTGATTTGATTTGTCACTTATTCTTTTTCTTCGATTCGATTTTTTTTTGTTGCCCGTACTTTTTTTGCCTGATAAAAATGGGCGGCGCTAACAAAAAAAATAATATCGATTCCGAAAATGAGGGACATTATCAGAGAAAACAGTGGAAATTGCTGCGACGAATGGGAACATTGCGTGGACGACTACGAAAAGCGAGGAAGCATTTCACGGGGTGCGCATTTCCGGTCAGAAGAAAGACACGGTTTTCGAATGGAGATTCGAAGTTTTATGATGATGAAGATGGAGAAAGTGATATTTATCAATCTGCTGTTGATGTCAGGTATTATATTATTTGATGTTCTGAAATTCTGCTCTCTGAAATCTCTGAAATATATAGTAATATAAAAAGGGAAAAGGGCAACATTTTCAATCGAATTTTTGAAATATCTCATTTTTCTTACAGAAGTCCCAATGAAGTTGGACACACTTGTCGTGGAAGTGTTAATATGCAAGAAGCTCGATTACTTCTTGACAAAGTTAGTTTTTCCTTCCCCCTAAATTTATCTAGCAAAAAATGATAATTTTCAGTCGACAAGTGCAATTGTGATATCTGCAGCATCTCAAACATTCCACGTGAAAGCGCATAATGAGGAGGATAAAAAACAATGGATTCAAAAATTGAATTATGCACGACATAATGCGATAACAAGAGCTGAGAATGGTAAGTTGGTCGTATTTTGTTGCTGATTATGGTGGTTGAAGGTATACGATTTAATTTGCCACACATAAACACCTATACATTTCGAAAAATATGAAAAAACCATGAACAAAATTTTGCAGAAGAAGCTGAAGATGCTCGATTGAGTTCTGCTGATTTAACCAGATCCGATGTTCTTTTGAGTTCAACAAAAGAATTGGTGGAAAAAATCGAACGAATCGAAAAAAGCGGTTCGAATGTGGCGTAAGTTCAGACTGAACTTTTTCCTTCTTTTTCGTTTTGTTATCTATCATTTTTCTAGATAAGCAAAATGATGAGTTCATGAAATCGTTGACAAATATGACTGAAATTGATCGACATTTGATGGAAGAAAGAATGGATTTATTGAAAGTAAGGTGGTGGATAATTTGGTTGATAATAAGAGGGAAAAATGGGTAAACTTGAAAATAAGTTATGACACGACAAAGTTGAATTCACTGAAAAGAAAGAAATAAGAAAAATAAGCTAGTAAACCATCTTGGCGCACAGTCAATTTTGGTATTTTCTATGCACTTTCAATCACTCTTATTTTGGATTTTTGATTTTTCACTCAAAATCAGCACTAAAACACAATTTCTTCTACCGTACCCCTTCACACATTTTTTTTCTAGATAACCGCCGAAGTTGTTCTGAAATCATTCGATGAATTTGTTGAAATGTCTGAACAACGCGTCAAAAAGCTCACAAAATTAGTTGATCTCGAACAAAAAGAAAAGAAAATGCTGCAGGTTTGTCAATTATTCATTTGTCGTTTTTTTCGTCGTTCTTTTCTCATGAGACATCTCACATTTTGTTATCGATTCATTTCAGGAACAATTCATCGAATTAGCCAAACAACACTCTTCGCTCGAACGCGCCGCCACATTTTGTAGTTCTCGTGGAGGAGAGCCTGTTTCAGCTTATGGTGATCAAGAAGACGAATTTCATGACGCGGAAGAGGAATTGTGAGTTTTCGTGGTTTTTGTGGAAAAAATTTATGGCTTTTCAAGTTCGTCTAAGTTTGAGACCTCTCAGAAATAGATCTATTCAAGCCTTGTTTTCACACTAGGGAAAATACGGCTATAAAATCGACCTTTCAAAAATAGTGGTCAAATATTTTGTGAAAAAAATCAAATTTTTTTTCGTAGAAAAACATTTTCCAAAATTTTCATTTTGAATCACCCCATTACAAAATTGAAAAGAAAAACAAAAAACACATTTTTTTTCCGGGATCTTTATGATTCATAATAATTCATTTTTGTTTCTTCTTGGAAACCAGTCATTTTTCCTCCGATTTTTTTTCAAAACAAGATTTTTGACCTTGAAAAAAACATTTTATTCAATATTTTTTTTCGCTTCAAATACACATTTTTGATTTTGTCCACAACAACCAGAAAAGGAAGTTCAATTTTCTCCTCTTTCCGGTCTAAAAAACGAGCTACTTAACTAGTTTGGCTAACTACATTTCTAACACTCTGCGCTCTCTTCTCTCTAATTTTACAAACCTTTACTTTTAAGGAAAAATTGGAACTGGTTTTATTTTGTTTTTTTCGTTTTGTGTAAGAAATTTTTGGGCTGGAAAGAGAAAGTTAAATAAATGTTGCCTTTTTGACCAATTTTTTCATTTTGATAATTTTTATTCCAGAACATTCTCACCAAATTCCGAATATCACAGTGCTCCTCTTGATATGACGTCATCAGAATGCACCTCAACATCATCTGAATCAACAACTTGCACAGTTATCAAAAAGGGCCGAAATCGTCGTACTACAGTACCCGAAAGACCAGATTTACCAATTAATTTATGGAGTATTATGAAAAATTGTATTGGAAAGGTACATTTTTTGCTGCAAATAATAAAATATCTAATTAAATAATTTAGGAATTATCGAAAATCCCAATGCCTGTCAATTTTTCCGAACCAATATCGGTTTTGCAACGAGTCACAGAAGATTTAGAATATGCGGATATGCTTGAAAAAGCTGCCAAATTATCGAGTTTGGAGCAAATGTGTTATGTTGCTGCATATGCGGCAAGTAATTATTCGACAACTTGTCATCGAACAAATAAACCGTTCAATCCATTATTGGGAGAAACTTATGAATGTGATCGAATGGAGGATTTGGGATGGAAAAGTATTACGGAGCAGGTAGGTAGGAAAATGTGTTGGGGCTGATTTTTTGCTCAAAAATTGGATTAACATGAGAAATGCTAATGTTTTTGCTCCAAAAATATGAAAAAGTCTGCATATAATTTGTAGGGATTATTTGTTTATTTGAACCAGAAATAGCTTTAACATGAGCAATCTCACAATTTTCCTCCATTTTTCTCTCAATTGTAAAATCAGATTTTTAACCATTTTTTCCACTAGAGAACATATTTATTACTCAAGATAAAAAACAAAACAAAATCGAATTAGTGATGAAATTTCCTCCAAAAATAACCTGAAATTTCTGGGTTTCAACCAAAACCCTGATCTTCTTGCTTATTTTCGATTTTGTCAGGTCTCCCATCATCCACCGGCTGCTGCACATCACGCAATTGGACGAGGTTGGACTATGTATCAAGATTTCACAATGACATCTCGATTCCGTGGAAAATATTTGTCAGTTATTCCTGTTGGATATACTCATGTTGTTTTTGATGAATCCAAAAATCATTATTCATATCGAAAAGTGAGTTAATTTCTTGAAATTGCCATAAATTTTCAAATATATAGTTGTATTTTTTCAGATCACAACAACAGTTCATAATATAATTGTTGGAAAATTATGGATTGATAATCACGGTGATATGGAAATCACAAATCATAAAACTGGCGAAAAATGTGTGCTGAAATTCATTCCATATTCATATTTTAGTCGTGATACACAAAGAAAAGTTTATGGAATAATTCGAGATTCGACAGGAATTCCAAAATATGTTGTGCAAGGAACTTGGGATAAATCAATCGATATGTTGAAAGTTTCAAATTGGAATGGAAATATGGATAAACCGAAAGTTGAAGTGGATGAGACGAGTTTGAAAAGAATTTGGACAGTTAATCCATTACCGAAAGGAGCTGAGAAAATGCACAATTTTACGAAATTGACAATTGAATTGAATGAAGAAGAAGACGGAGTTGCACCAACTGATTCGAGATTAAGGCCTGATCAAAGATTGATGGAAATTGGAAAATGGGATGAATCAAATAAGAAAAAATTGGAAATTGAGGAAAAACAAAGAATTGTAAGAAGAAAAAGAGAAGCGGAAATGGATAAAGCTATGCAAAGAGGTTGGTCGAGTTTTTGAAAGGGAAATTTCACACCCCACCTGGTTTCAGCCCAGAAGTTCGGAATTGTTCAAATTATTTTTGCACCAAAAATTTACTATTTCAAAATTAAAAAAAACAATTTCAATTCTAGAAAATTCGCGATAATAATGCGAAGTGTTTGGTTTCTAAAATTTTTGACAAAAATTCACGTGGAATGTTTTTACTTTTATGAAAATTCATGTTAAAATTCGATTTTTTTATTTTCTTGATTTATTATCCAATTTTTCACGTTTTAATAAAACCTTGAAAAAATAGGTTTCAACAATTTTTATTATGAAATTTCAAAAAATGTTTTGGGTTGTGGATTTTCTTTAATTCGAAATTGAATTCTGCAAAATTAGGACCAGAAATGCAATATTTTGAATTTTCAAACATTATCAAATCTTGAAAAAAATTCGAAAGAAAACATTCCGGTGAAAATTGACTAATTATTTTTTTAAACAAAATATCCACGTGTAATTTTTTATGCGTCAATAAATGTTTTTTAATTCGAAAACTTTCAAACCATAGCCCTCCTTTTACATTTTCCAAACGTTTGTTTTGTTTCAGGTGAACACTATGAAGAATATCAACCAACATGGTTCACAAAAGTTCAAGATGAACTAAATGGTGCTCTTATTCATCAATATAAAGGTGGATATTGGGAGGCGAAACAGCAAAATGATTGGACAAAATGTCCCGATATTTTTTGATTAGATTTTCTATTAGGTCTGTTTTCTTTTTGTCATGTCATGGGTATAACATTGAATGTATTGTACATAAAATATTTGTGTAAGTTTTTTTTGAAATATATACATTGGAAAAACAGAGAAGATTTATTTGTCCTCGAGGAAACGACGTTCGGCCATTTTGTTCTCGATAGTTTTTCTTGAATGTGGTCCCAATCTCCAGTTGAGTTTTCGCTTGTAGGCCCACTGAAAAAGAGTAATTTTTGAAAAGAGAGATTCAAGTCAAAAGCTGAAACTAAAAAAAGTGATTGTATGAAAATTATTCAAAATTCATCAGAAACAAAAGAAAATTTCAATTTTTTTTTTTGAAATTTTGGATTATTCATAAGTTTTTAAAGTAGTATTGCTCATATTAATGATTGAAAATTATAATATTGCTCATATTAACTCACAATTTCCAAAGTAGTCAATTCGTCATCTTTCAAAATATAACAATAATTGAAACAGCAAACTGACATTGCCAAAATTCCAATCAGAAAAAATACAAAGCAAATTGGACCAGCCAAAAGATCGAAATCAGTGAATTCTTGTTTCGGCATTTTCTGGAATAGGGAAAATTTTTTGGGGAAAAATTGGGAACGCGGGAAATTTACAAAGTTGTTAAAATTTAAGCAGAACCTAAATTAAATTAATTTTTCCGGGTTGTTTGAAAACTTCAATTTTGCTTGCAATTTTTTATCGAAATTTAAAAAAGCCTGAATTCTGAAAATAATTTGATTTTTTAAATTTCTCTAAATATCATAGTTATTTTTCGAGAAAAAAAGTTTTTCTGATTTATTTGAAATTTTTTGAATATCAAATTTCGAAAACAATCGAAATGTTCCAAAATCCCTGAAAAATCTTTAAATTTCAAAGAAAATATAAAAAATGTCTCAAAAATAATCCCAAAACCCTGCAAAACAAATCGAAATCTAAATCTAAACTATATTTTTCTTCCCAATTTCTCATCGCTCCGCCCATTTTTCTTTTGATCCCTCTTAACTGTTTTCGACCGGTCGGTCATTTTCAATAAATTCACTTTGATCGGTCGATTTTTGATGTGACCTTTTCTCGAATTCTCGAAATTTTGTTGTGATTTCAAAACAGAATGGAAATTAGGTAAATTTGAGAAAAAATGATTTTTTTGTGATTTTTAGCGAGGGTTTCAATTATTTAAAAATTCAAACTAAATATTTTTTCTCGAAATTCTTTGAAAAAATTTGTTATTGTTGTTTTTTTTTTTCACAAAAAAATTTATGTTAGAAATTTACTGGTTTCCACTTGTCCCAAATATCTTCGAATATTTGCATTTTCCAAAAAATAAACAAGAACAATGGGAAAATCTTGTTCAATTCTTCATGATTCTCCTTACAATTTTTCTATTTCAATTATTTTCAGCTTCAAAATCGGTGAGTTTTTTCATGATAAATTATTGGGGCGCTAAAAATGTTAAATTTGGATAATATTTGTTGAATTTCTGATTACTGTAGGCCCAATTTTTCATGTGATTCCGGGTTACTGTGGAGCGTATTCGCGTCGCGACTTTTCAAAAAATAATTTTTTCTCACGCATCAGATCTAACCCGAAAGCGAACCCATGTATTTTTCCAGTGTATTCCAAGTATGTCTGATCTACCGCCTCCAATAATCTACAAACAATGTTCCGATCGTCGATTCGCTTGCCAAACTGGATATTTTTGTGGTCCTTATGGATGTGCAAAACAGCGAAGATCTCGAATTTCAGCCGCAAAAACAATGCAAGTTTCAGGAAATGAGGGAGAATTTCGAGAATGTTGTGAAAGAAATCAATTACCAGATGGTTGCTTGAATTATTGTAGTTATTCAAAATATCCACAAATTTCTTCACTTTTCTCATTTCCTTCAATTTCTTGTCCAATTCAAACTCTTCCAATAATTCATAATTGTGCAACCCGTCAAAGAAACCATCAAAAATGTTGTGAAGATACGAAATTGATTCCGGAAAATTGTTTGGAATTTTGTGCGCCTTTAAAGGAATTAGGACAACTTGATGTTTCAAAAATTGATTGTTTTAATTATTTGACAACTTTTCGAGATTGTTTTTATTATGGTTATTATGGTTGAAAATTATGAAAGAAATAAGGTTTGAGTGATGAAAAATAAATACTTTTAATCATTCTCTTCTTCTTCTTCCTTGATCTCAATTTTCTCCCGTTTTTCTTTCACATTTTCCAGCTTTTCCTTTTTCTTCTTCTTCAAATTCACACCAATTTTGGGACATGTTCCATCCAATAAACATTCTTCACATTTCGGATTCACAGGTTTACAAATCATTTGTCCAAATCCAACCAATAAATGATTGATTGGTTGCCATTCTTCTTTTGGTAATAAAATCTCCAATTTTTCCATAGTTTTTTCGGGAGTTTTTGTTTCAATCCATCCAAGTCGATTGGAAATTCGATGAACATGTGTGTCAACTAAAAAAATAAACATTTTAGTCTATCTATAAATCCAAAAAAAAAATAATTTACCCGCAATTCCAGTCGTTTTTTGCCAGGCAATTTGCATTACTAAATTTGCCATTTTTGGTCCAACTCCTGGAAGCGAACAAAGTCCATCAAATGTGTCAGGAATATCACCATTATATTTGTCTTTTAGGATTTGAGAGGCTTGTTTTAGGTAGATGGTTTTGCGCTAAATATTTTCTTTCAATGTTTTGATTACCACAAAAGTTCCCGAAATTTTCTACCAACCTTATAAAATCCGACAGGATTCAATAAATTCCTCAATTTTTCGTCTTCAATTTCCAGAATATTTTCAATCGATAATCCATTATCTTTCAATCTTTTCATAGCTGCTGCATTTACCTCATCTTTTGTTTGACTTGATAACATTAATGCGACTAACACTTGAAATCTGTGGACCTGTGCGAAATTGAATAAGTTATAGTAAGTTTTTTCGGAATGTCTGCTAAAAAAACCAGTTACCTCAGGTTTGGCCAATGGATCAGCCAATTTATGGCATCCCATTGTATCAACAGGTGCAACAACTTCATTTCTCATTTTTCGAATATTTTCCACATCTTTCTGCCAATTCACATTTTTCACAACACTTCTTTTCATCTGAAAAAATTATTCAAAATAAATTTCACATTTTCAAATAATGAAATAAATAACTTTAACTTTTTTCATTGAAAATAATTCGCTGTTTCAAATTTTTGTCAAAAAAATTGGTTTCTATTGTTTTCTAATTAATACACAATACATACAAAATAATTTCATTAAATTTCCAAATGAAAAAAGATGAGCTGTGACGTGGAAAAGTTTGAAAATAATAGAATTTCAAAGAAATATCGCCACAGGGGTTTTTTCACTACCGAGTCAATGCAAAATTGTAATCGAGCAAATAGGCTCCGCCCATCTTTTTCCGCACAGATATGTGGGCGGAGCTTAGGTTTTCAGATTTTCAAAAAGAAAATTGAAAACCCTTTGGCTCAAAAGACACACAAATAAAAAGAAAAAAGTCGGGCTATATGTGTGTTTGCAGCGACCGACATCTCGCGAGGCCGGCCACACGCTATTGTTTTTTTTGTCGGCCACGTAGCGTGCTGTTTGCGGAGGTTTTTTGTCGTCAGATAAAATGTTTTGTACGTGATTAATTCTCGGTAGTGAAAAAACCCCTGTGAATATCTGAAATTAAATTCTTTTGAAATTTCTCGAATTCTTTTGAAAATATTTTCTGGGAAAATTTAATTCCCAGTTTATCTGAAACCTAAAAAAATCGAAATTCAGTTTTTCTAGAAAAAAAGTGCCACGTCATAACTCATGTTCAGAAAAAGTTGTTCAAAAATAAAATAAAATGGTCATTCGCAACCGAATTTTTTCAAAAATTTATTAAATTTTTTTTTCATTTTCAAAAAAAAACAAAAAAATACAGTCATGTTTTGGCAAAAAAACGCTAAATTCAAAAATCATCTAAAAAAAAGTTTGGGATACAATAAATATTCTCCATTTTGAGCAAAAGAAACGCGAAAAAAGAATTATCAAATATCACAGAAAAGACAAAAAAAAGAGTTGTGTTAAATAATGTCGAGTTGTGATAATTCAGGAGGAAAGAAAAAACGATTAGAAGAAGGTAAAACAGAAAAAAAGCGATGTACATATTAAAAAAAAATTGAATCGAAATGCATGAAAATGGCGAGCCCGCAAATCAAAGATTGTAGTAGAGTTGAAGAAAAAAATAAAGGGGAGGGGGATAAAAATTCGAACAAAAAATATTAGACAGTGAAATTTGAAGGTGCTGGTGTATATTCATCATCATCAGAATCTGAATTTGAAGCTGGATCTGAGGTTGAAGTTGGATCTGATGTTGTTGAAGTCGAGTTCGTCACAATGTTTACTGCAATAATTATTGACTTTTTTTTAATTTGGGAAAATATTTTTGAGAAATATAATCGAGCGAACTTGTTTAGAAACTGTAATCAGAATTCTGCAGCCGGATTTAAAAAATATTTTTTTTCAGAAAATTTTTTTCATGATTTATTCTAAACTCCGTGAAATTTCCCAAAATTATCAATCTTTCTAAATTTTGATTTAATCTTCAAAAAAAAACCAACCATTTTTGACCGATTTCTCCAATTCCTCAACATCCGATTTTTCAGCACCAACTTCACTTCCAATTTCATTACCATTATCATTAGCTACATTTTGAAGTTGTTGTTGACCCGTAGTAATATTTGTCACATCTTCTTGTTCACCAACAATTCGTTTTTCCGTATCTTCTTCACTCTCCTTCAAAACAATCAAATTGAAATTGAGATAAATGAGTTAGTATAAGTATAAAATAATTAGAGAAGAAGAAGAAGTTGTGAGTGAAGAAGGAAGAAGTTGTGTTAAATCGCTGATTTCTTTTCCATCGTCATGTTGATTGCCTAGATTCAATCAAGAATATAAACATTCTAGATTCACAACACAACATCAACGAGTTTTTAAGTATCTTCAGAAATTTTAAAGATGAAATATTGGCTCGGCTAGAAATTTTGGTCAAAATCTTTATGCTAAAGAAGCCCAGCTTTAGATTATCATTTTTCAAAATTCAAAATAGAAAGTTGAACTCAAAAATATATCAAAAATTCAAATTTTATTTTTTAACAAAACAAGTTTTCTCTTTCAACTCCAGCTTCTTTTCATACAATCTTTCAACAATCCCCAAGTTGAGGAGATTTTCTGCAATATTTTACTCTAAAAATCTGTTTCAACAAACTTACATTGCTATATTTGATAACTGCTTGTCGTGAGCATTTTGCGAATAGATTTTCGGCTGGTTGACCGTGTAATAATCCAATTATAACTACAGTCATATTATCGCATCCAAGACCGCCCATTTGACAATCGGGGGCTAGACATTTTGTTAGTAGATCTTCGCAAATCTGGAAAATAATTTGTTTTCAAAAATTGAGATTCCGGGCGAAAACAAATGATACTTCAATTTACATTTTATAACTTTTTTTTACATCATAACTCGCATCATCTACCCTTTAAACCTTACCGATTGTGGATCTTTCTTTTCAGCAAATTGTTGCCGTACAAAATCAACAACTTCCTGATTCGACATCACATCCCATATTCCATCACAGGCTAATACAATAAATTCATGATCCGGTGTTAGTCGATCACTAATAATATCAGGAAATGCGGTCACCATTTGCTCTTCGGCACTTTTTTCTTCGTTGGTTTTGAAAAGGAAATCGCCGAGAGCACGAGAGAGAGCAAGGTTTCCATTGACGCGGTTGAATTCGACCCAACCGCCGGCGGCAACAATTCGACGAGCCTGAAAATGAAAAACAATTGGATATTTTATGGAAAAAGCGGAAATCATTTCAAATGAAAAAACTTCGAAATTAAAGATTTCTTGAGTTTATTTTTCAAAATTGCTACAAACTTCTGAAGTAGCTACAAAAACACCAAAACTGACACAATCAGAATCCCATGTCTCCCAAAAATTACCTCATTTTCATTGGCCGGTTTATGATCGAAAGACAATGGCCGAGCTTCTCCAAGAACTGAACAAACAGCTCTCGAATCACCCGCATTTCCACAATAAACTTGATCTTCTTTGATGACAACAACAACCGCCGTTGTTCCACTGACATCATCTTTCATTTCTTCATCGTGTCGCATTTGTTGATCGAGATCCAAAAAACCTTGTTGAAGTGCGTTTTTGATATCACCTTCGGCTGCAAAAATATTGGGTTCAAATATTTTGATCTCGACTAATTAAGTTCTAAACTGTTTCATCTTTCACTTGAGATTTTCAATAAAATACTTTTTAGTTTCGACTCATAAATAGAAAAAGATAATTTCGAAAATCGGGTTCTAGGATTTTATGTTGTCCCTCATTTCCCTCTGTAAAAACCCACCAAACTCTTTTCTCGCCACAATTCTCTTATGCAAATTAATTCCAGCATATTGCGAAACTTTCGCTCCACCATGTCCATCATAAACTGCAAAAAATGCGCATTTCGGATCATCGGGAAGTGAGAGCAAATGAGTGTGAGCGTCTTCCATGTCTGCAAAAAATAAATTGCAAAATTTCAAACTAATGAATGAGCAAAGAAAAAACACAAACTTATTCTCCATCCTTGCATACAACTACTTCCAACTAAATAATTCTCATTAGCACATGAGGCGGATTCTTTGTTTGTGACTGGTTCGCTCAATGTTTGGCCCATTTCAATTCAATCTGAAATGATGAAAGAATAAATTGACGAAAGGAGAAAATGAGCAAAAAACATGTGGAAATAATTGGGTCACGTGAAAAATCGATAATTTGATGGGAGATTTGAGGGGAAAATAAAAAATAAATAAAATAGCCCAGATCTGCAGAGAACAAGAAATAATCATTTTCTGAAAATGTAAGTTTATTATCTCAGTATACTAGTTTTGACTTTCGAAAATCACAAAAATGCACCATGTGGCCGAGAAAAAAATAAAAAATTCAGGGACTAGAATGTAAACCTAGTCCCCTGTTGTTTTTTTTTTTGGGCTCGCGGAGCATTTTTTCAGGTTTTAAATGTGTTTTATTTCTCGGTCTGGCCCGACTTCTAAAATCACAATTTTAGAAACTTTCAAAAAAATGTTCGACCAAAAACCAATGAATCTTTGAAAAAGGTCTCTTTCCTCTTAATCTGACAAGTAAACAACCCAATTTTCTCCACTGAAAAGCTATCATTTAATCAAACTTCGGGTATAATACATACCTCGTTAGCTATAATAAAATAATGATAGCAACGAGAAAAAGGCGAATAATTTTTATTTTATGCGGTGGCGAAGCGAAAAAAAAGTATGATTGATTATATCTCCAACTTTTTTTCGCCTTCATTGCGGGGGCACAAATTGGCTTATTTCATTGCATTGCATTCATTCTCACCAACAAGAAGAAATGTATTTTCCTTTTCTAATTTTGGACATACATATAGCTACTACAATTAGTGAGAGAAAAAACGCTGGGAAAATTCTATATAGTTGGTATGATAATCTGGTTTATATTATTAGCCATTGTGTCCGGGAGAGTTTTTTCTTTCGAAGATCAAAATGAAAACAGAAAAATGTGATAGGAAAAAGTGAAACATGTGACGTTTCCGACCAATTATCAAATATGTTTTTTCGATACTCACAAAAAATCGGTCACAGAAAATCAAGAGAAAATTACCAAAAAGAAATGAAGATCTTGGAAACTAGTAGGTAACATTATCAAGTCATAAACTTGGCAAAACCAAACGGTTTTTTCCAAATAATTGTGACCATTTTTTTTATTTCGCAATGGTCACGTGGTATGTTATCAAACCAAATTTTTATTGTCTACGGTGGGGAAGAATTGATCAGGAATCATTCTAGAATGTTCTAATTTTTAAAAGTGGACATGAGGGATCGAGTCAAGTTCGATTTAAAGTGGAATTTAACCAGATGAACCAAAGAAGAAAACTCGTACAACTTTTTCGGAACGAGTTAGAGATTTAAAATTTTGACAAGGTCCGATGTAGATACCAGTCCCCATGTATTAGATCGGATATCGTAGCCCGTCTCTGACAAAAAATGTGCAGACACTAAAAAATCGAGCCCGATTCGAAAGTTGTCCAATCAATTTTGATCAATGCAATAAAAGGAAACGAGAACGATAAAAACCCACGTGACAACATACTTTAAAAATGAAATGAAATAGAATGAGATGGAAAGTTTGGACAGCTGACAGAAAAAAGTTTGTCTAGTGAAGAATCTTCCAGAAAAACTGAAAACAACATGAAATTATTCATAAAGTATTTTGCAGTATTTAAAAAGACGGAAGTTGAAAGCAACGAACAATTTTGTAAGACTTCCACCCTCTGAACAAAATAGAACGAAAGAAACAAAAAGAAGACAACAAAGATTGTTTAGAGGTTGGGGTTTCCCTTTTTTGCAAAACTATCAGTTATTATCAGAGTGCAAGGAAAAAGAGAAAAGGGTGTCCCCCAATTGGATGATGCAAACTGTTTACCACATAAAAGAATCTTGATTGTTTGGTCTTCCAAATCAACGACACATGACAATGGTGTTTCCCCAAAAACATTTTGTTACAAAGTCTTGGTTTTCTCACGTTATTTTATCAATGTTCAGGTGCTTTTAAATAGTCTTTCATCAACAAAAAAAAACGAATGAATGAAATCAATTTGTTTGAACGAAGGTATAAAATATATATTATGTTATATATATATAAATAGACGAAAAATTAGACAACATAAGCGGGAAAAGAAAACTAGAGACGAGAAAACACGACGAAATCGATGAGAGGTAAGGGGGAAGTGAGACAGAAAAAAAGAGGGGGAGACGAAGAAAGATGCATCTATGACCACATCACATGGCCTCCTCTTTCTCTCTTGTTGTTTTTTTTCATTGGTTCTTCAACGTGCCACCGAGAATTACTAACTGAATAAATATGTGGAAATTGAAAAGGATCTCAAGAGAAAAGTTGGAAAAAAAGCTTAGTCGTGTATTTTTGGCCAGGTTGTGTTCAAAAATATTGTTTTCGATAAATTTATATTCGCATGGAAACCATGTTCTAGATAAAATGAAAGTTGATATTATACTAATATATTAGTTTCGACCTTCAGAAAAAGTAAATTCTCCGTGAGATCGAGAAAAAATCAAAGGGTTCACATTCTTATGACACTCGGACCCCCGAAGTCTAGGCCGGGAGCTGAAACATGCCTCACAATCAAAAATGTATGAAAAATGTTATGGGGAACTCCTTGATAAGAAACACAGAAAACTGAATAAATAAACAAAAATACATTTCAGCGCCAGCGACTCGTGTCATCACAACAAATATTTTTCATTTGAAAAATGTTTTTAAAAAACAAATTCATATGATTCACAAAAAATCTACTTCATATCATCGAAAAATTTGAAATTTAGTTAATAATTTTGCTGGGAACCTGAAAAAAAACTAAATCTCATGAATCAATAATATTATAGGCCCTAGACGGATTTCCTCATCAATTCAAAAAGATTGACATGCAAAGTACTAGACAAGATTGAAATCTTTTAGTGGTTTTTTTTTATTGAAAAATAAAAAAGACGAGAAAGAACCTAAACCTAAAAATCCCCATTTTTGGGACGAAATGCTTCAAATTTCGTTCTGAAATGAAGAGCTTTAGATTCTAGGTGGATTTTCGAACAATTACAACACCATTTCAACCTCAAAATACGTTTAATTTCGTGCTGAAACAAAAAGAGAGAAAAAAAAGAAAAGAAAAAAAAAAATGAAAAATGCAATCATGTGTTTGTGTCCTGCAACGAACTATAACTACAGTAATCCACGCGCGCGCAACTTTTTCATTTTAAATTTAATTTTCAATTTTTCGCAAATTTTTGTTTTTTTTTGAAGTTACGTGGCGTTAGACATGTGTTTGAGAAACATATAAGAAATCAAAATTTTCTGGAAATGCTGCATTTCATAAATTCAATTTTTGCAGAGACCATTTATTCATAAATAAATAAAAAATAAAACGAGAAAAACAACCAAACAATTAGATTTTTCACTTTGTTTCAAAAATCGCCGGATCCAATTTCAATTTTTTGATTTGAACTTTGTTTTCATGAGACATTTGTCGAGTGGCAAGTTCCATTCTGCAAAAAAATGTTTTTCGGTTTTTCAGGTCATTTTTTCAAAAATTCCTCACTTATAATTATTTGTGACCATTGTAACCCATGATTCTTCAAGCTGTTTCAGTTTATTTCCAGCATCCAATTGATTTCTTTTTCGATCCGCATGAATTTCCATAACTTCTTCTTTGGTTTTCCTCAATTTTTTCTCAATTTCAGTCAAAGAATTTTCGAGATCTTTATTTCTTTGCAAATAACTTTCAGCTGCGAATTCGTCCATTAATTCCAAATTGATTTGTCGAATTAGAAGATGTTCGTTTTGAGATTTGGCATTTCGAAGAACCTGGAATTTTTAGATTTGAAATGTTTTAGGATGAAAAATCCTTAGAAAATTATGAATTTCGAATTTGTTGTTGGTATAACCAGCGAAACAAAAATTCATTAAAAATCTTATTGTTAATCAATTTTTAAAACACTGGATTTTTTGGGAAATAAAAAATTCGATAATTTTCAAGAGAAATCATATTTTTCGAAGTGAAAAGCCTGCAATTTTACAATTTTTGCTTCAATGATCTTGAAGGTCTCAATGTCCTTAAAAATATTCTTAATAGACTTGAGGTGATATCAAAGTTGCTTCATCTCCCAAAGATTATTTTCAAAGTACCTAAATTGCTCACCTTTCTCCACAATTTCCTATCCAATCCTTTTGCAGCTGATGGTGGCGGTAATTCGCATCTACTCATATCCAATTTGACCATTTCCTCTTTTCGATTGATTCGTTCCATTTCTTTTTGCATACAAGTCGATAAAAATGCATCATAATCTGGCACACTTAAATGTGTCAAATAGTTTTTTGTTGGTCGGAACGTCTGCAATAATATTCTTTTTGAGAAAACTGTGCCAGGTTTGCATTTTACCTAAACTCCGGCTTTGTATTAAAGTGATTTTTGGGGGGGGAACTTTGAATAATAACATTATTGAAATATTTTTAATAACTCTAGTTTGTAGAAAAAATAAGCTTTTCAATAATTTATGTTTCAAAAGTTTCAGTTTCTCAAAGAAAACCCCATTTTTTTGCTAAAATTCAGACTTTTTGAACAAAAATTTAAATTTTCCAGCTCAAAAAATTGTCTTACCTTACACTCATGTTCAATCAATTTCAAAGCATTTTGCCTATCTGATTCATTATATTCTGTGTCCAAATACGGCAGGGCATCCACCAAAATTTGATCATCCTGTGAACTTCCACCTGAAGTCAATGCCAAAGTTGTCATCTAAAAACCCTAATATTATTTTTTCACAATTAAGCCAGCTTTAGAATCTCTCTAAAGTTTAGATAAATAAAATTGAGCTATAAAACTCTTTCAAAAATTGTAAACACAATCACATTGGAATAGAAAGAGAATAATTCTTATTCTTATTATACAATAAAGAATTTCAGAAAAAAAGAAAACCGGGATTGAGAAAAAATATGGTACAGCGATCCTTTAAAGAAGGAAAAAACGGTTAGATTTTAAAATGTTTTGTGAGTTTTCATCTAGTCGATTTGGATAATTTCAATTGATGAATTGGGCGAATCGTCAAGGATGATTGAAGATGTTGTTGAATTTGTGTTGCTGAAAAAATTGATTGAATTTTCAGAAAAATACGTTTATTTTAGGGCCCCAATTAATTATTATCGAAATATTGAACTTTCTAATCTCCCAAAAAATCTTGCAAACTTTCTGAAACAACAAAACTTTGCTTATTTTTTCAACATTGACAAGGCGTTTGTTTTCGTGCATATTACTGCCACGTGGATTTCTTTCAGTTGTAAAGTAAAAAATCGTCGAATTGAATTTTCTAATCGTCAAGACTTGTAAATTTTTTGGAACAGTGAATTTATTCGAATAATTTTTTTTCTCGGGTTTTCGGCACCAAAATTTTTGAATTTAGGAAAACACATTAATTTCCGTGTATTTTATTGTCACAAGGTTTTTGTTCAAAATTCAAAACAAAGCGATTGAATTTTGAAAATATCTAGAAATTTTGTGAACTTTTTGAAACAGTGATTTTTTTCACAAAATTTCAATATTTTTGACTTCGAAAAATCTGGAATTTTCGTGCAAAAAAAGGAGGAATTGAATTTTCAAAAGTTTAAAAAAATTCTTGTTAACTTTTTGAAACAGTGAATATTTTTTGAACTTTGAAAAACAATCGGTTTTTGTCACGTGGATCTTTGGCGTCAAAATTGTTGATTTTCATCTCTTTCAGATTTGTATTCGAAAGTGGACTTTTGAAGACAATAAATTACCTTATTTTACAGCTCCTCCTTTTTCTGGGCAAATTCGGTTTTATAACCTGCGGAGTTTTCCGTTTTCGATTCTCCGCATATTTCCGCGTCTCCTCTTTATATTCTTCTTCTGAACATTTTTCGACAACTGGTTGATATCTCGGTTTTTTCAAAGGCAAAAAATATTGCGGCAATTTCTTCTGCAATAATTCATCTTTAGTTCGGCTAAGTCTTCGTCGAGATTTTCCAACTTCTTTGTTCATTTTTTCCGGTGTCCATCCACATTCATCCCTCAACATTTTCTCTACTTCTGCCATTTTTTGAGGTAAAATTTCGTGAAATTCTTCTTTTTTGAAAAGCGTAGTCTTTGGTTGAAGATAGATTGAAATCGCTTCGAAAACCGAATCGGAATTAGGAAATCCTTCGGGGAATTGGAATTTTCGTTTTCGAAGTTTTTGCTTGGTTTCAGAATCTTTCGGACGTTCTGGGACTTCAGCACGAACATATGAACTGCAAAAATTATTATTTTTTAATTTCAAAATTTTCTATTCAAACTCACCAAAACCTATCTAAAATAACACTTGGATCATCATCGGGATTCCCGCCAAATTCACCAATCGCTTCAAGACCCGTAGCTATTCCAATACCTTTCACACCTTTTTCAAAATAATCACAACCAAGTAAAATGGCTAAAGAAACTAGCGAATTTCGTGTAACTCTTTTCTCATCAATCGCAAGATCTTTTATTGATATATGCGTTATATCCTTCAAATTATCCTCAAATACAATGCGATATAAATTTTTGCCACCAAATAAAAAATAGTCAAAATCTGTTGTTATACAACCATCAACAATTCCATCGACTTCTAATTGTGCACATTGAGCTTCGCCATCTCTTGTAGCATAAATCATTTTTATTCCCATTTTATGCAAAAGTGCCTGACATTTCAAAACCTTGTCGCTGAAATCCGTAAAATACTGCTCGCCATAACAACTGCTTCGTCGTTTTCTTTGACAAAAATCTTGAGATGTTGATGGAGATGTAACCAATGAATCGAAAACTACAACGGGTTTGATATTTTGTTCAACAAGTTTCATTAGCCGCTTGAAGAATGTTATTAGATAAGTAGATTCAGTTTTATAGTGAGTTTGCGAGCCTTTAACACTCTCATATAACCAAATATGTCCATCAATAGCAAGGGTTTTTTTGCGCAAGTCATTCACATTGATTTTGCGTGCGTTGAGCAATGCCCAATCCCAAATTCCATTAACAGTCATTCTATACAGCTAGTAGATCATCTGAAATCAAAAAGTAACCAGATTGAATCGCTGTAAACGGAGAAAACACCATGGAAACGAGGAAAAACGAAAAAAAAATTGAAAAATTGATAGGCCGTAAATCTACACACTGGGAGACAAACGCCATTGGGTCTCGCAACGCCGTATTTTTCATTTAAAAATTATGCCACGCAAACATTACTTTTGGCTCTTCCAAGCTCAATTTTGTTGATTCTTAACGTTTTCAGCTAGTTTTAGGAAAATTATTCGGTTTCTAAGGGTAACGTAGAAAAATATAACTCAGAAAACATAGAAAAGTGAATTTTTGAGGGTTTTTAGAAGAAAAATAGAGAATTTGTGGCGGATTAGAACTACAAAACATTACGTAGAATAAATAACTAGATGTTTACTAAATATTTAGAATATTGAAATGAAAAATAGTCACGTGAGTGTGATGAAAAGAAAGATTAGAAATAAAATTGAGGATAATCCACGTGTCTTTTGATATTTATTTCATTTTCTAAATGTCTTCTCTTTTGAGTTTTTTGTTTGGAAGTGTATTTGAGATTATCACCTGGATTTATGGAAAAACGAATTAAGTTTACAACAAAAACTGAATTGCTTCAGCTTTTTAGAAGAGTTTGTATATTTTTATTCATTTATCACCTGAATAGTTTGTAACCACATTTTTTGACCTTCAATTTCTTCTTCTTCTTGATTTTCTCTTTGCTAAGAATAGATTTTGTGTTCATCTTCATGAAAATTGCGTATTTTTAGGTAATGACTTTAGCGACAGTAAAGAATAGTCGTCTCGGAGCGACAACCTTGCTCACATTCGTTATTCTTGCTCTAGCATGGTTCGTCGGATTTGCGTCTCGTCTCTTCGCAATTGTTCGATTCGAATCAATTATCCACGAATTCGATCCATGGTTCAATTATCGAGCAACTCATCATATGGTTCAACATGGTTTTTATAACTTTTTGAATTGGTTTGATGAACGAGCTTGGTATCCATTGGGAAGAATCGTTGGTGGAACTGTTTATCCTGGTTTAATGGTCACTTCTGGACTTATTCATTGGATTTTGGATTCACTCAATTTCCACGTTCATATTCGGTAAGAACTATGTAGATTTTTTATATCTGCAATTTTAGATCTGTAATTCTAGGTCTCATCCCTAAAAAATTTAACACGCCTAGACTTAGGCCAAAAAGATGAATTGTTCATTTTAGAATTTTTGGAGTAAAAATTTGAGCCGTATTTTTTTTAGTTTCCAAAGTCACAGAAGAAGTTTTCGAGCTCTGTAAACTCTAGAATCCACCAAAACCCCTCAATTATTTTCCAGTGAAATTTGTGTCTTCTTGGCCCCAACATTTTCCGGTCTCACCGCCATCGCCACCTATTTCTTGACCAAAGAATTGTGGAGCCCTGGAGCCGGATTGTTTGCCGCCTGTTTCATCGCAATTTCACCAGGATACACTAGCAGATCAGTTGCCGGATCTTATGATAACGAAGGAATCGCAATTTTCGCACTCCAGGTATATTTTTGCATAGAAAACCTGTTTATCGAAAAAAAAACAAATCCATTTTTAATTACGGTGTAAACAAAAATGGGCATAAAAATTGATGTAAATCGTGGGAAAATTTTTAGCCTTTTTATTGGCGGGAAAAATACATAACGTTTTGTAGGAAAAAAATATATAAATCTACTTGGAAAATCTGCAAATTTTATTTTATCATAATAAAATCCAAAAACTCCATTTTTTCAGTTCACCTACTTCTTATGGGTCAAATCACTGAAAACCGGTTCAATTATGTGGGCTGCTCTTTGTGCACTTTCATATTTCTACATGGTTTCCGCATGGGGTGGTTATGTATTCATTATCAACTTGATTCCTCTTCACGCACTTGCTCTTATCATTATGGGAAGATATTCATCAAGATTGTTTGTTTCCTACACATCCTTCTATTGTTTGGCAACAATTTTATCGATGCAAGTTCCATTTGTTGGATTCCAACCAGTTCGAACATCTGAACATATGCCAGCTTTTGGTATTTTTGGACTTCTTCAGGTGATTTTGTTTAGACTAATTCAATTTTTCACCCAAAAAATGTTTTCAGATCGTCGCTCTTATGCACTACGCTCGTAACCGTATCACTCGCCAACAATTCATGACTCTTTTCGTCGGAGGTCTTACAGTTCTTGGTGGTCTCGCTGTCGTCGTTTATTTCGCTCTTGTTTGGGGTGGATATGTTGCACCATTCTCTGGAAGATTCTATTCTCTTTGGGACACTGGATACGCCAAAATTCACATTCCAATCATTGCTTCGGTTTCTGAACATCAACCAACAACTTGGGTATCGTTCTTCTTTGATTTGCATATCACTGCTGCTGTTTTCCCAGTTGGATTGTGGTATTGTATCAAGAAAGTTAATGATGAAAGAGTTTTCAGTGAGTTTTTTAAAAACAATCTTTTGAAATTCAGCCTCATAACTTTTCAGTCATAATAAAACTCAATAAATTTTTTTTCCAGTCATTCTCTACGCTGTTTCTGCTGTCTATTTCGCCGGAGTTATGGTCCGTCTTATGCTTACCCTTACCCCAGCTGTTTGCGTTTTGGCCGGAATCGGATTCTCTTACACATTTGAACGATATTTGAAAGACGAGGAGAAAAATGGAAGTGGAGCTGGATCGAAAGACGAAAAAATGTACGATAAAGCGGCGAAAAATGCAAAATCGAAGGTATACAGTGAGGATGTGTTGTCTATGTCTGGTGTATGTGTTTTTGTGTTTGTCCTTGTGTTTTATGTTGGGGAAAGTTGGGTTTTTGTTGCTGGAAAAATTGGATTTATTACAGTTGTAGTGTGAATTCGACTGATTTTTTTTGTGAAAAATAATCAAAATTCACTGAAACAAACAGTTTTCAGTAAATTTGATCCATTTCGAAACGTGGTTTTATCAAAAAATTTGGTAAAAAATTTCAAAATATTACCGATATTATTTCTTCAAAACTAAAAATTCTTAGGCTTTTTTTGTTCGTTTGATTTGTTTTTCTCTGTTAATCCCACGCCCAAAAAATTCTTTTCTCAAATTTCAAAATTTCAGACAACCACAACTGAAGGAGAAGAAAATGGTGTTTCAGTCAATGTTCGTACCGTTATCGCTGTTCTTTTGCTCATTTTCTTGTTGATGTTTGTTGTTCATGCCACTTATGTCACTTCCAATGCCTATTCTCATCCATCAGTTGTTTTGCAAAGTTCTACACAAAATGGGTGAGTCTTTTTTGGAACATTGAAATTCTCTGAATTTATTGAAATGAAAACTAGATTTTTCTGATGTTTTTGAAATTTTTTTTCAATTGAAAAATTTGCTATTTCAAATATCCCATATCCTCCTTTCCAATGTTTTGGTTTCAATTATACCAAAAAAACGATAAAATATTTTTTGCAGTGATCGTATTATTATGGATGATTTCCGTGAGGCTTATCACTGGCTCCGCGAAAATACAGCTGATGATGCTCGAATTATGTCATGGTGGGATTATGGTTATCAAATTGCTGGAATGGCTAATCGCACAACTTTGGTTGATAATAACACTTGGAATAACTCGCATATTGCTTTGGTTGGAAAAGCAATGTCTTCAAATGAATCGGCTGCTTATGAAATTATGACTGAACTGGATGTCGATTATATTTTGGTGATTTTCGGTGGAGTTATCGGATATTCTGGAGATGATATCAATAAATTCTTGTGGATGGTTCGAATTGCTCAAGGAGAACATCCAAAAGATATTCGAGAGGATAACTATTTCTCAGCTTCTGGTGAATATACAACTGGTGCTGCTGCATCCGAAACCATGTTGAATTGTTTGATGTATAAAATGAGTTATTATCGTTTTGGTGAGACTCGCGTTGGATATAATCAAGCTGGTGGATTTGATCGAACACGTGGATATGTTATTGGAAAGAAGGATATTACATTGGAATATATTGAAGAAGCTTATACTACTGAGAATTGGTTGGTTAGGATTTATAAGAGAAAGAAGTTGCCGAATCGACCAAGTTTGAAGAATGCCGATGTTACGATTCCGATTAAGGGAAAGAAATCGCAACAGGTAATTTCATTTTTGTTTTCGATAATGAGGTTCCAAAGCAAAAAAGTGCTCAAAAATATTTTTACAATACATTTTTATCAGTTTGAAAAAAAATTTGGGTTGAAATTCATAGTTTTTCAAGTTTCTCAAAAGTCCCATATTTTTCAGGCCAAAAAACAAGAAGGGAGTAATCCGACCAGCCGCCACTGCCACCAAAGCCTAATTTATTTTTTTGCCGCCAAAAAATTTGCTGAAATGGGTTTTTCAACAAACAAAGATTGCGTTTTTTCTCTCCTTTTCTAATTGAAAATAGTCCAAAATTCTTTATATGTGTTCTCGGATTGTGTTTTACGGATTTTTTTAAATTATTGATTTTCCCCCCTTTTCTTCTTTGGCCCCCGTTGTTTATTAGTTTTAAAAGTGACAAAAAACTTGTTGTGATATTGGACTTGGATATGTAATTTATTTTTATTTTACTTTTTCTTTTCCTTAAATGTAATAAAATTATATTATTTGATTATTTGACCTTCTGCTGCAGTTTTATTAGGTGGGTTTTCTTCTTTTTGTCGGTTGGTTTATTGTTTTCTGATTTCTTGAAACATTAATTTTTCAACTAAAAAATCTAGAAATTTTTTTGAAAATTTACCAAAAAATTGGTAAAAATTTCTCTACTTTTAAAAGCAGTATTTTTGGAATTTTTCTTTCAAGTTTTTCTTCAAACTTCTATTTTTTTCAGATGCCAGAATTTCAGCTTCTGATAACCGGATTAAAACAAATTGTGCAAATTGTTGATAATTCAGATCAGCAATTTTTGAAAGGCGGAGAAATGAAAAATATCAAAATCCTCGAATCGAAAAACAATAATTTGTGCATTTTAGTCGATAATTCAGGAAAATTTAGCTATGTTGGAGAATTTTCGGAGGAAATTCAAAAGAAAAAAGAAGATATTGGAGAAGTTATCGAAACTTGTGGAGGAATTGCGATTCCAGGTATAAAAATGAGTTCGCAGGGAGCAGAACTCAAGCTCGAGTGTCGCACTCGCCAGCAAAATACACTACCACATTTTAGTGAGAAAATAGTTGTTTTTCAGGTTTTGTCGATGGACATAGTCATCCAGTTTTTGCTGGTGATCGAGTTCATGAATTTGCGATGAAATTGGCTGGAGCAAGTTATATGGATGTGCAAAATGCGGGAGGTGGAATTATGTTCACAACTACGAGGACAAGAGAAGCAAAAGAGGAGGATTTGAAGAGAGATTTTGAAAAGGTAACATTTTATGTTGAATTGCCACGTCATAGTTTGATATCAAAGACGGTGTATTTTGGAGAAAAATGAAGATTCAAAACAGCAAAATTTTATTCACGATAAAACTTATGGCCGAATTTTGAAACAGTGAAATTTTTTTCAATTTTCATAACATTTGAAAAACTTTGAAACAGTGAATTTTTTAGATCCAAACTTTACGTATTAATTATTTTCACGTGATCCAATTTTTCTCCAATTTTTTTTGAATCACAAATTTATTCATTTTCAATTTTCAGATTGCCTGGAAAATGCTAAAAAATGGAACAACAACTTTAGAGGCAAAATCTGGTTATGGGTTGGATATCGAAACCGAATTGAAGGTTAGTATATTGCCACGTGGACAACTTCCAATTTTTCCCATTTTCAGATGCTCCGTGTGCTTTCCAATATCTCCCCCCAAATTCCTCTCGAAATTTCGGCCACATTTTGCGGAGCCCACGCAATTCCAAAAGGTTCCACCGAAATTCAACAAACCCGAATGATTTGCGACGAATTGTTGCCCAAAATCGAGCACGAAAAAATGGCGGGAAATCTGGGGAACGTGGAAAATATCGATGTATTTTGTGAGAAGGGGGTTTTCGAAGTTGCCACAAGTCGAGAGATTTTGCAACGTGGCAAAGAGGCGGGACTCGCCGTCAATTTTCATGCGGAGGAATTGGTGTATATTGGTGGTGTTGAGATGGGCGCGAAATTGGGGGTGAGGTTTTTTGTGGGAGCGCGGGAAGCGGGGTGGTTTTGAAGGATTGTTATTTTTATCTTCTTTTTTTTCGTGTGAGCCCGTAGATTTTGGAGAAAATTAGAAAACAACGGAAGTTTTCTTAGGGACAGTAGATATTGTGTTATTTTGCTGTTTCAAAATTATATATAATTATAATATGTATAGTTTTACACAGAACTAGTAGAAAAAAATGATCTACAGCGAATTCGGGATCAAAAATCATGAAGTAAATATTAGATGGGGGTAGTAAAGTGGTTAGCACCAAAACTACTACGATATTTTGGCCCTATATTTTGTCTTTTCGCCTGAACTCTCTTCATTTCACGTTGTATTTTATCAAAATAATATCAGATAAATATCATTCTTTTAACATTTTATCACAAGAGGCAAATTACATATAATTATTATTGAAATTTAAAAAAAAAACTTGGCAAAAAAGGAGGCCAGAAATTCGAATGTTACTTTTTCCAAGTACGGTGTCTTTCTGTGTTCGGGAAAAATGCCAATTCAGGAGAAAAATCCTCAAAATGTGGTGTTTCTGTGAGACGAAAACGTTGAATGATTGACATCTGAAAAATTAATATACTTTCTTTTTTCCGAATTTCTTTTTTGAAAATTCAACTCACAACTTGGTACTGTAACTTTTATTTTATTCGTCCAAAAAATATCAAAAACATGTTGACGTAATTGTGAATTAACACATAAAATAATAATTGGTGAACATATATTAACAATAGCCCAACCTAATACTTGAATTGCGGCATATGATGAATTTGCGAATGTTGGACTAATTGCGTAGGCAAACTTGAAACAACAAAATGTGTTCTTGGTGCAAAAACCCTAATTTTCTTTTGAAAGCGTAGTTAAACTTTCAAAAATTGAAAAATATTGTTTTTGAATTTTTTTTGATCCTAACAATCATATCACAAACTTTTATTATTGGAATCAAAAAGTTAGGCAAACGGCCAGAAATTGAATCTTTCCAAGTATGGTATTTTTAGCCAAATGGTGCGAGACCCGTTGATAAAAAAAAAGCTTTTTTGATTCTGTATCTCTGCCCAATGGAATCATACATGACACTGCTCCCAAAACTGTGAGGGGGAAATCATGACATTTGGAAAAATTTTTTGAGGGGGGGGGGTCATTTTCGAAATTTTGAATTCCCGCTCAAATCAAAATTTCGATTTGGGCGGGTAGCTAATGAAAATTCACGCTCGAATCAAAATTTTGGGGAGGGGGGAGATCATTACATGCGGGGTCTGTTGGGCGAAGATGACATGTATGAATGGAATAGTCTTGAGACGAAGTTCGAGGAGTACCGTACTTGGAGAAAATGAGGTTTGAATTTCTGACGACATTTTATTTTTGATATTACTTAGTACAGTTTCCCCCAGAATAACTTACCTCAATACATCCGGGAACAAAAAAACAAATAGAAATAATTGTCGAAGCAACGCATAGTAATTTTTCAGATTTTCTTAATCTCACAGTCATTTTAGACATTTGTGAATAGGTAATATAAGTATTGATTACGGTATAAATTATTGAGAATCCACGTAGAATACACATTATAATACTAAGTGGAGCCCATGATATTATTGGCTTATATCCGATATAAAAACCGTTCATTACAAAATAAATAAACTTGCTCGAAATCAATACATTGAAGCATAATAAAAATGATAGAAGAAAAGTTGAAATTATAATTAGTTTAAAATATTCAAACCAATAAATGGTATGTTTAACTGGATATAAAACACAAGTTGTTCGATTTGTTGTCATTAAAATTTGAATAAAAACTTGAAAAATGTGTAAAAACATTAGTAAATCAAATGGTATATGCATAAATATTATAGGGTATTCTTGAACAAATTGAGATAGGAATATGCAAAATTGAGCATTCAGTGGGAAAAATTGAAAAATCAAAATATCTAGTAAAAGTAGAATTAGACCGCTCAAACAATCTAGAGAAAATAGTAGATAAAACATTTTACTCGAGTAGATTTTTGGATATTTCACCCAAATTATATATAGCATTAGTATGTTCAAAATAGCGGCAGGAAAGAGATATAAAAAATTTATAAAATAAACTAGATTTCCTTTAACTTCTGGAAGAGCTTGAGAGCAATTCGAATTCGAGAAAACCATTTCCATCTGCAATTTTTCTGACTGACGACTTTAATCTTCGCAAAAAGGCCACGGCCACACCTTTCGTAAAAAATCAAAAATTGTAGGTTGTCCTCTCTCTCTGATAGGAACAAAAAACGAATCAAAATCACGAAAAAAAATTAAAAAATAAAAATAAAAACACGTTCACAAAATGCTTCATTGAATTTCGACTCAAAAAAACAAAATCATTAAAAAGTGGTGTTTCTTCTCGATACCAAATGATTGAACATATCTAAAAAAAATAATGACATTTTCCAATATGAAAAAAAAAAAATAATTAAAACTTACAAACTGGTGCCTCTGGTGTTATAATTTCTGGTTTTGTGGTCCAAAAAATATCCGAAACATGTTGACGTAATTTCGAATTAACACATAGAATAATAATTGGTGAACATATATTAACAATATCCCAACCTAATACTTGAATACTAGCATAGACAGAAGAAGCAAATGATGGACTCATTGCGTAGGCAAACTATAACAAAATGCTGATTTTTATATAGTATTTTTTTCGCGACTAGATCCTGTGTTTTCCAAGAAACCATATTTTTTTCACATTTTGCCTAATTCCGTAATACTACAAAATCCGCGTTTACAAATATTTCCCAGTCGCACATGACAATTAAACATAGTTCCTATTTCCGCCCCAGAATAACTAACCTCCAAACATCCGGGAATAAAATAACAAATAGAAATAATCGTAGAAGCAATACATAGTATTTTTTCAGATTTTCTCAATCTTACAGACATTTTTGACATTTGTGAATAAGTAATATAAGTATTTATTACTGTATAAATTATTGAGAATCCACGTAGAATACACATTATAATACTGATCAAATTAATATTATCCCATGATATTCTCGGCGTATATCCGATATAAAAACCATTGACTATATAATAGATATGTTTGCTTGAAATAAATACATTGAAACTTAATATGAGTGGTAATAGGGCGGTTAAAACTAGGATTATTTTCAATTTTTTCAGCCAACTGATATTATGGTTTATTGGATATAAAACACAAGTTGTTCTATTTGTTGTCATTAAAATTTGAATAAAAACTTGAAAAATATGTAGATACATTAGTAAATCATATGGTATATGCATAAATATTATAGGATATTCTTGAAAGACCTCCGAAAAGTATAAACAAACTTGCGAATTTAGGGGGAAAAATTTGAAGATCAAAATATCGAGTAGAAGTAAAATTAGACAACTGAAACAATCTAAAGATAATAATATATAAAACATTTGATTTGAATAGATTTTCGGGTTTTTGACCCAAATCGTATATAAAATTAGAGAATTCAAAATAACACCAGAAAATAAGCATGAAAAATTGATGAGATAAAGTAAATTTCCATGAACTTGGGAAAAATATTGAGAAGAGCAGGACATTTTTTGTGAGATTATAGCTTTTTCAATTTTGATTCTGAAAAAAAACTCGAAAAAATAACTATATCAAAAAAATATAATTATAACTTACACTTTTTTCGATGAAATAAGTTCGGTCGTAGAAAAGATGATCAAAGGGGTTAAAAATATCAATTTATAGATATTTAGCTTCAAACACCCTAGAATTTGACACGTGGAATTTCGGAAATTATTTTATTCAAAAAAATTGAGAACTAAATGAAACATTTTAGAAAATCCTCAAAATGTGGTGCTTCTGTGAGACGATAAAGTTGAATGATTTGGAACATCTGAAAATTGATATTTATTCTTGAAAACCGAAAGCGTTTTTCAAAAGATCATCTCACAAGCTATACTTTCTTTTTTTCCAAAATTTTTTTGAAAATTCAACTCACAACTTGGTACTGTAACTTTTGTTTTATTCGTCCAAAAAATATCAAAAACATGTTGACGTAATTTCGAATTAACACATAAAATAATAATTGGTGAACATATATTAACAATATCCCAACCTAATACTTGAATACCAGCATAGACAGAAGAAGCAAAAGTGGGGCTGATTGCGTAGGCAAACTCCAAACATCCGGGAATCAAAAAACAAATAGAAATTATTGTTGAAGCAATACATAACATTTTTTCAGATTTTCTTAATCTTACAGTCATTTTTGACATCTGTGAATAAGTAATATAAGTATTGATTACTGTATAGATTATTGAGAATCCACGTAGAATACACATTATAATACTAAGTGGAGCCCATTCGATTTTTTGAGTATATCCAATATAAAAACCATTCATAACGAAATAAATAAACTTTTTTGAAATGAATACATTGAAGCATAATATAACTGATAGAAGAAAAGTTGAAATTATAATTAGTTTAAAATATTGAAACCAAATAATATTATGTTTAATTGGATATAAAACACAAGTTGTTCGATTTGTTGTCATTAAAATTTGGATAAAAACTTGAAAAATGTGTAAAAACATTACTAAATCATATGGTAGATCCATGAGTAAAATAGGATAATTCTGAACGAATTGAGATAGGTATATGCAGAATTGCGAGTTCAGTGAGAACATTCGGAAAACCAATATTTCTAGCAAAAGTAAAATTAGACCGCTCAAACAATCTAAGGAAAATAGTATGTAAAACATTTGGTTCGAATAGATTTTCGGATATTTCACCCAAATTGTATACAAGATAAGGATGTTTAAAATAGCGGCAGGAGAAAGATATAAGACGCTGACGAAATAAATTATATTTCCTTGAACTTGTGATAAAACTTGAGAGCAATTTGAGAAAACCATCGTATAATTTCGACTAAAATTAAAAAAAAAAGAATAATTTTAGTATAGAAATGCCGCACCTTTTTTTCTTATGGGGTGAGTCAATCGAATTAATCGACGTGTTTTTTGCGATTAATTGACAAAAAAAGTGAGTCTTTTAGGGCGATTAATTTCACGTTTTTGTCAATTCATCGCTTTCATTTCTTGGCAAAAAATGCAATTAATTGCATAAAAAATAGAATTTATTTGACCTATGTTTTAAAACGTGACCGATATGAGTTGGAATTATCAACAAAAAAAGCATTCTCTCTCAATTTTCTTTCATTTCGAAATGAATCCAAAAAATAAGCAGTGAATTTGGGACACGTTTCAAAAAAGAGGTCAAATAAATTCTATTTCCTATTGAAATTCCTCATTTTTGTATTATTGAATTAAAAACACGTGAGAAATAAAAAAGTAGGTCAAGTGACGTGGATTTAAAAACAGTATAGGTACCCATGTCGTCAATTGCGATGCGGTTCTGCGATGCGTGTTGACCTCGATTTTTCCATTGAATTTTTCAAATTTTCATTTCTAAAAACGTGTTGCCGACACGCATCGCAACTGACGACATGGCTACCTATACTGTTTTTAAATCCACGTCACTTGACCTACTTTTTTTATTTCTCACGTGTTTTTAATTCAATAATATGCAATTAATTGCAAAAAAAGATGAAATTAATCGACAAAAACGTGAAAAAATCGCACAAAAAAGACTCACTTTTTGTGTCAATTAATTGACAAAATATAAAATTGACTCACCCCATTACAAAAAATCAAGAAATTGTATGTTGCCCTTTTTAATCTGAGAGGAACAAAAAAACACGAATTCAGAAATAAAACATGTGCACATATTTAATTAGAATGGTTCATTAACTAGTAAAAAATGAATTTCATAAAAACATCATCAAGAATAGGTGTTTCTGCGATCCATCATTAAATTTTCGAACATAAATATCTGCAAGTTTTTCACTTAAAAAGTTAATGAGGTTTTCAAGGCTTTAGAGGAATTGTTTTTTACGGAAAACATGAGGCATTTACTCAAAAATTGCTGTTTTGTTTTTCAGCAAGAAAAATCACTACGTTTATACTTACCAAGTGCCTGTGGGCTTATAATTTTTGGGTTTTTATCCAAAAATGTCCAATATATATATTTATTGTTAGATAAACCACATTCAGATATTTAATTATAATAATTTATTAAAGTTAACAAGTTCAACAAACAAAATAATTAAAAGGTTGTGTTTCTTCGAGACATCATTGAATGATTGAAAACAACTGCAAAATCATGAAATTTAAAAATTATAACATTTTTAAACTCACAAACTGTTGTTTCAATCTCCTGTTCTTTCTTACGGAAAATATTGAAAATGTGTTGACGTAATTGTGAATTAACACATAGAATAATAATTGGTGAACATATATTAACAATATCCCAACCAATAACTTGAATTCCGGCATATGAAGAAGACGCGAAGCTTGGGCTGATTGCGTAGGCAAACTAGAAAATCTTAATTTATTTGTCAAATTAGATAGATGATGCCAATGTAATCGAAAAACAATATAATCACTATTCAAAAAAATTAAATTGGAGATCTACGGAAAGTTTATAGTTTGAGCCTAGAGTAGCGTGTTTTATCACCCTAGAAAACATTTATATGAAGATGACTATAATTTAATTAATTCCATGAAAGGGCAACTTTTTTGTACGATGTTCCGATTTCCTATTGAAAACTAACCTCCAAACATCCGGGAATAAAATAACAAATAGAAATAATTGTTGAAGCGAGGCATAATATTTTTTCAGATTTTCTTAATCTCACAGACATTTTAGACATTTGTGAATAAGTAATATAAGTATTGATTACTGTATAAATTATTGAGAATCCACGTAAAATACACATTATAATACTAAGTGGAGCCCATGATATTCTTTGAGTATATCCGATATAAAAACCATTCATTATATAATAGATAAACTTGCTTGATATTATGATATTGAAGCAAAAAAGAATTGGTAGTAGGATTACTAAAATTAAAATGAATTTCAAATATTGAAACCAAATAATATTATGTTTAATTGGAAATAACACACAAGTTGTTCGATTTGTTGTCATTAAAATTTGAATAAAAATTTGAAAAATATGTAGATACATTAGTAAATCATAAGGTAAATCCATAAATATTAATGGATATTCTTGAAAAACTTCAGCAAAATACAGGCAAAATTGAGCGTTCAATGTGAAAAATCGAAAAATCAATATTTCTAGCAAAAGTAAAATTAGACCGCTCAAACAATCTAGAGAAAATAAAAGATAGAACATTTGATTTTTATAGATTTTTGGGTGTTTCACCCAAATTATATATAAGATTAGGATGTTTAAAATAGCGGCAGGAGAAAGATATAAAAAATTGAAAAGATAAATTATATTTCCTTGAAATTTGGAGAAAAATTGCGAAGAGCATGGTAGCATTTTTTCTCTGAAATTAAGTTTTTTATTGTCCAAAAATTATTTTTTTTGAGTTTGCTTTTGAAAAAAAAACCACAAAAGCCACATGAAAAATAATTATAACTTACATTTTTTGTTTGATGAAAAAAGTTCAGACGTAAGTAGAAAACATGTTATGATGACAAGCCAAATTTATTTTATATAATCATGGAATTTGTGAGATTCAGATTTAGACCAGTTGTACTTGCATTTTTGATCAATGATTTTTTGGCGGCAAAAACATGATCTCGCAATTGTTTGTTGGCAAAAATCATGACATAAGGACTACCTAAATTTAAAAGGTCCCAAGAAATTGGAAGAAGTGCGTATTGGACGGAAGTTGAAGCGCGAGCCACGTTGAAAACGAAAAAACTCTGTAAATTAATTGGGCTTTCGGAATTTTGGAAATAAAACTGTTTCAAAAAATTATGAAATATTTTGAAAACACTTCAGTTTAACACTCCAGTTTTATTAAGATATTATCAATCCTTCATTTGGAATTATTTTATCTAAACATTTTGGAAATGAATCCTTTTCAATAGCCTTAAAATTTTCAATTGATTTTTTTTTCAAAATTCACTGTTTCAAGGAATTTTGAAATAAAAAAAGCTTTTTTCAGGTTTTGAGAATGCTCTAATTGTTTTTGCACTGAAAATTTCGCCGAGTGAAATTTTTCAGCAACACTCAATTTTAAACAAGTTTGAAATTTCAAGAGTCCTCTCGATTTTTAAAATTTTTAAATTTCAAAAATTCACTGTTTCAAAAAAAATATTTTCAAATATTTTCAAATTTTACAGTCCAAAAAGTATCGTTTCAGATCGAAACTTCTACGATTTTTTATTTTGAAATCGTCGAAAATGTTTTAATAAACATCTCCGATTTTAAATGTCTGTTACCTCAGCTAGCGCAGTTCCAAAAAAACACAACGAAATAGCAAAAGAAGCAATACACAAAATCCTCTCCGAATTTTTCATTCTTTTCTTCATTTTTTGCATTTTCCAAACTGTAATCACTGTACAAAACACAGTGATAGTTATTGTAATTCCACGTAAAATCATCAGAAAAAATGTCATAGTTGCCCATGAAACAACACGATTATATCCGATATAAAATCCACCAAAAACCATGATTGGAACTTTTTCTGATATTATTATATTCCAAATAAAAAGAAATGGTGAAAAAAGGACAAACATTATGAAATATGACATGAATTTTGACCAGAACTGTAAAAAAATTGGATGTTTTAAGCTTTTAGGATTCTAGATTTCAAACCAACATCACTGTATTTTATCGGCCACAAAACACACGACATTCGATTTGTTGTTAAAAATATTTGAATAATTGGTTGAGCTGAATGCAAATAATTTTGAAGTGGATAATAAATTGACGAAAATCCCGAATTTGATTTGAAATATGTTGTTAGAGGAATGCAGAATTGAGGAAAATATTGAAAGATTCGCGAGAAAAATATGTCGAGAATAACTAGAATGAAACCCTGAAAATCGAAAAGTTGATCGTTTTTAAGATTTAAATGTTTGGCGTCTTCATTTTCTTTTTAAATTTGTTTTGATTCAAAAATTGAACTAGAAAAAAATGTTCAGAACTCAGAGATCAATTTTCTAATTTAATTGATCTTTGAACATTGACATTGAAATTTTGTGAACCTTTCTGGAAATTTCGGTCCAAACCTTGAAGCTTTTTTGAAGTTTGATTTTTTAATTTTATGATCTCACATCACAAACTTCAGCACCAGTTTTTCTGCTCCAAAAAACGTGTGAATTTTTAGAAATTTTTCAAGCATAAAGTTTGATTTTCTTGGAAAAAATAGAACTAGAGAAATTATGAATGGGAACTTTTAGAGTTCAATGAACAATTGAAAACAATTCACGTGGCAGGATAACATTTTTGGGGAATTGTGAAATCTGTGAAATTTGAAAAATCGTAGATCAAATTTCTGCGCCAGAAAAAATACATGCTAAATCTCTAACACTAATTTTTGCTTTCCGTTCATTTAAAAAAATCCACGTGGCAAAATTGCTGTTTTCTGTTGCCGAAAATCTTGTGCTAAAATCTTGAACAATTTTCAAGGACATTCTTTTCAATATTTGAAATTGGAAATTCCGAGTTCAAAGATTAATTTTGTAATGAAATTGCATTTTTGCAAAACCCTACAAATGTTTTGTCAAGTTTTCTAGATAGTTAAAAACACAAATCACAAATTTTTGGGCCCAAACTGTTTTTCCAAACTCACCGTCCAACAATCCATTCCAAAAAATATATAAAAAGAGTGTTTCAAATAATACTTTCTACATTTCCAAAATAAAATCCACAGAATTCTTGCTTGCAAAACAGCTGATGGTGCCAGATAGGCGAATTGTGCCAAATATTTCAAATTTTCCACGTTTGAGTCATAATTTGCGTCGCATTTTCGATCCAAAACAAAGACCGATGAAGAGGACATTTTTTATGACTTTTTAATTGAAAAAAATGAGAAGAGCTCTGTGCAATGAATAAAATAAAATAAATAAAATAAACTAAGCTTCATTCATTCATGTGCGAAAAAAAATGCTGAAATGTGAGAAAATAGTGGAGAGCTCTAGAGCAAAATGAACAAACGAACAAAAAAAATAAAATTGTTCGATCAGGATGAGATTCGAACTCACGCGGGGAAACCCCAATGGATTAGCAGTCCATCGCCTTAACCACTCGGCCACCTGATCACACATTTTCGGCGGGCAAAAATGTTGGTTTTGTGTTTGCTGATAAAGCGGGGCTTTTTGGAGAAAGTGAATAAAAAACCAAATTTCATACGGAAAAAATAGAAATGAAAATAAATTGCAATTTTTTTAATTGATGCTATGAAATTCCAAATTGGTGGTCGCCGTTTTTTGGCTCGAATTCGATATTGTTTTCGAAATTGTGCTCATTCCCAAATTCTCGGATTTTGCACGTTTTCCAAACAAATTTTTTCGCAACTCTTGACTGACTGCCAGCAAAATTATTGGAGATCTGAAATTTTTAGAAATTTTGTACTGGATTCTCGGAATTTTGAGGAAATTTCGAGATTTCAGATACTTATTTTAATTTATTAGAATATTCCGCAGAAATCTTTTGAGCCAAGAGTTCTGGAAGAATTCAGTAGCTCTAGATGATTTTTCTTAATTTTTCAACTAATTTCGAGATTTTCGACAACTATATTGAATTTTGAAATTCACCAAAGCTGAACCTTAATTTAATTTTTATATCATGTTTAGTGTTCTTTCTCTATAAACTCACACAAAATTCTGCAAATCATAAACCAAAAACATTGCGAACAAAATAATCTCATTTGCATTTTCAGCATTTTGATGAAAAAATGCGAAATAACTCTGTAAAGCAGCTTGCGTCAAAAATACGCAAGAAATAATAATCGACACAATACACAGTGTTTTCTCCGAGGATTTCAAGCGAGTTTTCAAAGTTGACATTTTGAATAATGTTATTGAAGTGCAAATTATTGTTATGAGCAATGAAATTGTTATGAAAATTAGTTGAAACAGTGATAGACTTGCCTAAAAATTTGGATTTCTGTGTTAAAAATTTGCGATGTGGCAATATTTCTTGAAAAAACCCGAGTTTTCTAAACTCACCCACGAAACTCTTCTTTTATAATTCATTGCCAATCCGCCACGAATTGGTACAAAACTCTTTTCTGAGATCATTGTGTTCCAAATTACCAGAAAAGGTAACAATAAAATTGATAAAATGATTTTTCGCATATTTTGAGACCACATCTGGAACGATTTTGATTTTTTTGAAACTTTCTAGAAGTCTTACAAAAGAATAATCGACAGGCCAAATAACACAACTCATTCGATTTATACACATAAAAGCTTGAATAACTGGTTTCAAAGCTCGAAGATAATTATAAAAAGGATAGGCAAAATGCGCTGAAAATGGACAATTTCCAAAAAAATTCAGAAAAATTGGGCAAAGTTGTGGGAAAAATATAGCGATTCTGCCGAAAAATATATCGCTGAGAAGTAGGAAGATGCTCTGAAAATATCGAAATTTTGACATTGAAAACAGTAGTTCCGAGGTGAACTCGAACATTAAAATAGGAACGTAGGCACTTACCATCTGCCCTGTTTGGTCATGTTTAATGGCTCTTTTTCTCGGTTCCCCGAAGTGCTCAGAAGCTAATTTTCACAGCATTTTCCCTAAACCTACCCCGATTGAATCCATTTTGTAGAGCATAAAAAATGATTGTTTTTCAGGATTTTTGAAAATAATAACATATAAAATAATAGAATGCAGCAAAAATGCTGGAAATAAATATGAAAATTGAAGAAAATATTTGAGATTTTCCAAATTTTGAACTTCCCGAATTTGAAATGAAGAATTACAGCTGAGATTTTCCATTTGTTCGAAAACACAAAAAAAATTTATAATTTCTAGTTAGCTCGATTTTTTCACCTGAACATTCAGAACATTTCGAAAAAAGTTGATAATGTCATTTTCGGTTGCTATGGGAAAAAATAATTGGTGTTTATATGTTTATTCAATTTTTTTGTTGGAAATTTCATTGTCTAGCTGATTGGGCTTAAAATGAGCAATTCGCTGAAAAATGGGACAAGAAAATATATGAAAATGGGTGTTTGAAATTATGAAAATTTATGGAGAATCTGGGAAAATTGATTATAACTTCTGAAAACTCAACAATTTTTGAAATTCGCAAAAAAATCATCCAGAATTTCTGAAAACTTTCAAGTATTCCTTCAAAAATTCCAAAAAATCAAAATCTGTCATTTTGCAGGCTCGAGCAATGTCTCATCTTGAAGAAATATCTGATTCTGGAATTGAAATGATGGCTGAAAGTGGCACAGTTGCAGTACTTTTACCATCAACTGCTTTTATTTTGCGACTTCAACCACCACCGGCAAGAAAAATGATTGAAAAAAGTGAGAGATTGCTCAGATTAATCGAATAAGCAATAATTTGGTGATTTTTTCCAGATGTGATTGTTGCTTTGGGATCAGATTTCAATCCGAATGCTTATTGTTTAGCAATGCCAATGATTATGCATTTTGGTGAGTTTTGGGTGAGGGAAAATAGCGCCTGAACAACTCGGGAATATCATTCAGACCATCTAAAATCTTCTCGTACTTTTGATTTCAGTAAATGTTTTTCCAGCTTGTGTCACGATGAAACTTTCAATGCCAGAAGCTCTCGTTGCTGCTACTCTCAATTCGGCTCATTCTTTGGGACGTGGCAAAACACACGGTGCTATTTCGGTTGGACGAAATGCTGATTTTTTGATTTTAGACGCCAATTCATGGGAACATGTGATTTACAGGTGAACAAATTAGATTTGGTATTTTTGGGGAAACATTTGAATATGGGTTGTTTTGGAGAACTACAGTAATCTTGGATTTTTGCGCCCAGTCACAGTCTTTTCCTAAAAATATGATGGCTGTGATTTATAGTGTCCAAAACATCTAGAAGTATTGTCAAAAACCAAGTCTTCAGACTTAAAAGTTTTTAATGCCAGAACCAGATTTCAAAAATTCCACCCAATTCCTAAAACTCTTTGAATATGTTTCAGAATAGCTGCGCATCAAGACATTATTCAACACGTTTTCAAAAATGGAAAACAAGTGATCATTCACCAAGAAAAGTGATAAAATAGAAAGGATTTTCACTTTTGTTTTCGTTTTCTCGACTGGATCATATCCAAATTTTTGCATTTTGCATTTTATTGTGATTCGCAAAAACAAAAATCTTCTTTTTCTTTTTATGCGATTTAGATGATTTTCTTTTATGTTTTAATTAAGGTCAATAATCTCTTTTATTGTGGTTTTTTGGGAGAATTTTTTGGTGGCGGGTGAAGAAAATGAATATTCTACTTATATTCTACTTGTTTAAAGAAAAACATTTCACTGTTTCAAAAATTCTTGATAAAAATAATTTAGAGAATGAATTTTCGTTAAATAAAAATTCCATTTCTCCCTTATTCCAAACCCAACTTTATTTCATTACTGATAACTTTTTCTGCCAAAGAAATCGCCCAACACAAAAAACTTGTTAAAACTAACTGGTTTCTTCTTTCGCTCTTTATGTTGTCATTTTTCAAGTGATAAAACTAGGCCAAATATATCTTTGGTGTGTTTTCGGGATTTATTATACCAGTTTCGATTTATTTCTTTTCCTAATTTTTTATTGATCTTTGCGACTTCCTATTTTTCCAGAAAAAAAGAAAAACGTTTTGAAATGAGATAATGCGACAGTTTTCAATATTTAATTCAATAATTTTTTTATTTTTCTTTTTTGGGGAAAAAATTCGGGTTTTTTCGAATCCGATTGATAATGGATTGGTGGATTCTGAACTTATACACGGTGAGTTTTTTTTTTTCGGTGGGGAAAATTGACTGAAAATATAATGATCTCTGGAAATTTTGGAAATCGGGAAATCATTTTTCAACTCTGATTTTCCTGTTCTGTTCCAAAATCTGAGCTTTCCCTGAGGTGCACAAATTTTAAAATTATGAAAAGCCTCCCCCGTCTCTCTCTCTCTCCTGAACTTCTAATTTTTTGCAGAATGCATAACTCACAAAGCAGTTGAAGTAATGCTATTACTTGATGCAAGCGGTTCAATCGGCGACGAAACCTTCAAAAATCAACTAAACTTTGCAATGCATCTCGCATCTCGTCTAAATATTTCAGAAGATGGTTCACATATGGGTCTAATTCAATATGCCGAAACACCAAAACTCGAATTCTCATTGGGACAATTTAATCATCCAACACAATTAGAATGGGCAATTCAAAGAATCGAATATCAAAGTGGAGCAACAAATACAGGACAAGCATTGAGATTAACATTGGAAAAAGGATTACAGGGTGCGAGAGCAGGAATTCCGAAAGTTGCGATTGTTATAACTGATGGACAAAGTCAGGATGATGTTTCGGAACCATCACAATTATTGAGAGATGCTGATGTTATGGTTTATGCTATTGGTGTTACTAATTTAGTTAATGTTCATCAATTACATCAGGTATGAGAAACTGGGGGATACTGTAGATCAGGGGATTAAAGGAACAATCGAAATATGATATTTTCAGATGACTGGAAATCCAGTTCGTGTTTTCACTGTTGAAACATTTGAGCAATTGGATAAAGCATTGGCCGATTCATTGACTTGGAGCATGTGCAAAACGGAATTCAGTAGGTTTCTTTTTTTTTTAGAAAATCAATGGATTACTGTCAAATGAATTGAATGTTTCGCCATTTTCTCATATTTTTTAATTTTCTGAAACGTATTTTTTCGTCGATTTCAGTTTCTAGCAAAAAGAGCCTTTTCAAAAATTCTTAAAACCGCACATTTTTGCAGGACCAGGCACTCCAGAAATCATCTGTGGACCTGATCGAATTGGTGTCAAAGCCTCAACCAAACAACCTTTCGAAGGAAATGTTTTTGTTCAGGACCATTTTCATGATGAAGAATGTCGAGCGGGTCCCGAAAAATTTCCGGATTCTAAAAGTATTGGATTGACTGTTCCTTTTTCAGCGTGTAATGTTCATCGATATCGATCGGTAGGGTTTTTGGCTGAAAGAGTTCTGAAAATTTTACATTTCGATTTTCAGCTGAATCCGAAGGGAATTTTCGTCGAGGTTACGATTGTTTTCATGTTTCATTCATTGTGAGTTGATTTTTCTCTATGTGAAAAATTTCTCTGCCACGTGGCATTTTTAATTTTGAAATCTTTTTCCAAATTCTAAATATTTCACTGTTTCAATAGTTTTTTTTTTTCAAATTTCCTAGAAAAATAATCGAGCAATTATTGTAATATCAACATTTTACAGCTTTGAAAAAAAAATCATGAAAAAAGTGAAAAATGTTTCACTGTTTCAAAAAAATCAAAATGTTTCGCAGATTTATGACAAAAACCGATCAAACCGTAAAAGTGCAATGTTTTTATATGGAAGCCGACAAACATGTAACAGTTCCATTATCAGTTTCAATGATAACTACAGTATTCCGTGAACAAATTTATCAAATGCCTCAATGTGCATACACTTTACGACAAAATGCACCAGATGGTCCAATTGTTAAATATGCGACTTTGGGACAAAGTGTTTATCATAGATGGGAATGTATTGAAGTTGAAGGAATTGATAAAGATACTTTTGGAATGTTGGTACATTCTTGTTATGTTGATAATGGATATGGGGATCGAGTTGATATTTTGGATCAAAATGGGTAGGAGATTTTCTGGATTTGGTGTGGCAAGGGTCAGGGAATTTAGAGATCAAGAAATTTCGCGTTTAAAATGAAGATTTTTACACCAAGTTTTCTATAATTTTTTGTTCTGGAGTTATTAGCTCTGAAAAATGATATAAATCTTGAAAAATGTCTTTAATTCCCATTTTTTCAGTTGTGGTTTGGATGCAGTTCTCCTCTCGACTCCTGATTATAATCCATCTCTCCGTCTCGCCACAAAACCCTATCATGTTTTCAAATATGCCGATCGTCCAGTTCTTCAATTTCAATGTCAAATCACTTTGTGTTTGAAATATGATGGTGGATGTGAGGGAATTACGCCACCGAAAAATTGCAAAAAATTAGCGGGAGAAGATGGAAATCATCATCATCATCATCATCATGAACATTCGAATTCGACAAAACGACGAAAAATGGTGAGACTTTCTCATGGGATTTTCTACGAAATTGAAATTTAATTCTCAAAAATCCACTGTTTCAATGAAATGTTAAAGATTTTGCTGAATTTTTATTATTTGGTGTTTCAAAGGTGTACACTTTTTATAAGTATAGAAACTACAGTACAGAACCCTTTTTTCACGCCAAATCTAAAAATTCAAAAATTTTGCAGGTTCGCCGTTTGGCAGATGGTGTTGGAACAATTGATGTTTTCACTGATTCGGTCACAGTTTTGGATCAAGAACCGATTTGTAAAATTGTGAGTTTTTGCGGTCCTAATTTCTCTCATCTTCTTTTTTTCAGGATCCCTCATCTTCATCTTCACAAAATCCATTGGGAGAAATGAGTTCAACAACAATTCTAATAATAACCTTGGCAAATATTCTAATATCTTTGATAACAATTATAATAGCAATGTGTCGAAGGCGGAAATTTGTCTGAAAATTGAAAATGCAATTTTTGTTTTCAGCCAAAAAATTATATTATTTTCAAAATTATATTATACGGTTAGTAGAGAAAAATATCAATAAATGGATTTTTTTGAGTCTGAAATTTTCAAAACATTTTCAGGACTAGGGGCTGTTAGCCCCCAGGCGTAACAGTCTTCTCATTTATTTCAGTTTCACTTTTTTCTGTGACTATTGTCAATTTTCTGTGGAAAATTCACTTACAATCAAATTTATAGAAAATTTTAAGTTTTTTGATCGAAAAATGACTCGTGGCTAAATTAGGAATGGTTCCTAATTGCTCACTAAATGAATTCCAATCATTTTAAGCCTAAAATCTTGAAATTTGTCTCTTTAGCTACCCGCCCGAATCGAAATTTTCATTCGGGCGGGTATTTTTCAAAAAAAAATCGGTTTTTTCAAAAAAAAAATCGGCCCGAGTTTTTTCAAAAAAATCGGCCCGAGTTTTTTTCAAAAAAAAATCGGCCCGAGTTTTTCAAAAAAATCGGCCCGAGTTTTTTCAAAAAAATCGGCCCGAGTTTTTTCAAAAAAAAAATCGGCCCGAGTTTTTTCAAAAAAAAAATCGGTTTTTTCAAAAAAAAAATCGGCCCGAGTTTTTTCAAAAAAAAATCGGCCCGAGTTTTTTCACAAAAAAAAAATCGGCCCGAGTTTTTTCAAAAAATCGGCCCGAGTTTTTTCTAAAAAAAACGGCCCGAGTTTTTTCAAAAAAAAAATCGGTTTTTTCAAAAAAAAATCGGCCCGAGTTTTTTCAAAAAAAAAATCGGCCCGAGTTTTTTCAAAAAAAAAATCGGCCCGAGTTTTTTCAAAAAAAAAATCGGCCCGAGTTTTTTCAAAAAAAAAATCGGTTTTTTCAAAAAAAAAATCGGCCCGAGTTTTTTCAAAAAATCGGCCCGAGTTTTTTCACAAAAAAAAAAATCGGCCCGAGTTTTTTCAAAAAAAAATCGGCCCGAGTTTTTTCTAAAAAAAACGGCCCGAGTTTTTTCAAAAAAAAAATCGGTTTTTTCAAAAAAGTCGGCCCGAGTTTTTTCAAAAAAAAATCGGCCCGAGTTTTTTCAAAAAAAAAATCGGTTTTTTCAAAAAAAAAATCGGCCCGAGTTTTTTCTAAAAAAAACGGCCCGAGTTTTTTCAAAAAAAAAATCGGTTTTTTCAAAAAAAAAATCGGCCCGAGTTTTTTCAAAAAAAAATCGGTTTTTTCTAAAAAAAATCGGCCCGAGTTTTTTCAAAAAAAAAATCGGTTTTTTCAAAAAAAAATCGGCCCGAGTTTTTTCAAAAAAAAATCGGTTTTTTCAAAAAAATCGGCCCGAGTTTTTTTCAAAAAAAAATCGGTTTTTTCAAAAAAATCGGCCCGAGTTTTTTCAAAAAAAAAATCGGTTTTTTCAAAAAAAAAATCGGCCCGAGTTTTTTCAAAAAAAAAATCGGTTTTTTCAAAAAAAAAATCGGCCCGAGTTTTTTCTAAAAAAAACGGCCCGAGTTTTTTCAAAAAAAAAATCGGTTTTTTCAAAAAAAAAATCGGCCCGAGTTTTTTCTAAAAAAAAATCGGCCCGAGTTTTTTCAAAAAAAAATCGGTTTTTTCAAAAAAAAAATCGGCCCGAGTTTTTTCAAAAAAAAATCGGTTTTTTCAAAAAAAAAATCGGCCCGAGTTTTTTCAAAAAAAAAAATCGGTTTTTTCAAAAAAAAAATCGGCCCGAGTTTTTTCAAAAAAAAAATCGGTTTTTTCAAAAAAAAAATCGGCCCGAGTTTTTTCTAAAAAAAAATCGGCCCGAGTTTTTTCAAAAAAAAAATCGGTTTTTTCAAAAAAAAAATCGGCCCGAGTTTTTTCAAAAAAAAAATCGGTTTTTTCAAAAAAAATCGGCCCGAGTTTTTTCAAAAAAAAAATCGGCCCGAGTTTTTTCAAAAAAAAAATCGGCCCGAGTTTTTTCTAAAAAAAAATCGGCCCGAGTTTTTTCAAAAAAAAAAATCGGTTTTTTCAAAAAAAAAATCGGCCCGAGTTTTTTCAAAAAAAAAATCGGCCCGAGTTTTTTCAAAAAAAAATCGGCCCGAGTTTTTTCAAAAAAAAATCGGCCCGAGTTTTTTCAAAAAAAAAATCGGCCCGAGTTTTTTCAAAAAAAAAATCGGCCCGAGTTTTTTCAAAAAAAAAATCGGCCCGAGTTTTTCTAAAAAAAACGGCCCGAGTTTTTTCAAAAAAAAAAATCGGCCCGAGTTTTTCTAAAAAAATCGGCCCGAGTTTTTTTCAAAAAAAAATCGGCCCGAGTTTTTTCAAAAAAAATCGGCCCGAGTTTTTTCAAAAAAAAATCGGCCCGAGTTTTTTCAAAAAAAAAATCGGCCCGAGTTTTTTCAAAAAAAAAATCGGCCCGAGTTTTTTCTAAAAAAATCGGCCCGAGTTTTTTCAAAAAAAAAATCGGCCCGAGTTTTTTCAAAAAAAAAAATCGGCCCGAGTTTTTTCAAAAAAAAAATCGGCCCGAGTTTTTTCAAAAAAAAATCGGCCCGAGTTTTTTCAAAAAAAATCGGCCCGAGTTTTTTCTAAAAAAAACGGCCCGAGTTTTTTCAAAAAAAATCGGTTTTTTCAAAAAAAAAATCGGCCCGAGTTTTTTTCTAAAAAAAAATCGGTTTTTTCAAAAAAAATCGGCCCGAGTTTTTTCAAAAAAAAATCGACCCGAGTTTTTTCAAAAAAATCGGCCCGAGTTTTTTCAAAAAAAAATCGGCCCGAGTTTTTTCAAAAAAAAATCGGCCCGAGTTTTTTCAAAAGTTTTTTTCGAAAAAAATCGGCCCGAGTTTTTTCAAAAGTTTGGTTAGATCACCTGTTTTTTGTTCAGAAGGTCCAGGATAGGATCTTTTGGACGTTCGCGATTGTATGATTTTCGGAAAAAATGGGAAATGTAGCAATTGCGACATTTGAATAATGACAACAGGGGGGACCCCATTGAAAAATGCTGGTAGATTGCATGAGTTTTGGGCGGGAAGAATTTAAATTCAAATTTTTCATGTCACGTGGATTGTGCCAATTTGTTTTTCAGAAAAAAAATTCACAAATTTATTTTATAGGGTTAGTTTTGAAAAAAAAGATCAAAAAATGGAATGTTTTTTGGGATGTGAGAGAAAAATACAATTATTTCAAAAATGATTATGTCGAAAGGGATTTTTGTGTTAAAAAGTTAAAGCTATGCAGAAAAATTTCAAATTTTCAGAAGTCTTTCAGATTTTCAGATTTTTATCCATCATACGCATAGTCGGCTTTGTTGTGCATCACTAATTTGTCGTCGACAAAATAAAAACTGTCCGAACGGGTCTCGTATGGATTGTTGATCATTTCGTCCACTGCAAAAAAAGTACTGTAATTTTTGGCACGAAAATTGAATTATCAATGAAAAATTTTTCAAATTCAAATTCATAAAATATTCAAAAAACTTACTCAAAGCTTGGCTGAGTTGTGGGAACTCATAAATATGTTCACAATTGTTTCTTGAATTCGGAATACAAAATCCGAATTCAAAATCGAAACATTTCAACATTCGATCCTTGAAAAAGTGCCTCTCAATCATTCGAAATTTATGAATTGGTCTCGAACCGACAGCAAATTCTACAGTAGCCCCAACATGTCGCAATTTCAAAAATTCGGCCGAAAATCGATATCTAACATATCTGCCTTCAGATTGTTGTCTTTGTTGTTGTTGAATATTTTGATGGTGATGATTATAATTTGGATGAGTTTGTCCAACATTTTCTTGATTATTATCTTCGGGTTTTTCGATTTCGAATAGAATTTGTTCAGTGTCCAGATCGCGGATTTTGAAACGAGTGAATTCGATGTTGTAAATGTTGGCACTCGGTGAACATAAATAATCTGGAAATTTTTGAAAAATTAATATGTATTTTTGAAGTGTTGGTTGGTTCCTAATGGGGCTATTCAACGTCTTTTCTCAACGCTGAAATGGTTGAGAAAACTTATTCAGGTAGGCTGAGAAAACAGGAAAACGGTTGAGAAAATGATTTTCTCAGCATTTTTCCCGTTTTCTCAGCGTGCTGAGAAAAAAAAGTTATATTTTTGAAGTGGTACTGGCAAATTTTTGAGAAGAAAATTCATGTGAAAATTTTGAAACAGTGAATTTTTGAGAAAAAAAGGATTTTTTTAAAATCACAACAAGAAAATAATTTTATTGGAAACATTTGAAACAGTGATTTTTTTAATTGTAAGAAAAGAAAAAATATCTTGCTCAAATACAATTTTGTATTGATTCGGTTTTTCCAAATATTTTCAAACAATTTTTTAAAAGTAAATTGAAACAGTGATATTTTCTCAAAAAAAGCTAACCTTGTGTAATTCCAACAAGTCTCAAAACATCATCGGGTGTAATTGTTGGTTTTTCCAAAAAGTTGAGATTCAGTCAAACTTCCGGCTGGTGGACCATTTGGTGAAATTGGTGGAGGTCGAGGAGGCTGCAAAAAATAACGATTGAGAAAAAACAAATATGATATATTTTCGATTTTTGGAGCTAAAAGTCAGAAAATCTTGTTATTGAAAATTTTTTTATAAAATTTTCAAAAAAAAAAAATCACTGTTTCAAAAAAATAAAAACAAGATATTGTCGTTCCGAAAAAAATAAGAACCTTGGAAGAGAACCGAAATGGCCTAGGAAACCAATACTACAGTAGACTTCGCGAAATTTTGGAGTCTATTTGAAAAATAAAATGCGAAATTTACACGTTGGCTATTTGCCAACCAGTTTGATGTGCATGTGTCACGTCATTTTTAGTCTACTGTACGTGAGCGCCAATTCAAACGGGGGTTCTTTTATTTTCGGAATAACAATAATTTTTTTAAAGAAAATTTTGATCAACATTTGAGGTTTGTATCTCCTAGGTCTAATTGTAAGACTTTAAAATCAAGCCTAGAATCAGGATAATGAAAATACATCAATTTTTTGATAGTAGAAAATTACGTATTCCACGTGGCGCCAAAACTCTCGCTGCCTCTTCTCTCTCAATTGAAAAAAAAAGAGGAAAATTGAATTTTTTGGCTCATTTATTTTTTTTCTTGAGCAGAGTCTAATGGGTTTTGGAACGTTGGAAAATTGAATTTTTGTTTGGTTTTTTTTTTGAGAAAGAAAGAGCTAAAAGGGATTTTACGAGCCAAAAATCCACGTGGCCATTTTTTTATTTCGAACAATCAGGCCTATTTGCGATAAGCCTGATTTGGGCTCATTTTTTGAGCGGTCTTAAAATTAAAGTCAAAAATCTATACCTGTGTTGGAAATGAGGCGATTCCTTGTTGCATTGATTGTTGATGAGGTTCGGCTTTCATTTCGTCGCTTTCTGAAACAATTTTTGGATGTTTAGGGATTTCAGAGAGAACTATCAGAGTTTTTTGAGATTATTCGCGCAAAAAATGATACGTGGAACTTTTTTGGTTAATCAAACATGTGGGTTTTGAATTCTAAAAACCATATTTCGGGGCCAAAAAATTAACTTCAAAAATATTTGAGATTTTTTTTTCGAAAATTCAAATTCAAAACTTTCAATTTCTAGGGCCCAAAATCGGAACACATAAAAGCAAATCCATAACGATGACATAAAAAAGGATGACATGAAAAACCGAGAAAAAACGAGAGAAGAACGAAATAAATGAGCCAAAAATGGAGCAGAGAGAGATTAGAGAGTAGATAAAGAAGAGAGAGAGTGTTAGAGATAAAAAGTGAGCATATTTTGTGAAGAGAGAGTATTCGAGAAGTGGAGGGTGTTAGAGAAAAAATGAAGAAAGGAAGGAAGAAAAAAGTTTTGAGAAAAATGGAATTTTTGAGGAGTTGTGAGTTGAAAATTGATATTTTTTGAGCAACAATTTGAAAAATATCGATTTTTTTCGATTTGGATGGGGATTTTTCAGTAGCTGAAAATTGAAACTTTTTGAAAATTGAAAATTACCATGACTGAAAATGAGCATTTTTGAGAAGCTTTTTGAAACTTTTCTGAACATTTCTAATCGAATTTCAACTTTCAGCTCAATTCTAAATTTCCAGCAAAAACTGATGACTAAAAATAACTTATTGTAACTCCAAATCTTTTTTCTAACATCAAAATTGGCTGGCTCCGCCCATTTTTCGGCCTCGGTTGTCATAGTTTTTGAGCAACACGAGAAGCAGAAGAGCCACAATTTTATATAGCATATTTTTCAGCCTAGTAGTATTATTATTATTGAGTGAGCAGTGCGCGAAGAAAATCTGAACACGAGGAGGCGGAGCAAAAACGAAACAGCTGCTGAAAAATCGATTTTTAAGCGCGCGCGTACGTTTAGACAAACAGAAAGAGCGTGGGAGAATGAAGGGACGGGGATTTTCTGTGATGACGTAAAAAATATAATTTTGTTTTTCAAAAATCCCTCCAAAATTACCTGTCATTATGCTGCAAATTGGCCAAAATTGTCTGGAAAATCAATAATTTGGAATATTATATACGTACGAATCAAACTGGGTTTTCAACAAAAAAAGATATAAAACTGTCGAAACAGTGAGATTTAAAAAAAAACAAATAAATTTTCAAAATATTTATTTACAGAAGACAAAAAATATGAGCCCAAAAATAATTTACGGGATTTTTCAGGTAGAAAAGAAAATGTTACGATGCTCCGCGTTTACACCTGGATTTTTCCATAAAAAGAAAATACACGAATAAATAAATAAATAAGTACCAGTTTTCTACATATTTTTTCTCAATCCCAATTCGCCAATTTTGTTGGTGGTTTTTGGCGAATTTGCCACGTGGATAATTTTGGTGAGTTGAATGAATTTGAATTTGAAGAAGAAGGTGAAGAAGAATAAGAAGAAGACGAGGCTAAAAGTTGCTCATCAGTTGGTCCGAGTGTTAAATCCCAATAATGTTCAGGTGTATCAGGAAGCGCTTGATGAACATAGCGATGGCGGGAAATCTGGAAAAAATGGGGTGACAATGGATAGGAATCTAGGGAAAAATGGACCTAGAACACTGGAGAAAATTTTAAAAAGAATAAAATTGAAATGCCCAAAAAATAAATTGTCGTAGTATATTTTCTCAAAAATTTATGTGTGACAAATTCTGTTTTTCATGAGCGGATAGGAAAAATTATAGGGTTTCTTCCTAATTTTTCTAATCTCTAATTTTCCAAATCTAGTTTTTTCTCTGTATAGGGTTTCTTCGTAGATTTTCAATGAAATAATTAATTTTTCCGGAAAAATTCGAAAATATTGCTCACCTGATCAATATATTGATTTTTAGCTTCTGGTGTCATATCCAATTTATCATAATATCCTTTACAGCATTTACACGTGGTTCCGTGCATCAAATGTTTTCGATCCGATTTGTTTCGAATTACAGTACCATCGCTCAGTTCAGCACGAGCTTCTTTCTGCAAAAAAAACTTGGTTGGAAATGTCAGAAACTATTTGAAGGAAAGATCAGAAAATCGTAACAAAAATTTATTTTACTTAATTTTTGAAACAGTAAACTTTTTTGGATCTATTAAAAATCTTGAACTTTAAATTAAAATATTTTTAGCTAGAAAAAGTAAATGCGCTCAAATAGTTATTTTTTAAATATTGGCCTAGAGCTCTACTAAAATGACGAATTTGTAAATTCTTCATCAATTTTTGATTTTACAAATCTTCCCCAACCTTTCTATTCTCAAAACCATTTTGGCAATCATCCAAAAATTGTTGATCCACCAAATTTCGCACCATTTCCTCTCTGCTCAATATCTCGGCTCCTCTCGTTTTTCTCTGCGTCTCCTCGATTTTCAATAATATATTCGAATCTCTCTGTGTTCTTTTCGCCCTGGGACCCATTTTCTCTTCTTGATCTTCCTCAAAAACCGGTCGTTTTGCGGGCAATTTCATGATGAAATTCGTGATTTTTTGTGGCGCCGATTTTTTAGCTCGCGAAAATGTGGGCGGAGTCAGGGGGAGAGTTGCGTCAAGTTCGGACTGCAAAACAATTTTTTAAAAGATTTTTTGAAAAAAATAAAAATACCTCATGGCTAGTTTCAGGCTCTGGTGGCAACGTTTCATCGAGTTGGCAAGTCTGGAAAAATAGTTATGACGTGGAAAATTTTCAAAAAATATGCTTTTTTCTAGAAGATCCCGTTCAACCCTGAATATAAATCATGACGTGGCAAAATATTAAATTTTTATCAACATTTTAGAGATTTTTCAGAATTTCATAAAACCTGTGGGAAAAAGTTATGACGTGGAAAATAAAAATTGAATTTTTCGATAAATGGGAATACAATCTCTATGATTAAAATTGCAAGTAAAAAATTTTCATAACAAATTTTTGAAACAGTCAAAAAATATGGATAAAATAATTCCACGTGGCCATTTTTGATTCAAAAAAAATATAAATTTACAAAATTTAGGCCTCCTTGAATTCAGAGGTTTTACATTTTTCCGAAATCAACATTTTCCTCGAAAATTCAAACGAAACTATTTATCAGTCAAAATTCTAACTATTCACGTTTTTTTTATTTTTCAGAAACAATATTGAACATATTTGTCTCCAGAAATTATTTTTAATTACAATATTACAAAGATGAATTATGACGCGGCAAAGTTTGTTTTGAAAAGAACTTTTCCACGTCATAACTCATATTTGAAGTAGAGTAAGTATCTCAAAAACACACATTTCCTCCTAAAAAGCACCCACCTCCTGCTCATTTTTCGTAATTTCCAATTTATCAATCGATTCTCTCTTTTTCTGACTTCCTCTTTTCGGATTTTGTGTTGTCAAAAGTCCAAATTCTCTTGCTCCTTTATCAATTCTCCTGGCTTTAAACAAAAATTCATCCATTCTCACTTGTTTTTTTCGTAATTTTTCAGCAGTTTTTCGCGGCGAAAACTCTTCCAAATCGTGATTTTTCCAATTTTTCGATAAAAAGTTTTGCGAATCCACGGCCGATATTTTTCTCGTTGAAGCAGATGAGGAGGAGGAAGAAAAAGAAGAAGAGGAAGGACCATATAATTTTTGTTGATTATTAAAAAATGGTGAAGCTGAAGAAGTTGAAGGGCGTCCCAATTGTTCATGAATATTTCTTCGATTTTTTGACGGCGCCATTTTTGGAGCAAAATAATGATCTTCTTCTTGTTCTCCAAATTCGAATTGTGAATCGGGGACGAGGATTTTTGGCGGGAAAGATTCGCGATGTGATATTTGAATACCCGAAGAAATCGCGGAGGAGAGCGATTGCTGAAATTTTCAGATTTTTTGGGGAAACAAAATTGGGTACAAATTAAAGTATCGTAATTTTTCGAAAATTATTAATTTGATAATTTTTGAAACAGTAAATTTTTTCATTTCCATAAAAATTTTAGATTTTTTTCAAATTATTACTTTTTTTTCTGAAATTTTCAGCTCTAAATTTTGTTTTTATTCGAAATTGGGCTCAATTATTCTATGAAATTTTGTTGCTTTCTAAAATCGGAGAATAAAAAAAATAACTATTTCAATAATTATTGAAACAGTGATTTTTTCTCCCCCGAAAAACTCACATTCTCCAAAAAATTCTCGTGTCCTCGACTATAAACTCCTCTTCTCATTATAATTCCTCTGAAATTTTTTTTCGCATTTTTATCTGAAATTGAAGTCTGATCAAAAATATATCAAAAATCGGCGAAATTCACGAAATAATAGTTCCAAGAAAAAAAAAACAGAAAATTTAAAAAATATCAAATTTATTGACAAAAATAATGAAATAAAAAGAATAAAAATCAAAAATAACAGTAAATATGAGATGAGACACAAAAATAACAACGAAAAATGCGTTTTCCGCGAACGCAGAGCTTGCGATTGCGGAAATTACGCTTCTATACAGGCACAAAAAACCACCGGTGGGAAGAAAAAATAGAAACCGGGACCTAAATTCAGAATTTCAGGCGAATCTCGGCGCATCCAATTTTTAAAATTGTCGGCGATTTTTTCAGCCATAAAATACCCGAATCGATTTGATGATTTTCGCGTTTTTGAATGTTTTTCAACTTTTCAATTTCTTCTTGACAATTACATGAATATTTGATGGTTTTTGTGGATTTTGATGATGAGCAAGAAGTTGAGGTTGAGGTAGATTCTGCAAAAAATAATAATTTTAGATTTCGAATAATAATTTCAGAGAAATTATTATAATGTTTGCATCCTATATTTTTGCTCGAATTACTCCTTCAACTATTTTTGGAACAGTGTTTTTATTGAAATTTTTTTTCTAAAATCTATGGATGAAACAAAATTTAATTTAATTGAAAATTTATATAATTTTTTTGAAACAGTCAGTTTTCTCTCTAAAATTTCGGCCTTTTTTTTAGAAAAAAAAAGATGATCTAACTTCGAAACATAGGGTTTTAATCTAGAAACAATCAATTTTCATTTCAAAAATGAGAAAAGGGAGACCCCATTGAAAAATCCTTCCATTACTTTATTAAAATGGAAGATTTTTCAATATTTTAAATTCACTGTTAACAATCATATTAGCAAATTTCTTTGAAATTAAAATTTCATATCAAAATTTTGAAACAGTGATTTTTTCTTAGAAATTCCAAATTTCTCAATTCTTCTATTTTTTGTGATAAAAATCTGATTTTTTCTCTTTTTTTTAAATCCTGTTTTCCACTCACCATTATTAGTATTAACTCGTGTTCTAAATGCTTCTTCATGCGGTGTCAACATTTTTCGAAATACAACAATTCCATTCACCAACACATATGAATCAGCAAGTGTGGATAAGTAAAATGTTCGTGAGATCTGGAAAAATATATATATTGATTGATTGATATTTTGGAAGTTATCTGGGCCGAGAACGAAAAGAAAATTCGAAATAGAATCAAAATGCATATTTGAAACGTATTTTTTCGGGGAAAACATTTTGACGAGTTAGTTTGTATGAAAATCGATAAAAACCAAAAATTATAAATTTTCTGAATTTTTTAAATGAAAATCGTTGTCATTTGGCTTATTTTATCCCAATTTTTTGCTCCAAAATTCGCCTACCTTATCAAAAACAATATCACAATGATAATCAGCCAATGCGGCACAATAATTTCTACACAATCTATCAATTCTCAAATGGCAATCTCTGGCTGTTCCAATTTTTGTCAATCCCCTCTGTATTGCCACTGCCAAATTCTTTCCATTTTTCGCGTCCTCCAAAAATCCATAAACCGTTTCGTCGGGCAGAAAAAATCGAGGTTCAAAAGGCACACAACTCGCCATTCGCTGTTGATAGCATTTTTCGCGCAACTCTGCCCATTCTTCATTTTCTCGCCATTTTTGAATTGCCTCGTCACGCGTTTTGAACCACGCTTCTTTGGCGGATTCCGCCATTTTTTGCACCATTTTTTGACGCATTCGATTTCTGAGCGAATTTGCTTCGGCGCGAAGTTGACGGATTTTTTCGGGTGATAATGGAAGTTCTTCCTTTTCTTTCGCTTTTTCAATGGGAGCTTGATCGATTTGAAAAATCAAGGGTCTGTCTTTTTCATCGATTGAGAGACGTTTATTCACACTTCCTTCTGCAAAAAATTATGATAGAATATTTAATTAAAATTTTTGTTCAAAAAATTTCTGAAACAGTGCATTTTTCCAAACTCGAAATTAAATTAAAGTTTAAAAACAATAGAAACGAACTATCAAAAAAAAACACAAATTTTTTATTTTAAAATTGTTTGAAACAGTAATTTTTTAAAGGAAAAACAATATTTTCTTAAGAATATTTTCGGATCAAAATTGAGTCCTGATTTCCTGAAAATTAGAAACGAACTGAAAATCAGATTTTTTCGATGATGAACACATTTCAATTGAAATATTTTTGAAACAGTTAACTTTTTTTAATCGCAAAATTTCAGAATTTTTAGCGACCATTCATAGATATATCAAATCTTTCCACACCAAAGTGCATTTATTTTTTATTTGAAACAGTAAACTTTTAGCCCTTCTCCCAAAAATGACTCACTTGGTCTTCCTCGTTTTTTCTTAATCGGTGTTCCATTTTCATCGAATCCCAATATTCCTCCACAAATTCCACCATCTTCCGAATCTCTTTTCTTCTTATTTCCCCCACTTCCTCCAATTTTTTCCATAATTTCTGCTGTTCCACCAATCGAGTCTTCTTTCATTTTATTTTTCGATCCAGGCGGTCTTCCGCGTTTCCGTTGCGGATGAACTCCGCGAAGTGGTATCGCTTTATCCGGGCTTGATTGCTAGAAAAAATGATGAGGGTTGGGTAGGAATTTTATAGAGCAAATATTTCAAAAATTCTTGCAAACTCACACAAAAGCTAGGGGTAATTGGTCCAGTACTATTGAATTTGGCGAAAATTTCCATTTTGATATTTTCTGCAATTTCCGTATTCTCTCTTTCTGTATCATAGTCGGGTTTTCGACAATAATCGTGGTCCCAAAGCGCTGGGATACGGTAGAATTGTTTCCAGCGTTCTTGAAGATAATCCTGAAAGAAAATCGTTTTATTCGATGTTGAAAAAAAATGAATTATTTTCAAAATGTCTCAATATTCAATAATCCTCCCAATTTATGCTTACTTTTCTCGCTTTCGCTGCAATTGATCCATTCATCAAAAGTGTATATTTCGAATTAGTTGCAATTTGCTGCGAATTCGCATTGATCAAAATCTGCGAAGTCGACGGCAAAACATCAGCTTCTTCGATAATTTGTCCATTTTTCTGCGATGAATTTCTCGATGTTCTTACAACTTCATTTATTGTTGATTCAATTGCAGTCAAATTTCGATGATGATTTCCATTCAAAAATTGTGGAAAATTGCGGGAAGACGATGAAGAACAAGATGGAGAAGATGAAGAAGTTTGTGGTTGTGGTTGAATTATTGCAGATGTTGGTGGTAGTGGAAGAGAGTTATTGTTTGGACTATTTGATATTGAAGATGATGCAATTGAAGAAGAATTTGTTGGTGAAACTGAGCGATATTTTTGCTCGAGTTGACGTTTGAAATTTATTGGCTCAATTGTCTGCAAAAATTTGATTGAATTTGAGTTTAAAGGAACTTTTTTCGCGGGGTTTTCAGTTCAGATCACACTTCGTTTCAATGTTTCAAGAACAAAAAAACGATATTCAAAAAAATTAGCCGACTTTTTGAAACAGTAAATTATTTCTTAGAAAATTTTGAAAAAAAAAACTCACCGAGCTCATTCTTCTTGCTCCATTCTCAATTGGTCGAACACTTTCAGAATACTATAAAAAATCGATAATTTCAAAGGTTAGAAAATCGTGATAATTAAGATTTTCATGAGAAAATATTTCTCTCTAAAATTGAAAAAATCGACGTCTTCCAAAAAAACTCACAACTTTCTGAACTTCTTTCACCAAAATCTCTTGAACAATCTTCTCAACAACAATTCCAATATCTTTTTCATCATCATTTTTTTCGGATTTCGGCTCAAAAAATGTGTTGATATCTTGAATTGCTTCTTCGGATATATCGCTGAATTCTGATGGATATTTTGCAGTTTCTGGTTGATCTTCCGGCTCATTTTTCGAATCTTCCAAAACATCGGGAACCTCTGCTTTTGGTTCATTTTCAGATTGTGATTGTGAAGGGGGAAGAAAAATTGGTGGAGTTGGTTCTTTTGATGATGGAATATCAATTGGTTCGAGTTGAAGTCTCAGTTCTGGAGAAGGTTCCTGGAAGAAAATCGGGGTTAGATCAGGAATTTGGATTCCTAAGTCATCTTGAGAAAAAAATGGGGAATTTTTTAATTTTCTCAAAATGATATGTTGATTTTCGCTTTTTTCAAATACCTTCCCTCTCCCGCTATTTTCCCCCATAAATTTCCCACCTTTTCGTCTCTCCTTTTTCTATGCCTCCTCTCCAAAATATCTCCAAACTTTTCTTTCGACCAAATCGTCATACTCGTCGAAAAAAATCGATCCCTATCCATTTTCCTTCCATCAAAACAATGATCATACATAAGAACAACAATATATTTGGAATCTTGTTCTTTCGGATGAGTATACCAACTATTTCCAAAATCGGCCGATGATCTAATAGAAGTTAAAACAACATGTCGCAAATGATGTGATGATTCAAAATATGGTGCAGGAATTGGCGGTGGACTTCGGGATAAAAAATATTGTGCATCAAGTGTTGAACACCTTGCAAAATATTCTAATTTATCAATATTTCCATAACCATGTGCTAATAATTGCATATCACTATCTGCTAAAATCCTTTTTCTTCCTCTTTCTTCTCCACCTTTTTGTTGTGATTTTGGAAGAGTTTTTGGATGATAATCCAGAATACTTCCACCTCTCACAGATTTTCGAACATTCAGATTTTGCCAATGTCGATTGATAATTTCTTGTTCTTCTTGAAATTCAGTCATATATCGATTTCTAGCCATTATTTGATTGTTCATTGCTTGGATTTTTTGCATATTTTCGAGTGATCCTTCAGGAAATGCCGTGTCGAAAGTTTGTTTCCGGCGGGTGGCTCGAAAAAATGGAGAATTTTCAGAGAAGAGGGATTTTGAATATTTGAAGGGGGATCAGGCAATTTTTCGATAAAAAAAGATAATTTTTTAATGAAAACCTAAGCTTTTCCAGTGTTTTTGTTAAAATTCCAGTCTTTTTCTCAAAATGATAAAAACTATCCAACGAAAAACACACGTTTATTGTCTGTATATTTAATTTTTGAAACGTAGAAAATTTTGGGACATATAAAATTTTTGCAGGTTCATTATTCAGAGATCCAGGTGAAAGTATATCTGAAAATATCTACAACAAAATTCCTCTCAAATTTCACTTACGATTAGTACTGTAAATCGATTCAAAAATCTCATTTTCAGTCATTTCAATACTTCTCCGATTATCCTCAATATCCAATTCCTCTTCAGCAACTTCGAAATCCATTTGTCTATATTTATGTTTCACCGGTTTCTTTCCAGAATTCAAATTTTTCAAAGAATAAGCTTGATTCAAAAATCGATTCCTATTATTCACCACCTTTTTTGCATTCGTTTTCGGCACCAAAAATTCGCAAATTTGATTCGAAGTCGAAGGTTTTTGATCATCTAATTCCAAAAAAACAGCATGTTTTGTGTTTTTAAACTCTCTAAATTCTTCGCTCAAATGCTGTTGTCGAATTTCTCTCGCCTTCTTACAAAATTGTTTCCAAATTTCTTGAAAAGTCGATTTCTTCAATACTTCATCTGTATATTTCGACCATAGATTCAATCGTTTCGATTCGATCATAATTCTTCCTCCAGTCATTTCATCAATCCATACTTCGACATGCGCAGGACACATCCATTTTCTCCAAGTTGGACGAACTGTTAAAGGAGGGTCGACGCAGTGCAAATGCCAATGTTTTGGACAAAAATCGCATTTTAGGACGGAAGAAAAGGGATTGCAACTGCAAAATTTGAAGTTTTAAGAGGTTTTTGGGAGTGAGGAGAGTGGAAAAAAATGAATGAAAACTTTTCGAGACGAAGTTCGATTCTAAATCTATTCAAATATTCAGATTAACCCACTCGTCAAAAAATATTTGAAATTCATTTTTTTTCAAAACTGGATCCGACTGGAAAAATTATTCTAATTTTGCCCAGGAGGCTCAATTTCTCAAGGTATCAGTTCGAGGTTCAATTCCTGGTCAAGTCCTGAATAGCAAAATTTGGAAGCGAATCTAAAGAAATATTCGAAACGTATTTTCTCGGGGGAATGCAGAACCTGATGAAGAAAATGTTTTCTGAATCAGAAAAACATGAAAAATAATATTATTCATGCTTTCTGGCTCAAAACTACCAAAATTTTTGAATTTTTCACCATAATAAAAATCTTACGTTCCACATTTATAACATTCAACTCCAACAATATCCTCTTTCGGTTTATCGATATTATCAAAAGGCAGTGAAATATGTTCAGCTTCAATTTCAGGAGGAAGTCGAAATTCCGTCGGATTTGCCTTTGAAAATGCTTGTAAAATCCTTGAAAATTCATCATTTTTCGAAGAAGAAGAAGAAGAAGAACTATTTTTATTATGAATATGATATCGAATTGCTTCTTTATTTCTTTGTTCTTCTCTTTCAGCTCGAATTTTTGGATTTGGAATCATTTGATTTGAATATGAAGAAGATGATGATGCTGAACTAGAAGATGGTCCGCAAATAGAATTTGTAGATTTTGATGGTGATATCGATAATTCAGCTCTCAAATTTGGTGGCAAATTAGTGCATCTGTTACATATCCAATCACCTTCTGGCACTTGTTTTTCATCGATTCCGAGACATAATAAATGGAATGAGGCTGGACAACTTTCACAGCATAGAATATCACCGCCAAGAAAACAATAGGAGCATATTTGAGATTCGATGGTTTTCCATGGTTCGGAGGAAGATGATTGAGAGTTTCGCGCAGATTCGCAATGATTTTGTTGGTGGTCACGACCTGAAAAAAAGAAAATAAAGATTTTAAAGGAAATATTGGATAATTGACGTCTAAATATTTATATGGCTACCCCCTTTTCTAGGAAAAGTTGCGAAATTAAGAAAAAAAATTTTCTGGGATTTTCCTTGTTTCTGATATTATCAACTTTTCTATTATCGTTTTCGTCAAAAACTTCGAATTTTCCAGTAGAATATTCCAAGTTTCCACATGAAAAAAGCGCTTTCAAAATGAAAAAGGGCAAACAAGTTTTCCCCCCAAAAAATCGATTCAAAACTTTCACCGCCCATATTTTCAGGGTCAAAAAGACTTACGTGAACTCGATTGACTCTGCGAAACAGGCGGGCTGACGAGTTTTTCGATTTCCTGAAATTTGGGATTTTTTGCGAATTTTCTAATTTTCCTCAAGAAAAAGGGGATTTTTTAAGCTTACCAGCATCAAACCTTCATTCAAATCATATTTAAATTTTCGTTTCGCTTTCGACATTGTGAAATTCGTGAAAATCTGCTGAAAAACGATTGAAATCGATGGGAAAATTGGAAAAATGGCAGGTTCGAAATGGTTGAATGGAAAATGTGTCGGCGCTCTCCTCCTCTTGCACACTATTTCGTCGGTGTTCGCTGGAGCATGTTTGCTTTTTCGCAGTTTTATTCGAATTTTTCGCCTTGCCTCTTGCGTCCTTTTTCCTCTCATCGAATCGAACAAACAAAACGCCGCATTTTTAAATAGTGAAGAAGAAGATGAAGAATTTTATTGATTGAAATTCGCAGGAAAGTGAAATTCTTCAACATCTGCAAGAATAATTTGAATTATTATATTTTATTTGCTTCTGGGAAAATATATAAGTTGGAGTATGATTTAGATAAGTTAGAACACAAAGAAAGAGTACTTGTTATAATGATAACAAATAATTTTGGGAGTTTTTTAAAACTAAAAAATTGAAATAAAAAATCATAAACTTTGAAAATCCTGAATTTTCACCCCAACACCGACCTTTAATAAAATTTGAAAAATCCACGATTTCAAAAATTCGAAAAGCTAAAAATGAGCAAAAAAAATTTTCCACATTTTTTTCACGCAAAAATTCAGGCGTGGATAACATTTTATTTTCGAAAATTGAAAAAAACTATATAAAATTTTTGAAACAGTCGAAAATTACACAAAATGAAATGGATGAAAAGGAACGGAAAATTGTTTTTTTTTCTAATATGAGTCATCAAATCACACTTTGAAAAATAATATGATTTTTGGATATTTTTTTCATTTGAAAATTGAAACAGTAAATTTATATTATTTGAAATTTGGAAAATAATCAGCAAGAAATAAACTGTTCTTGATAACTATAATCTAATTTTGAAACAGTGAATAATTGAAGTCTGAAGACAAGAACGATAAAAAATAATATAAAAAACTAAAACAGTGAATTTTTAATGGGAAACCGAGAAGAAGAAAAAAAAGTGAAAAAATCGGAATTTATAAAAAAATTTGTGAAAACGTTGAAACAGTGGAATATTTCAACAATGAAAATGCGGAATAGTAGAATTTCAAAAATTTCCATTGAAAAGGAAATGTAACTGCCCTCAAAAAATTGGAAAAATATATTTACTAATTTTGAAACAGTGATTTTTTCTAGTTTGAAAATATGACAAAAACCATTCAATTTGTATGGATATCGGAGATTATGAAGAATACAAAAATATTTATACAAACATTGAAACAGTGTATTTTTTTAATACAAAATCCACACTAACACCACTTTAACAGATAATATTCCCGAACTGATATTACAAAAAAGATCAGATTAATTTTTCAAGCTGAAAAAGTGGGGCAGTAAATTTCCCTTTAAAAATTAATAATTTCCGAATTTCTAAAAAAAAATGTTGAAAGAGTGAACATAAGTAAAAAATAAGGTGAAAAAATTATGTGAAATTCTTGAAACAGTGAAAATTTTCGAGATAAAATTTTTCATAACTTTTTTGGAGGAAGATAGCAAATTTCTATATTTTCATCCCAAAAACCATAAAACAATTGCGAAACAGTAAATTTTTTTTATTCAAAAATTAATAAAAAGAAAACCGAAGCTTATGAAAACCTCAAAACATTTGTGAATTTTTTCGAAACAGTGAAAAATTCTCAAATCTTCATTTTCCATTTTTCACACTCTATTCTAGTCTTACACAATATTTTCACACCGAAATTCATTTTACACGTGTCATTTTTCACACCAATATTTTTTTGTATGTGATTCTTATCATTTTCTCACACATTTTCCATTTCTCACCACGCGCCACGCATCCCTAACACATCCAAAACAACAACAGGTGTCAAAATTAACACTTAAGCCCCGCCCCTTTTGTGGGTGTGGCCTATTTTTATGATAACCTATATTTGGCACCGCCCATTTTTCTTTAAATAGCACAAAGGAGAGCTCATTTTTACCATAATTTTAAAGTTAGTTCTACTTAACCTAACTCTGCTAGAAGCTAAACTAAAAATGAACTATTTTTCATTTTTATTATTTGTGCAAATTGTTGCTGCCTCAAATATTTGGATGAATATTGATGTGAAGAAAATTGATCGAAAACAATGTATTGTTGATGAAACATCGTGGGGTGCTGAAACTGCCGGATGCCAACAAATGAGCTATATGACTGTGAGTTTTGGGTTGGGTGCTTAACTTCTAGATTACTTTGAGTTGGGCTAATATCAAATTTTTTTGGAAATTTTTTAGGTTGATCTAGTTTTTAAGTATTTTTTTCGGTTAACTTTTAATCCCGGAACCTCACCAATTTCCAATTTTACATTCAAATCCTGAATTTCCAGATCGATGAACGCATTTTACCCAACCACGAGCGTCGTTCCACATCCTTCGAGCATATTTCTGGCTCATCCCGTCCAACTGTCACTCATTGGCCACGTGGAAAATTGTCCGATTGGATGCTCTCAATTCAATTCATCTCGGTTGATCCAGTTTATGGAATCGCAAGAACTTGTGATCGTTCTGGTTATGTTCGTGTGTTTGAAAATGTAACAGAAGATGTGCAATTTGTTGATAAAATTGTGAAGGTGAGTGAAAAAGAAAAACAATTTCGAAAATATTTTCCGCGAAGTTCAATTCATTTATAAATCTTTATTTTTCTTACAGATTCAAGGTCAATGTTTCACTGCGACAGTTCAAGTTCAAGCAAGTCTTGACATCTGCCCTTGGTGCATCGAGGAATCAGCCTCAACTGAAACCACCACAACAACCACCCAAAAACCAATCAATAATCAAATGGAAACTCAATTCCTAATGATTTCAATGCTTTTCCTCTCAATTATTTGTGTTTGCGCACTTATTGGTGTTGCAGTATTGCTCATTTTATATATCACTGATCGTAAGGGAATTAGCAAAAGTTCAACAACCAGCTCGAATTTATCTTTGCCAATTTATCAACTTCCACAACCAACAGTTTCAAGATGTGGAAGTTTTGCTGGAAAAGCTGGAATTCTCGCAGCATTTCCAAATGATTCAACTTTGCTGAACTGGAAAGAATATAATGTTGAAGAGCAATGGATTTCACAACGGGTTTATTCGGAATGTAGTTCGCCTGATTCTGGAACTGATACTTTGTAGATTTTTATTTTTTAATTTTTTTTGTTCTGTATATTTTTGGTTGTAGTCATTATATTTTTGTGATTTTTTTTGTAATATTTGTTATGTGTTTAATATTTTTATTAATTAATAAATTAAAAAGAAAAAGAAAAAAGGGTTTGAGCTACATTGAAAAATTTACAGGAAAATTCAGAAAAACACAAAAATTTTCAAATTAATTTGGGACAGATAATTTTTGAATTATTTCGAGAAAAAACAATTAGGAATTTTTCAAATTTTCTCAGTTCAAATAGGTTTGAAAAATCCCAGTTTTTCCATGTTCCAAAATTTTCAAAAACAATTGAAACAGTGAAATTTTCTATTTTTGAAAAACTTTATTTTTTGTTTAAATTTTCGGCACAGTTTTTCAGTACAAGTTGAGCTACAATTCGATCGAAGTGAATATTTTTTTTGATTTTTGAAACAGTGAAGTTTTCAGGCCAACATCAAATCTTTTCGGAACATTTTTCTGATCTCATTTTTTTCTCATGAAATAATTCGAAAATATTTGAAACAGCAAAATAAAACCAAGCTGTAAACATATAAGTTGTAAAACATATATTTTTCCCGAAAACCTTCCCAAAATTCCAAGTCGCTTTATCTGATGTGTATTACTATTTTTTTCAAAAATAAAACAAGCCGAAAAAAGTGCGAATAGCTATAAATGTGTCAATTATAGGTTATTTATGTTTACAATCTATCGGTTTGTTTTTTGAAAAATATCTATAAAGTTGTTGGGCAAAAAACACCAGACAGGCAAAATAATAAGAATTATCTAGAAAGAAAAAATTTCACTGTTTCAAATGATATTGAATAGTTCCTCGTTTCAAGACCTCCTAAAATTTCCGAAGAAAAATTTTACTGTTTCACATTTTTCAAATAATTTTTCATACGGAAACTTCAACTAAAAAATTCAGAGAATGGATAATTTAGTGACCTTGATTGTTCCAAAAAACCCTTTCTAGAAAATTTCACTGTTTCAAAATTTTCATTTATTTTTTGATAGGAAAGTTTTAGTGATTAATAGTACATATGTAGTTGTAATTTTTCAATCGCAAATTCCTCCCTTCCAACTAATAATTTTCCCATAAATTAATCATATCAACCGTACCAAATTAATGAATGATATATCTCTTCGCTTTTCGTTTTTTCTTCATCTTCGCCCACCTAAATATCTTTTTTCGTCATCAACAACAACGACAAAAAACTGATCGAACACCACCCAGGAATTCAGTTTTTTTCCTTTTCGTTTTTTTGACAAATCCAGTTTTCGCCCAGTTTTTTCATTTCGCTCATCCGTATAAAAAGAGATTTGAAACGCAAAAATATTAGAGTAAGTAAATATCCTCTCATTTTCGAAAATAAAAATGATTGTGGGATATTTGGGAGCTGGTGTCAGTTTATCTGTTCTTTTCACTTCGATGTATTGGATGTTCCAAATTGTTCAAGATATTCAAAATTTGAAGGGTGAAGTTGAAGGTGGAGTTGATGAGTTCAAGGTGAGCATTTTTATGGGAACTTTCACGCCGAATAAATATCTGGATTGATAATGCTTATGCCTTATCCAATTTCTCATTTTTTCCAACATCAAAACAACCTCCAAAAATGTTCAGATTTTGGCTGATGACACATGGCAACGTCTTTTGATCCTCCAATCTCCAACTGGCGAAACTGCCAATATTATGCCATCAATTTTCCGAAACCACCGTGAAAAAAGATATATCTATCCAGGAATGTGTAACTGTGATAACAATTCACGTGGCTGCCCAGCTGGACCACCAGGACCACCAGGACTTCCAGGAAAACGAGGAGATGAAGGTGTTTCTGGAGATTTGGGACGAACTGGAGCATCAGGAATCAGTTTGGCGGCAGTTCATCATATTCCAGGAGGTTGTATTGAATGCCCACAAGGACCAGCTGGACCACCGGGACCACCAGGACAAATTGGAGCACAAGGATATAAGGGAGTTCAAGGAAATCCAGGACCATCAGGAGATGATGGACAACCTGGAGGACAAGGAGATCGGGGAGATTCGGGAGCACCTGGAGTTAAAGGATTTGATGGAGCTGATGGACCAGATGGACAACCAGGAACTGCTTATTTCCCAGGGGAAATTGGACAACCTGGAGAACCAGGATGGTTGGGATTGGCTGGTTTGCCAGGAAAACATGGAGAACCAGGAAAAGATGGAGAACAAGGACCACAAGGACCAAAAGGAGAACCTGGACAACCTGGAAGAGATGCTTATCCTGGACAACCAGGAAAAGCTGGAGAACCGGGAAGTGTTGGAAAAGATGCCGATTATTGTCCATGTCCAGCTAGAAAAGATTCGAATGTTGAGACTGGATCTGCTTCGTCGCAAACATACAAAAATCGACGAGTTAAGAAGCATTAATTATTTTTCAATAAATATTTCGATTTTTCTGAGTTTTTTTTATACCATGGGGCACATACATATGGTTTTGATTTAAAAAAAAAAACAAAAAAAAATTGAGAAATATTTTTTTGGTCGAAAACAATTCACTGTTTCAAAAATTAGATATTGAACCTGAATTTTCAAATTTAAAAATTCACTGTTTCATGGATTTTTCAAAGTTTCTTTGTACACATTTTCGCAGTGAGGTTTTACCCAATGTTTTAAAATGTTTTCCAATAGTATTAACTACAGAAGAACCAGAAGTTGTATCTGTGAAAACCTAAATATACCCCAAAATTTTATAAGAAACATGGAAAGGTATTTGATGTCTTTTAAATGAATTAATAACGTTCTCAGCATTTGCGGGCGTAGCTTAAACGTAGACAGAGGGTGCATTTAGCTAATGCGTAGCTACGGTTTAGCTACGCATTTTTACAAGCTGACCGCGTTGCAAAGCGAGTACTCTCGAGTGCGCTGCGGTCGTTCATTTCGCTTTTTCATTTTTGTTTTTCACGGCCTAAAATTGCTGCAAAATCAGAGTTTCATCGACTAAAACTGGTTTTGAGAAGGTGAGTTACATTGAAAAACTTATTTTAACCATAAATAATGTATAAATTTGCAGAAAAACCGTTTAATTCGCCCAAATAATCAATTTTTCGACGAAAAGAGGATTTCAATCAAAACAATGTGATTATGCTGTCGAAAAGCTAATTTTGGAAACAAAAAGTGAGTTATTTTTTGATTATCATGATAGGCAGAGTCTAGAAAATGACGGTTTCCTGAAATTCCGTCTAATCTTCTGTAATGAAGGAAGTTTTATTGAATTCCTAGGTCTTGATGGGTATTTTCATTTGTCAGTCTATTTTCAGTTCAATAAATCAGTTTTTTCAGCCCGGATTTCATCATTCATCAATCGGAACAAAAAAATCACATTTCCAACCAGAAAACAGTCACCAACATTGTCATTTACACCAACATCAAATCAATTGTTAAATAATTTTTTCTATGTACTTATTTTTCTTGAAATTATGTTATTTATTATTCTTATATATAAGTTGTATAATAAATACTTCTTTTTTCATCTTATGTGTTAAAAATGGAAAAATTCCTAGGGCGACGAAAAAAGAAAACAAAACCCATTTCCGGCGCACAAACACACATTGCGTAGCTAAACCGTACCTATTTGTGTAGCTAAACCGATGTCATCGGCTGACATCGGTTCGTCTACGTTTAAGCTACGTACGCAAATGCTGAGGTTATTAATTACCCAATTAATTTAAATTTTTTTTTCAATAAAAATAAATATTCTTATTGCGAACAATTATTAATGCTGAATAAATCCTACATTTTCTGCGACTATTGCCAAATGTTCTGGAAGATTTTCAAAAAAAGTTACGATATCTTCGACTGCTCTTTCGAAATAATATTTTACACCATATTCGATTTTCTGTGAAACAACTTCTGGTTCTTCAGTCGTTTGTGCAGAACACAAGACAATTGGGAAAACTAGGAGAATCAAGAGTCTGGGAAACATTAAAATGAATTTTTAAGAGCCAAATATTATATTTTATGCGATGATTTTTGCTGGGAAAATGTATAACCACATGTATTTATCGTTTTACATTGTTTTTTGTCATAAGAATCGTATAATCTAGTCAAAAGATTGAATTTAAGCTAACTTTCAAGAAAAAAACATTCAAAAAAGAGGGAGAAAACACAACGAAAAAAAGAGAGAGTAAAAAAAAGAGAGAAGAAGGCAAGTGCGCTCCAACGCACCCGGCGTTTCTCATTTTTAAAAAAAAAATTTTGAAATCAGTGGTTTTTTCATTTTCGAAAAGTTTTTAGCGCGGGTTTTTCGGTTTTCCTCGTTTTTTCATGGCTTTTGAGTTGCGAAATTCCTTGAAAGTCGATTTGGTAGCATGGGAAATATGTTTTCTTCTTGGAATATTTTGGATTTCGAGAAATTTAGGCGATAAATTTCGGGATAAATTTTCTGTCGATAATAATGAATAGAAAACTGGTAGTGCATTTGAAATTCAAATTGTAAATATTTTAAAATTTACGTGACGTGTAACATTTCAAATATCTCATTTTTCATCATTTCTGAAAATATCGTAATGAGAATCTTGTCAAATGTCGGGCAATTTTTTATATACGATCTCAGCTCTGAAGATGAGTTATGACAAAGTTAAATTTTATTCGTGATTTTTTCCGCGTCATAACTCATGTTCAGTTTTGAGCTCATCAGCTTTTGAGAACGGGATCACAAGGTTTGAATGAATACTTTTTCCTTGCATTTTTTTTTTCCTTTTTGGTTATCCCACAAATTTCCAATTTTTTTCAGCGCGAAATGTTTGGGCAGAATAAACCATTCGGCTCATCAACATTCGGTTCATCATCAACCGGTGGCTCGTCACTTTTCGGTAACACACAAAACAACAAACCGAGTATTTTCGGTCAGCCGACAAATCAACAAAACACCACAGGCAGTTCGTTGTTCGGCGGAGCGAATCAGCAAAAACCAGCCGGATCTTCGTTGTTTGGCGGCGCTGCAAATCAACAACAACAGCAACAATCAACAAGTTTGTTCGGTTCGCCGCAAACGCAAAATTCTGGAGGTGGAGGATTGTTTGGTAATAATTCGAGTGCCAATAAAACATCGATTTTTGGTGCAAGCAATACAAATAGTCAGTTTTTTATTAAAATATGTTTTCTAGAGAAAAAATACTCAAAATAATTATTTCAGCCACCTCGTCCCTCTTTGGTTCCTCTTCAAATAACAACGCTGGAAACACAGGCGGTGGACTTTTCGGATCAACAAACACTTCTTCAAACACCGGCTCTTCAATGTTTGGTGCATCTCAACAAGTTAGCGGAACTACAATCAAATTCGAACCACCAATCGCTTCGGATACAATGGTTCGAAATGGAAGTACACAAAATATTTCGACAAAACATATGTGCATCACTGCAATGAGCAAATATGAATCGAAATCGATTGAAGAATTGAGAATTGAGGATTATATGGCAAATCGAAAAACTGCGGGAACTGGAACAACTACAGGAGGAGGATTGTTTGGAGCATCAACAACTACAACAAATACGGGAGGAGGAGGACTCTTCGGAAACTCTTCGACTCCTCAAAAATCGATTTTTGGGCAATCTACTTCGAATAACTCGTTTGGCGCTGCTTCAGGCTCTGGAACCCAAACAAATTCACTTTTTGGTTCTTCGAATACAAATAATACAACTCAAGGAACCTCACTTTTCGGAAACAAACCTGCAACAACTGGTGGACTTTTTGGAACTTCGACAACTTCAACTTTTGGAAATGCACAACCCCAACAACAGCAGAATTCGCTGTTTGGAGGTTCGACGACACAAAATACAGGAGGAGGACTTTTTGGACAAACCGCGCAACCACAACAACAGAATTCATTATTTGGTGGAAATACAAGTAATACGACAGGTGGAGGACTTTTTGGAAATGCAGCTGCTCAACCTGCACAAAATACTGGATTCAGTTTTGGAGGATCAAATGCAACGGTAGGAAATTTCTGAAATTTCTATCCTGAAATTTTGTTCAAAATATTGATCTACATATTTAAGTTCACCAGGGAAATATGATTCGCAGCTTCGAAAATCATATTTTTCAATCAGTGAAAAAATTACTGCAAAATGAAAATTAGAAAAATTTTGCTAATGTGCAACATCATTTTTGAAAGTTGAAAACTGAGCAATTTCTATTTCTCAATAAAATTAAGAATTGTTGGTTTTGATAATTTAGTTCAGTGTTGAAAAGTTATAAAAAATTAAAAAAACATTCTATGAAAATAGTTTTCCCCGAAAACCTCATTTCAAAACCTATATATTTTCCAGACCAATGCATTCGGCCAATCCACAACCGGCGCAACAACCGGCGGAATTTTCGGCAACACCCAAAACACATCAGCCACAGGTTCCAATCTTTTCGGCGCTAAACCGGCTACTACAAGTTTTGGTGGATTTGGCACAAATACAACACAACAAACTGGTGCATTTGGACAAAATACTGCAAATACAAGTGGTGGATTATTCGGAAATAATGCTGCAAAACCTGGTGGTCTTTTTGGCACAACTCAAACCACGAATGCTGGAGGAGGACTATTTGGTGGAACACAAAATACAACTGGCGGTGGATTGTTTGGTGGAAATAACACGGCAACTGGAAACACTTTGGGATTTGGACAACAACAACAACAAGGTGGACTTTTGGCACAACCAGCGCAACAGGTTTTGGCTCAGCCACAAGTTGCACCAATTCCAGTGATTGGAGTGACAGCGGATGTGTTGCAAATGCAGGCGAATATGAAATTGTTGCAATCGCAATTGGTGAATGCGCCGTATGGTGATTCGACATTGTTGAAATATGTAACATCGCCGAAAAATGAGGAAACTGCTGATGGATCGTGAGTGGGGTTTTTGGGGGAGATTTGGTTGAAGAAAATGGTGACAATTAGAGATTTTCATTGGAAAATCGTGATTTTTTATTTTCAAATTTTAAAATCGCTTGAAAATCGAAGATTTTCAATTTTTGTGATGAATGTTTTTTAAAAAATTGAAATGTCAATTTTAAAAATTTCACTGTTTCAGATTTTTGAAAAGTTTAGTTTTTCGAAAGCTAAAATTGATTATTCATTGAGATGTTATGAATTCATTTTTAGAAAATTTAATAAGTTTAAATTACATTGAGAAAAAAGTTCTAACAATAGCACTTTCCTTTTTTCAGAGCTCAACGTCAACTTCGTTTCCTGGCCGCCAAAAAAAGCGCTGGTGAAAAATCCTCTTTCTTAACTGCTCCAATCAGCAAAGTCATGTCTGATTTATCACCAGCCGCAACAAAAACAACAACTCAATCGCCGGGAATTACAAGAGATTTGAATTATACATCGAGAGAAACACCGCCGACACTTGGAAAAGGATTGAGAACAACAACAGGAATAAATGGAGGAGTTGGAGCATTGAATTCGAGTATTGTTAATAAGTTAGTTGAATTAATCAGTGAGGAATATCACGGAATCTTGATATTTCTTTGAAAATTCTCAATCTTAAAAAGTTAGCCCAAATTTTGTGAATTTCTACCCAAAAAGCATAAAAAATTATTTATTTCCCCTCAGATTCCTCCAAATCTTTCATTTTTCCTAGAACAATGGATTCTGTGCTCGATGCCTCATTGAATGGATCTACAAATCGACTCGGAGTTCGAGGAAGTGTCAAAAAGTCGAATCTCAAACAATTGGATATGTCGGTTTTGGCGGATTTGTCGAAATATTCACAAAATGGAAGTTTTGCCAATGATTCGGATGCATTGCCGATTTTGAGAGAAAAAACGACAAATGTTCAAAGGTGAGTGGAAAATCTGGGGTTTTTTCTTATACACCTCGGCCAAGCAGTGGCTGGCCAGAGTACAATTTCTTGAAAAATCTGAATTTCAGTTTTTAGAGGTCAAAAATTGAAAAATCACATTTTTAGAGGACAAAAACTGAAAAATTCACAATTTTTGTAGTGTAAAAAGTTAGCGTACAATTTTTTATTGTGGAAACCACGATTTTGGGCGAGGTGTGTCTAATAAAAAAAACTGGGAAAAATAGGTTTCAAAATATTTTAAAATCAAATATTGCGTTTTTGAAAATGATTCGACTTTTGGAAAAAATAATCTGTAAATTCCAAATTTTGCAGCCCACAAAGTGATCCAGTTCAAGCAGTTGTTCAACGTCAACAAGATCGCGAAAAGCAGCCACCAATTCTGGATCTCGATAAATCTGTCGATCAAACATCGAATTCGATCTCAACAACATCAGTTCTTCAAACAACCCACACAGTTCAACCTCAAAAATCAGTTGCCGGTGTAAAATTGACAAAACCCGATTATTACACAATTCCATCAATGTCCGAAATGTCAAAAATGGTTAAAAATGGTCGAATTATTCTGGAAAATGGGTTAACAATTGGTCGAAGTTCGTATGGAAGTGTTTTTTGGCCTGGAAAAATTGAACTCTCCGATGTTTGTTTCGATGAAATTGTGATTTTCCGCCATCGCGAAGTTACTGTATATCCTAATGAGGATGAAAAACCAGAACAAGGAGAGGGTTTGAATAAACCTGCTGAAGTTACTTTGGAACGAATTTGGTATACGGATAAAAAAACGAAAACTGAAGTGAGAGATGTTGTGAAATTGGCGGAAATTGGATGGAGAGAACATTTGGAACGGCAGACGATCCGGATGGGAGCGGTATTTAAGGATTTCCGCGCGGAAACTGGAAGTTGGGTGTTTAGAGTGGAACATTTCAGCAAATATGGATTGGCTGTGAGTTTTTGGGGGCGGGGGAAATTTTTACATAATATAATGAAAATCAGATTTCAGTGTATTTTTCCCAGAAAAATTATTGTTTCAAAAATTTGCTTCATTTTTTATCAGAACTATAAAAGAATATTGAAGTTCCATGACTATTTTTAGAACTTTTTTTCTGAAATTCTGGAAAAATATAAATGTTTTTGTCGAAATATTTAGTTTCAGAAAACTATTTTTCTCTTGCCCTAAAAAATGCCTGTGAAAAATGATAAATAAAATTCTGGAACAGTAAATTTTCCGAAAAAAAATAATATTTTTGAACAAAACCTTCGTTTTTTGCAGGATGACGAAGAGCCAATGGACATTGCTCCACCACCATCCCAACAACCATCTGCTCCACTTGGTGCCATCAATTTGAACACTTCAATTCACGATGTTCAAAATCAGGTTCAACGTCAAAAAGTGACGAAATCACCAATTTCTGCTAACAAATCATCGAACAAACAAAAAAGAATGGAACAACACGAGGTCCGTTTCTTCTTATCATAAACTAACTTTTTTTGATTTCCCCGGTTTTTCTGTTGAATAGTCGATTCGAAAATAAACAAGTTTTTCATTTTGTTTTTGGGTTGATGTTTGGCAGAAAAATGGGGGAAGAATCCGATTTTACATCACAAGAATTAGGAATCTAGAGGGTTAGCGCGGAGTGTCGTTTGAAATAATATTTCTAAATCTACCAAAAAAACAACAAGACTCCGTATTTACACCTCAAAATCCTAATATTTTCAGTATGCAATCGAAGTTCGTCGAGTTCCAGCAGCTGAACCACTTTCAGTTGCCACGAATATAATTCAACGAGGACTTGGAGGAGGCGAAAGAAATGAATCAGAAAATGATTATTTAGAAATCAATGAAACAAGCATTGAATATCAAGAAGATGGAGAAAGACCTGAAAAAAAGCCGAAAATCGAAATATTATCAGATTTAGAATATGAAAGTAGTCGATATTTGAAAGCTATGTTAAATGTCAAAAATAAGATGCCAAATTGTGTTGATCCAAAAAATCGATTTGATGGTGGAAAAATTGAGGAAAAAGATCTTATTGGATTTGGAAAAAGTCGATTTATTGATTTGGGAATTGCTCATGGTAGAAGTTGTCGAGTTGGATGGAGTGAAATGAGTTGGATGTGTTGCTCAGGACAACCAAAAGATAATCAAATATTATTATGTGAAGTTGAAAGAGGAATTGAAATGAATGAAGAAATTGTGAGAAATATGTTGGAAGCGAATATTGAAACATCGGAAAGTCGAGAAGAAACATCGAGAATTGTGTATTATCGAGGAAATGGAGCGAAACAATTGATTGAGAAATATATTGGAATTGCAAAAACGGCGGGAAGAGAAAGGGAATTGGCGGTATGGAAATTGTGTGCCGCATTGTTTCCGCAAGAAAGAGAAGGTTAGTGAGATTTGAGAGGGGGGATGGGGGAAGACGAACAATTTTGGTTCAGATAGGAAAAGTTTTGAGTCTCCGAATCTATTCAAAAGAAACAATTTTTAATTCAAAAATTATCAAGATTTGATCCTCGGATTATTTCAAATTCAGAAAAAAGATCTTGCAACGATCATCAACCCACGATTTTTGACAGAAAATTAAGTTTTGGGACTATTTTTGACCTAAAAATGGTTTAATTCTGGTCTCTTTTGCAGAAGGTTGGCAATTTGAACGTGGCGAGCAAGTTGGTGAATGGCTCAAAAATGAAGCGGCCAAACATGCTCCGATTCTACCTGCAAAATCTACACCATCCGCTCAGATTTTCCATCAATTATCGATTGGAAATCTCGAGAAAGCATTTGAAATTGCGTCGAAAAATGATTTTTTGAATTTGGCAGCTTCTTTATATTCGCATTCAATTTGTCCCGAAACAACACAATTCTCATTCAAACAACAAATTGAATTGTGGAAAAAAGAGGAAAGTTTGCATTTGTTGGATGCAAATACACTCAAATGTTATCTTTTGTTATCGGGTGTCTCGTTTTTGAAATGGTCCCTAAATGGAAAACAATTTGAAGTGAATTGTTTGGCAGATTTGCATTGGACACAGGCTTTTGGTTGTCATGTTTGGTATTTGAGAAATTGGAAAGGTTTGGATGAGGCTTATCAAGGATATTTGGAAGATGTTAGAGGTTAGATGATTTGGGAGGAATTTTGGGCATTCATTTTTTGAGCGAAATAAATCCTGGATTTTTGAAGAAAATTCCAGAACATTTATACCAGTTTTATCTGAAAAGGTGCATTTTTTATGTGATTTATCACGGAGAATTTCAGAATTGTTTGGTAAACTAACATTGAATGTTCAAAATAGGTTTTAGGTTTTTGAAATTTGAAACAGTTAATTTTTTAAAACCTTTTTTTCTCGAAGTTTTTGATTCTTCTAGTAAAACTTTCAGTTTTTGAAAAATTTAGGAATTTTTTGTTTGAAAAAATCGACTGTTTCGAAATTTTCTTATCACAAAATCTATTTTGGATTTACTGTTTGTCGAATCAATAGAGAATCAAAATTATTTTCCATTTTTTCTCAGAAAAAAAAATTTTGATTGATTTTTTAGAGGAAATTATTATGAAGATCTGCTTAAAAACTCACTGTTTCGAAATTTTAATTTTATGGGCCTATGCAGAATAATATTTTGTAATAAAAAAACATTTTTTTCCTATGCAGAAAAACGTCGAAAAAACAAAATATACAGTTTATTATTTTGAGTAGAGACAACGTGAAGTTGAGAGAGTGCAGAGAAAAAACCATTTTATGTCCGCGCTCTCTCAATTTCACGTTGTCTTTATTTTGTTTTTTCGACGTTTTTCTGCATAGGAAAAAAATGTTTTTTTTATGTTTTTTTATTACAAAATATTATTCTGCATAGGCCCATAAAAAAAATCACATGATTCTCATTTTTCCAGATAAACGTGCTGCTTCAAATCGCGGTGATTTGTTAGGTGAATTGCTCAAATTATGCTGTGAACCACAACATTCAATGGAAATTGTTTTGGATTCGGCCAGCCAATTCTCGTCAAATTCTTTGCCCCATGATTACAGCCTAATTTGGCATGTTTGGAGTGTTTTGAGAAGTGTTGGATATCGAACTATGGAAAAATCGGCAGAAACGAGAATGACACGATGTTATGCAGCACAATTGGAGAAGAATTTGAGATTGGCAAAGTTTGCTGTTTTTGTTCTGCAACATTTGGAAAATAATGAAGAGTGGGTTTTTTGGATGGCGAATTTGGAGTCAAAAATTCAATGAATTATCTCCGTTTTTTATTGAGCTTTCACAATAATAATTTTCAATTTTTTACAGACGCGAAACATCGATTCGATCACTTTTGGAAAGAATTTCCAATTTCCAAGATTTGCCACTTTTTGATGTGATTTCGAGAGATTTTGATGTGTCGAAAAAATGGATTGCTGATGCACAATTTGTATTTGCCAAGGTAGTTTAGAAATCCCTCGAAAAAGGTCTAAAATCCCAAATGTTTTGCAGAACAAAGGCAACATTAGCGAATTGTTCGAACTTGCCATCAAATCCGAAAATCTGCCAGAAATTCAAAAACTATTTGTCGAAGAAATCGCTCCAAATGCAGTTGTCTCAAGTGATTTGGACACCCTTCGAATTGCATGTAAAATGCTCGAAAATTTGGAGCCAAAAATTGTGGAATGGGGAGCGAATGGACGCATTTTTGTGGATTATTGTAATTTGATGGATTTGATTGCGAATGAAGAAGATTGTGGTGAACAATTGGAAGAAGTATTGGCAAATATTGAGGATCGATTACATGCTCCTAATTTTAAGAATACTGTTCAAAAGTGAGCGATTTATGAGGGAAATTAGCTCTAGAGCTTGCAAATTTGAAATTTAGTATTGAAAATCCAGTTCTGACTCGATTTTTTGATGTTGAAAAGTAAATAGGGAAAATGCGGTTATCTGGGCCTTGAAGCGATTTTCATCGCCCTGAAAAAATTAAATTATTTTTCTTATCTGATATTCATAAACAATTACGTGAATTTATCACATTTTAAATTCCTTCGAAAAATACGTTTCGAAAATTCGATAAATTTGAGATTTTTTCGATTGATTTTGATCAATGAGGGTCGCCTTTAGAATCGCTTGGTAATCAGGAAAATATATTTGTCATGATTATTTATTTGGATTCTGTACCGATTTTTGATCAAAAAATGAAATTTTGGAAACTGAAATTTATATTAATAATAATTTCAGAAAATATACAGAATTTTAGCCGTTTCAAATTTTAACCCAAAATTTTAAATTGTTCAGACTTGCTCTCCAATCAATTGTCCGTGAACTTTTCGAATATCGTCAACATCAACAACTTGGAAACGAGCTCGAATGGATCAAAATGCTCGGAAATCGACAATTACACAAGATTTTCCGAGATACACAATTGTTACAAATCGATCGATATACTATTGAATATGATTGATTCATTTATTTATTTTATAATCTAGATATTATTGATTTTTTTATATATTTAATTTTTTTCAAAATTTTTTAACATTCCCCCCTACCCGTGTTTTCCGTCCTTCTTTGTGAAATGAATTATTTTTGGATAATTTTTTTTCTTTCATTAGAAATAGAATAAATTAAATAACTGGTGCCGAATTCGGTGCAATTCTTGTAGTACTCAAATATTGTAAATCTCTGTCACTTATTCGATTATTATTTTTAGAACAACAGAAATATTTGTAGCCGCAACATAATTTTGAAAAAAATGGTTTGAATTTTCCAAAATTGGCAATTGTATAAGTTATTGGAATAATTCTGTCAACATGTGCGAATCTATTACACAAATAAGTTCTGAATAGTTTTTCTCGACTATCATTTTCTTCGCGGATAAAATATACAACAATAGCTGTAAGATTTGTAAAAATAATTACAACAAAAATTGGAATATTCTGATAAATAATCGATAATTCGGCTTTTTTTCGAGTCTCTGATAAAATATGACGATTTTTATGAATTGTGTAAAATGTTAAAATGAAAAAGATCAGCGAAATCGATATAATTATTGGTTGAGAATTTGCATTTACAGCGTACGCAATAACTACCCTTATTGAGGGATTTTGTTCTCGTCCAATATGATATGTACCACTTATAAAATTATAAAGAGCACAATATCTTTGTGCATCAAATGTACCAAATTGCAAAAACCAAAATCTGCAACAAAAATCAGCGAGAGGATAACAATTAACGGTTTTCCTTGAACAAAAGCAACTAATTTTTGAATATTTGCAATTATAATAAATCTTTGAATCGATATTATCAACAAAAACCCATTGTCTGATATATCAAATCGAAAAAAATAAAGGAGGAAAAGTAAAAACATAATTGCATATTCATTGTCTTCATTTAAAAAAACGGCCGATAATACAAAAAATATTTGTAAAATTTTCCACAATGTTTCTATACAAGTATAGACAAATATAAATTTATAAATCGGATAAATAAATGCTTTCTTCTCCTCTTCTGATGTTTTCAAAAATAAATAGAAAAATGATATTCGAGCGAATATTAGAATATCAAGAGAAGAGTCCGGATCAAACAAATATAGAATCATAGCTTCTTTTCACCGAAAAATAAAGTGAATATGAAATTTTAAGGGAAATTATTTTTAATGACTGGTTTTGGTTTGGCATTTTTTAATGTCAAGAATTGTGAGTGGTTTCTTGAAAATTACTATCTACTTTAAAATCGAGTTAGTCAAGGTACAGCAAAACAATTTCATTGATTTTCAGCTCAAAAATCCGCCACATTCACCCAAAAACCTTTTTCGAAAAAAACAACCCCCGGATTTTGCAAAAAAAAAGTAAAAAAAATTGTGTAAGTGTGCGTGATGGTGTTTGCACACACTCGCCCGCCAAAATATTATTTCAAAAATTTACTTTCTTTTTTTTATTTTTTGCGCATTATCTTTCAAAATGTCGCACAATTCGAGTAATGCATCAGCATCGTCATACGAGTAAGTGATTTTGAAGCGTTTTAAGATGATATGTTTTTTATTATAGAACAGCGCTGAGTTTAAGTTTCGATAAACGAAAAATGATAATCAAACAAGAAGAAGAGGATTTGGATGTTTTGGAGAATGACATATCAATGTTATCAGTTTCCTCACCAAAAACACCAAATAATCAAAAAGAAACACCGGCCAAGAAATTGCTCAGATCAATCAATAATCATGAGGAAAAACGACTATTATTGGAGTTGTATCCGGATTTTTTCAATGAAGATGGAGAAAATAAGGAAGAAGAGAAGAAGAAAAAGAAGAAGGAAAGAAATACGGTGGTGAGAGTTTTGGGGGTGCTCTTTTGAAAAATCCTAATTTTTGCAGAAAAAACCGATAAAAATCGAGTTATTCGGGTCTGACGACGAAAAAGAGAACAGATTTCCATTGCCCTCCGATTTTTCACGAAAATCTCCGACTCCAGAGTTCGATTTTGGAAAATGTGAGTTTTTTTCAAAGTTTTAAGTTTAGAAAATGTCAAATTCGCTAAAGTGAAATATCAATTTTTCAGATGTCAAGAAAAAACCGGAAAAAGTCGAGTCTTCAGATGATGAATTTGAAAATTGTGAGTTTTTTACGCGGGAAATTTAAATTTTCTTTAAAAAAAATTTGCAGATTTGAAAAAATTGCGAGAACCGGCTCCAACTTCAACTTCAAAAAAACCGGAGCAAAAATCTCGAAAATTCGTGGTTTCAGATTCAGATTCTTCAGAATTAGAATTAGAAGAGGAATCAGAATCTGAAGCTGAGTTTTCAGAAGAAGAAGAAGAATCGATTTTGGATTTATCCACGTATTCGCCGGATATTAAAAGTCAGAAAAAATCGAAAAAATTGAAAGATGATGATTTTTGGTTCTTGTCTTCATTGTCAGCCGATTTTGATGGCATAAGGTATAAATTTTGCAAATTCGCTCTAGCGAAATTATAATTTTTTGGAGGCAATATTTCTAATACGGTATAATGAACTGTGTTTCTAGTTTTTGTGTGTGTGTGTGCTCTATTGAACTGTCTATTTTTTGTTTGAAAAAAATCAATTTTTTGCAGACACCCAGATGCTGACAATTACACAAGAAGCGGCTCAATTCGAATGAAAAAACACAAAGAAGCTTTGCTGCTGAAATTGGCTGAAATCTATAAAAGAAGGTGTTTTTCAGAGGTAATTTTTTTCTCAATATGAGCAATGCGGTGAAATATGGATTTTTAAGTATAAAATTTAACATTTTCGCATTTATGGTCGTTTTCATTTAAAAATCAGTTCATTTCTTCAGATTCCACCTGAAAAACTCAAATTTGTGTGGAACTCTCGACTACGTAAATCAGCCGGACAATGTCGAAATCATTCAAATGGAAATAGCACAATTGAAATGTCTACAATCGTTTGTACAAATGCGGAAAGAATTCGAGATACTTTGATTCATGAATTATGTCATGCGGCTGTTTGGATTGTTGATAAATTGTATAAAGAAGCACATGGACCAGGATGGAAGAAATGGTGAGATTTTGAGAGGAAAAACGGAAAACTAAGATGCTCCACTTTTACACTCTGGAAAATCTAGCGTTTTGAGCAAATTTTTTCGAGAAAAAAAACTATTATCTAATTGCAGGGCCCATCATTGTTCTCGTACGTTTCCATGTCTTCCATCCATCGAAAGATGCCATAATTATGAAATTGAAGCGAAATTTTTGTACATTTGTGAAACTGAAACTTGTCAGCAAACGTGAGTTATTTAAAATCCTAAATTGTCTTTTAACTCTAATCTAACCTTTTCCAGAATAAAACGTCAATCGAAATCCCTCGATATATCTCAAAAAATCTGCGGAAAATGTCGAGGCCGTTTTCAACTTTGGCGATTCGACAAACGAACAAATCGGAAAGTCCAAGTTACCGAAACTTCAGCGCCAAAAGAGAACGAATTCATGAAATATGTTCGTCAAAACTTTGGAAATTTCAAGAATTCCGGATTAAAACATCAAGAAATTATGGCAAAATTGGCAGCAGATTATAAATTATCAAAAAATTGAATAGCTATTTATTATTTCTTTCATATTTTTTTCTTAAAATATTTATTTAACTTAACTTAAATTAAAATACAGTTCTAAAAGACAAATAAATAATGATCATAATTTATGATACTTTTGGGACCTCGTAAGCGCAGCAAAAATTGGTCCCACTCACAATTACAACAAAAAATACACTTTGTTTCTCGTTGAAGGTAAAAAATTCGGGTGAACAAATACTGAAAACATAATTATTAGACCACGTATTTTTGGGGGGAAAATGAAGAAAAAATCAAATAATAAATATAAATATAATCCTAGGGCAAAGGTTCGACATAATTTGATGGAATTAGACCAGTTTTGCCGTTTAATGTTCCGACCAGCCAACCATCCTCTTTTGATTCGTAAACTGTAAAAAAAGGAGATTTTTATAAGAAAATTGGGAATTTCGAGATTTTGGAAAAAGAAATAAAATTTCTAGAAATCTGAAATAGAAAAAGCGAGAATTTTTAGGAACAATTTCAAAATATTTTCCTGCAATTTGAAATTTCTGTCAAAAATTCAAACTTTTTGCTGAAATTTTGAAAATAAAGACAGAAGCTTGAATTTTTCGAATCTCCAGCCCAAAAATTCGAAACTTTGGTGAAAGAAAAACCTACCATTTGTAATAATTTGTCCGGGCTCAAACGACAATTCCGAGTCATGATCTGGTGTGCAAGAATATAGCGTTTTGACGCGTCGGCTGCAAAATTCAATAATTTTCTGAGAATTGAAGTCTTGCTCATGTTAGCAAACAATTCTATTCAATCTGAGCAATTTTATGATACTCTTTCTCAAAAATTCCATATCTGGCATAAGCAATGATTTTTCAGAATTGCTCATGTTATAAAATGTTTCGGTTTTTTTTCTAAAGGACAGTGAAAATAAAACCATGCAAAAAAAGAAGTGAATAATCAAAAAAATCAAAAAAAAACCTTGGTTGATTATAAATCGGTTGCGAATTGTTCAGCGCCGCTTTCAAATAATTTTGGCGGGTGATTGATGTGAAAGTCGCTTCGAGACCCGTTGAATCGACAGATGTACAAGATGTTGATGAAAATAAACGAGAAGAAGATCTAAAAAGAAAGAGGAAATCAGGAAAAGGATAGAATAGGATAGAGGGAAGAGGTGGAAAAAGTGCTAGGGAAAATTAGAAAAAATGTGTGTGCGTGTAAAAAAAATAGAAGAAAATCATGCAATTTTTTTTAATTTTTCGAAATTTTCTAATGCGCTGGTTTACGACAATTAAGATATCTCGAAAAATTACTCATTGCTCATAGTAGAAAACCCAAAAAAGAACTCCAATATGAGTAATGATTTTTTTTAATTGAAAACAATATTTTCCGGCATTGCTCAGGTTGATCAATTCCAAGTGAATTGAAAAATAAAATAAAAACTTACGAATCTGGTGGAATTGGATTATAAGTCGATGCATATGTTACACTGTATTTTGCTGAAAACAAAAACAGTTTTGAATTTTGAAAATAAATAAGTTCAGAGAGGGGCGAATTTGTGATTTTTTGTTGCATTTCATTGATTTTGAAGATGAAAGACTTAAAATTGCATATTTTTCAAGAACCAAGGATCAGAATGACCCCAATTTCACAATTTTACACAAAATTTTCTGCATCCCAAAAAATACTCACATTTGATTGCCGAATTATTATCGGGTACAATTGTTGTCGTCGATTCATCACCAATACTTCCCATTGAACCCAACGAGTTCAGCGAATCCGAACTATTTCGAACTGTTGTATTTTCATCGGGTCCTGTTGGATTTGTTGGTGATAATTGAGGGCTTTTGGCACCGAAATCGGCGATTGAAGACATATCGAAACCGGCTGCATGTCGAGCGATTTCTGCAAAAAAAATAAGATAATTTTGGGAAAGAAAATGACATGGCCTTTGGGAGAAAAACGGTCAAAATTATCCATTGAGAACAATAGTCATTTCAAATTTATTTTCAAAATACACATTGCTCATGTTACAAAAACAACTTTTTCAACCTGAGCAATGCGAATACTTTTATGAATTGAATGCTCAAAAAAAAAACAACAATTTTTCCTAATCTGAGCAATCATAATTTTCCCCCAAATAAAAAAAAGATACCAGTTGGATACATTGCATGTCTTTGTTGTGTTGATTTCGAATAACTATTAGATACAATTTGCGTATTCCGTACAATTTTATTATTTCCTCCGCCAATCGAAGTTTTCGGTGATTTCGATCGATTATTCAATGGTGAGGATGTGGAAATATGGGCGGAACGAATAAATGACGAATTTCCGGTGGTTGTGGTGCCACGTGGATCTTCGTGTATTTGATGATGATCGGGTTTTGGTGGAACTGCCGAATCGATTGATGAACGCGGTTCGGTTTTGAAAATCTAGAATTAAGAAGTGAGGCAGGTTTGATACTTTTGGTTGGAAAATCATTTTTTTTTTGATAATTCGATTTTCTAGTGAAAAACTTTCAAAATTGTTGTTGAAAAATCGTTCTTCGTATCAAGAAAATTCAACTTGTCACATTTCTATCATTTTGATGTTCCTAGTTCTCAAAAAACCCCAAAATCCTCACCTTTTCATAATTCGAAATCAATACTTCAACAACAACATTACAAAACTTGATATCCATAATTGCAGCAACAGTTTCCTCTTTTGGTCTCAACAGTGTCGGTCCAAAACAAACTCCCAAATTTCCAACTGTCATCAAATTTTCCGCCGATAAATCAGCGACTCTTTTCAAATGTTTGATTACTGTTTCAAGCATTTTTCGATGTTGTTCTGGTAATTGATGAACATAAAAATGAATATGATCGATTCGCATTGTTGCATCTGATATTTTGGCTGCATTTATGAACACATTATGAAGTTCAAAAGTCATCAACGGTTCCGGAAGATTTCTGAAAAAATAAAAAAAGTTTTTCAAGAAAACATAGGATTTATTGTTTGAACATACATAAAATAGGTCCCCTGAATCGGGGTGAGGGGCTTAACTTTTTTCAAAAATCTGGAGAGAAGGGTGTCAAACTTGGCCAATTTTCTGCTGATAATTTACCAAAATTCGCTCAAAAATGTGAGGCAGGTGTTTAACGTTGGAAAATTTTCAAGGAGGGACCCTAACTTAAAAAACTGACTCGGGGGACCTATTTTATGTATGTGTTTGAACCACGACTCACCTCAAAAAAGTTTTTACAGCACTACTAATAGTTTTAGTTTCCCATTCATCATCTCTCAAATTCAATCCGCCTTTTTCACTTGCTTTTCTTCGATCCAATCCAAGTTGCATCATTTTCTGAACTTTTGATGTCACTCCACAATTCCGATAGACACCTTGTTCATGGATTCCGCTCTCTTCCAAAATATCGATGCATTGTTCGACAAATTCGAAACCAATTTCGTCGAGTTGAGCTGAAAATTGATATTTTTGGAGAGGTCTCAAAGATTTTCAAAAATCCATATTATTTTTTTTCAAATATTTATAACCCAGAGATCTCCTTTTCCTGAAAAACTTCATCCGTTTTTATCGAAATAAAAGTGCATGAAAACAAATTAAAAACAAAAGGATAAAATTTGCATTTAAACTAGAACTTTCAGTGAATGGTCTAGAATTTTAAATATGTTTTGGTTGTCTAGAAACCCAAAAATCAGTTTGTCTGATAATAATCCCAAATTTTCGAAAAAGCAAACGAAAAGCGAATATCGGAAATGAATCGATGTTTCAAGAACAAAGACGATTCTCCAAATTTTGAAACAGTAAAAAAATTTTTTACCCCAAGAATAATGTTGAAAATGCGATAGTTCCTACTCAATAATGAAGAAAGCAAAATATCAAAAAATAGAAAAAATAATACAAAATGTTGAAACAGTAAAATTTTCTTGGCAAACTTTTAACGTTAAATTCGCTAAATTTTGAATATGTGTGATAGATTTATACATCAACTTTTTGATTATCGAAAAATTGTAGAAAACTAAGAAATTTAGGTTTCATGGCCTAGAAAACCCTAAATGACATTGTGGTGGCCTAGAAACCCATTTTTCTCCGGCGAGAATCCCAAAAATATATTTTTAGTCGTCTAGAAAACCGAAAACTGATTCTGGTGGCCTGGAACTTTAAAATACATTTTTAGATGACCTAGAAACCCAAACAACACTCGTATTTCACTTAAAATCCTCGCGTTTTCACCATTTCTACCCACCATTACAATTATCGACAACAAAACCGGGTAAAAACGCGGAAGCTTTATGAAAAGACCTCAATCCATCGGTAATATTGAATCGTTTCTGTGATTGTTGTTTTTGTATTTGACCGGCCATCATCATTACCATCTCATTTTTGGGATCCGCGTTTGAGTTCGTCGAATTTTCGCCAAACGACGAACTTCGCTTTTTTTCGTATACACTCATTTTGTTGGTGGAAGAGAAGAAGAAGAAAACCGAAAAATGAATGGATGGAAGGAATTGTTCAAGTTGAGAAAAAAAACAACAAAAGTCAGTCAGAAGCAAAAAAAAAGAATAGTTTTAGAGTAAAAAAAACACAGAGGAAGAAGAAAAATGGATGAGTATTTCTTTTTAGAGATAAATGGGAATGGGGAAAATGAAAATAATTTAGATTTTGAAATAGCGAAAATAGACGTGGTCTAATTATGCAAGTGTGGCACACTTTTTTAATAGCTTTGAAATATCAGGTTAATCCTAAATTTTCTAACAAAAATGGGCGTGGCTTTAGCTTAGCAACCCTGACAGATTTTCTAAACTAATTTTTAGGAATGAAAAAGTAGGAGGAGCTTAAAATCTGCAGGTCTGGCATATTTTCCATCCAAAAACCAAAACCCAAACCAAAAACTCTCGAAAAAAAAGAAAAGAAAAACTTCTTTTTCGTCCTCGTTTTTTTGCCTCCTAATTATCGCTAATAGCCCCACAGAAAAAGGCTTAGAATATTCTAGTAGAGTAATGGGCCAAGAAGAAAAAACGAGGCGCAGAAAAATGGGATTTTTTGGCTGGTGGAGGGGGAGCATCATTTTATTTTATTTTATTTTTTGGGTGCTCAAATAGCAAAAATCCTCTTGGGGGGATCCATTTCAATTTTGACAACGAAGAAACGACAAAGAACAAAACAGAAGAAGAAAAAAATATATAAAAGCTCGAGAATTTTAAGATGCGACTAAGAATGAGAAAAAAAGGAAAATGAGCTGAATGATGTCATTTTTTTTGGGAATTTTTTGACAGCGAGAAAATGGACGTAGCTTGATTTTTGTCAGTCTGGCACAGTTTATCTCTATTAGACTCCGCCCATTTTATGCAAGCCTGGCATGTTTCCAAATCTAAGGCTTAGGTTTAACCAAGATTAACAAAAAGTCAGATTCTTCGGATCAAAGTTAGGATAAAAATAGGCCACGCCTCTTTCCCACCTCAAGAAAAACCCACGTCATAGTCAACTCTCCAGAAAAAAGTTCATTTTCAACTCAAAAACAGCTCAACAAAAAATTGAGTTGAATTTTCCCATCAAAAAAGTTCCCCAGGGAAATCGAGCTCGAAAAATTGATATTGCAAAAAAACCGGAATTTTTTTCATTTTCAATTTTCGCACCAAGAAAAACTTCAAACTAAACTATACATGTTTTTTTCGAGGAAGAAAAAAACAAAAAAAAGTTTGGGGCTGCGAGAAAAAAGAAGAAGAAAACGAGCTGATTTTGACTTAGATTTGCTGGCTGTTTTTTCGCAAAAAAAAACAGCAGCAAAATCAAATTTGCTAATTGGGCTCACAATTGTCAGAACAAATGTCATTTTTTTTCTGGGAGAGGAAAAATTCCATTTTTCCAGGACAAAAAGTGCAGGCAATATATGTTTTCAACACACAAAAAAACAAACAAAATTGGCTGCAATTTTGGTGGCAAAATTGACAACGCGAAAAAATTCAATTAAATCCGTGCTCTTTTATTTGCACTGTGTGTTGGACAAAAAAATGATTTGAAATGAAATTCGGGCGGGGAAAATGACTGAACTTTATTGGGAAAAAGATAAAACTGAGCGGAGCTTGAGAAAATGCAATCCTGACACAGTTTTTCCTAAATAATTGTTCTTGCTGTATTCTTGCTGTATTCGTTGATGTATTCAAAACTAAGCTCCGCCCCTTTTCAGTAATCGCACATTCATTTTAATCACAAAAACATGTGTGGAGCTTGAGAAAATGCAAGTCTGGCACACTTTTTCATTTATAAATTTCCAGATTTTTGTGCAAAAAATCAAGCTCCGCCTATTTCCAGCAACCATAGCACACTTTTCTCCATTAAAACCCAAACCCCCGGCCAAAACATCAATGTCTGACCAACTAAAATGCAAATTTCTTTTTTCTTTTTTCACTGCTTCAGGCACAAAAAGGTCAAAAAATGAGAGAGAAAAAGATGAGATCCAGATGAGAAAATGTGCATTTTTACAGCTTTTCTTTTCTGTGTTTTTTGTCAGAACACTAAAAATGAAAATCGAGAGAAATATATTTATTGTTATATTTCAGACATATGTCAGAGAAAAGCGAAACGAAAATTTATTGCTGAAAATTTGGGGGAATTTTCGAGATTTTCTTTGGGAAAATCTTAAATTTTCAGCCAAACATTGAACTAGGAATATTTAATTCTTACGCTTAAACTATTTGAAAATCTGAAAATGAACTTTAAAAAATAATCAGATTTTTCAGACTATGCATGTACGTGAAATCGGTTTTTCAAAACTGAAAAATTATTTCAAAAAATTTTGAAACAGTGAAAAAATACTAACCAAATAAAAAAATAGAATTACTATTTTCAGCCAAGAAAAAACACCTACAGTAATCCTCATAAATAAATCTCCGAGGGAGAAGAGAAAAACGAAGAGATCTGAGCTGAAAACTGAAATCCAATCTTTCTTCATTAAAAAACCGGAGAATATATATATATATTTGTGGCGCCAAAAAATAGCGCAAGAGGAAAAGAACAATGATATGGATTTCAAACAGGAATTTGCAGTTTTGATGAAAATTTCAGATTTCTAGCCTGTTTATTGCTGAAAAAATCCACATTTTTAAAAGGATAGTGTCTCAAATAAACGTGACGTGGCTTTTCAATCCGAATTTTTTGCACCAAAATATTATGGCGCAAAAACAAATGACGTGACTTTATTCGGGTGTGGCAGCCAATTTGTGTGTGAAAAAGTGTGAGCGGACTCGGGACAAAAAAGCGCAAAAAAGTCGAGAACGAGCAAAAAAAGATGTGCAGAGAGGAACAAAATGAGGTGAGCACTGAAGGAAGAAAAAAGTTGTTGGGCGCGCGAAAAAAAAGAAAAACGAGTGAAAAAATTGTCGAGAATACTACTTACTTCATTCGGTCGGCTGACAAAAAAGCGGTGTGAAAAAATGCGAGTTTTGGGAAAAAATGAATGCGCAGAAGAAGAAAAAACGAGAAAAGGATGAGGATTATTTTTGATAAACTTTTTTTCGAGTTGAGACGACGAGGAAGAAAAAAACCATTTTATGGGTTTTTAAGCCTATGAAAATGTGGTTTTTGGGCTTATTTTTGGACAAATTTTGATTTTTCTCGTCATTCCAGCAGAAAGGAGCCGAATTCCAGAAAAAAACAACTTTTTAGGCTAAAATAAGGTTTTCTAGGTCACCAAAATTCGAACTTCGGGTTTCTAGGCCATCAATTAAATTTCTAGACAAACGAAACCGGACCACATATTTCTGAGTGGAACATTTGATTTCTAGGTTTGGAAAACAAACTTCGAATTTCTAGACCAAGTCTTGGATTTCTAGGCCACCAAAACCCATACTTCCGGTTTCTAAGCCAATCGAAATTAACAATGGGTTTTCTAAGCCAAATTTTCTCATTTTTCTCAATTTAAAGATAATTTTTCCCGGTTTACCCTCCCTCAAAACCAACTTTGTTTATAAGTCGAACACGATGGATTTTCGCCAGCTTGAAATGCGTTCTGTTTTGCTCCATCCATCGAATCAATCCATTCAGATAAATCATTTTCGGACAAGGCTTGCATTGTCATCACGTCGTTTTTCTCTTCGACATAAACATCGAAACAGAATCTGGAGAAAATAAGGGATTTTAAGGAGGAAATAGGCTTAAAATGTTTATTTTTGCAAATTCATCTATAACAGAATGTGTTATCAATTTTTTTCAGAAACAGAAAAAATATATAGCAACTTTGAAACAGTAAAAAATTGTTAAGGAGAAATTACAGTTTTTTCAAATTTTCCAGAATTTCACATTTCTCAAAGTATGAGGTTTTTTTATTATAACCATTCCTTTATCAAAATGTTCAGAAACGAAAACAATTCTATGAAAATTTTGAAACAGTATAAATTTTGGAACAAACATTTTTGATTTTTCATCAAAAATGACAATTTTTAGTTGGAAAATCGACAAAAATGGGTCAATCCGATTATCTAGTTATTTTTTTCATTTGGAAAAATTGGAACAGTGAAAATTTTGAACAAAAGCAATTTTTGAGAATGAATATATTTTTTATTATCAGATTTTTCGAAATCAAAGAAAATTTTACAAACAGTGGAATTTTTTGAATAAAAATTGAATAAACAAAATAAAAATTTAGGAACAGTTAAATTTTCAACTAATAATTGAGATAAAAAGTTTCGGATTATCTAGGATTTTTGAAAGCAAATGTAGAAAATTGATCAGGTTTTTGAGATCCAGAGAATATTATACCAAAAATTTGAAACAGTGAAATTTTTTGAAAAATTTCCGAAAATCAAAATTGAATGTTATAAAATTGACAAAGTTCAATTTCACAAAATTTTGAGGACTGAAAAATCTCAATTTTCCTCAATGTTCTTCCTTTAAACTTCCCCAAACCCTTTCAAAAATCTCACCTTTTATCAATACTATCTGCCGGTCTTCTTGCACACGATTTTAGACGAAATGTAACAGTTTGAGCTACCGCACTTTTCATATCAGTCTTTGTTGCCGAATTCGCGCTAACCATTGTAAAAATCCTAGTTTCTTTTGAATATACACAATAATATTTGGTCCATTTTCCCAAAACATCTCGACCGATTGTTTCTGCAAAAATTAACAATGTTGAGAAGGGGCCTTCTGTTTTTTGAATTTTTATCGGAACTAAAAAAGGGTTTCTCTTACCAGTTTTAAATTGAAAATCGATTTTTTTTGTTCAAATATTTTTTCACTGTTTCAAAATTTAGGTAAGATTTTTTCTAATGCTTTTTCTTTGAATATTTTTCACACAAAAAAACTCACTCGGAATTTTGCTTTTCTCTTGCATATACACATATCCTTGTTTTATTGAAGCTTGTCGACTTCCATCATTTGACTGTAAAAAATTATTTTTTTTTGTTGAAAAAATATACGTTTCAAAACTATATGTTCTGAAGAAAATTGAAAAATGATTTCAGAACTTCTTTGCTTGAAAAAATGTGTACTGTTTCAAGTTTTCTTGGGATCAGGAAATTATTGATATTTGAATTCTGTACTTTTCCAGCGGTAAAATTAAGACAAAAAACTCTCATAAATTTTGTGAAAAAATTCACTGTTTTGAAAATTTCATATATTTTTCTTATAGAAAAAATTTTCAATTATGGTTATCTTTTTTCGAAAATCAATATTTGACTAAATCATCAAAATTCATAGTCCAAATGGAATATTTGATCAAAATAGTTTGTATTTTAAAAAATGCACTGTTTCAAATATTTGGTACATTTTTTAAATTTTTTTCCGAAAAAAATTACTGTTTCAAAAATTTCATAATTTTTTAGTAGCAAGAGAATGTTCAATTTGTACTTCGCTTTTGTAATGAAAATCAACTTTTGAAAAAATAATCAAAATTAATTTTGAGCTAATGAGTTTTTCTTTCACAAGGAAACCTTTTTTACTCAACACTTCAAATCATGATGAAATTTGGTTCATGGACAGCTTTTGGGACCATAAGAACACCCTAAAAATTTTAGTCTCCCAATGGACCCCTGAGCCAAGTTCTGGGCTCTCAAAAGTTCGAAAATTGCCAAAATTGGCTCATAAAACACGTCATAACTCAATTTTCGATCAATTTTATCAAAAACTGAGTAGCAGATGATGATCAGCGTGGTCGATTTACCCAAAAAGCATCAATAAATCAAATTTTCAGAAAAATTTTTGATTTTGAAAAAAAGAATGAGCAGGGGCACATATGAATTTTCAGCTCAAAAATAAAAAACTTCAAAATTTTTCGAAACAAAGTTTTTTATTGATGTACTTTTAGGTAATCGACTATGCTGATCAATATCTGAAACTTCATTTCTCCCAAAAAAAATTTTTAAATGGAGCTATGATGACTTTTATGACCATTTTTAGGCCTTTTTTGAACTTTTGAGAGCCCAGAACTTGGCTCATAGGTCCATTGGGAGACTGAAATTTTTAGGGTGTTCTTATGGTCCCAAAAGCTGTCCATGGACCAAATTTCATCATGATTTGAAGTGTTGAGTAAAAAAGGTTCCCTTGTCAGAAAAATGTCACTGTTTCAAAATATTCACAATAATTTTTGGTTGAAAAAACTTCAATAATCTTTCAAAATGCCTACTTTATTTCCTATTTTAACTTTCAGACTCAAAATTATATCCGAAATCCCCCAAAAAATCTTACTCTAGTCGTATGCGATGCCAACAATTTTTTCTTCAATTCTTCCGCTTCCGCATTCGTCGCCATATAATTTTCCTTGGTTTTTTGCACTTTTGTCTGCACATTGTCCAAAAACGGTTTGAAATCTTGGTGAATCACGTTACCTGCGGAAAACACGAATCGATTGATTGATTTTAATGAAAAAACATTGAAAAAAAACAGACGGCAGAGATTTTTGCGAGAAAATCTCTGCCGCCCAGAAAATACGTACCAACATGATAAAAAGAGAGCCAAGAATATACATAAGAGCTAAGAGTATCGACGAATTCGAATTTCATACGTTCCTGGACTGATTGAATTTCAGCGACATACTGAAAAAATTCGGAAATTTTTTGATGATTTTGGAGAGATGAATTTCAGTAGAAAATTTTTTCCCAAAAATATTGAAACCTAATTTTCAATATGAAAAAAAAATCACTGTTTCAAAAATTTGACATAAAACTTTTGAAATAAAGAATAATTGATCCACTTGTTGGTGAAGCTCAAATTTTAACGTAAAATGGATTAGTTTTATGTTTTCAAAAATTCTAGATTAAATTTTGAAATTAATTCTGTTAAATTCAAATTTTCCTTAAAAAACGTATTTTCTGAGTAAAAATTTGAGTTTCTGAAATTCTACATAATTAATTTAACAGAAAAACGTAACTGGACAATTTATAAAACTTCATATTGCTTTTGAATATTCAAATTCACTGTTTCCGTATTCACTTTTCATGAATTTTCTCTTCCAAACGTTCCTCCCCCAAAATTCAAACCTGTAAACTTCCTTGAAAAAAGTTTTTCTGTTGCAATTCCAATTGTGCATCAGCTTCTCGAAAATCGGTTTTTCTCACAGTACTCAAATGAAGGTGTTTTTCTAGCGTCGAATAGAATTTGCTGCTCTCTTTTTCATATTTTCGTTTTTCCTCGTTCAAAGTTCGACCAATTGCTTCAGTTCGAAATCTAGAAGGAAAATTGGGGATTTTAGAGGGATTCAACACGGAATATGATGATTTTAGGTCAAAATTGCGGATTCATGGAGGACAGCAAAATCGAGCAAAAATGACGATTTTAAAATTGAAAATATCAAAATATGTATTGTTTTTCATCAAAAATGCTAGTTCGTCTCAAAGTTTTCATGAAAATACATCAAATAAAAACAGGCTATTCTTAGTTTAAGTAATTTTCCCTCAAATTTCACCCCAAAAACCTCACCTTTTGAGTGGTTCCAAATAGCTTTCCTCAGATTGATTCAGAATTTTCATTCGTTCATCTTCGACTTGATTTATCATTTTTGCGAATTCTTTCAAACAAGTTGCAATAAATCTTTCGTCATCTGTTTGATTTGTTCCAACCATTTCGATTTTGAATTCGGAAAGAGTTTTGGCAAAATTTCGTTGTGCCAATGAAAGTTCTGAAAAATGTATGGAGTTGGGCATAGATCGCATCGCTCCCCCTGCAGGGGCCATTAGGGTCTATCACTTTGCAATTTTTTTTAAATTGAGGGGGTGTATCACTGAGGTTCAATTTTTGTATGGAAGGCGGAAGCCTTCCATGAAAAAAAACTTCCCCAACTCAGTTGGGGAAGTTTTTGATGGGAAATTGAAGATTTTAAAGCATAATTTTTGAATTTTCAATGAAAAAATTGAATTCTAATTGAAAAAATAGGTTTTTGAAGAAGAAAGTCTTCATTTTTTTCAATGGAATTTCCCTTCCCAAAACACTCACTTTTCGTGCACAAAATCAATTCTTTGCATTGATTCTCAATAGTTTTGATATTTTTGAAAGCATCATCTAATGCAACTTCATGATCGTGCAAATTCTGTCGAAACCACGGCGAATCCGATATCGAATCCGAAAATTCGAGAGCCCGTAACACCATTTTTCGGCTCTTTCAAAATCTCAAATTATCCTATTTTTCGATATTTTGTGCTGAAAAACAATTGTTTTGGTGGGAAAAAACGAGAAAATATAATAATTTTGAGGAAGGAAGAAGAAATAAAAAAGGAAAGGAAAGAAAGTGCGCCCCTATGATAACAATTTGAAAATGTGGGTAAAAATCGGGCGGGATTTGAAGTTTCAAGGAGAATCAGGGGTTTTGAAATTGCAAAGTGTATCTTACGGCTTCAAGACCCAAAAATTCAAAATTTTAAAGAAATTTAATCCGAAACTTTCGTTTCGAGCCGGAAAAATTGAATTTCTCTTCAATTTTCGCATGAAGTGAGATTTTTAAGGCTCAAGAACCTAATTTCAGTCCATTTTCTGATGTCAGGTTTAAAGGAACATTCTAAAAAAAGGCCTAGAACTGAACATCGTAACGCGACCGAATTTTCAAAGGCAAATAGCCTATTTCATTAAGAAAATTCGCGCCGAGACCCAAAGAAAAAATCGATAAACAACAATTTCTTTCGCGCTCCACCGCACTCTAAATTTCCCAAGTTTCTTGTCAAAATTAAAATTTCTTCCCTAAAAAACATAAGGGAAAAGCTAAGGGGGAAAATAAAAAAATAGAGAAGAAGAAGAAGGCCGAAACAAAGTTATCGCATTATTTTTCTTCCCTTCTTCTTCTTTCGGGGCGAAAGAAATTCGTCATTTTTTCTGGCCAAAATGTCTGCCGTCTCTCAATCTCTCGTCGTGTGCTCCAAAAACAGAAGCACACACACATACACAAAAGGAGGCAAAAAAAAGGAGAGAAGGGGGAGAAGAAGCTAGAACTCTCTGAGTCTCTCATTCTCTCTCCCTAAGGGAGTTGAGATATCTTGCTCCCTCTTTGTATATATATATATATACGGATGGGTGAACATATAGATGTGTGTATACTTGAAAAATACTGAAAATATATGTGAATTTACGACGGGGCGCGATTGCTTTTGAGAAGAAACAAAGAAAATTGAAACGCGCGATTGCTTCAGATAATATTGATTTATAGAGCAAAATTTAATTTTTTCGAGTAGAAGAGCATAAGCGCTCTATTAACAATCACACTTTTTATATAAAAATTTAAATTTTTTCGTTTTCTGACGGAAAAAGCTGGCGCTCTAGAAAATATCCTATTATTTAGAAAAAGCATGTGCGCACCATTCGCAACAAACTTTTTCAAAAGAAAATTTGAATTCTCTTCGATCAAGCTGAAACCTGAATAACTCACAAGTTCTATCACCAAAAAAATCAGAAATAAATTTTATTCGAAAACCAAACGTGGAATACGAAATGTCACGTCACGTCAAAAATAAATTATTAAACAAAAATTTTTTATCTAAATTCTAGAAATTCTTTGTCAGGGAAAACCGCACTGACAACAAAATTTCGAAACTGAAATAAATATGGGCGGTACGAAATGGTATTTCTGATTATGACTCATAAATCGCATAAAAAGTTTGGGAAAAGAGAAAAAAAGAACCTTTTTCTGAAACAAATAAAAATTAGTCATGATCCTTCGTTTTTTGGCTGGGATGAAACAGAAACAGAGCGATTTTCTTTTCGAAAATCAAATTAAAATCACATGCGAAAAAAATGGGGCTCGGTCGGAATCGAGTTTGGCGGGACGTTTTTCTGTGTTGCTTTCAGACAACAAAAGGCGATAAAACTGGCATTTTCGAGGCAAAACTGACTGATAAGACAAGTCTGATAACTCAGTGAATCAGCCGCAAAAAAAGAAATAAAAAATAAATTTTTGCAAGATAGACTACGGTGTTTTCTTCAAAGGCACACAAGAAAATTGTGTGTACGTCTCGCAGCGAACACTTGTTTTTTGCATTCGGAAAAAAACTTTTTGCGGGGAAAACACAGAGAAAACGAAACTGGTAAAGAGACAAACCGGGTCAAATCGATAAAACAACAATTTTCCCACAAACACACACTGTTCTGGCGTCTCATCATCATTTTTTGCCTCTCAAATACCTTTTTGCACTTTTTTTCGTTGTCTTTTTTCTTTGTGCCAAAAGAGGCGCTTAGTGAACGAAGAGCGGAAAAAAGCGAGCGAAAAATGAATGAACGGAAGAAAACAAACGAAACGGAGAACAATATAATATAATAATAATAAAAGAATCAATGGGGGGAAAAGGCGCGAATGAGAAGAAAAAAAGTTGGCTGGCAGCAAAACTCGAACCTTCCTTTAGAAATTGACAGCTCAGACTTTTACCACTGAGCAAAGCGTGCTTTTTTGAAGGAAAGTTGAGGAAAAGGTGGTTGAAAAATTTCAAACAATAAGAAAAAGAAAATGAAAAAATAGAAATAGGAGAAAAAAATAATCCGAAAATTGCAAAAAAAAATCTCGTGTCTCGCCACAGAAAAAAAAACGTAAACATTTCTCGTTTTTTCAGCAGCTTCTTCTTCCCTCTCTCTCTTTTTCTCTGCGCACTCTCTCACATTCGCTCACTCTCTCGCACCCCATCTATCTCACTTTGTTAGTTGGGTATTCAAACAACATGCAAATATCTATACCACCATCCAACCAAACCCGCCAAAAAAAGAAGAAAAAAAATGAAGAAATGAAAAAATTCGCCTCCAAAGAAGAAGAAGAAGTGATGACGTTCAGGAAGAAGAAAAGTTCTTTTTTTTGAAGAGAAGAGGAAGAACTCCTCCGCGGAAATTTGAATGCGGAGAAAAAAACAACAGAGATTTGTGGTGTCAAAAACTTCGTGAAATTTTTCCACTGAAAATTTGAGATTCAAAGCTTTTCAAAAAGTCCTCCGTGGATTTTTTAGCGCTAAAAATTTCGAAATGCAAAAAATTTCCGTTTCACAAAAAAAGTTTCATAATCCCTCTTCTCCGAAAAATTCCATTTTTTTCATCAAAAAATGTTTGTCGTTCTTTTTTAACCCCACCATTTTTAATATTAAAATTCCTCTCACAAGACACACTTTTTCGGAGCAAATTCCCTTTTTTTGTGCTCGCGCCGAGTTCAAGAACAAATTGATGTGTCATAAAAAATGAGCACCGTCAGAAGAAAATGGAGAAAAACTCTTATTCTAATGAGTTTTTTTTCCATATTCAGGGCTTTTTTTCAAAGGGGCACAACAACCACTGCAGGACTTTCAGGTGTACCTTTAAAGTATAACAGTCGGGACTGCAAAAACTCGATCTTAAAGATCTTCAACAAGAAAAAACGAAGATCGATCTTCAACAAAAAAAAATTTCAACAAGAAAAAACGAAGATCGATCTTCAACAAAAAAAAAACGAAAAAAAAGGAAATTTTTTTCAAACCAAAAGCAAACGCGCCACAATCGCTGCGAGACCCAACTCACTTTATGTGTGTGCCTTGAAAAAAACCGTACTCAATTTTTAAAATATTTTTTGCTCATTTTTTCAAACTTGAGTTCAAAAAAGCAAAAAAAAAAACGAGAAAAAACGAGAAAAGCTTGAAATGAAATGAAGAAGAGCAAGTGGTCAATGACACGAACAAAATGACAAATCGACACTTGTCAGACTACATTTTCCGGACTCTTTTTTCGAGGAGAGCACCAAAAAAAACAAATTGCTTTTTTGTCGGGCGCTTTTGGCGCAAAAAGCACATGGAAAAATGAGGAAAAATGGAATTTTTGAAGAAATAAGATACGGTAATTTTTGAAGGAACACAAATATTGTGATCAGCGAATTTTTTGTTTGACAATAGTTTCTTTTTCGCGTGTTTTTGTTGAAAATCGAGCGTTGGGGAATTAAAGATGTCTAAGCTACTGTAATTTGAAGGCACATGTACGACATGTAATGGGCCTTGCAGGGGGCGAAACCTGTACTTTTGAACGTTCAACAAATTTTAACAACAACAAAAAAGAAAATAAATAATAAAAACAAATTATCTACCGGTTAAATCTATCTTTTCGTGTTATTTTATCGATCAATGCGAGATTTTATGCGAGATAAAGAGATACAGAGATTGTAACAAAATTTACATATTCAATCAGTTCAACAGGTAGATTTGTGAGCCGAAGTCTCCCTTATTTTGGGTCAAAAACAGTTGATCTGAAAAATAAACTCCCTTTAAAAATTCATTTTCCAAAAAATAAATAAATAGAAAATAATCATTTCTTATTTTCGGATTGATAAAATTCTCGAATCTTCTTATGAATCGCATCCATTGTGCTACGTTTTTCGGGATTTTTTTGCCAACAAGTTCCAGTTACAATTTCAGCAATTTGTGGATGTGTTCCATCAGGCATTTTCATTCGATAATCATTCACAATGATTTTAGCACGAGTTTGAATTTTTGTTAATCCTGGATACGGTTCAGAACCATCCGAATAAATCTCCCAAACTAGGACACCTGGAACGTGGAATTAAAATTTTAATTTTGAATTTGGCGCCAAATTTCAAATTTCCTGCCAAAAATTGAACTCACCAAACGACCAAATATCCGTTTTATGCGAGTATATTTTCTCCTGCATTGTTTCGGGTGCCAACCATTTTACAGGTACCTTTTTCCAAAGTTTCATCTTTCACAACATCATCATTATCAGCTGACATTCCGAAATCCGAAATTTTGAGTTCCTGAGAAAAAAGTAGAAGATTTTGAGCCGAAAATCACAATCAAATCAAACTCACACTTTTGGCTGATAATAAACAATTTCTTGCCGCAATATCACGATGAATACATTTTGATTTTTCCAAGTATGCAATCCCATCCGATGCTTCTGTTGTGAAACGTAACTTTTCCAACTTTTCAACTTTGTTCTTTTTCAAATGTGCCAAGAGGGAACCGTCTGAAAATTGAAGAAATTTTGAGAAACCGTTAACTTTTGGGAGAATTTTTGAATAAAAAATTTTTGGATGGTTTTTTGGAGATGATACTGATACCCAAATATCTCTCAAATTCTAATAGAAATTTTGAAACAGTAAATTTTTGGGAATTTTTTTTTGCATTAAGAATTTTCGAATTATGAATATTTGGTGCCAGAAACATCCTGGCCCCTTTCTTTCCTTCCCAAAAAAACCAACTCGGACAAAATTCCATAACAATCATTAGCGGATGTTCATGAATAGCAACACCCAACAATTTGACAACATGTTTGTGTTGATATTTTCTCATCAATCTTGCTTCTTTCATAAATCTCAATCGATGTTCTCTCGATGCTTGAGCTCTCATTGTTTTTATCGCAACTTCTTGTTTTGATCCACCCGAATCGCATTCCGCCAAAAATACTTCACCAAATGCACCTTCTCCCAGTTTTTTGCATGCAACTATTGAATCGTGATTGATAAGCCATGCACTTCTTTCCATCGGACGACGGATTTTTGCACCAGATGCTGTTGATAATGGCGTTTTTGTGGTCCTCAAATTGAAAATTTTAGAGTTTAAGATTTATATTAACATCATTTATTTTTTTTAAATATTTTTTCAAAAAATCTCTAAACATTTCTCTTGATTATTGCAATTCAGGTTTGTGCATTCGGATTTAATGTAAAAGAACTAGAGTCTAGTTTAAGGATCGCTGTCAAATTTTCAGATTTTTAGCTTGATTTTTTAATTTCCATCAAATCGAATTAAGATAGCACTTCTAAAAATTTTATGAAAATATAAGAAAATTTTGAAACAGTGAATATTTGATTTTTTGAAAAAATATTTCACCTGTAAAAATCCCAAAAATTCACTGTTTCAAATGTTTTATCAGATTTTCTGATGAAAATTTCCGGTTGTTTATTCAAACATTGTATCAAAATTTTCAAAACAAAAAATTGAAATTTTTAGGACTTTAACTAGAGTGTAGTTTGATTATAGTTACTTACAAACAACCAATGTTTCAAAATTTCAATATTTCTGAATTTTTTTTGCAACTTACATATGCCAATTAATCAAATCACTAATACTAGCTTCTTGATGTGTTTCAAAATAGAATTTATTTGTAGCCGGATCCAAATTCAACATAAAATGTCGACACAAATCATCTTGAACTCTTACTGACAATGCCAACACAACTTTTCCAGGCGTTTGTTCAGTTTTTCGCAACAAAAAATCGCCTTCTCTTTTCAATATTGCTTCGGCATCTTGTCTTGGCACAAGTCCATGATAATATTCGGCTCCTCGAATATCATCTGTTACCGATGCGTCTTCCGTTTTTGTGTCTGTCACTTTTTTTGACACTGAATTCATTTGAGAATCTTTCTTTTTCTGCAAAAAAATTTCAGAATTAAAGATTTTTTTATAGTTTTTCTGAAAAATGTTTTAAATAAAAATTGCCACGTCATAAATCTACAGTACCTTTTTCAACTGGGATTACTGTAGGTTGAATGAGAAAGTCCCTTCTATTCTGCTCACTCAAGTTACATCAAGCTACAGTAACTCAAGTACAGTACTTCAAAGATTTTTCAAACTACAGTACCCCATCCGACTTACCGTATCACCTGCCTTTTTCACCATGTTTTAATTCGATTGCGATTTTTGAAAGTTGAAAATTTTCAAGCGAAAGCACTTCTTGGCTTCAAAATATGAAAAACTGACGAGATTTCGGGATTTTTCTGATTCTGGCAAAAAAAAGAAAAAAATTGGGTCACGCGGAAATTATTTATTTTTGAATGAAAAAAACACAAAGGTCACGCGGAAATTTATTTTATGAATAGTTTGTTTTTGTTTCAACTTAACTTAAATATGAAAACTTTTTCCAGAAAAAAATACAAGTTAAATTTTTTCACAACTTATAAGCATCCTTGAGAATTTCGTTATCTCCAATTAATTGTTTCAAATTTGAGAAATCAAAAAACTTCAAATAATTTGGATGCAAAATTTGCAATTCCTGAGTTGAGATAATACAATTAACTGAATGTTTTTGAATAATCTGTGAGATTCTCGAACTATCCGGATAATTTACACATCCTTCGAACTACAATTAATTTCAGGTTGATTTAAAATCAATTGATTAATTAACTCACCAATGTCATCGTTTTTCCAATATACCAGGGCAATAGGAAATTCGCAAAGCTATCCAAATTTTTCGGAAAATCCAACACAAAAATATTTTCAACTGAATTCATAATTTCCTCTTTCTTTTTTTCTAGAAGTGCTAAAAGTTCTGAGATCTCAATTTTCTCCAGAATTTCTCCATCTGAAATCAGAATTGCTGTATTCTTCTCTGAATTTGAAAAATTTCCAGATAATTTAAGACCAGTTTCAACCTCAGAATCTGAAACTTCTTCCATTTTTTTCGACCATTTATCATCTTTTCCATTTCGCAAATCGAATTTAATCCTGATTTTTTCAGGATTTCCAGGATTCTCACACGTCAAAAAATAAGTGGGTCTTTTTGCAATGATTTGTTTTCTTGGTGCTGGAATTCCATAATTTGGTGCAACATGTCGAATTACCAAAATTTGTCCAAAGTCTTCGACTTTTTTCTTGATTTCTATCAATTTTTGGGCTTGCCAGACGTAGTCACAAGTTACGATTAGTGGGAATTTTTGGAGAACGTTTTGGTTCGATGATAATGGATCCTGCAAAATATGGATTGAGCTAAAAAAGGTTTCTCTATTAAAAATTAGACCGATTACTTAGAGCTTAGCCTTAATTCCTAATTTTATTTCTCACAAAATCTCACCAAAATAACAGGAGTTATTCCAACTCGAATCGCTGCCAAAATACAAATTGGTAATTGTATTATTTTTGGAAGGTAGATCAATATCTTTCGCTCTTGATTTTCCTCGATATTTTGCTTCTCCTCCAAAAAATAATTCTTAAAAACAATCGCAACTTTTTCAATCATAAAATTCAGTGTTTTCCAATCGATATCACAACAATCGTGAACATTTTGATCGTCCCAATAATTTCCTTCCCTGAAAAAATTACAATTAATTTGAAGCTATGAAAATTGTATTTCTAAATTTTCTTTTAAAAAAGTTTCTTACCAAATCAGAGCAATATCTGAAGATTTTCGAATATTTTCATCCAATTTCAGAAAATTATTTAGAAAACTTGACATTTTCGGAAAAAATAATATGAGAAAATAAAAATTTGGAAAATTTTGAGCAAATTTTAGCCAATTTGTATTTGAGAACAGTTGAAAGAAAAATTATGCTAATTTATGTTTTGAGCTCCTAAACATATTTCAATAGATCAATTTTGTTTGAAATCGAAAACAATTTATTTAGTTATAACAAAAAGTCAAAAAAAAAATCGCGTTTTCAAAAAAAAAAGATTTACAACAACAAATAGGAAAGGAAAGAAAATGGATTCGCGCGATTTTCCAAAAAAAAAAAGAAATTTGAAAAAAACAATTAAAAAATGTTTTGCATAGGATTGGAAGGGGGATCGGGGGGAATTTGGTGCCAAAATTTTTCACGCCAAAAGGGGGATGCTGCTAAACAAGAAAAAACAACAAAAAAGGCGGTCAACGCTAGAAAAAATGAGGGGGAAGGGGGGAATATTTACACAAAAAGGAGATAAAACTACCGGAATAAATTAGAAGAAAAAAGAGACTAGCACAGCAAATTTTGGGCGAATTGGCGCCAAAAAGGGAAGGGGGAGGGGAGTTGGGGGCAGGACCATTTTACACGAAACGAGCTCCGGGCTCAATCGAAAAAATAAAAAAAAACATTAAAAAAGAAAAAGAGCAACAAACGGAGCACCGCTCCAAAAAATACACTCAAAAATAAAAAAAAATAAAATAATAATAAACAACGATAGAAATTTCTCTCTCTCAAAAAAAACAAAAAACTATAAAAAATCAAAAAAAAAATCAATAACTAGGACCTGCCTATTATAATATTATTGAAGAAGAAGAGAAGATGATGAAGTTGGAATTGGAATTGTTGGTGAGCTTGATGAAATTGGTAGAACACCATTTTGTGGTGGAACAACACCAGCTGAAGATGATGAAGAAGCTGGCAAGAAACGATACAAATATAAACGATAATCTTTTGATGCCAAAACAACTGAACCATCGTCGACGAGACCAACATCGAAACATTGAGCATGTTTGACACGAGATTCCAAAGCGCCAATCATTGCACCATCCTGTAAATCAAATTTCAATGAATTTTATTTTTTTTTGAAACAGTGGAATAATTTTTGGGATTATTTCTTAGATGGTAATTTTTGTGCTTAAAAATATCCTGAAATTGAAATTTGAAAATTGATTTCATATCAAAACAATTTTTGAGACAATAAAGTTTCGGGATTTCTTAGCATAGGGAAAATTCTGGGATCTGGAAAAAATATGAGAAAAATTTTCACTGTTTCAAACTTTGCATAGCACAGAATTCCGATAAGATAAAATTTGAAACAGTGAATTTTCAAAAAATTTTCAGTTAATATTTTTTCATAATTTCAAAAACCCAAAAATTGTACAAACCTGCGAGAAAACAGTCAAATTGAAATTGTTATGATTATCGGCAACAACAACTTCACCCATCGAATTAATTCCAACACCAATCGGATAATTTGTGATTCCTTCACCTCCAATTTGTCGCAAATATTGTCCTTCATACGAAAACACTTTAATACAATGCGCTCGATTATCCGATATCAAAATCTCGTTTTTGTCATTGGTGCAAACACCGTTGGGGAATTCCAAGTAGCGAGAACACGAGAACTTTTGTAGAATATTTCCAAACATGTCGAAAATAATCACACGCATCACTTTGCATTCAACAACAATTATTCGACCTTTGTTATCGACGCAAACGCCACGTGGATGTTGAAGGATATTGGCGCCAAATTTACGCAAAAATTGACCATATTGATTGTAGACTTGAATTTGATGGGTTGGTGAACGTTCGGTGACAACAAAATCGCCGGTTGTTTTGTTGACGGCAACGCTGAAAATTGAAAACTATGGTATTTTTGAAATTTTGAAGGGAAATTTTACGGGTTATGCTATTTTTTGAGCTATTTTTGTCGTGTGAAAAAATGAAGATTTTCTTACCGATTTGGATACAACAATTGTCCATCTCTTTTTCCACATTCTCCAAACTGGAATTTGAATCTTCCCTCCTTATCAAACACTTGAATTCGATGATTATTCGTGTCAGCCACAACAATATCACCTTGTCCATTGACAGCAACACCGCTTGGCTCAGTAAATTGTCCCTCGAGAACTCCAAATTCTCCAAATTTACAATGATAAATCATCTTCTGTCTTTTGATTTGTGATCTGCTTGGTGGGAACAATCCATTTTTATCATCTTCAATCATTCCAGAATCTAATAATCCAAGACTTGGCTCAATTCCAATCGACCATTTATCATATTGTTGTTGAGATGAAAAAGCATCTCCACTGAATGGTCCCAAAGATTGCGATGATCCACCAAAATCATTTTTCGGACGCAATAAATTCGAATCAGAAAATGCATTTGGTGCCAATGGTAAAGATTGTGCAATATTATGATTATTAATATGACTACTACTATTGGGTGGACTTCTCGATTCAAGAATATGTTGTCGACTTGGTGGTCGACCAATTGGTGTTGGTGGCATTCCATTTTGTGCCGATGGTATTCCAGCCGAATTCCATTCACTTGCGGCTCCTCGAATTTGTCCCAACAATTGGGTTATTGTTTGTTTGCCAATTTGTACATTCATTGTTGGCACTTCGATTTCACACGATGATCCCAAAGCATTCGAGACATCTGGATTGAAGCCGAGGAATAATTGGAGACGGGTATCAAGTAATTGTTTGAATACCATTACTTCGGTTGGAGTGGCGAATTTAAGAAGACGAGATGTGAATTCGATGGTTTGGTTCAATTTTTCGGCCATTTGTTGAATACGTTTATCGACCATTGTTAGTTGGATCTGCAAAAACTTTGTTGTTGATAAAATTATTGAAGATAGATCATTTTTACAATTTCTCGTAGAAAATCAGATTTTCAGTCAAAATATATGAGTTTCAATTTCCATAAATTTCAAAATTTGAAGTCGACGCTTTAAAAATAATAGGCTAAAACTCTCCAATTTCAGACTTTCATAAAAAATTTCAGATTTTCAGCCACAAAAATCCAGGAGCAACCCAAAACTCCCTCATTTTCCCAACAATCTGTTGAACCTTGTGTGACCTTCGCAAAAACAAAGCTTTTTATTACCAGAAAACTCTTTTATATCTCTTCTCTTTCAAATTTTGCCGCCAAAAAAGAAAAAAGGTGCTAAAAAGAGAGAGAGATTACCTAATAAAACCCCTTAATTAAAAATAAATAAATAAGTGAATGAATATTATAATATTTAGCACCTGTTTTGGAGTGGGAAATAGAGATTAAATTTCAGGCCAAAACTCTCAAATTTTGATGAAGAATCACAATTTTATATTGAATTTCAGGTCAAAAATGCAGATTATCTCTTGTTCCAGACACCTGGCAAAAGGTCATTATCCCATTATATATTTGTTATTATTATGCACTTTTTCTCAACATGGTTCCTAAATACAAGAACAAAACAAACATGATCATTTGATCTTTTTTTGAAAATGAGAAATTAGAGCATGTATAATTAAGCTAACTGGTATTTTTAAAGTGATAATTTTAAATGGAAATTCGCCATTTCTGCACTAGACTATAGTTTTTTATGATTTGAAATCGGTATTTTTCGGGAAATTTAAGTTTGTTATCCATTTTTAAATATCTAACCTGTTTAGCCGAAAACGCTGAATCAATCTCTTTGGCCATTGTCCGTTTTTGCTCTTGTAGTGCCAATGCCAAATTTGCGACATTTTCATCGAGTTGCGCATGTGCTGAATGAAGTGATGTTGCCAATCTTTGTTGAGCATTGTCAACCTGAAAATATATATTTGGGGTAAAAATTGCCGGTGTAATTAATTATTTTAAAGCTAATTCAGTTGAAAATTGGACTCTCAATATGAATTTTTAACATGAAAATTGTAATTTTCCTCAAAAACTCCCTCAATGTTCACCCAAATCTCCTACAGATAAAAAAAGGTTAAATCAATAAAAAATTGCGCAACAGGCTTTTCTCACCTGCTTAAACAATTCCAACAAATCCGAATGTTTGGCACGTGCTTCGCTCACCAATTGTTCCATTTTAATCATCTGCTTGTCAGCGACCTGAAAAATAATTGAAAAAATGATGATTTCGGTGGTTTTTTGAATATTATATATTTTTTAGGCGCCAAAATAATTGCGAATTCAAAAAATCTCATTTTCCGGCTCATCAAACCGCGTATGAAAATTGAAACATCTGTCATAAAATGTTTATCATTTTTCAAAATCTCCTCAATTTTCCATCTAAATAATATTCACATGGTCTTGTTCTGTTCTTCTACCATCTGCCCCTCTCCAAAAATGCCCTTTTTCTGACCACCTGTAATATATAAGCCAAAAAAAAAGTACCATCTGGTTGATGATTTTCCCGCCAGAAGTAATAGACCTTGAAGATTAACACAACAGTTTTTTTAGAGTGTGAAAAAATGAAAAAAAATGGTCCAGGGTCAATTTTTTAATTTTTCTTATCTTATTTTTTAGTTCAAAAATTCCCCCTAAAACACACCTCGGAAATAGGTTCAACTTGATGTGGTGCAACATGATCAACCATTGTGCATTCTCGACAAATCGCCAAATTACATGTCAAACAGAAATAGCACAATTGTTGATTGCGATGTTGCAAACAATTGCACGATTTATTGTCGCTGCCTGAAATTGGCGCCACAACATTTGTTGTTGAAGATGTTGATGAGGCTGACGATGAAATCTGGCCAGAATTTGGTTGCGAATTCGAATTTGATGAGGAGAGCGGCAAATTCTCGACTCGATGTCCTTCGAAACAATGCATAAATTGATGAGCCATTGTGCAGTTTGAGCACAAATTGTAGTTGCAATTGTGGCAAAATGCTGAGGCCTGTAAACAAATCATTACTACTTTGATTGTTGATTTATTTTAATTTTCAAGATTTCGAAATCGGACCGGATCTAATTTCTTCAAACTGAGTCGACAATTCCACTTTTTCACAAATGCCAAAAATCATTAGATTGGATACGAATTGAAATTTTCAGAAATTACGAAAATTAATGAAAAATTTGAAACGTAAAATTTTCGGGGTTTTTTTTATTGAAAAAAAATATTGAAATTTTTGGATAAACAACAGATCTCACGATTTTCTAGAAATGTTCAAAAGTTAATTTCGAAGTTTCTCAGAAAAAAAGTAAATAACCGACCTGCTCTCCCGATTTGCATCCTGAACAAGTGGCTCCTTTGACTCCTCCTGCTCCGCTTCCAGCTCCAATACTTCCATTCAAAGACAGATTCATCATTTGTTGTTCACAAGTCGGTGAATCGCTTAATGGCGGTGATGAAGAAGTCGAGCTCGGTGAGCCGAAACCGAAACCGACAACAGATTTCGAGTCGGGCATCGATGAAGGCGGTCCGCCAACAATTCCATGATTGTTGTTGTTATGTCCTGATAGTCCGGCCATATTTATTGGATTTGAGGAGGCCATTATTGGATTGCCGCCGAGCATTTGACGATTCATTACTGATTCCAAACCGAAATCGGTTAGTAATGAGTCGAGACCGAGGTGTACGCTAAAATGGGCAAATTTATGGGAGAAGGGGAGCGGTGATAAAAAATTAAATGACATTTTTTTATTCGTGAAGTGCAAAATTTTGAAGAAAAAAATTTGAGGACGTGGAATTTCTAAGGAAAATTTTTTAATTCAGAAAGTTTTCCAATTTCCATATGAAAAATCTTAAGAAACCACAAATTTCGAAATATTCCCCATCGCCAATCAATAATTTGTTTTCAAATTTTATTTTTATAATAATGATGATAAAAAACAAACGCACCTCAACTGAGTCTCCATGTGACACTGCGGACAAACAATTCGTTCCGGCGATTCCAAATGTTTCTCCAAACACAATTTGCAAAACGAATGGAAACACGCCAAAACTTTTGGCTCTCGATATGGTTCCAAGCACAATGGGCACTTGACAACCTAGAAAATGAAGACATTTTGAGTGAAAAGAGTGGTTTTGAATGAATTTGAGAGGAGAAGGCTGAAGAGGGAAAAACCCCGGAAAATTTTGAGCCACTATTTTTTGAAGATTTTATAAATAAAATCGTATTTTCCAGAAAATTCAAAAAACTATCAAAAATTTATAAGACTGGAAATTTAAAAAAAGTTAAATTCGCTCAATCTCAGATTCCTTATTCTACCAACAAAAAACCCAACAGAAGGACGAAAAAGTAGCGTAACAAAGAAAAATAGACAATCCTCCACCCAACAAAAAGACAGATGGTATAACCAAAAAAAAGAATAGGCGGAGTCATGGTGTACAAGAAAAAATCAAATCGGATCGACTCGTAAAAATCGGCGCCAAGCTGGCAAAAAAAGAGGAAAGAATAGATAGAGAGATAGTTATGCAAACAACATTTCCATTCTCTTTATATATGTTTTATGCGATCAAAAATCACACCAACTTGGTGGAGAAAAAAAGAAAAGACCTTGACGTAACTAATTATCATCACCTTCATAATATTTGTATGTGTGTCAACACAAATTAGTAAGGCGTGAGAAAAAACCCAAATGTGGAACAAATCTTGATCATCTTGATAAAGAACAAATCATCAATTTTCGTGGAATCATATGACTGACTGTTTTCCGGTTTCTTCCGATGAATTTTGATTGACAAAACTTTTTAAGATGATGCTTTTGGGATGGGAAAATCGAAGCGGAAAAATTCGATTTTCTCGAACAAAAAATGAGGGGGAGGAATTTGATGGTTTTTTGAAGGAAGACTCCCCCGCGGGAAAAACATATTTATTCGGAAGCGAAAATCGATGGAAAAAAACAATGGGGAAGATGAGAAAAGCTTGAAAAATTCACAACTTCTTATTTTTCGCATGAAAAATGCCCGAAATAATTTTAGACATGGAAAATCAGTAAAAATTCGCAAACAATCATTTTGGGATATGGAAAAAGCTTGAGAATTATGAAAATTCAGAATATTCTCATCGAAAATATGTTTTGGTGATGAAAAATGACGAAAATTTCTCATAAATTATATCACAAATGAGCTTAAGACGATAAGAAGCCTTTCTCATATTTAAAAATTCAAGAATCACGATTTTCGGGTTTTTGAAAAGAAAAATTACGAAATCTAGCAGAATTTGAATCACAATGATGAAATCAACCTAATAAAAAACCTCGGCAAAGAAGCCCCAATCAAAATAGTGTTAGTGGTTGTATAATATAATGGTACCAGTCGGCTAGTGCGCGAGAATCGAGACGCAGACCGAACACTATACAACATGAGAAGAAGGAAAAAAGAAGATTGAAAAATAGTAGGCGGGAGAACGAACGAAAAAGAGCGAAGAAAACGAAGACAACACCACATAGGCGGTCGACGCAGCTCGACGAAATAGCACACATTTTATGGAGAGAATGGCGAGAGATAGAAAGAAACTAGAAAAAAACATAAATGTATTGAGGAAAAGGGACGACGTGGCGGCAGCGAACAAGAAGGGGAAAAAACTCGAGATGGGCAAAAAAACACGAGGAGCGACAAAAATGTCCTTGGATGGTCCCAACTGGCACCAAAAAATGAACATGTTAAAGATGCTGATGCCTTAGAAAGAAACTGTGAAAAATTCAATTTAGACACCAAGAAAACTGCGGTTTTCAGCTAAAAATATTAGAAAAATCAGACCGAAAATTCAATTATCGAAAATATATTTCTCAGACACACTCAAGTGACAATACATACTAAAATCAATAAATAAATGTCCAAAGATCAAACAACATACATTTTTTGACCTTTTATGAGCAAACTAGACTATATATAAACATGTGGTCATTATGGAAATAAATTCGCGGGGCAGAAAAACAACACATAAATTAATGTTCGGTGGTGGGTTGGTTTTGAAATGATAAATGGGGCGTTTCAAACCACCGGGAGATGTTTTATTATGAATATTTTGGTTTTGGCTAGGCGCCAGAAGCGACCGGATGAATAAAAATGGTACAAAACATTACAGAAAAATATGGTTCTTATATGCGGATTAGTATTTTGTAATAAAATATAGCAGCAAATTAATATTTTTCCTATGTAGAAAAACGGCGACAAAAACTTTAATAAAAAAGACCGCGGTGCTTCAAAAAACACATATCAATTAGTTTAGTCGCTTCCTTTATTCCCAAGTTAATAAATCACAATATTTTATTGCTGTCTGGTTGCTTGCATACAAATTTAGGCGATTTCATCATTTCTAGCGACACGTGGCGTCTGCGGGCGGTCGCGCGAGCGCAATTTCATTCATTTTTTGGCGCATCGTGCCAGACACCATGAATCATACATAAAAAACGAACGCGTTTTTTTCTGCTGTATGTGTATATAGTATAGCAAACACACACACAAATTTCAAAGAAGATGAAAATGATTGAAAAAGAAACGAGTGGTTTCTAATAATAGTTCTAGTTATTTTGTTGTCTGAAAAGTTTGATAGAAAATCCTAACTTCCGCTAATTAGTATGACTTTGATTAGTAATGGCGGTGAAAATGAGTCAGACAAAAATGACTAACAAGGTCTCTAAAGTCATCACAAGTTTTCTTTATTTTCTAATTAGGTAGGTCAAGAGATAATTTGCCACGTGTATGTAAATCCCTTGTAAATGGGTGATAAAAGGTGTCCAACTGTGTTCGTTCGCGAACATTCCCTATTTCTTCGTGTGTGGTCTGCATTTTTTCTAGACAGGCAAGATGAACAAACCCGTGCCACTCACTAGCGACAAGAAAAAGCGCGATAAAATATCGATTGAAATACATACATAGTCAGAAAAAAACAAGTTGACCAAGAGAAAAACCTAAGTATCCGGTTTGGTTGGTCACTCAAAAATCATCTACTACTACTATTACTACAATAATACAAAAAAGGAAGGAAAAAAAACATGAAAAGAAAGGCCACCGGGCAAAAACATAGTAGCCGAAAAAGGCAAGAGAAGTGCGTGCGTACAACTGACACCGAGGACAAATCAAAATGAAATTGTATTCTTTGGAGAAGATGATGATGGAGAAGAAGAAAAAGTGGTAGATTTTGGCGCAAATTTTCGGACAGCAATCTGATCTTATATGGATTGGTTTTCAGATATGAGGCAAACCAATTAGGGTCAATTTAGAAATTCGGAAAAAAGGGTAGATTTGAAGAATAGATTTGATTTGAACGGAAAATTGAGGAGTTATGGTGGAGCATGAACAAAATTCGACGTTTCACTGATTTTTATGAAAAAAATCGTATTTAACAATTTTTTATGACAGTCAGCTATCAAATTCCATCTTCAAAACCTCGAAACCCATAATTTTCTGTATTTTTCGCTTTCAACGCGTTTTGTATTGTTAAAATATTAAGTTCTGTTGCATTTCAACAATCCCCATAGGCCTATAAAAATCTCATACTTCTTCGAATTATCCGCAAAGTACAAACAACCAGGTGTGATCAAATTCCACGTTCAAAACCTTCACAGCTGCACTACGGGTGTCTAAACTTGTATTCAGTAAAATGAAATATGCAGCTGCATACATTAAAATATATTTTTTTGTCATGAACCTTGAAGTCTTACATAATTTTCCGGTAGAAGACCCCTAAACTAAACTAAACCCATCAAACTTGCAAGCAACTCGAAAATCTCCAATTTAAAAAGATAATTAGGCGATTCAAATGTTCTTCTCCTCCTCATTTTCGTTCCTTCTATGTCACGCTCTGTCAATCCGATTAAACGTTGTTCCTCACAACATTTTGTCAAAGCCATAAAATCTCTCCAATTTTCCCAGTCTCAATTAACTTTACAACATCAGCAATCCATGTTCTCTTCAATTTATCCACGTGTTCGTTTCTCTCCGATATTTATTACAAAAAAAACCGCAAGACTAACCAGCAAATCGATAGAATGCGGTAAAAATGTTCTCTTCTCCCCCAATTCTTCTTTTCTCTTTTCATTTTTCTAGTCTTCAAAAAGAAAAGAAAAGAAATAGAGAAATGGTTAGAGATGGAGGGTAGGCAAAAAAACCCTCGAGGCGCCACGAAAAAAAACGGGAAGACCAATCAACAATGGACTGAACAAACTTTTTTTGTTCCCATCGTTCGTCCCAAAAACTAACAGTTAGACATATAATTTATGTGAAATTTTATTAAAAACACATGTGTTTTCTTAACTAAAACATTCAGCGAGCCCCCGGTAGTGACGTCATAGCCAAACCGGGTAAACAAAAAAATTTCCTCCCTTTTTTTTTCAGAATAAAAAAAATGAAAAAAAAAACTAACCTGTTCAGAGATCGGCGGCGGAGTTGGAGCCAAGCCAAACGAGCCACCGAGCATAGGCTGTGAAACGGCTGTAAAAATAAAATTAAAATTATTTTCAAGAAATATCGGATAAGAAAATAAAACATATGAAATATATATTGAAAATCAAATAAATTTTAGGCCCCATGGAAAAACGAGTGATGTTTGATGCTATCATCTTTCAAAAAGTGGTTTTGTTTGGACCTATTCTATCGGAAAACAACATGTGTCATATACAACCCGGAAAAAAAGTATAGTTAGTGTGAAAAATCGGATTTTCAGTGCGAGAAATGTCCGTCGCGTGGAAAAAATGAAAATATGTGTGCGTGGAATTAAATGCAAATTGTGCAAACACCGTCACCCCAAGGCTACACACAATTTGAAAAAAATTAATTTTTTTCATTTTTTTGAAGTTTGCCCTCATTTCGTGATAAAGCGGGCGGAAAATCAATGTTTTCTAATAAACAACATTGTGTTATCAGTGCGACAGAATGTCTATCATGCAATTTTCCTGGAATATGACAAGGAAAAATTGATTGAGGGAATTGAAAAATGGAAAATTGCGGATTTTAGCGAAAACTCACGGGGCTTGAGTAGATTTGATTTCTTTGTTTTTCGATTTTAAATGTTTTTTATTTGATGTTTTTCTGCATATGAAAATGATTAATTTGCTCTGACCGCCCGGTTTTTGCTAACCAATAGTAAGACCCTTTCAGTTTTTACCAAACCACTCCCTCTCTTCAAAAAAAATCAACTAACCCGAACCCCATGGTGAATTCTGCACACTGAACACGTGATTCGATGCGGCCGCATGATGTATCAAATTCGAGTTCGTTGAAAATGGTATTGGGCGTGGTGTTCCCGACGACGCCAATAACTGTGAGAATGCTGTGTTGGTGTTATACTCATCAGAACCGGCTGTTGTTGAGGCACTACTACCGCCAAGCGATTCTGATTCGCTCATCTCACGGTTTCTATAAAATTTGGATTTTCGTTTGATAGGGTATAGGTTTTTCAAAAAGCGATTATTTACAAGAGAAGAAAGAGTGGGAGCAATCTTTGTGCTCTCTGAAATTTGATGAGAAAAGTCGGAGCGAAAAGATAAGAGAACGTGTGATTTTCTCTTTAAAAAACGTTCGTTTGAAAAAAATCAATGAACTTTTTTTCAGCGACATCTGGAAGAGAGACATTTTCTTTCTTTTCTTTGTACCGCCTAAAAGAAGAAAAAACTGAAAGAAAAGAGAGAGAAAGATTTTTTGCTCCATAAAAAACAACAAAACAAAACAATGTTTGTCCGCGGACACGCGACGCGGAAAAAAAGAACGAAGTAAACAACTCGGACTCAGTTTCTCGTCGGAACAGGCTGGTACGAAAACATAAACAACAACAAAAAAGAACATGGGTCCCTTTTTGGGCGCGAAGCGGCGGATACGCCAAAAAGAAAAGACAGGAAACCACATTCAATGAAATAAAATCAAATTGTTTGTGGTTTGAATGAAAATGAATAGGAGACGAAATAGGGAGAAAGAAAGTAGTAGTAAAATTGGGTTTGGTGGGTTGCCATGGTGCCAGTGACACCATAAATTCGTTTTTACTTTTTGAAATTCAAAGAGGTGTCGTATAGTGTGCGTTAATTCAGTAATCATAGGATAGACAAGTTCAATAGACTTCTAATAAAATCATTTTTATGCGCTTAACATTATCCAAAATTGACAGAGCGACCTTAAATTAACTTAACGTCCTTAGATCGCTTATTGTTAACGTATAGCCTAACAAGTTTTATCGGTGATGCAGGGGTGTCGTTTGGGCACCCACAGGGCACCCTAATACCCACAGTTCGGCGGGTACACCCGGGTGGGTATTTTCATTGAAAAATGACAGAACGGGTGGGTATACCCGGGCACACCCAGATACCCAAAATGGGCCTTCGTATTTGATTTTTCGTACTAATTTATTTTCGAATTTTTTTTTTGGAAATTGTGTTTTTTTCATGAAAAGTGGTCAGTAACATGAAAAATTGGTCTAATCTGTAGAAAACTTTCAAAAAATCAGCTTTTTTCTCGAAATTTTACTATTTTTCGTGTTGTAAACACACAACAGACTTTCTATAAGTTGAGTATGAGCACATATTCTCTCAAAGGTTGATTTTATCACGAACTCTTTCATTTTTATGTAATTTGGTGTCGAAGAAAAACATATTCTTTCTTTTTTCTAAAATATAATGCATTTTAAGTTATTTTAGAAGTCAACCAAATCGATAAAATAGAACTTTATCGATCGTTTTTGTTGCATATTAGTTTTTCAATCAAAAATCACTCATGTTTTAGCTAAATTCGTCCAATAACATGGATAATAGCTAAACAGAACAAAAAAATCAAAAATTTGCATCATACCAAAGGGTGCCCTAAGGGTGCCCACACCCAACCCGGGTATTTGACACCCAGGTCGATGGGCCTCAATACCCGGGTATTTTTCGATTTACCCGGGTGGTGCCCGGGTATACCCAGATATCAACGGCAGCCCTGGGTGATGTCCTATCCCTAAAAAGAGGACATGTTCCACTTGGCCCACCCAGTCTACTATTCTGGCTAATTTTCCCCAAAAAAGTGTTCGAAAAAACATGACGTATTTGAATATCAGATATTCTCGTGATATAGTTTTTAATGAGTTTTCTATAAATGCGTGATGTTTTTCTGTTTGAGCCGCGAAGCTCTGAAAAAAGAAAAGAAAAATAATCTGTTCTCACTCGTGACTAACAAGACTAAAGTGTTGTTGTTCTTCTGGAAAATAAAAGAGAATAGCGGCAATTTTCGAATGACTAATACTAAAAATATTATATATTTTTCGGAACTACTAACTATAGCAAAAAAAAAGGAAAAAAGTGGGGAGGAGAAGAGGAGAAGAAATATATGTTAAATAAAAGTGCACCAAAATTGAGGCGAAAAGTGCAGTTGAGAGCACACCCACAAAATGAATAAATGACACACATTCAGGAAAAGCTTGAAAAGAAGAAGCGAAGAGGCTTGGCGAATAATAGAAGGGAACGCACGCGCGCATGACTGACATACACAAGTCATGTGGCTACTGCTATATGCCATATAGGCGAAGTAGAAGAAGAAATTGGGCGGAGTCGAGCAGCTCCGAGGAGCCGCCCGAAAAATATACAACTGACTGAAGAAAACACGAATAAGGGAATGAATGTGTGAGGAGACAACAGAAGAAGCAAAAGAGGTCCGTCAAAACAACACACACTTGCTAATTATGTTTTTTCATGTGATGGAACACCTAGCTGTTTTGTTTTTGTTGAGTTGCGCAATCTTGTTTGGATTGCAAAGAGAACAATAGGATAATTAGAGTCGATGTATAAAGTTAGAAGGTCGTGGATTTTTGGACTTTGGACGTAGATATAAGAGGGTATAGAATTCCCACTAGTCCCGAATTTTTTCGAATCACAGGTTCAGCTGAATTCGACAGCTTTTCGAGTCTCAAAAGTCTTCCTGAACCCTAGTCTCAAAAAATGAAAGTTGAAGCTTGAAAATGAACAAGTTTCTTTGCTGACGGGCTCATAATTGAATTTTGGCGAGAATTTTTCGTGTCTGAACTTTCCGTAACTACTTCTGGTTTAGTCAGGTTTCTTGCTAACCCTTTCTGTCTTATGTTAGTCACAACCATACGTCGCATGCCAGGGTTAATCGACCCGTGGAGGGGTTATCCCTCACACCAAATTTTGGAGGGGGTTGTCACTTGAGATAAAAAATTTTATGAAATTTTCTCAGTTTTGATGATAATTTTCTCTACATATTCTGCCATAGGGATACCAATTTAAGCCCCAAAAAAGTTTCCACATAAATATCTAATTAAATTAGCGGTAGCAAGCCTTTATTAGACCCTTATCAACTATGCTCCACAATAAAATCTGAAGAATTAAGCATGGTATCAGAATGGGACCACTATGTCATTTTTCACCTCTGTTATCAAAGAACACAGGGGTAAAAAGTCAGTAAGGGTATCTAATGAATACCAATTAATATTAGACTTGAGTTAGGGGTGATTTACCTTAATTTGGTTCTTATCAACTATTTCCAAGAAGGGAAAATGTATTAATTTCAAAAACATTAGTTTGATCCTAAATCAAACCACCAACTCTGAGAAAAAATATGATCGTAATTGTAGACTACATTACTATTCTGTAGATCGCTGACTTTTAATGATATTAAAATATAGATAGCGGATTCGATAAAGTAAAAAACCTTACAGATTTGAAATCGAGAATTTTTAATTTTGAGAAATATGAAATTTTGTTCATCCAAGAGATTACTTTTAGAAAGATCATATCAAATCTAGCTAGTTAAACGAAACACTAAATAAATCAAATTGTGCAACCACATTGATACATATTAATTTTGAATAACTCTACATTGTCGCTTAATCATAATTTTTGCAAATATTACAGTTACTAACTGTCAGTTGATATGTGAAAAATGACATAGTGGTCCCATCTTGATGCCATGCTTAATTCTTCAGATTTTATTGTGAAGCATAGTTGATAAGGGTCTAATAAAGGCATGCTACCCCTAACTCAAGTCTAATATTCATTGGTATTCATTAGATACCCCTAGTGACTTTTTACCCCTGTGTTCTTTGATAACAGAGGTGAAAAATGACATAGTGGTCCCATCTTGATACCATGCCTAATTCTTCAGATTTTATTGTGGAGCATAGTTGATAAGGGTCTAATAAAGGCATGCTACCCCTAACTCAAGTCTAATATTAATTGGTATTCATTAGATACCCCTAGTGACTTTTTACCCCTGTGTTCTTTGATAACAGAGGTGAAAAATGACATAGTGGTCCCATTCTGATACCATGCTTAATTCTTCAGATTTTATTGTGGAGCATAGTTGATAAGGGTCTAATAAACGCATGCTACCCCTAACTCAAGTCTAATATTAATTGGTATTCATTAGATACCCCTAGTGACTTTTTACCCCTGTGTTCTTTGATAACAGAGGTGAAAAATGACATAGTGGTCCCATTCTGATACCATGCTTAATTCTTCAGATTTTATTGTGGAGCATAGTTGATAAGGGTCTAATAAAGGCATGCTACCCCTAACTCAAGTCTAATATTAATTGGTATTCATTAGATACCCCTAGTGACTTTTTACCCCTGTGTTCTTTGATAACAGAGGTGAAAAATGACATAGTGGTCCCATTCTGATACCATGCTTAATTCTTCAGATTTTATTGTGGAGCATAGTTGATAAGGGTCTAATAAACGCATGCTACCCCTAACTCAAGTCTAATATTAATTGGTATTCATTAGATACCCCTAGTGACTTTTTACCCCTGTGTTCTTTGATAACAGAGGTGAAAAATGACATAGTGGTCCCATTCTGATACCATGCTTAATTCTTCAGATTTTATTGTGGAGCATAGTTGATAAGGGTCTAATAAAGGCATGCTACCCCTAACTCAAGTCTAATATTAATTGGTATTCATTAGATACCCCTAGTGACTTTTTACCCCTGTGTTCTTTGATAACAGAGGTGAAAAATGACATAGTGGTCCCATTCTGATACCATGCTTAATTCTTCAGATTTTATTGTGGAGCATAGTTGATAAGGGTCTAATAAACGCATGCTACCCCTAACTCAAGTTCAAAATTCACTATTTGCCTCATTGATGCAAATTCTGAGCTTAAGCTCAATAAAATTGTAATTTTCAGATTTATATATCTGGAAATGAAGAAAAAAAATTTAAAAAAAAGGGGGGGGGTTATCCCTTTCGTCGAAAATTTTCAAAAATAGGGGTATGCACTGGCGGATTTGAAACAGGGGTATGCGACGTATGGTCACAACTCTTCCATCTAAAAATTGGCTAATCGGATCCCATAATTCTCAGAAAATTCGCACTCATCTGTAATCCAAATATGCCTACAACCAAAAACAAAATAAAAACCGAATGAATGTAGATGTAGAAGTGGATGGAAAATGCCAAAACATACCAGCCGAACAACAACAAAAAAAACAACAACGACGACGATGAAAACGACTATAGAAACCGGTTCAATTGATGGGGAGTTTTTTGAATTGAATAATAATATAATAATAATAATAATGGCGAATGTGAACGCGAACAATTTCAGCGAAAAGAAACTGGAATTCTTTCGAATTAAAGATGAGACAGGGGGGTTCAGACATATATGTAAAAGTGCAAGAGGAGTTCATTATGAGGAAGAACAAACCTATTGATGCGTGAGGAAATGAAACTTGTTTGCCGATTAGAGAAAACGTCGTCCGGTTTTGTCTTCTTAAACAATTTTCAGTCACACTTTCTCTCTGAAATTTTCTTCTTCGACTACTAAAAAAATAAATACGAAGAAGAAGACGAAAACGAAGAAAAAACATCTTTGATGGCGAAATGCAAAAACAAGACTGCTATACTACTACTACTTCTTCTTCTTTTTTCGGCTACCACGATTATTATGCATCTATACGAAAAAAGGCCTGTTTTTTTGCATCCATCCATCCATTCGTATATTATTTTTGGTCAGAAAAAACACGATTCGAAAAAAAAGGAAGAGGAGTTCGTTAGCAGATTATTGAATTATTATTATAGAAATTTGCACTATACATGGGATAATCCAGAGGGAGAAAAGTTGCACTTTTAGCGATTTGAGTTGAGGAATCACGGAGTGTCGTTGGAATTTCCTAATCTATGCTACCTAGCTATTTAGATATCTAATAAATAATAAATCTACAGTATACCTTCTAAGCTCCACCTCTTCCTTACAACACAGAAAAACAAGAGTAATAATGAAGCAAAAAAAACGAAGAAGAAGAAGAAACGGGCAGAGAAACAAAGAATGGGTTAGAGACGCAGAGTGGTTTGTGAGACACAGCGCCCTCAGGCAGTCCGTTTATTTTATTTTATGATATTAGAGGGAGTGAGTGTCTGTGTCTCTTCACACAACTCCACACTCTATCACTTGTATATTTATTTATAAATATATTTATGTATTTATATATACGAAGAAGTGAGGAGACGCAGTGAAATAGGCGGAGAACAGACCGAAAAAAACGAACGGAGACTGAAAATCGAACGAGAAATGAACAAGGAAACGATTCTTTTTCTCGAGGCCTGTTGCTGCTAACTATGTGAAAAAATCTTGCGAATGGGCGGAGAATTTGCGGGAGAAATCAAATAAATAAACAAAACAAAACAAAGAAGGAAAAAAAGTTGATGGTGATTTTTGATGAGAAATATCAGGAAATATTAGAAGCTAGTGAAAGGTATAATATGAGTAATGTTGGAGATCTAGATTGGCTGATCTGAATATTGCTCAAGTTAAGGGATTATGAAAACACGAATCCTAGGATTATATTGCTCATATTAAAGGATTATAAGAGATTTCGAGTCGAATCTTCGGAATTAGGAAATAAAACTAGGAGGTATGACATAAGATTGAAAATATAAAGCAAGCGGATTTCCATATGCATTGCTCATCTTAAGTTATTAAAAGATTAGTAGATACAAATCCTTGCTATCAAGGTTAAAGCCTTTGAAATTATATGTATACTAAATCTGGTTGATTTTTGATTCAGGGATTGCTCATATTATATTCAGAAGCAGGGACAATTCTCAAACACATTTTCTACAAATGAATTTATTTTCGAAAGAACTTCACCGGAAATTTGAAAATGCTATAAGTTTACGGAAAAATATATCAAAAAACTTCTCAATCATAATCTCATGATTCATCAAACATGAGCAATGATTTTTGAAACCCAAATGCAATCTCTAAACAAAATCTGCCTGCCCATTTTTCTTTCTCTTTTTTTTGTCTTTCTTGTCTCAAGAGACCATTTCATCATTTTCGCTTCTTCTTCTTGTTGGACAAGCAAAAAAAGACCGAGTCCGAAAATCGATAAAACGCCGAGAGCCCAAAAGAGCAGCGAAGAGAACGGCGTTCGCCTTTTTTCGTTTCGCTGAAGCTCCGCCTATTTCGTTTTTTTTTTTGGCGGCGGCGGCGCTCTGAAAATCGATGCAGAACAATTATTGTCTCTCTGTCAATGTGTATTGCTGTTTGTTCGCGAAAAATTGTACGAAAAAATAATTGGAAAAAGTCACAGTTTACTGCGTTTGAAACAAAATTGTATGTTTTTTTTGTTCGTGTTTGTGATTGGAAAATTGGCGTAAAATTGGAATTTTTTTTCGGCTAGCAAGGAAAAATTCCTAGAAATTTTAAATTATATTTGGTGGGCTGAAAACATGGGGACATCTTCTGGATAGAAATATGGAGGACTAGAAAACCAAATTTTGAGCAAGACTACAAGAAAGTAGGCTTTGATGACCTAGAAAATCGAATGATGACCGAGTGAAAGCTATAGCTAGCTTTTTATGGCCTAGGTGGCCTAGAATCCGATTTTCAAGATGTAGAACCCTAAAACCAATAAGTTTTCACAAAAATCAATAAAGTTCTAACTAGAAAGTTCATTTCTTCCAAGAAAATTCCAATTTTTCCATGAAAAATCCCCGAAAAACAAAACTGCTGTTTTTTTTTTAAATTCTAAAGAAAAGGAGAAATATACGAATTCGTATATATTTTTCTGTGTTTTTCTGCTCAAGAAGATGTATAAAAAGAGAAGATTAGGAAAAAGTCCGAAAAAATTTTGGTTTTTGTTTCGGGTGCACAGAAAATTTGGAATTCATGGAATTTTTCAAACAATTTTCAAGCAGGAACTTTTTTTTCTGAAAAAAAATCAAAAATGAGAGAAAAGTTGGTCTTTGCTGAAAATTACAGCAAAAACAAAAAACAAAGTTGTCTTTTTTTTTTTTTTGAAAAACAAGCAGAGGAGACAGGAAAAAACACATGTGATATGATAACAAACAACTTGGGGCTACAAAATGCCACGTGGAAAATTTTTAAAAATTCACTGTTTCAAAAAAAATAATAATTTCTACATATTTTTTGAAAAATAATTCGTATGTGGATATAATCGGTTTCATATTGAAAATCGAATTCTGAAATGTTTTGCGCCACGTGGCAAAAATGTTTCAATTTCTCACTTTAAAAATCCCCACTTCATTTCGTTGAAATCAAAACTTTTTATTTTATTTCATATTTTTCAAGAAAAAAATGGGGTTCCACTTTTCTTCCATCAAAAAGGTCAACTCTTTTCTATCTTCACACTTTTTCTTCGATGGTGATAAAAATCTTCTCCTAGTAGTTGATTTTTAATCATAAAATTTTTCATTTTCATTTTAAAAAAAATTTGGTGAAAAGGGGACCAAAAACTAAAACTGGTGGAAATTTGAATCCGATTTTCACATGATTTTTCTCTTTTTTTTGTTGAAGCAGGCCTAAAACAAATAGAAAGAATTCTATAAAATTTATAAAATATGACTATAAAAAAGAGATGAGTCAGAATACAAATTTTCACGCCAAAGTTTTGAAATGGTATGAAAAATCCACTTTTATTCAAAAAATATGCACTTGAAACAGTGAATTTTTGTACAAACTTTTTTTTAATTGCCAAAAATCCACGTGACATTATTGGTGCAAAGAAAAATTGGTTTTTGATCTACAAAAATGTCTCTTGCGCGGTAGCACTTAAGCCTAACTATGCATTTTTTCTGTTGGAAAAATGTGCGCGAAAATCAACAAAAACTGGAACGGATACAGCTTTTTCTCTAAAAATTTCTGGGGATTTTTATAACAAAAATGTTAGATTAGAAATAAATCACAAAATGATTTATGTTTATATAAAATAACTTTTTTTCTTGCATAAATAAATGAATAAATATTTAGAAAACCAGGAAAATATGATGATGATTATTATCCAAACAATGGTTGAAATTCGAGACATTTCTCTCTCAAAAGTATACACACCAACTGGCACCAAAAATATATTGGAAAAAAAGGAGGAAAATGCATTAGGAAGAAGAAGAAGGTCAGGAAAAATATTGGGGGAAAATTAGAATTTTCGCTTTGATTCAAAATTGATACAAATATTTTGAAACAGTGAAATCATTTGAGATTGAAATTTAAAATAATTTTCAGAAAATTTTGCAACCGTTTCATCACGTGGATTTTTAGGGCTGTATTTTTGAATAAAAATTGTGAAACAGTGAAAATTTTCAGATAGCTTCACTGTTATGAAATACGTCCTCAAACTATTTTCATAGGTCAAAATTGATTTATGAAAATTTTTTGAAACAGTGAAAATTTTCTGTAATTTTTATTCTTTCTGGAATTTGATTCTGGGAACCCCTACATTCGAACATTTTTAATTCAGAACTCGCTGATTTGAAAAAATTTTGAAACAGACATTTTTTTAGGTATGAAATTTTTTGACCAAATATCAGGAATTTGAATTTATTCAATTTTTCCTTCAGAAACTCATAATTTTTTTCCAAAAAAATGTTTTCAAAATTTTCAGACCTGTCTAAAATTAATGCTCCAAATTCCAAATTTCCCACAAAAAATCAGTTCCAAAAAAGTCTAGTTTCGACCAAAAAAAGCGCGCAAAAAAGTATATAAATTATATTTATTTGAAGTGACCAAAGCCGGTTGACGAAAAAATAAATATATTGATTTTTTGCGCGTGAGGAGAAGACAGACTAGACTCTAGTTTGTTTCTTTTATTTTTCAAGAGGGAAAAAATAGATTTCATGGGTACAGTAGATTGCTTTTTGAAGGTACATACTTTCAATTTTTCAATTATTAAAAACTAGCTGAACTAGACTCTAGTTTAACTCAAATAAAACTATAGTCTAGTTTGAGAAAACAGAGAAAAATGTGATAAATCACGTGCTTTTTCTTCTTCTTCTTTGGAAAACTTTTTTCATCAAAAAATCCTCCCAAAATTGAACTAACCTTGAAATTTCGAAATATGGCAACATTTTCTGGATTGGTTCCTATTTATCTTCTTGGTTTTTTGACTTCTGCACGGTATTTCAGAAGAATTACTGCAAAGAAAGAAATTTTTTTTGAGTAGAAGATATTTGAGAGGAAAAATGAGAGAGAGAGTGGAAAATGTGAGATAAGAATGGGTAAATAGAAAAATCAGAGAAAGAAAATTAGGAAATCGTGGGTGATATTTGGCGACGAAATTCAAAAATTGACGAGAAAATGCATAGTAATTCAACTCACTTTCATTTTTCCTAATTCGAAATTTTTGTCAGCAGATTTTCAAAAATAAAAATTGAGAAATGATGAAAGCTGGAAAATTTTCAACAAAAAACGTGATGACATCTTTTCAACGCAAAAAATACACGTGGAATTTTCGCATTTAAAAACTTCGAACAAAAGCAAAACTAAAACCATTCAAAAAATGTTGCGATGATAATCGGGAAAAAAGAGAAAAACGAAAATGAGAGAAAAAATCGGCGGGACGACAACAAAAATTTGCACTTTTAGCAGATTAGAGAGTGCGGGAAATTGAGAGAATTCGAGAAAAAATAAATGGAAAAACAACAAAAAACGAAAAAAGATGGGCGGTTTGTTGGTTGGACACGGGGCAACAAAATTGTGAATAGAATGGGATTTTTTGTGAGTGGGAGAAATATTGGAAATATATTAATCCTAATTGATTGTGACAAAAAGTTTTTGGGAAACTGTGATAAAAAACTATTTGAAGATTTTTTTCTAAAGATTTTGGAAAAGTTTTTAAAAAAATTAGAAAACACTTCGAAACAGTGAATTATTTTCGATAATGTTTTTGTTCCCACTGGGATTTTTGGCGCGAAAATGTATGGTGATCCAACTCACTTTCCTATAGGATGAGAAATAATTTTAAACCGCGCGCGCTGTCGTCGACGCGGAGTCTCGTTGTTTTATTTTTATTTTTTGCAAATTTTTGTTTCTAAAAGGGCCAAGAACACTTCGGTTTTTTTCATTTTTGCATATTTTCTCATATTTAAAACAGCTAAATATCATTCTTTCAGGAATATGAGTTATTCAAAATGTATATTTGTTCTATTCTTCTTTCCTGTATTTATCAACTATCATTGGAAGGATGGAGCATCGAATTGATGTTAAAAAGAGTGATGTTATGATCTCAAAAGGAATTCAATTGTTGGTTGAATCAAGCGATAAATGTGCAAAGTGAGTTAAAAGCTAAATTTGAGAACTGAGAAGAACTGAGCTTTTGAGAAGAACTGAGAAGAACTGAGAGAAGAACAGAACTGAAAATGCTCATCAAAATTTCCAAAAATCTTGTTTTTCTGACCTGAAAATTTGAAACTTTCACTGAAAAAAACCAAGAACTGAGAAAATTCATTAATTTTTAATTGAAAATTTTCAAAAGTATATTTAAAAATTTATTTTCATTTTATCTACCGGTTTTCGTGTAAAATATATGTGATATGAATAAATAAATAAATATCCGTAAAAAATACAGAAAAAATTATGTACATAAAAAATTCACAATTTAAAAAAATCAAAAAAAAGAAAACCGGTATCGGTCATTTTGATCAAAAACTAAGTGGAAACTAGGATAAAAACTAACTAAACAAAAAAGAGGGAATCAGCATTTTAGAGAATTAGAATCTTGTTGAAATTGTAGCACTTCATATTTTGGTGGTGGATCACAAATATTACTGTGGTGGTGACAATTTGGAGTTGTATCAATTGTATAAACCTGAAAAAAAACATTTGAAATTAGATTTTTTGAAGTCAGAGGCTTTGGTAAATTTAACTAATTGCCTTCAATTTTAATTTGTCTTACCTCATATGATTTGTTTACTTTTGCTCCAATTTCGACTTCAACTTCAATTCCAGAATTCATCCTCCGATTTCGAATTGAAATCTTACACAAAAGAACAAAAATCGCTCCCGAAACAACAATCAAACAAATCACAAATAAAACGAATACCATAATATCAATTCCATTTGAAACTTCGATTGAATTCTGATCCAAAATTATATTTGATTGTCTTCCTCTAACATGTTTCAATTTGATATTATCATTATCAATTGGCATTTGACGGTTGATTTGATTCTCACAAAGTGGACCAGTATAACCAGGAAAACATTGACAAGTAAATGATTGATTATTTGAGACACATCCACCATAAACACATCCAGAAGTTGGAATACATTCGGAACAATCATTTCCTTTGAATCCAGTATTACATTCACATTGTCCAGGCGCAGCACATTTTCCATTTTTACTACAGTTATTTGTGCAAATTGCTGAAAACATATTTATTTTTCATATGGAGAAAGAAGAAAAATGAAAATAAACTTACGAGTCATACAATCTTCACCAGTCCAGCCTTGCATACATTTTGATTGACCGGTTGGAGAGCAATCCATATGACGATCCGGATGAGTTTTGCAGAAGGTTTCGCATACGGAACCGAAGTAGTTTCTGAAAATTGGAGACTAAAAAAGAGTGTCAAGTGTTTTGAAATCTTCAAAAATTACTTTCAGAAGGAATTGAGATTCAGAGTTTTGAGCTTTATAAAAATATTCAGCATCAGGTGGTATAAATCCCAAAAATAAACTAACTTGCTACAAACAGTTCTAAATGAGTAGGTGATATTGAATTCATCCGATGTTTCAAACACATTCGTCTTCCAATTGTTATCATGTTTTTGTTTGGTGAAAGCACTTCCGATCAAATCTGTAAGAAATTCACAATAGAATATGTGCCTCGTTTTGAGAAATAATTCAGAATCTTACCTCCATTTGCATTGAAAATTATGAAGTGAAGATCAAAGTAGACCTGAAAAAATTAAAACTTGTTTTTCTTTCAATAAATATAATAAAACCAATTCCTACCTGGGGTTTCGATATAAAACGTCCTTCAAACATTCTATGTGGAAAATTGGCGTTGAGCTCAATTCTTTTGTTATTCTTTCCAATATTAATGCAACGAGTTTCAGCACAAATTTCGGTCATAATATAAGAATTTTGTTGTGCAGTCAAAATCAATTCGATTGATCCGGAAGCATTCGAAATTTGGAATAAAAATGAGGAGAGAAGGAAGAAAAGAAACATGAAGAGCTGAAAAATAATAACAATTGCAAGATTTAAATTTGACAAATTCTCGAAAAAAACACCGAAAAACAAAAAAAATATTTTATATAAATTTTTTTTTACAAATTTGAACGTAAAAAAGTATTCTATAAAAATTCAGATCATTCACTAATACTATTCTAAATTATATAGAAATGAAGCTATCAACAGTCTATTTATAGTGCACCATTTTTAGTCTCCATCCACAAAAGGGGCGTGGCTTGCGAGAAAAGTGTGAAGTACGGTATTTGGCAAAAATTATCAGAAATAAACAAATATTGAAAATGGGAAAAGCGAGGTTTGGGAAAATTTGGATAATAGATGGAGCCTGAATTTCGAGAATAAGTAAAAAGTCTGGAATTTGGCTTACTTCAGGATTCATTTTTCTATTTTTTAGGTTTTTGGACTTCGAAATTGTTATACATTTGAATTATTTTCAAGATTTTTCTAAAAGTTACTTCCGACACAATAAAACATTTTAGATATTGTCAAGTATAATAAAATCAACTTCCGATGTTTTTTTCTGTTACAAAAGTATACTTAAATCCAAACTCCAACAGCAGACATCTTCTGCAAAAAATATAAGTTTTGGTGACTCAACTAACCTAGCAAGAAAATCTACTATAGAACGTTTTCAATGATAAAACGTGGAAACAGCTGTTAAACAAATACGCTAACTCAAAGACTTATCCAAACTTCACACCTATCAATCAAGCATGCGCAGGCAGAAATATGGGGAAGTGTGAAGTATTCTTGGCAGGGGAACATATGAAAAGGGTTGATGTGAGAAGTATTGGCTTTTAGGGAATATTCTTGACTTTATGGGATTCTACAGTACTCTCTGAATCGTCTTGAAACTTTAAAAAATGTTAACCTAACATTATTTTCATCCCATATATTGTTGTTGTTTTTTTTCGCAACAATTTCCGACGACAAAAAAGGTGCAAAACAAAAGAAGCAAAAAGTTGAGATTGACAAGTTTGTAGTACTGTAGGATTTATAGGGTTACTGTGGTTTGCTCTTTTTATGGATGTAGATAATTTGATTTCTCAGGTCAGAAAAACAAAATAATTTTTTTTTTTCAAATAAAAACGTGTTCCCACAATTTTCCACGATTCGATTAAAATTTCCAAAAAAAAAAGCGAATCATTCATTTTTAAATTTATATTCGCCCCCGCCAGACAGACAATAATCATGCGGCTGAATAATAATTCTATTTCAATTTCAACTTCAATATTTTTCCTAATTTTTCTCGTAAATCTGGCCGAATCCACAAAAATCAATCTCGTTTTGAGACCCACTTGCAAACTGTCGAAAGACTGGAATTTTCAGGCAACACTTTGGGAATCTGATACTTTGTGAGTTATTTTTTGTAGGGAAATCTCGAATTGAAATGATTTTTTTCTTTTTGCTTTGGAACTTCAAAAATTGATACAAAATATTTCACTGTTTCAAACATTTTATTGATATTTTGAAAGTATGCCCTCCTCTTCCAATTACCGAAGGCTTCAATTCCTCATACATTCTACAGACTTTTTCCAGTTTCGATGATAAAATAATCGCATCTCCAACTTATCATCTCCGGGATGGTGATCGATCTTTCAATCAAATACAATCTTCAGAAAGCGATGATGGTTTATTTGATGTAGGTTGAACTTTTTTAGATTAAAATGGTCTGAATTCGACCTTAGCTTCGGGCCTAAACTTAATTTTTCTCTCAGAACTGGTTCGAATTCTACACCGAAATTGTGCACAATTGCACAAACAATGGAAAAAATCTGAAATTGCACCAAAATTTGAAACCAGTCGCTGTCAAAACTTCGTAAGTCCATTGTTTTTTGAATAAAATTCCTTAAAAAATCAGAAAATTTTCAGAGACTTCACAATAATTATCGATTATGATTTATCGAATCGTGGAAAAAATTAACAAATTTCTGAAATTAAATTTTTAAAGAAGAAAAAATATCGATGCTCTCTGAACTTTTATTCTATTTGTAAACCTTATTCTTCGTTATTTTTTTGTGTAATAAATATTTGAAAACTGAAAATCCATGTGGTCAACAAATTCTGCGTTAAATAATTTGACACAAAAAATTATCACGTTTATATCAAAATTCTAAATCCTTCAAACATTTTTATAGAATATTTGAAACAGTGAACTTTTTCGTCTAATTTTTGCAACGTGAATGTTTTAAAGAAACATCTTTAGTTCCAAAAACTATCCAAATATCCACGTGGCAAAACTTTCTGAAATTTTACACGTCGATTTCTTATTATTTTAGATAACATTTTAAAATCAAATTTATGAAACCTTCAAAATTTTCTATACAATTTCTGAAACAGTGAATTTTTAATTATAAAAATTTGTAGATTTTATGAGCAAATCTTCCAATTCCAAATAAATCTTTCAAAATGCAATGCTCTAAAACTTTATTCTTACGGAAAAAGAATATATACATATTTTAGTGAGATATGAAATGAAGATGGTTTTTGTCGAAATGTTCAAATTGCGAGTTGTTTTCTTATCAAAGCAGTTACCAATCTAAATGGTCTTTCTTCATATTCCACATATTTTTCTTTTTCGATTTTCACTTGATCGCCGTTCATTCGATTCAAAAGGGTTACACAAACAATGGCGGCTGCAAAAAAAAACAGCAATTTTTGGGGAATTAGGATTTTTGAGTTTTCAGTAAAAAATTCGATTTTGAATAAAAAATATGAAAAAACTTCTGAATTTGATCGTGACCCAGAAAACCAAGAAATCCAAATGTTGCTTTAGAGCTCAAAAGAATTTGGGTTTCTAGGCCATTAAATTCGAAAACCCTTTTCTAGTCCTAAATTCTCCAAATCTCAGCCCAGCCCAAAAATTGCCTACATCTGTGTCCAGCACGATGTGTAAAACTGGCAAAACACGTCGATTCCATTTCAATATTCCGCACTCCCAAATTGTACAATTTTTCCAAAAACGCGAATTTATCCTCCTCTTTATAATCGCAAAAATATCCGTCCAAACGCATTTGTCCCTCATAAAAATCATCGGCGCACATTGTTTTGCCGGTTACAACGGGAATGTTTTTGAGGGCGGCGAGTTCGCATAATTCGAGACGCAGATTTTCGTCGAGTTGAGTTGGGCGTTCAATCTGAAAAAAGGGAAAAATTCGAATTTCGCAAGAAAAAAATGCACCGTGGCTTCTTGGCACCAAAATTAGGTTTTTTTATAAGAAAAATTCCCCTCGAATTTCGAATCTAAAAAATGTTTAGATTTTTCAAATTTCTTCCAAGTTTTTCTAATAAAAAAAGATTCCCATTCAAAATTATAGTTCAAAGAACGAAAAAATTATATTCAAATCAAAATCATGTGAGCAAAAATTCTAGTTTGGTTCAAAACTAGAAAATTTATACAATTCAAGATTTTTGAATGATTTTCAGCCAAAAATCTTTTTCTCACCCGTTTTCCAGCAATAACTTGAATATGTTTATCAGATAATTCAGCATTCATTGCTTCAGTTGTTACAACAACAGTTCCAGGTTCGACTCCAACACCGCCAGATGTTCCGAGTCGAATAAATGTCACATTTTCAGCTTTTGCGTGATGCATCAATTTCAGCGCTTCGATTAACATTATACTTAATGATGGAGTTCCCATTCCATGCTGAAAAATTAAACATTTTGGTTGGAAATTTCTAGGTTTTTTTCATTCTCTCGATCTCAAATCGATCCTCTTCAAATTTTTGTTGAAACAGCCAAGAGAGCCATGCCCTTATTCCTTTAAAATACTTACATTAATCCAACAAACTGGTCCAGTTTTGTAGATGACAAATCTGTCGGATTTCGACAAATTCTCGCTGCATGGGATGTTGCATTCTTTGGCAAACCATTCGGCATACAATTTGAAACGACCTGGAGAACCGCCAGTGCATACAAACTGCAAAAAACACGCGATTTTGGGCGAAAAAATGAATTTTCTAGGAAGTACAGTATTTTCTTCAAAGGCGCACAACTCCAAAACATGTGCAAGCACAGAATTTGACGCGCAATTGCAGACAGAGAAAATATTTTCTTTTTTTTTCTTTTTTTCAACCAACCTTTGTGTCTCCAAAAACTTTAGGTAAATCCAAAGTAGCAACTCCGAAACCAAAATGATATAAAAAGTCCTCTTTCGAATTTTCTAAATATTTGTTGCGTTTTTCGAGTCCATTTGTTTGACCGGCCATTTTTGTGGTATTTGCAGTCGATTGAAAATGCGAAAATACGTCTGAAAATTTAAATTGTGGGTGTGTTGATTTCCGGTGGTCGATTAAAATAGTGAAGAATTTCTCATTCTTAATTTTTAACGTGATGAAAAAAAACAGGAAGTGCAAATAAAAACTTGTTTTTATTTATGGTTTTGAGGAGAAAACAAAATATAAAATGAAGAATTTGTGAATTTAATGGCGAAATTCGACTGGAAATCGTGTAAAGACCCAAACAATCATGAATTTTAAGGTTCCGGCGCGAGTTATCACTTATTTTCCGAGAAAAATCATCCGATGACCCACAAAATCATGAAAAATCCACGTCTTTCTATGAGAAATGAATAAAAAATGATGCAAAAGTGCATATAGCTTCTGTCTCTCAGCCCAAGGCTAAAAAAACTAACAAAAAATCAATACTAAACAAGCTCCCCCCGCCCCATATATTTTTCAAGAAAACTGAGAAGTAGAAGAAAAGAAAAGAAAATTGTTCGAGTTGCCGCGCAACTATTTATAGTGGCCAAAAGAGAAAAACAGTTGGGGCGGAGCCTGAAAATAGCCAGCCACGTGTCATGCGCAATTGAAAAACCGAAACCGCCACTATTTTTTGGTTTTTCTCAAGACACAAAAATGATTGATGAGTGTGGAGGTTAGGTTAGGTTATCATCATCATTTTCACTTATATAATATTTAATAAAAGGTATTTTTGGCGGTCACACATACGAAAAATGATACGGAAATGATTGTTTGGTGCCCAAAAAGTCATTGAGAAATCAGGGTTGATTTGATTTTGCCTGGAAAGTTTAAAAAATCTCAATTTGCGTCATTGAAGCTGCCTATTTATTTACCGAGCGAAAAATAACAAAAAAAGACCGTTTTTTGTCTAAAATATGGCAGTTTTGTTTGTTTTCGCGCCTTTTCTCAAAAAAACTCCACGTGGTATCAAAAAAAGCGCGAAAAAAACGTTCTAGGCTTATCGTGGCAAAAAAAGAGTAGCACATGATGACAGAAAAAATAAATAGGATTAAAATTTCTAGCTAGCTCCTGAGGAAAAAATTACCGCAAAAAAACCAAAAAACAATTTTTATCATCATCATTTTTTACACGAAATTTTCCGGTGTGGTGATAAGGAAAATTTTGAACATTCGAACTTTCGCGCCCGTAGATCAAAATATATTTCCCAAAAACTCACATCCTAAAAATCCAGCCATTTTCTTTTCGTTGGTTTTCTAGTAGGCGATTTATAAAAAATGAGCCAATCTTTTTTCCTCAAAAAAAAAACATTTTCAAAAAAAAAAGTTCACGTTTATATACAAAATTAATCAAAAATAGAAAAAAAAACACGTTTCAAAATTAGAGAGAGAGTTTAAATTTTCAGCCGTTTATTCGATTTTTTCGAATACGTCATTTTCAGTGCTTTCCAGCGTTTTTGGAAGAATTTCGATAAATTGATTCCAGCTTGGCCAACAGGTGAATCATCCATGTTGAAAGTTTTGCAATTGTCAAAAATCAATTGAATATCGGCCGCGAATTCGTCCACATTTTCGTAGCTGCAAAATTGGATTTTGTTGGGGATTTTGGGGTTGTGGCAGATAATTTTCGTTTTGGAAAAGTTAAGACCTGCGATATTATCATTTTTTTCGAAAAATAAAGAGTGCGGCACGATTTTTGAGACGTAGTTTCGTTACGGTAATAAACTCACAAAGCATTCGAATTCCTTTTGCGCACTGTTGACAAATCCATAGGTTGCTGAATAACTTTGCGATATCCAGGCACAGCTCGCAAATTCACAGGCTCCAAAAATGGTCCGGCAGCCGCATGTGCCTCCAAATCATCCAATGCAATTGTGCAAATCTCGACGACAAGTTCCAACGGTAACACAATCGACGCATTTGATACATGCTTTCGTTTCGTTGCCGTCGCAACTTCTGTCGTCTCAGTCGCTTCTCCTTGTTGTTGTTGCTCTTCTTGTTGCTCTTTTCGCTCAACACTTTCGCTGCGGAAAATCGCCGGTTTAACAAATCGCATTGTCATCGCGTCAACACAATTCGGACATTTATATCCGTCGGCAGATTTTTCATGATTTGACGCATCATTTGCACATTCCAAATGTGTGTGAAGAGCACAACGAACACAATAAAATAGGGCATCTTTGTCCTTGTCTTTCGCTTCTTTTCCGCAGAACATGCAGATTTTTTTCGCCGGATTTCGTTCTTCTTTGCAACGCGGACAAAACCAATCGCCGTTGGGCACCGATTTCATGACGGGCTGCAAATTTTGAAGATTAATGGTGGTGAAACTAGAATAGACGAAAAATTCATGTGGAACACAAATTCAAAAATCGAAGTTGGGAATCTATTTTGGTACAGCTCCTTGACACATTTCCACAAAAATCTTCCACTCACCCTAAAACACTCCATATGACATCCAGTTTCACATCCATCACACACCAACATCTCATCACCATCCTGTGATTTACAAATCTGACAAATCGCTTCACGTGCCGATTTTTCCCACGCAATCCACGATTCCAAAGTTTGTACGGCGGCCATTAGTTGACTTGTCGTAACTCCGTCCGTCTGCGCATGTGCCAAAAATTCGCTCCAATCTTCAATTTTCCTGCAAGGTCTCCAGAATTTCTCGGCAACCATATCAGGAATTTGCTGAATTTTCTCGATGATTTTTTCGGGTTCTTTTTGAGAGCCGAGAAGAGCATTTTCCGGCTCATAAGTTAGCCAAACTTCATCGTCTTGTACAACTTGTGAAAGTGACATTGAGGCCGGTGTAACAATTGGTTTCGGATCGGAATTCGGGAGTTTTGAGACGTCAGACATTTGAATTCGACGGATTAGTTGATTTGCGGCTTTTTCGATGCGATTCCATGAATCCACGTGGATTTTGGAGTGATTTAGATGGGTCTCGACGGGAAGAAGGGTTACTGTAAGAAAACAATTATTAACTTGACGCTAATTTTGAAAATATAAAAATATGTGTTTTTCTATCGCGTGAACTTGATGTCGTGGCAGTTTATAAATTCCCACATTTTCATTTCCAAGAAAGATTGAGACTTTTTTAATTTAGAATGATTTTCGGGATGAGATAAGACTCCTTCCACTCCCGTTTCTCCAAACTCACATTTTCCAAATTTCAACTCATTCAAAAACCAAGTCTTAGTCAACAATCGATGCAAACATCTTTCTCGAACTCCTCTTCCATGCAACGAAGTTCTCAAAGCATCCAACGCTTTCATCGAATCAATTGTCCACCAACCATATTTAAATCGATTGTCAATTCTTCGATATCTTTTTCGAAGTCGATTATCTGCATTTGCTCTTGTCAAAATCGTTGAATCAATCAAATCTTCAACGCAAGCAACAACATCGCAATCAATAAAATCTTTTTGAGAAGATAGAAGAGGTGGCGGATCATTTTTTGCAATTTCTAATACTTCACACGCTGGATTATTTTTTCCTCCAGATTCGATAGATTCTACAAAAATTGTATCAATATTGGGTAGAATCCAATAATGTCTATAAAATCTGTCAAATCCAAAAGGTGCACATCGAATCTTCAAATTAGTTTCATTTATCCTTCGATTAATTGAATTTGCTTCATTCGTCAATTCCGAAATTGTTTGTTCCATTTCAAAAATGCTCATTTTCTCCTCATCTTTCGATAATACTTCACATTGTCCAAATGCTCCGCGATCTTCGGTCACTTTTGGTTGTGCTCCATGAATTGCTCCGCGAAGAGCACGAGCTTTTCCCTCTCGCATCCATTTTTCTCCTTTGAGTCTTGAGATTTCCTCCAAATTTCTGTCAATTTCATTCACAACATTTTTCGAGCTCACAAGTTCGTCACAAATAAAAGCCAAAATTTGAGATTTTTCGAGCGATTCCAGTTGAAGAAATGTTCGATTTTCGAGATTTTTTGCGAGTTTTGGACCATTTCCAGGCCTGTTATCCAAGAAAAGTCGCATAACTTCTGAGAAATTCTCGCGATCCATTCCTAGATCTCCTCCGCCTTCACCAAATCGAGTTCTGGAAAAAATATAGTTTTTCGAATTTGCGACTGAAAATTACAGATTTTCACATTTGTTTTGGCTAAAAAAAGATATGAATAAATGTTTCAGCTGAAAGTTTGGAAGTTTTTAGATTTTTCTTTATATTTTCTCAGGCAATGTTAAATATCAATCAATTAATGGCATATCAATTTTAAATAAAAATTTTCAAAATATCGAAAAAATTTAAAACGTATATTTTTCAGGGTTTTTTTTTCAGATTTAGACTTTGGTTTTTTGGGTCAATAATTTCCCTGTTTCACGAGTCCAATTTTTCAGGAAAAATAAATATCTCCATTTTTCGATAAAAATCCAAAATGTTCATTAAATTTTTTCTTTTCGAGTAGTTTTGGTGAAATTAATCTAACTTTCGGTGATTTTTCCACGACTTCAAAATTTTTCAATTTTTAATTGATCTAATTTATAAGGTGTTTTTGTGAAAAACAAGAAATATTTAATAAAATCTTCCCCAAATCCCTCACCCAAACTCACTTTTGTTTCTCAACTTCAATTCCCGGAAATTCCATAGCTAATCTCAACAACTTCCGAACCAATCCCAAAAATCGATCAGCAACTTTTTGCTCGCCTCCAATTCCCGCACACAATTCCTCAATTCCCATCGAAATTTCATCAGGAATTCCCAAAACAGCTCCAAAATTCTTGACAAATTCAAAAATCATCAGAGCATTTCCGAATGCTTCACCATCCAAACATTGATTTTCGATTCGACTTAAATCGGCGAGTTGTCGAAACTCGTGAACTAATAAATCCTCATTTGGTTCACGACTTTTGTGTTCTTCGGTGAATGATTGAGGCATATGATCTTCTACATCATCTGGATTTAGATCTTCTTCAACAAGTGGTTCAAGAGGAGGTTCATTGATTTTTTCTAGCTTCTTTTGAGGATTTTCCAAAGGTGCGGGTTTTGGTGTCAGTTCGGAGTCAGTAGCAGGCTGCAAAAATGTGGGGTTTTGAGTAAGGGCCAATAATTTTTTTTTTTTGCTAAAAATATTGTGGGGAATTTCAAAAAAAAGGGTTCTCTATACTTTGTCAGAAATTTATAATGAGTAAACTTCTTTTCAAAAAAAAATGAATGGACTAATTAATCAAACCTCACAACAATTTAAAATTTCCAAAAATTTAAAACGTATATTTTTCAGGCAGTTTTCAGAATTTGGGATTTCACGTCAAAATCCATAATATTCATAAAATTTAAGGGTTTTCCAAGTTTTTTTTTCAATCAAAATTGAACATTTTAAACGAATTTTAACATTTTTGGCTCAAAGTCGCTAATTTTTTTACCAATTTTCTAAGATTTGCAGTTCAAAATCCCTCAGTTTCCCCCGATAAACTCACCGTTTTTATGCTCAACAATTTCGCCAATTCTTTTGCCATTTCCTCTTCGCTCAACTTCAAAAAATCACCATCACCTTTCGGTACAATAAACTCTCCAATAATCATTCGCGCATTAAAATAAAAATTGTCACGACTGATAAAACTCGTCGCATTTTTCGCCAAATATCGCTGAACTTCTGCGTAAGTCGTCAATTTTTTACCACACGGCGCATAATAAATAACATCTCCTCTTACACCGCCAGCAGTTATCATTCGAACACAAGTTTGTCGTTTCCAGCCGAATTTCAGCGGAACTCGCGCTTGGAAATCCGCGATTTTTGCTTTCTTTTTTTCGGGATCTTCTTCTTTCTCGTCTAATAATTTTTGATGTTCTTGCTCGATTTTTGTTTGTTGTTGTTGAATCATTTGATTGGCTACTAATTGCCACATTGCATTATCAACTAAGTTTTTCAGAGGATTTTGATTTGAATTTGAATTTGCTGCTGTGGATTGTTGGGAATTGGAAGTTGCAGATGATGTTGTTGGTTGATTCGAGGATTTGGCTGAAAAATTCAAGACATTTTTTGAATGTAAATGTTTTGCAGTTCTAGTGTTGTTAACAGAAAATTCCAGATATTTAGGCTTCATTTTTCTGGCCTAAAAACCTTTGGCAAACCAGGAATTTAGCTGGAAATTCCAGATTTCTGACTGAAAATCTAATTTTCTACAAAAAATGTTCAGATTATCACTAAAAATTATTTTTTTGAACCAAGTTCCTACAACTCTCATACCTTGTTGATGTTGTTGCATTAATTTCTTCAACATCATTTCCACCTGCACTTTTTGCATATTTTCCGCTTCTTCTCGCAACTTTTTCGCCTTCAATTTCTTTGCCTCTTCTTCTTTTCGCTTTTTTTCAGCATCCGCTGCATTTTTGGCAACATTTGCAGCCATTTGTTGCATTAATTGTGCTTGCATCATTGTTTGCCACATTAATATTGTTTCAGCCGAAATTTGTTGTTGTGGGTTTGGATTTTCAGGTAAATTTACAGTTGAAGAAGATGCTGATGATGAAGTTGATGGTGAAACAGATCTGAAAAATTGGAATGTGCTGAAAATTTCAGCCAAAAACCTGAAACTCACAATTCCCCATTTTTCACTTGTTCCTTCTCTTTCTCTTTTTGAACTTGCATTTTTTGTTGTTGTTGCTGTTGCTGAGCGGCAGCAGTTAGCATAAGTAGAAATGCATTCGGATCATTCATTTTTTCATACCTTCAATAAAAAATATATGAGAAGAAGTTAGACTAACTAAAATAAAAATAAGTGCAATGAATAAATAATTGATTAGGGTTTTTTCGGACAAAAGAATGAAGAAAAATAGAGAGGGATTACCTTGAGAACAACAATTGGATTAGAGATTTTTGGAGGAAAAAAGAGCGGGGGGAATTGATTTGCTATGGACAAAAATTATACATTCTTGGCTGAAAATGGCTCGGAAAAGCGAAAATTCGTATTTTTCATGAAAAATCGTTCTGAATTTACAGCTGAAGATAGCCTATTCATGGCCGTAGTGGTCTAGAAAACCAAAAATTCACTGAAATTCGAAAATTTAGAGCTAAAAATGTTGCAACCAGTAAAACCTGATTTTCAACAAAAATCACGAATTTTCAGATAAAAACCCGAAACCACGTTTTTGTTATCCTAGATACCGTAAGTCCTTCGGTTAATTCAGTTTTCCATGAAAATCAAGCTCAAAAACTGAAAAAACGAGTTGCAAGTCAACCACACGAAACGAAACTAGAGAAAACGGCGTCATTATCGAATGAAAATAAAAAAAAGAGACACCCTCCCACCAAAAAACACATACATATAATAAAAAAGGACGCTGTGTTGCTGCTGGAAAAAAACGGAGTAAAAAAAGAAGAAGAAGAAAAGGGGAGAAAGGATAAGAAGAAGAAGAAATTCAAAAGTGCCCACTGTGTTTTTTTTTATAGAAAAATGCAATTCCGAGGAGACGCAGACACTCGCTGGTCTCGACACGCTGTGTGTCTGCCACACACTATTTCTCTCCCTTTTTCGACGAGAGATTTGTCTGCACACGTTAAAGTCTGCGTCTCCCTCGAATTGCAAAAAAAAATACAGTGTGCCGGTCGGTCGATCGGCCAACACAACATGCAGGTTCCTTTTTCTTCTCCTCGTCTTCTACTAATACTAATAAGTGAATACTTATTTAGTCAGATAGTTACACCAAACCGTTTTGGTGGGAAAACATACACACACAGCAGAAGAAGAAAATCAATCGATAAACGATTGCTGAGATTTGAATTAGACTTATGCTAACTCATTGAGATTTGTTTGTTTTTCGCAGGAAAATCAAAAGAGTTGTGTAGTTCTCTTGGATAATCGCTTGAAAAATGAAAATTTGGTATTTCTAAAATGGTTACTTCATTCAAAATTTATAAAATTTAAAATTTGAGCTGAAATGTTGAGTTTTCGTAGATAAATCTTCGAACTCTCAGGGAAATCTACGATTTTCGAGAAAATAACTCACAAAACACCATTTTTTTTTCGAAATTTCAAAATCTATGACGTGACAATTTATAATTTAAATTATAATATCAACTTTTTTACAGTTTCTCCAAAAAACATCAAAATTTTAATTTTTGAAGAGAATTAACGAAAAAAAGAATTTTATATCGAAACTCTTCAGATTTTCACAAAAAGCTTATTTTTATTGAACAAATTCTACAGAAACTACAAATTTCAAAATTTCAGAATTTTATGATTTGGCAATTAGGAAATACCAAATTTTCAATAAAACTCTGATTTTCACCGAATTCAACATCGAAATTCAGTTTCTAATTTCAAAATTGAATAGGATGACGTAGCAATTTAAAAATCTCACCAAATATGGCACCAAAATAGGATTGTCTTGTCCACTAATAATGAAATATAAGTATGAATTCATCATCGTTGTTTTTTCTGTCTTTTTTCTCTCCAATCTCTTCATTTTTCATACTATTTCTCAATCTGCAGATGGTGCAAATATATTCCTTTTCTTTTTTTCTTCTTCCATTCGCTGTTCTTTAGGTCATTTAGAGATGAGAGAGTATTGAGAATCGAGAGAGTCGACAGAGATAAATGGGAAAAAATGTTGTTCGGGGAGACCGGGGGGCACCCACTTTTTTGTCGTCGCATTTTCGACACAAACACTTTCGAGGCTTGGTTTGCATATCAAACGATGCGAAATTTTGAGAGGATTTCGATTTTTGAGGTTTTGAAGTGAAAGGATGCCCTAGAAAATCAAGAATTTGAAAAATATGAGAAAAACGGAATATTTAGGCGAAATTCCCCGAGAATCCGTGAAAATATGGATGAATACTCAAATAGAAACAAAATGTGTTTATGCAACATTATAAAATAGTTATTACATAACTGGGCTTATTATAAGTTACGAAAATAAGAAAATCCAAAAATAAAAGCAAAATAGAAAAAGTAAAAAAAAAAAGAAAATATTTAACAAAGAATACCCGGCAAGAAATATTAGGTAAGCTCTAAATGAAAGAGGTGGGTAGATATTACAAAAAAGGCCTAAAAATGACAAAAAAACCTGGGAAAAAAGGGGGGCCTAATAATAGAATGCATTATTATCGGGATAAATTCCAGGCTGATAAAATGGAGCATTTTGCGGGTGATGATATGGTGGTGATGTTGAGTACCACGTTCCGCCGCCAGTTGATAAATTGCTCTGAAAATGGATGAAAATTAGGCTGGGATAGGAAGTTTCTGTGAAAGGGGCCTAGGAATCCAAATAATAACCTAGAGTCTGATTAGTAGCAGCCTTTTGGACTTAATCTAAATTTTCACCTAAATTTTGACCTAGAAATCATTTGGAAAAACTCATTTTTTTCGTAAAATCAAAAAATTCATTAATATATATATATATTTACAGTTTTATACATGGGCTAAAATTACAAGAGAAGGTACACATTTTGAAATTCTCAAAAAATGGGAAACCCGAGATTACACTATTCAAACATTTAACATTTTCACCCCAAAAACTCTCACCATATCTGATGAATCTTGTGGTTGATATTCCGGACTACTCGCATCTGATACCATTCCGGTACTTCCGGCAACTGAAGTGTTGTTGCTTCCAGGATTGCTCAGATTATACGCGCCAGATGACGATGTATTGACCAAGGATGTCGAATACTGAATCGGTGATGGTGAACCATCAGAAGGTGGCGGTGTCAAATGGGGTGTCTGATGATTGAGATTCAAATGCTGTTGAAGTTGTTGATGATTTTGTGGTGTTGGTGGTCCACTTTTTCGCGACGCATTTCTTTTCACACTTTTGATGGTTGGTCTTGATGCCTTGGTGATTTTGTTGGTTTGAGCTTGGCGGATTTGAGTATCCGAAAATTCCTTGTCGACGATGCCTTGATCGATGATCTCAACGATTTCGTAATGATGGTGTTGTTCGGCCAATCTTCGAGCAGAATTATCCTGGAAAATTGTCAGATTTTTAGGGAAAAAAAAAAGAGAAGGCACGCCTCGGCCAAGGAAGGGTGGAGTTAGGTAGTTCTAACAAATCTGAAGCCCAAAAAAACTCACCATCAAATCAGTCGATTCCAAACTCGCTCCACATCCAATTAAATACCGAACCATGTGTAGATGTCCTTCTTTGGCTGCCAACATAATCGGTGTTTGTCCAGCCTCATCCTGCTTATCCTTATTCGCGTTCAATCCGATCAAATATTCGGCCATTCTCATGTTGTTGCACAGACATGCATAATGAAGAGCAGTGCGTCCTTTATAAACTTCCGAATCTTTTCGGGCGGCTCCATCGGCCTCAATCTTTGCTCCTTTTGATATCAACAGTTTGGCGATTTGAACATCTTGATCGAGACGAGCTATTTCCATCAACGCAGTCCGGCCATTTCTGTCGAGTTCATCGATTTCCTGAAAACAAACATTAAGTTGTTTTTTTTCAAAATTCTCATTGATTTGATTTGTCAAATTCCGAACAAAAACTCCCTTACCTGGCACATTCGTTTGTCCGTCAACAAGATCTGCACCATTCTCAAATCCAGATTCACAACCGCCTCGTGCAATGCGCTCCTTTCGCTTCTATTGAAGATCGTCGGATCGGCTCCAGCCTTCATCAATATAATCGCCAGACGGGTTCTTCGGGTTTTGACGGCCAAAATGAGTGGTGTGTTGTCATCAGAATCTCGCGCATTCACATTTTCTCCAGCCTCCAGCGCAAGTTCGACTTGATTGATGATTTCTGCTTCTTCTTGCGGTGTTCCAATCGATGAAGCGGCTAACAAGTGAAGTTTTGACATTGTGTTCGGCTGTTGGAAATGCTCGAAATATGCCAAATTGTTGTTGGCTCCTGGCACGAATTTGACGCGTTTCGCTTCCGAATAATAATTGGTCGATGAGAATTGCAGCAACGAGTTTTGCGATCCATTTTTCCTCGATTTCTCCTCTTGTTCTGTTGGTGGCATCCAAATTGGGGCACTGATAATCTTTCTCTTTCGGCTTCTTTTATCATCGCCATTCATAACAATCACTCCAGCAACAGTGCTTCCCAATAAGATAAATCCGATGATAACAAGAATGAGCGAGGAGTTGAACCAACTGTTGGAATTCTTTGAGCCTTGTCCTGGTTTCATAACAATTGCTTCGGAAACTGGGATTTTTCCTGATAACGAAGTTTGTGATCGTGCGATTTCAGCAGCCAAAAAATCAACAACGCTTTGTGAACTTGAGAATCGCATACAATACCCGTCAGACAAACATTTTTCAGTTGGCTTTTCGATTTCGAGATAAACAGCGACGAGTTTTTCAGAATCATCGTTATTTTGAGCAAATGTTGTTCTTCTGAATCTTCGCGCAGTTTCCTTCGCCAAAAGTTGTTGTTCTTCGAGTTTGTTCTGAAAAATATTTCAAATTTTGAAAACTGATTTCTTTTTCAGCTAAATTTTTCAAGAAAGATCAACTTTCAGACAGATTCCACCCTAAAAAAACTCACTGTATCCATCTGGACTCGCGCGCCCTCAAATCCTTCCGACTCTTTCCACTCAAAAACCAGCGGTCCTTCCGAATCTCGTTGAATTCGAATGATCGAACGAAGTGTTTGACCAAGTTCCAGCAAGAAAGCACCACCATTTTGTCGGAAATTTTCGGGTGTCATTTGGATGATCACTCGAATATCCTGCAGCAATCCTGTGGTGTTTTTGGTTGTCTCCTTTTCGCAATCACCTCCATCGAATCCGCATTCTTCCGAATTGCATTCCTCGTCGCATTTTCCATCTCCAAACTGTTTGGCACATTTCTCTTGTCTTGCGCATCTTGATACTTTTGCCATGCAATCCAAACCATCCCAAAGGCAATCTTCATTGTTGCAAAATTGATGACATTTTCCATCACCAAACAAATTCGCACAAATGTTTCCATACTTGCAATTGGCAAATGGTTTTCGTCGACCTGAACAATCGCCTCCATCGAAATCGCATGCGGCAAAATTGCAATCCAAATCACAATTTCCATCGGCAGCTCGGCTTGTGCAATTTCTGGCGTCGCATTTTTCGCGAATCAATCGATCCTTTGTGTAGAAGTCATCGGCGTTCAATTTTTCGCTGCAATTCGGTCCGAAATAATTATCCGGACACTCGCATTTTGCATCTTTGTTACAAATTCCACCATTTTGACATGTATTTTCGGCACAACGGAATGGTTTTCTCTCTTCACATCTTGGTCCAGTGAAATCGGCTGGGCATTTGCACGAATATCCATTTGGCTTTTTGTTGCATGTTGCACCATTGAAACAAGGATTTGTGGCACAGTAATCTAGAATTCAAAATCTTTTTTTTCAAATCTCAACTTAAAACAGGTTCAGAAAGTTGTGGCTTAAAATCCAGCCAATTCTCACCTTTCTTCTTTTCGCAAACATCTCCCTCATATCCATCCTTACAAATGCACCAATATCCAATTCCATCAGTTGTTCCAGTCACATTGACACATTTCACTGCGTTCAAACATGGATCTTGGGCACAATTCAATCCGGCTAATTTTTCTGCTTCTGCTCGTTCCATTTCGCAATGGGTTCCAATATAATTTGGATGACAATTACAATGTCCATATTCATTACATTTTCCACCATTGTAACAAACTTGTTCAATTTCACGACCGCAAGTTGGTTGCGAGAGATCCAAAACGCATTTTGCTCCTGGAATAAATTGATTTTCATTAAAGCGAAACAAAATTTTAATACCTCTGATAGTGAGTTGAAATCAAGAAAAGGGTGAAATGTCAAGATTTTTGATTTTTGAAACAAAAAATGACGAACCTCCATATCCGCCGGGACACTGTATTTCACAATGTTTTCCAACGAATCCTTCGGGGCACACACAAACGGGCTCTGTTCTCCAATCCGATGATGCCATCCAACATTCGCCACCGTTTTCGCATTCGAAATTCTCGATTTCACACAGATTCAGTGCTCTTTCGCATTTTGTTCCATTATATCCGCGGCGACATTCACATTTCCAACTTCCCGGTGTGTTGACACATTTTCCTTGATGATAACAAAGTGGATCATCTGGTTTGTCTCGTGTTTGACATTCATCGATATCAATTTCACAAAAATCTCCATAGAATCCATATTTGCAATCACATGTGAATCCACCAGTTCCAGGCAATGGTGTGCAAGTTCCATGAGAATTACACAAATCCATACCAGTTTTGCATGGGTTCAAGAACTGGCAAAATTGTCCCATCGTGTTGTTTCGACATTCACAAGTGAATCGATTGTTTCCATCGCGGCAGATGCCGTTTTCTCCACAAGCCGTGTTGTTCAAACAATCATCGAAATTAACCTCGCAAAATTCGCCAGAGAATCCATCTGCACAATGACATAAGAATCCTCCATACAAATTTTCACATTTTCCGGAGTTCTGACAAATTCCAGGCATTTCGCGGCATTCATCGATGTCATTTTCGCATATTTCGCCTCGAAAACCTTGCGGGCATTCACAACGTGTTGCATTGTTATCAAACAGGCATTCTCCGAAATTTGAACATTGTTCTTGTTGGTTGTTGACAATTACACAATCTGGTGGAAATTGGAAGTCTGGGTCAAGCATTTCTTCTGGGGTTCCAATGACGTTGCAATATGGTGGAAGAAAACCTTCTGGGCAATCGCATTCATAGGAGCCAAACTGAAAAAAGGATAAGAATTTAAAGGAACACCAAAAGCTAATAGTCACTCTAGCGTATCAGAACAAACACTTCAGAACTCGAAATAATCAATGTCAATTTACAAATGTTCGCAACAAGTAAAAAAAAATTGAAAAAATGGTGAAGTTTGCGCCAAAAGAAAAAAATGGGAAAAAAACCGTTTGAATTCCCTCCTCAGAGGACTCAGAGCGAAATGTGCAAACACCGTCACGGCAGAATGCACACAAAAAAATTATTTTTTATTTTTTTGTTTTTTCGGGAGTTTTCGCTTGTTTTTCACTTTTCAACGATGAATTCATATATTTTTCAGTAAATTGATATTGGCAATTCTTCTCCCAACTGTCTCGATCACGTTTTTGACGGAGGAATGCGGAATTTCGTCGATTTTCAGCCAAAAAGTGAGTATTTTGAGAAATTACAGATTATTCTCATAAATCACTGTTTTTCAGGCTCGACAAAGTGAAACATGAATAAAAACTGCTGGAAAATCCAAGAAACCCGTAAAAGTAGAAGAAAGACCCTGTGAATAGTCATGAATCGAGGCGAATTGGAGAGATTTGATGGATTTTCATGATTTCAAGCCGGTTTCGATCAAAAGTCGTCTTTTTTGCAAACCAAACTCACCCAAAACACTTCTTTCTCGACGATTCTGCTCATCAATGTTCTGATCGCAATAACTGTATACATTTACTTTTTTAAAATCTGTTTTCTGTCATTTTTCAATAAAATTTGATGAAAACCGGTTTATTTGTTTAAAAAAAACGGATTTATCAGAACTCCGACCATTCAAGAACAACTGTAGGTGCTCGAAATTCGTGGATGTCATATTTATTTTGAATATCAACAGGATGTGTTGAAGAAACGATCGAAATCCGCGATTGCAGGTTGAAAACGGAGATTCCAACCAAATTCACTTATTTCACCAGGAATGTTCTTCCAATCTGCAATCAATACGTTTTGTTGATAACTAGAATATCGAATTTACTACTTAAAATCGTCGTTTACTATGAGAAACAAAGAAAAAACGGAAAAACGCGAAAAATATTTTTCGAAAACAAAAAAAACAAAAAGAAAACAACGACATTCCGCTCTCCCGCTGTTTAGCGCAAAAAGCGTGGCAATTTGATTTTGAGTTTTTTCAATTTTCCACAGAAAAATATTTTTTCATCTAAAAGTTTAGAAGAATTTTTTCATCGAAAAGTGAATATAGGGAATGAAAGTAGGAGTATTAAAGTGTCTGTTTTGGTATGCGCGGCTTCACCTAGCGATGTTGACCTTTTAGTTTTTGGTGTTCCTTTAAAAAACTGCCGAGTCAAATATTTTCGGGGACTCTAAATAAAAGTTTCAACATTTTTTAAATGATTACTGTAGGCGATATTATTTATGTCTGAGCTCTAAATTTTAGGAGGATTACTGTAGATAACATACATTCACGTGAATACACAAAAAATAGCCAGAACTAGTGGGCTAATCCAAAAAACCAACATATTATCGGATTACTGTAGTTTGACGGGAAGAATAACAATTATTGAGAAAAATATTTTAGAGGTTAAAATATCGACAATATCCTAACACTGAAAAATATGCAGATAAAAGAAACCGAGCTAATTTTTATCAAACTTTACAATTTATACTCTCAACTTTTCGTTTTACTACAGTACTCTAGCCAATTTCCCCCCTACAGTACTCCCATAGGCTAAATTCGAAAAATGTTGCCAAAACTTTTTTTCTTCCTATTCAAATACACATTTCGGCAAATCTCTTTGTTCTTCGTCCTCTTCCCCTCGAAAAAAAGGCCAGCTGGCTGGTCGGAGTACTGTAGTTTGTGGGAAAATGTTAAGAAGAAGAAAATGATGATGATGATTTGATTTAATTTAGAGAGCGAGACAAAAAAAGATAATTGGGGTGAGAATGACTTGGCCGGGACCTTTTTGGCGCCAAACAGAAATAAAACACGACATACCGTGTTGAAACACTTTCCACCGTTACATCGACGGAGGTAAGGATCATTCAAACATTCGTCGATGTCAACTTCACAGCGCGATCCAGTCAAACCATCCGGACATATACATTTCGTTCCATTGCATTTTCCTCCGTTGAGACATGTTGCATCGTCGAAGTAGCACGCGCCTTGTTCCGTACATTCTGGACCTGAAAAAATGATAAGATGAAACTACTGTAATGTCTTTTTTTTTACTATTCTTGAGAGAACTTTCCCACCAGCCTCAATGTTAATCTATTTGATGTTCCTCTGATAACCATATAAAAAACAACATTGTTGCGCATGTTAGCAGAGAAAAAGAGGAGGTCATGGGAAACTACACATTATCTTGTTAATATTTACCGCGCAACGCATGCCTTTCTTTTTAACATTGCGCGGCACTCGTTATTTTTATGATCTTCTTCCCATTTGTTGCCAAAAAAGACAAAAAAGTATCAGGTTTTTGCTGGGTTTTGAAGTTTTCCGTAGGAAAAATAGTTAAATTTAAAGTTTGATTGTGATTTAGAAACATCGAAAGATTGATTAAAGTATAAGATTCGAATTTCAGTCAGAAAATTTCAAGTCTACAGTAATTTCAGACCGAAAATACAGTTCTGAGTAAAATTACCAGATTTTCGACCCCGCGTGTCAAATTTTTGTCATAATCCTAATACTATGCAAATCCACGACAATTTTCCCAACTTGTAATTTTATAATTCTCCTATTATTACATAATCCGACAAGATTTACACCAACACAACAAACACCCCAAAAACACACAGAATTGGTGATTTGACACCAATTCACACCACAACCGGAAATAATGATGATGAGATTGTTTGTTTTCACACCCAATTGAGTTTTTGGTGTGAGTGAGGTGTTTTTTGAAGGGTGGTTGTGGGAATTTGAAAATTTTTGATTTTGTAATGAGAAAAGTTGAGAAAAACTCAAACTTTCAGTAAATTTTGCAAAAACTCCAATTTTTCATCTAGAACCCATATTTAAAACAACTTTATCCAAATCCACTTGACCCCTATCAACAAAGTTTGTCATTTCACGCAATTTCGAGATAATTAGAGAGCGCTCTATTGTTTGTTTAGTGTAATACTACGGTAGAATTATTAGGTAACAATTGGCGTAGGATATTGTGCAATAACACCTTGTAAAATTTTCTAGATTTGGAGACAAATTTTTCGAAAATAAGAAAAACTGACCTCCCCATCCACTTTCGCACAGGAAAATCTCATTGCCGAATTTGTCGCAATCTGGAAAAAAATCAATAAATTTTGAGTGTTGGATTTTCAAAGTCAGAATTTCCAAAAATTCCCAAATTTTAGATCAAAGGTAACAGTTTTCCTATAATCCAACCTTAAATTTCCCCAATAATTACGCAATATTTTCCTCATTCTCCCCGTCTCTTGTCACTCAAACTTTCCCAAAAACAGACACCCCCCACAGTGCCCGTGTGAATCACAAAACAAAATATTACGTCTCTCTGTCCTTCCACCCTCATTTTCAATCTGTTGCTACTTTTTTGTTCTGTTTTTGATTGAAAAAGATGGAAGAATAGGAAAAAAGAAGAGACAAAAAAGGAACACCTGCCCAAAATTGAAAGAAAACGAGAAATGCGTGGGAAAATGCAAAAATGAAAATAATTTTGGTGATGGGAAAGTGAATGTTTTAGGCAAAAATCCACGTGGAAAAATCGACTCAAAAATCGGTTGTAAACCAAAAAGTGCCACATAGTTCGATAAAAATCTAGATTTCGAGTTAATTTTCAAGATTTTCTGGTCAAAGTTCCCCTAAATTCAAAAATCATAATTTCCCATTTCCTACTGTAGCATATGCTTGTTTGATTTCATTCGACAGCAGAAAAAACGATGAATGATGTGAGAATGTCAAATAATATATTGAAAACATAACATGTGTGCACTTCTTCCGAAAAACTTGGTTTTTTTTCGAAATTTTTTTACAACGAAATAAAACCAAGAAATGTCTTTCCCTTGCGAAAAAAAACTAGAAAAAAGTTACAGTACTCCAAATTCCCACGGCCTGTTAATAGTCATTATTTCTCTCTTTTCTTCACCTTTACGGCGCCTTCAACAGCAGAAAAAAAGGAAAAATAATAAATTTGAGGTGTCTCAATTAATCTTTTTCGTCTCTTTTTTCGTGTCGCCAATTTGTCAACACCACACAGGTCAAAAGTTTTGTCGGCGCCAAGACGACACACAAAAATTTGAAAAACTACAAGATTTCTGTGTCGGTGAAATGGTTGAAAGATAAAAGGGGAAATGATCGATGAATTGTTTGTTTTTACAAGGGAATTTTTTGATGATTAGTAAATGACAGATGGAAATTTTAAATTATTTAATTGAATCTTCGAAGAATATGAGACTAGATGTTCATATGTAAAAAGTAAATCTTCGTTAGTTTTTTTTTAGATTCTCGAGAAGGTTTCAGGGTAAATTTTCAGTACAAAACCAATTTCTGATCAAAATTTCCCTCCAAAAATTCCACACAAATGTCTCTTCCACATTCCCAAAAAAACATCTCTTCAATCATAAAAATGTCACAAAAAAGTGCGTTTCTAGTAAAACTAATCCCCCGGGGGCCTACAACAAAATGGTCATTTTTTGACCACATGGCACCACGAAAAAATGCGCCAAAAACATGTGGTTTTCTAATAAAATAAAATCGAATGTATAAATCAAAAAATACCTTTGCAGACACATTTCGCCAATCCGGTGACACCATCAAAAACGCATTTCTGATTCGCTCCACATTGAGCATCGCAAACTTTTTCGCAGCTCTCTCCGCCAAATCCATCATCGCACCTGCAAGAATCATCACATGTTTCATCATTTTTGTCACTAATCCACCCATGGGACCCGAAAATACCGAACGAACAATAGTTTTGGATTTTGGGAAAACTGGATTAGAACATTTGTTTTTTTTTTGTTTGGCGGCAATTTTTCTTTTTGATAAGAAAAAGTCAAAGAAATGATGATTCATAGAAAAAAGAAGCACCGCTAATTTTTACAAGGTTGTAAATATTTTTTGGAAAAAATTGATGTCATACCTTCTTTGGGTGATTTATTGTGTGAAAATGGAAGATTTTCGTGACTTTTTGGTCGGAGAAATTGGAATAGATTCGAAAGAAACTTTGAGAATTTGAAATTATTCTGAACTTTTTAATTATTGAACATATTTATAATCATCACTTTTTCAATAAAAATCCCAAAACTTTGGAACTTCCTCAAAAATTTCCAATTTCCCCCCAAACAAGTTTTTTTCTCTCATCCATTCCCAGCCGTTTTTTCTCAAAAAAATGGGCAATAAACTACCGATTTCGTCGTGTGTGGTCAGAATAGTGATGAGATTTAATGAGACCGCTTTTTTCCCTTGCATGAGAAAAGGGTTAATTAATCGGGAAACGAAGAGGCGAGAGCCTTGTGAAAAATGACTGGGAAACACATTTACTTCAAAAAATCTTCCTATTATTCGCTGGCACGCGCCATAAAACCAACATTGGTTTTATTTCATTAGTAATTAGTGATAAGATAAGCACTTTTTTATTATTCCTTTTATGGTCATAAATAATGCCGAACTTATTGTGCAACACCTGGAATTGTCAAAAAAAGAAGAAAAGATAAGACCAGCTGCGCGAAGGTTTTAGCCAACTTTTTGGTGAGAAAATTCATTCAAGGTTGTTAAAAAATCCAGGTGTTTTTGGGTGGAATGTTTTAGAACACTAAGTTCGGCTGAACATAATTTAGCTCTAGAAAAACCAATTTCCTATTAATAAGACTCGAAAACATTGCACATAGAAATATGAAGTATGACGCTACGAATCTTTACAGGGTTTCAAAGCTGCTCTGAACTTATCGTAGCTCTAAAGTTGAATTTCTTGGAAATCTCATTTTAATCAAAATATTGTCGATCGATAATTTTCAGTCCAAAATGGATAGTTTTCTCATTTCGATTATTTAAATTTACCTGCACCAATGCATCCTTTTCAATGTGATTGGACTGTATGGTCCCTTCATACATTTGCCATTTTCCCCACAAAACTGGCTGACTCCATCATAGCAATCGCCTTCCAAGAAGCTTTTTCGGCACAGAGACGGTCCAACCGCACAAATTATTATAAAAACAAGAACGTTTGTTGGCTTGGCCATATTTCGCTAGTTGATTAATTTATTAGTGGCTTCTTTTTACTCAAAATCGCACATGAAACTGCCTGCAAAATTATTGGATTTTGTAAGGAAAATTTGAAAATAAATCAATAAAAAACACAAGAAATCTTGAATATTAATGAATTACCCCTAAATGAGACAAAGGGTGATAACTGTCAGTCAAAAATGGAAACAATAAAAAACGATGGGGTGGGATTAGTTGGTGAACGAAAATGGGGTGGTGCATATTTTTTTAGGCTGGGTGGGAAAAATGACCGTGGTGGAGTCAGAAAAGAGATAAATTACTTTGAAGAAAAAACGAGGAGAACACACAAGTTCGGTCAAAAATATTCCATTTTCGATAAAAAAAAATGGAAAATTTCAGCGGAAAGTCGGTTCGGCGACCGGATTTTCACGAAAAATCAAATTTTGAAACGTATCCTCGTGAAAATTCTCAACTTTCTAGTCAATTTTCAGTTACAATTCAAGACAGATTCTAATTGAAATTTTTGAGAATAACTTCACAACTCGAAATTTCAATAGAAAATAATATTTCACAATTATAATTAATTTGAAAGAAAAATAGATAAATAAGCCTTGTACCTTCAAACTCCTTACGAAATTTTCACAACCCAAAAGCCTTAGAAAAAAGACAACTATATTTTTCTCGCAAAAAAACCAAAAAAAGAGGAAGGTAGCGAAAACGTTGTGAGTCATCTTCATTCATCGAAAAAACTGAGAAAAATACACTCACAGATTGAGAATCACAATTGTTTATGAAACCGAAGTTCCTTCAATAGCTGATTAAAACTTTCTTACATATTAAAAAATGTTAGCAACCAAAATTAAAAAGAAAAGAAGAGGACAAATGAATGAGGAAGACCAAACGCTCCGCCCATTTTGTTTCTGTTGAATGGGAGTTGTGGGCGGGCGGGAGAGCGATAAATCAAAACTAAAAATGATACGGTAGATTCGGCTCAAAAACTTTCTTATCAATTTTTATTCGAAAAAGAACATGATTCTTGTTGTAATAACAAGAAAACCAATGTTTTTTTTGATAAAATAAATATTGAAAAATCCAGTTTTCTCAATTTTTCAAACAGGAAATATAAATACAAGATTTCTATGAAATATAATTGGTTTTGCTCACAATCAGAAACTTGATTGTTATCTCATTAACCGGCTTGAATACCTAAAAACAAAGTAAAATATTTTGTTACCAAATTATTAAGGAGTGTTCCAAGGTATTCACTAAACAGGTACTTTTGATAACTCACCGCAGCTTGAGCTGGAGGATGTTTGACCAGCGAACTTTCTGAATAACCTTCGTTTTTGTGTTAATCATCACCAAAAAGTCGCCCTCATGATTCATATTATATACTTTTATAGTTTAGGTAAATAGTAGCACTTTTTACAACTTGTTATAAAACATCTTGGTTTTTGCTGATGAATAGGTCAAATTTCAATAGTTCATTTGTTTGCTAATAATTAGCAAAAAGTTTTGAAAAGGGCAGATGTTTTGAGAAAATGGATGATATTTTGTCATATATACACATAAAAAAAAGAAAAATGACATGCGACTGTTCAATGATTGTGTTCACAACTTCTTCTGATCAAACTTCCCACAGTGCGAGTTGCGGCGAGTTATCAAAACAATTTAGTTAATTAGGTCATAAATACCTATATTTACAGCCTTACCCACAAATCTGATAACATATGGTGCAATAATATTTTGCGCTTTGCTTTGTTTTTATGTATTCAAGCCGATTAATCGAGATAACAATCAATTTTTGAGCAATTATTTTGTGTTGCAGAAACTAAAGGCTATCAAAAAATAATAAACGAGTTTCGAAGAGGAACTGTTACAACACGAGAAAAAAAACATTTTTCACGAAGAAAGCAAAGATTTGTGTTTTTTTGCGCAAAAAAAGAAAGAAGTTTCGAGAGAAAAACGTGTAGGGATCACTGATTCAAATTTATGGAATTCCCAAGATTCCCTCACGGGAACCATATGAAACTCACAAACTAGGCTGACAAAAATGAGGCATTCGGGTATTTCTATACACTAATTTTATTTTTACACGTTTGCAGAAATGCCCGAATACACTTACACTTTTACACTATATACATTTTTACAATAATACACGAATACACTATTTTTGCTCCGGCTTGGAAAAAAGAAAATAAATGTCAAAATCTCAATGTCGAAACAAAAGAATGGTTTCCTAAAGTGAATAAAAGAATTTTAGAGTAAGAAAAGGGGTATTTTTGGGTAATAAATAGTTTCAGAAAATGAAAAAGGAATATAAAAGCCTGCTTAGAAAATGAATAATTAACTTTCCTTGGCTTTTGGCTTAAAATAACTCTGAGTTTTGGACTTGAACAGAACAAAAAACATAGAATTATCAACTTCTCTACGATGTTTATGCTTTGGCTTTGCTAATTCTCAGAAAATTACTATTTTTTCACTATTTTTCAGTCTTTTTTGGCACTTTCAACAACTCTTTTCCAGAAAAATAGTGTAAAAGTGTAAAGGTGTAAAAGTGTAGCCTTATAAATAAAAATAGTGTAAACGGGCATCATTTCTAAAAACGTGTAGTGTAAATGGGTAAGCCATTTTTGAGCATTTCTAAAAATAGTGTATTCGGGTAATTTTTTGCCAGCCTATCACAAACTTAACTTTCGACGCGAATATCACTAGTATATGAATTACCTTGTAACCTTCCAAGACTTCTCCCATTTCTCCTCGAAAAAAAAAACAAAATATGAGCCAAAACACGTTTTTTGTGAAACTAAAATTTGCCACGTCATTAGGTCACGTGGAAAAATCAATGCATTTTCGTTCATTTTCGATTTCAACTCGGTTTATGAAATGACAATCAATTTTTGAGGAAAACGAGAGGTCTGGTAATTTAGAGTATTAGGTGGTGGTGCTGATAGATTTACTCCCGAGAGAAAGGAGACAGTTGCAAAAGCAGCAAAATGTTTGGAAAATTTTTTTGAAAAATAGATAAATCATCAGACAACTCATTCATTTCTTTTTCAGCAATTATCTCTTTTCAAAAGAGATCAAAAGTTTTGATATCAGCGAAAAGCGAGAAAAATTGAGCAAAACATGCTTAAAGTTACGCTGAAACCACAAGTTTAACGTCAAGTAACGTCAAAAAACGACTGCGAAAAAGTTCTCGAAAAAAACTCAAAAAAAAGAAAAATATAAATTTGTGCGCGGGGCGCGCGCGGACTACTGTTGTTGTGTGTCTAACTCGTTTCGCTGCAGGACACAAAAACATTTGAATTTTTCATTTCCAATTTTTCTTTTTTTTTTCTTGAGGCTCACTTGGAATGTGAAATCTGGGTTTCAGAAAGAAATTAAGAGTATTTAAAGCTTTGGAATAGTGAGATCTAGATTTGAATTGCTCGAAAATTCACATAGAACATGAAACTCTCAATTCCATCACGAATTTTGATTCGTTATCTCATAAATAACGAAATTAGTGTTTCTTTTTTGGCTAAAAATGCTGGAGGAATCTGAATTTTCTATTTTCATCATGATTTTCGGAGCCCTTCTAAATTATCTAAATATCAAAAATGCTCCCAAATCCACGTGGAATTCAAATAACGTCAAGTTCACGCTTGAAATTTCAAATTTCTTGCTTTTTCCAACATTTCTGACACAGTATTTATTGCTCGCGAGTTTTCAAAAAATCTAGTGAATCTATTAGGGCGCATTTTCCATTTCTCTTCTCTCCCTTCACCCTCCTTATTTCACCAACTATTTCCTCGTCCACATACACAATCTATTTTATTTATTTATTTTTGCTTTTTCGACCATCACATACCTTTTTTCGTGATATTGACATTGTGTGAAATCGCGCGATTTTCAGCCAGCTAACAAGTCACGTGTTTAAGTGTAGTGTCCCTTTAAATGGGAAATACACTTTCGGGACGTGTGAATGCGGTCAGCCCATTGATTAGCGCCGAAGATGCGAGAAGTTATGGTGAATACTTTTGGGGAGTTGCTTTTTTTTGAAGGAAAAATATAGGGAAAATGTAAAAATATGATTTTAAAGGCACATTACTCATCTCATAATGAGAAAGTCTATAAAAATTGAATTTTTCACATTTCGACGCTGAAAATGGTAAAAACTAATGATTCGAAGGCATAATGCGCCCCATAAAAAAGTCAATATTTTGAACATTTTACCGAATTTAAAGGAACATAATGGGTTTCGCAACGACCCATCTAAAATAATTTTTAAAATTCCTATTTTTTCCAGTCAGCGACGAAGAATACAAACGACTTTGTCTCGCATTCAATCGCTTCAAAAATGGCTGTATAAATTACGACGAATTCTGTTATCATGTTTTGGGTGGCGCCCAAATCCCCAATGATAAACGTCGTCTTCTTTTCAATTTTTGTTCAAATGGCGCCGAAAATATTACTTTTGATAATTTGTTATCCGCCTTAGTTGGATTATGTCGAGTGGAAGAGGTTCAAACACGATTCATTGAGGAATATAAAGAATTTTCGAGTTGGGGATTGACACCGCCTATTTTGACGATTCCCTTGAATGATTCTTATATTTCATTTTATGAAGTTATGTCATATGTGACACATTGTGAGTTGTCTTTTTTGAAATAGTGAAATATATTTTCGAACGGTTTTTGATCATGAATATGAGTTATGATTTGGAAAAGTTTTACAAGCTACTAGTAAACTTTGCCACGTCATAACTCATATTGTATGAGTCATGTCAAAGGTTAATTAATTACTCCCAACCATCAAAATATATATTTCCAGTATCTGTCAGCGAAGTGATTGAACTCGAAAAAGTGTTTGCAACAATAAGCGATCGAGTTGTGTGCAAATTAACACAAGAAAAATGGAAAAGTGCACTTGGATCTTGTTTTCCCGACGATTTTTCTGATCGATTATTTGCGATTTTTGACGAAAATCAGGATGGATTGATTGATTTTCGGGAATTGGTTTGTACATTATCGGCACTTTGTAGAGGACCGTTGCCTGGAAGAATTAGTCGTGAGTTTCGAAAAATACTCGAAAATTGTCATTTTCAACTAAAAATTATAAATTCCGAAAATCAAATGAATTCTAGAATTGGTGATTTCTGTTCAAAAAAACCCGAGAATTTTAAATCAGAACCGAGAGTCATGTCAACAGAAAATCCAATTTTTATAATTTAAATTCCAAATTTGTTCGTCTGAAATATTCTGTGAATCTCCCTAAAATCACGAATTTTCCTCGAAGAAAGAAATTCGCGTTTTTTTTCCAGAACTTGCTCGAATTTGGGACATTGACGGCGATAAACTTTTATCCGAAGACGAATTATCAAAAATGTATTCGGATCTAAAAGTTCCCGAATGCCATCAGAATGTCACCAAATCCCAAAACAATCACGCAACTCTTATCGATTTCGGAATTTGGGCCCAAGAATCGCAACAAAATCACAATTTCTATATTGAGAAATATTATATAATGGCTCTCGAAATCGGTCATATTTGTTTGGGATTACGGCCTGAAAATCGAAAATTGGAACTGAAAATTGTGAGCGAATTTGAGAAGAGAGCTGCAGATTTGGCACTTTTTGAGTGGAATATTGTGGCTGCCACGTGGCATTCGGAATTTTTGACGAGTTTGGAAATGGAAAAATCACCGATGCCTATTGATAATTCAAATATTCGTGGAAATCGAGATGATAGTTGGACTAATAAGGTAGAGATTTTGTGAATTTTTGATGGGAAGATGATAGAAAATGATATTTTTAAGAAAAAAATTGTGAAAATTCACAAAATCTTTAAACGTGAATATTAATTTTTCACGTGACCTATCTGATAGCGTGGCAAATTTTTATTTAAAAAAAAACAAAATCCCCCTCCCCTTATTTTCTTTTTTATTTTGAGAACAAAAATGTGAGTTTTTGGGCTTTTTTTGATGATCAAAAAAGTATTGGAAAATCCCACATTTTCCAAAAAATCCCCAATTTTTTCTAGGTTGCCTGTATTTCTCTCGAATCCGCCCGTCTGCGCTCTGATCTTCAACCTTCCGATTTCATCAAAATCCCAGTTCCACTTTGGCGAGCACTTTTAAGATGGCATGGTTCAGCACTGACAGTTGACTCGCAATTCACTCGCAAATATTTATCAGCCGAATTTTTCGATGATAATAATTCAGGTCTCGAATTATACCCACTCGAAATTCTTCTAATGGGACACGATAAACGAAAAAGTATTGGTGGAGAAATTGGCGGAGAATCGATGCCGCCACGCAATTTAACATCTTGGGCTTGTGCACAAGTTTCGAGAAGTATGACTGTTGAAGAATTGTTGGTTTTATGTAAAAATGAGTTGAGATTGGGAGATGGAGAAGCGAGATTGTGGTTTTTATTGAAGGTGGGACCATTTTTCAAATTAAAACAAAAATTATTAAATCTTGACTAGAAAATGAAAACTTTTCAGAAAAAGATTCAATAAATCTGAAGTGGTGAGAACACTTGATTTCTTATATGAAAATCACTGAAAATTTCAAATTTTTGATCTAAAAACCGTTAAAATTGGTATTTTCTAGTTCAAAAAACATTTGGAACTTCAATTTTCCCACCTTACAAATCTCTTATTTTTCCAGGAACATGAAGATAGTAGTAGTGTTCTTCTCGATGATTCTTCTCAAAATCTTCATCAAATTCTCGCCTCAAATTCCTCCTCAAAAAAACCCAACAAAATGCGTCTCCTATTAGAAGTCCGTGAAAAAGGAACTGGAATTTGGCCGGAAGAATTGAGAGCAAGTTTAAGCGGAAAGCAAATCAAATTATCGTCGGAAAATAATAACACAAATATGAGTGGAAGACCGGGAGCTGTTGGTTTGGTGAATTATGGCAATTTTTGTTATCGAAATGCCGCTATTCAGGTGGGAAAATTATGAAGAATTAGCGGTTTTGAGCCAAAATTGATGGAAAAAGGCATTTTTTGAGCTAATTTCAAAAAAAAATTAATTTTGCCTGAATTTTCAGTCAAAATTTTCAACATAAATTTCTATTTGAAAATTCCCGTTCCCTTCTAAAAAAAATGCCCGATTGTTTTCAGTGTTTGGCTCGAGTTTCACCCTTGACTCAATATTTCTTAGAAGATCGAAATTTGGAGGAAATCTCGAAAAATCGACGAATTTCAGCGAATGAAACCACTTTGGAATATGCAAAATTGTTGAGAGAAATGTGGGCGGCGAAAAAGAAAAATATTGCACCAAATGATTTTAATGTAAGTTGTTTTTAGTTCAAAGAAACCTCAAAATATTCGATTTCTAGGATGCAATTCGTATGAATAGTGATTTATTTGAATGCAATGAACAACATGATTGTCAAGAATTTGTCGCATTTTTATTGGATCAATTACACACTTCAATATCTGAAACAACACCGAAAAATGAGAAAAATTCAGAGAAATCGATAGAAATTAAGGAAAATGATGAGGAAAAAGCGAAAAGAGTGGGTTTTTGAGGGATTTAAGAAGTGAAATTCGATATTTTCTGAAAATGGACTGAAAATTGTAGAAAATCGTGATTTTCAGACATTTTCAAGCCGATAATTCCTTGAAATTTAAATTTTGATCTAAAAATATCTTTATTTTTACAGTCTTGGTCCGAATACGAACAACAGAATAAATCACTAGTTACAAATTTATTTGCTGGTCAACTTCGAAGTCGATTAATTTGCAGAAGTTGCAATGAATCTAGCAGTGTTTTTGAAGCTTTTACCTCGATTTCGTTGCCAATTGGATTTGAGGATGTCGATTTGTATCAAGTTATTGGTGAATTTTTTTAATTTTTGGAGAAAAGTCGAATTTCTGACAATTTTTTTTGCAGTTGTTCATCGAGATGGTCGAATTCCACGTCGATATGGTTTTCGACTTTCGCGTGATTCGAAAATCAAACATTTGCGAGATGTTGTCGCTGAAAGCACTCAAATTGATCGACATCGAATAACTATTCAATGTATGTCGAGTAAAGGAACACTTATGGTAAGTTTTAGTCGATTTTTATTGAAATTTTGATATTAGAAGGAAGTTTTTGAGCTAATAATGGATATTGGTAATATGGAAAATTTGCTGTTTCAAAATTTTTTGTTAAATATTTTCATGTAGTGTATTTAATTTTTCAGAGCAAATCAGATGATGAAAAAAATCAAGTTTGCGACGATGTTCCACTCACAGCTTTTCCATCTGGCGCACGACTTTATGCTCTCGAATTACCCCCAAATTCGTCTGAAAATGATGGTGCCACGTGGCGTGTTGGAATGCATCGAAAATTACAATATAATCACGAACCGTATATTCTTGGATCAACTGCTGGTTTTATTGTTTCGAGATTTGGATTACCGCTGATTATTGAAGTAAGAAATGGAATGAACGGAAAAGAATTGTATGAAGATGTTATGTATCAAATGCATCGATTTATGGAACATTCAGTTAATTCGTTTTCGAGCAGAGCACATGATCCGTGGGTTGTTTTTGAGATAAGAGTTGAGACAAATTTAGTGATTTTAAGCTTAGAAACTCAAGAGCCTTTAGAGTTGTAAAAACTACTTCAAATATATAATATTTTAGCGTCCAAAGTTTGAAATTTGATTTTAAAAAATTTTCTATGAAATTCCAAGAAAGTGAGAAAAATGATATTTTCCGTAATTGTATTTTTTTGCAGATGTGAAGATGATGCATCCGGTTACCCATTCACTCTTTGTTTAGTCGATGATAATTATGAATGGTGTGGACAATGTCCAGCTCTTCGATTCTGTCGTGGTTGCCCAATTCGACCTGATTCCTCTTCAAATATTCCATTCATTCCTCCAAATTGTCCAATTTCAATTGATTGGCTACCAATTGCATTATATTTGAGATATAATCATTCGCAAGAACAAGCTTGTGAAGATGATTTTTCGGTTGCCGAAACTTGGTCACGACATTTTGCACCCTCTTCATTAGAACATTGTTTGGAGAAATTCTCGTGTCCTGAAACACTTGATGCTGCAATTCAATGTGATAAATGTGAAAGGAAAACGATGAGGGATAAAGTTATGACAATTTGGAAATTGCCCAAATATTTGGTGAGTATTCTGGAGTTTTGGAAGAAAATTTGAAGATTTTCAACTTGATAAATGGGAAAATTATGAAAAATACGATTCTCAAAATTCTTGAATAACTCATTTTTTAAGTCGGCGTTTTTACCCATATTCCACTTAAAATCTCGATAAATGTTGCAGATAATTCACCTGAAACGCTTCGAATTTTTGCGCGAACAAGGTCGAATGGGAAAATGCAAACGAACTGTGAATTTTCCATTGAAACACTTTGATCCAACTCCATTTGTTGATCAACCCGATGGACATACTTATGAATGTATTGCGTTGGCTGTGAGTTTTTTAAAGTCACATGGAATTTTTGGCGCAAAAACTTGACATTTTGAGAAATTTCCAAGAGTCTTTGAAATTGCCACGTTTATTGTTCTACTACAAAATATTAAATTTTCAAGAAATAATGAAAATATTGATTTTTTTGCACCGAAGTTTTTTAGCTCAACATTTTCCTAATTTTTGATTCTCAAAAAGAGTCCAGCAAGTTCATTTTTTATTCGAAAATTGGAATTGGTTGCCAAAATTTTAGAAAAGAATCTATTATCCCGTTTCCTTACAGAATCACTACGGACAATTATCATCTGGTCATTTTATTGCTTACGCAAAATCCAACGAGGATAAATGGCTTCTTTTAAATGATTGCTCAGTTCGTGAAGTAACAGAAGAAGAAGTTGATAAACAAGGCGCTTATTTATTATTTTATGAAAGAAAAGATGTTAATTAATGTATTTATTCATCATCCCTACTAATTACTATCTAATTGCTCAAAATTGGCCATTTTCATATATTTCTATAATGTCATGATCATTTTTTGGTTGTTTTTTTTTCTTCAAATCATATCATTTGCAGTGCATTTTTTTTTTTGAATATTTACTTTTTTGTGAATTTTGTATATAAATTTGGGTTTTTGTGAAAAAGTCAAAAATCGACGGAATCACCAAACGCGATTTCCACCAAAATTCCCCTTTTTCAAAAATGTCGTTAGGTTTGGTGTTTTGTGTGCAGTTGCGCGTCGGCGTGTTCACACACTAAAAATATATTTTCTTTTTTTCGCAAAAAATTATCTTGTTTTCCCCCATTTTTCGGTGAAAAATGTCGGATTCTTCATCATCTGAAGGCGAAGATAATGTGAAGCAGCCAGATTTTGTTGAAAGACAGAAGAAGCTTTCGAAAAGTGAGTTTTTTATTCTGAAAATTGAGAAAATGGTTTTTCCTAAACATGAAATGAGTTGTAGAGTTGCAACAACATCAAAAGAAATCTGGCGAAGAATCGGAAGATGATCAAATCGATGAAGTTGTTGAGGAAAAGAGTTTCGCTGAATTGGGTGTTTCGCCAGCGATTTGCGATGCTTGTCAGCGGTTGGGATGGGTGAAACCGTCGAAAATTCAGCAGGCAGCGTTGCCGCATGCGTTAGCTGGGAAAGATGTGATTGGTTTAGCGGAGACAGGGTAAATATTTTGAACATTGCTAAAAGCCGTTGAAAATCCTATTTCAGATCTGGAAAAACTGGCGCATTCGCAATTCCGGTTCTTCAATCACTTCTCGATCATCCACAAGCGTTTTTCTGTTTGGTTTTGACGCCGACAAGAGAATTGGCTTTTCAAATTGGACAGCAATTTGAGGCTCTTGGAAGTGGAATTGGATTACTTGTTGGTAAGACGGAATGGGCACTACTACTGACTGAATCTAGACTCCATTTAGCTATACCCTTCCTAATTTCAATATTTTTCCAGCTGTAATCGTCGGTGGTGTTGATATGGCAGCTCAAGCGATGGCTCTCGCCAGAAGACCTCATATTATAGTCGGTAAGATCTAAAAAAAATTAGCATTCCCTCCTAACTCCATGTTTTTCCAGCCACTCCCGGTCGTCTTGTCGATCATCTCGAAAATACCAAAGGCTTCAACCTGAAAGCTCTCAAATTCCTAATTATGGACGAAGCTGATCGAATTTTGAACATGGATTTCGAAACAGAACTCGACAAAATCTTGAAAGTTATCCCAAAAGAACGAAGAACCTATTTGTTCTCAGCAACAATGACGAAAAAAGTGTCGAAATTGGAACGAGCATCGCTTCGAGACCCGGCAAGAGTATCCATTTCGACAAGATATAAAACTGTTGATAATTTGAAACAGCATTATATTTTTGTGCCAAATAAATATAAGGTGAGCGTTTTTGGCTGATTTTAAATGGAATTCCAAATTTTGAAAACACTTTTTTTTCCAGGAAACCTATCTCGTATATTTGCTCAATGAACACGCTGGAAATACAATTATTGTATTCTGTGCCACATGTGCCACGTCGATGCAAATTGCTGTGATGTTGAGAAAATTGGGAATGCAAGCTGTTCCGTTGCATGGACAAATGAGTCAGGTATCCAAGATTTAGGGATGGAAAATGGCGATTTTCATGTGGTTTTTTTTCTGGAAATTCGGTCGAAAATTGGAAATTTTTCAAGCTTCAAACTTTTATTTTAACAAAAACTACGAAACACTAATCTCGTAAAATCCCTCAAAATCCTCCCATGTTTTTTTCTAGGAAAAACGTCTCGGCTCCTTGAATAAATTCAAATCAAAAGCTCGTGAAATCCTTGTTTGCACAGATGTCGCTTCACGTGGTCTCGATATTCCACATGTTGATATGGTTATCAATTATGATATGCCATCACAATCTAAAGATTATGTGCATCGAGTTGGGCGAACTGCAAGAGCTGGAAGAGCTGGATTAGCTGTGACTGTTGTAACACAATATGATGTTGAGGCATATCAGAAAATTGAGGCAAATTTGGGTGAGGATTTCAGGGGGAATTTGAAGAGGATGCTTTTGCTATAAAATTAGGAAAAATACAATTCTAACCAAAATTTCTCATATTTTTTTTCTCTTTTTTTCTGATCTTGAGAATTTCAATTTTTGTTTGTTTTGAAAACCTCAAAAATTTACGTTTCAAAATCTATTTAGCGTGAAAATGGTCATTTTTTCCAATTATTTTTTTTGTGAAAAAGGTCGATTCAGCAAATGTCAAAAAACTATATTTTGACAATTTATATTTTCGCTGCGATATTTTTCATTTTTGTGTGGAATTCTAATTTCTCCCAATTTCCAGGCAAAAAACTGACAGAATATCCATGTGTCGAATCAGATGTAATGATATTAGTTGAACGAACTCAAGAAGCAATGGAAAATGCAAAAATTGATATGCGAGAAATGGATGATAAAAAGAAAAGTGGAGGAGGAAAAAAACGAGGAAGAAATGATGATGGAAATGATATGGAAGAGAATTCGATGCGATTCAAAACACAAATTCGAAATCAAGGAGGAAATGGAGGTGGAGGAAATATGAAGAAAAAGAAGTTCAAGAAATGAAAAGAAGATGGTTTTTATTGTTTTGTTGATGTTTTTTGTTATTGTTGAAGTTTTGAAGTTTTCGTGGATTTTTAAAAATTGTTTTGTTACTTTTAAAGAAAATGAGCGTTGCACTGAAAACTTGCTCACAGGGACATTTGTTTTTTAATCAAACAAGTTCATTAAACAGATTTAACAGTACAATTACAAATTATTATTAATTTGTGAATTATTCTCATTTCGAATTTCAATTTCCAATTGTAATTCATTATTTTCTTTGATCAGTTTTTCAATAATTGAATTCATATTTCGATCAGCGAATTTCGCATTTTCCAATCGTTTCTTCATTTTTTCAATCTCATCATTTTCCTTCCATAAACTTTGTCTAATTTCAGTTGATAATCTCATTCTTTCATTATTTTCATCTTCTAAATGTTGTACAATTTCCATTTCAATTTGTTCAATCTTTATTTCTCGATTTTTAACATCAATTCTATGATTTTCCAATGTTTCTTCATATTTCAATTTATTTTGTTCGATTTGCAAATTGATCACTTTCAAATCATCCTCTTTTTCTTTCATCGCATTTTTATTCAATTTTTGAATATTCTTCAATTCTTCCAATTTTCTTTCGAAATTCATCGTTTTTCTCTCAATTTCAATGCATTTCTTACAATTTTCGATAACTTTTGTTTCAGTCACATAAATGGGCTCTTCCTTTTTTTCCTCATTTTTTCTATCTTCTTCAGATTTAGTCGATTTCTTTCTACAATATTCAATTCCATTAAATCTTCCATAATCGAGATCATCTTTGAATACTTCTTGCCAAAATGGTTTGATCACTTCGAAATTCTGAAAATCAGTGTTTTTTTTTGGAATTTCATAATATTAATCAAACCTTTCTAAAGTCTTCTCCAGGATAAGAAGGAAGAGATTCTTCGAAAAATTTGGAAAATCCAAAAATAAACTCGTCGGTTTTCACGAAAACATCATCTTTCATTTGAGATAACACTTGCCTGCAAAAATAAATTATATTATCGAAATTGTCATAGACTGCTATATCCAATAAACATTAGAGTGTAAGATTTTAACTCACCCTAATAAAAAATAAGAATATTTCTAACTATAATAGGATTTTTAAAAGTTTCAAAAAACTTACGGTAAAAGTTTTCGGAACAACGCAACTGATCGAGCTTTTTGTTCAGCACATCGATTTGCTCTAGGATTCGTTAATGGCATTCGTTTTCCATATTCATCAGATTCCTCAAATGCGTAATGATTACAGCGAAAATCTATAAATAATATGTTTTTTCAAACAAAAACTATAATATACCCTTTCCTTACCGATATGCGATTCATAAAATTTAGAGATAATTGATTGACCTTCTCTAAATGTTTCCAACGTATCAAAACATTTCCAAATTCCTGTCCAATCATAGAATTCTGTTGAAAATGGCGAATTCATCCAATACATAAAATCATTATTATTTTGAATGTCAACATTTGCCAAATTGATACTGTACCCTTTCATGATATTCATTTTCAATTCTTTCTCATTTTCTCCAAAAAACTGGTCGATATTTAACATCATCAAAGTATATCTCAAAAATACTGTATTATTATTGATTGGTGTCAAATGTTTTCTCATTTGATTTTTCGACATTCCAAATTCTTTGATAAACTTTTCAACATCTTTGTTTTTATATTTTACTTCATGATGATGAACGTGGAAGAAAGCAAATGCTGTTTTCTGAGCCAATGGTGAATATTTGAATTTTTCAATCATTGTTAAAATTTCGCTCTCTGAACTATATCCCTTTTTGATATTTTTCATTTCTTCAATAATTTTCTTCTTCCAGATTTCTTTTTCATTTTGTTCTTTTTTATTATTCCAATTGATATCACAAACTGCAAATTGAAAGAAGAGAAATTGTGCTTGAAATTGATGATACGAAGGAATTCCATTTGGTGACATAACTAACATTGCACTATAATTCATTTTTAATGGCAATTCATATAAACTTTTAGTGAAATCAATATCTGGAACTAAAGCAAAGTTGGACTTTTGGAGATTCATTGTATCGAGAATAGTTTCAAAACATTTGACAGTGACTGTTGTTCCTTGTGGCCAAGATTTTTTCCATTTTTCGATTTTATTCTTCTTATTCTCATCAAATTGATTATCTCTTTTCAAAACATATTCAATTGTATCCAAAACATCTTCACTGAACAAATGCCATTCTTTTCGATCTTCAATTTTCATTTCACAAAATGTTCTCAAATAAATCTTCTTATTTTCTTCTTTGATTGCTTCACAATCATTTTTCTCATCAAAATAATGAGGCATTTCGGTGATTTTGTGTGAACATTTCACTGTATCGAGAGCTAAATCACACAAAAATTTGAGATTTTCGATATCTTTTCGAGAAGAGAAATATTTCAACATTGGAGTATGGAAAGCATCGCGATATGTTGGAAATTTTTCAAGCAGATAACTTCGAGCTTCTTCAATATTCCAAACTTCCGTTCCCGGTTTCAGAACACCTTTCTTCTCAATCAATTTCTCTGAAAAAATATTCAAGGTAAGTAAAGTATAAGCGATTTTGAAAACTCACTCTCAACAACTTTACTGAATGTATAGATATATGCTTTTTCGTCGTCAGGATGCATAATAAAAACTCTTCCTCGTTTCATTTGTTCGATAATTTCTTCATTAAAAATAAAAATGAATATCTGCATTACTGGACCTTCATCTTCTCGAAAATTTTGCATAATGATTTGATCAAGAACTTTTCGAAGAACTGTGAAATTATCACTGATAATAGTTCCATCTTTCAATTTCATCGAATATCCAACTTCGCCTGGCGTTGCCTTCAACCAAAAAAACGTTTGTTCACATAAGCGATCAATTTCAACAATATCAACCATATCTTTCATGAATATTGCTGAAAATAGGTAAATGAATAGAAATTCATCCGTTTAAACGAATTTTGGTTTTTTTTTGAAAAAAAAAAAAGTAAAAAAGTTGTGTGCCAACACTGTGACGTAATATTGCACACATTTTTTATTTTTGAATTTCTCAGCATCTCCTGGCGTACAAAATGCGCACGATAACGTACGCTTTCCCTACACTATTTCTACGCTTTTTGTACACTTGCCACTTTTCGCGAGTGTAGCTACATTGTAGGACCGCGTTGCAAGCTTGTTGCGTTGCGGCTATTATTTTATTTTTGTTTTCTATTTTCTTTTTGGCCTAAAATTCTTTTTAAACGTATAAATCAGGTATCATGATAGTAAAATTATATCTGCGTGGATTCTAGAAGTTGAAAATAATTATTGAAGCTATCAAACAACTTATTCGTCAAAAAAATATCGTTTTTTCAAGAAAAACCTTGAAATAATTTCGAAAATTCATCCAAACTGCGAATCAGAGTTGACCGATAACATTCCTTCTATTTATTCTCGTTATTATTCTTTTTACACCTGAATTTGATTGCGATTTGTTGAATTTCAGATCATCAAACCAACAACTCCTAGAATTTGCATCATGACGGCAGAAAAAAGGAGGAGAATCTTCACTGGAGTTCATCGAGGAGATGATTTTAAAGGTGAGGAAGACTACTAGGAAGACTAAGAATTCGGAATCTTACTGGCTAATCGCCTGTCAAAACGTAGGTGATCTGAAGTTGGCAGATCATTTCGTGGAGACGCCTCTTATAATTATGATAAGTAGTAATGTAATGGGACTTGGGATGTTTATGAATATCTAGAAAGTTGAAAATCATCCTATTTTTCAGGTTGACACTTGATGCTCCGCCTACACCTACGCCCAATGCTAACATCGGGACAATTTCGACCGAAGATTCGCAGTAAAGTCACCTGAATATCAACGGCAATATGCACATGCTCCACAACCCGACTTCTACCCCTCAACCCCGACTTCAACCACTCAACCCTCAACAACCAACTCATTCTCCAAAAATCTTCGGAAAAAATTATATTTCTAACTTTTTTTATTATGTTTTGAAGATTTTTGTTATTATATTTATTTAATGTGCTAAAAGTCTATTGATCCATAAATGATTTGTTATATTTTCTAGTTTTAATCTCTCCTAAATCGCAGCGCAAAAAGAAAAAAATCGATTCGAAATTCGGTGTACGGTTTTCGTTCAAAAAAAGGAAAAGTGTAGGATCTTTGTAGAGTTTTTTGTAGGATGTGCGTACAATGTTTGTAGCGTGCGTCATACAACAATGTAGCTATACTTTTTGTTCGCAAAAGTGTACGCCAGGAGATGCTGAGTTTTTTCAAAAGTTTTTTTTCCGTTCGATAAAATCGTAAATTGAGTGAAAATGTGGTAAACCAGTGTATTTATTTGGATAATTTCCACGTCATTCAGATCACGTTCCTTTTTTTGAGGTATTTAAACGAATACAGCTCAAAACTTTTCGGCTAAAATTCATGATAACCTATTCCAGCCAATTTATGATTCATGAAAGTTATCATTTTGGAAAATTTAGGAATCAAAATGAAAACCTGGAATGAATAAGAAAATGATTTATTTTAGAAATTCCCCTCATTTTAACTTATTTTAGCGTTGCTCTTCTTCCACATGCATATCCTCTCACATATTGTAAATTTACGGTGCTAGATTTTATTGATCCTTGAATATCATCAAGACTTCCTGGAGTTGCACCAGCTGATCCAACAAGCATATCGATTATATGCATATAAACATGTGCTTGCGCATCTCTGAAAAATGTTTTGTTTTGACTCTGGAAACTGGAATAAAACATTCCGATACTATAGAAACTGAAACTTTCAATATCAAAACTTCTGGGAGATGAAGAAAATTATTAACATTGGATAACTCACCTTAAATAATCAGGTTGAGCTGGTCTGAATCGGAACATCTTCTTACCAGTCGTAAATCCATCAGTCCATTCAAAAGCATTCGGAGCCCACGGAACACATCCGGCCGCATTTTTCTTCGCCGCTCCTCGACACGCAGCTCTTCTTTGCGCCCCAATCCAAACCGATCCTTGTCTAATATTCTGATTTAGCGCTCGTAAAATCTTGATACCTGCTGAATGAATCAAATTTCTTTCTTGCTCATTTTCGACACCACTCAAAACTGCTCCATATCGTTTGCACTGATTTCTTGCATCTGTGACGTTCAAAGTTCCAGCGAATACGTGAATACACCAATGTCCACGAGTTCGGCTAACTTTGTTCCAACCAGCTGGACAAATCCAAACTTTTGGTCGTGGAGGATGTCTCTTTGGTGGTTTTGTTCTCGGTTTTGGTTTGTGTGTATGAGGTTTCGGTTTGTGTGTGTGAGGTTTCGGTTTATGTGTGTGAGGTTTTCGAGTAGTTTTAGTACTTTTTGGTTTGTGAGTATTTTGATGGTTGTGATTGTGGTTGTGTATATGATTGTGATGATGTTTTTCAGTGTCAGATTGTAAATCATCCGATTCATCTGAATCTGAACTTTCATCGGAATTGGAATTGGAATATGAAGAGTCTCCACTATCATCATAAGAATCTGAATATGGAATTGTATCCAAGTCACTTGATTATTCACCTACCGCAGTCATATTTTCTCGAAACAACTTCAGAAATACTTAACAATAGTATTATAGGTAACAAAAGAAGCCATGGTTTCATGTTTCAAAAATCTTGAATAAAAAATATTTCCGGCGGAAAACTTTATAGTGGAACAGAACCATCAAATTGTTAATTGCCGTTATTAAAAGTTTTGTGTGATTACGGTGTTTTTGCGTGGTATTCTGAGCATTTTTCGCATCAAACATCACACAATTTTCGAAAATATTGTGTTATATTAGATACTTTATTTTTATAGATCAAACATCATAATTTTTTAAAATCAATCATTTGATGTTGGCATCTCTACAACACGAACAAAATAAATAGCACCGCCATCGTTACTGTAGTTTCCAGAATCAGCTACTGTGACATTTTGAAGAACCAAATTATCGCCAATTTTTGTGGTTACTGGAGCCTTTGCCGCTTTTTGCTTGTTCTGAAAACGAACATCTTGTTCCAAAGTCTCTCCTTCTTCACGTTTGAAAAATTTTTTTAAATCAAATTTGTAGGCTAACCAACCTCCAAACTCTCCCAATAACCACAAATCTTCTCATTCTTCCCATCACAAACTCGATAAACTTGATGAACTTTGAGTGCTTCAATATCTCGTTTGAATTCTTTTGCATCCCCAATACGAAAATAGGCATTTCCACCAGCTATGAACGTCAATTCCGGTATATCAATTGCAATGTCGGCCAGAATAGAAACAACTGACAGATAGAAAACCGTGAAAAATAGAATACACTTGGTCATTTTGCTATCAAAATGAATTATTTGAATCAAAACAAGCACTTTTTATACTACTACTGTTTTTGAGATGTTTTATATCGTTCAAATGTTGAACACGGAAGTTTTGACTATTCCTTATCTTTTTCGGCTACGTGGGGTTTTTGAACAAAACATTTTGAAAGGGGTAAAGATCTGACATTGACACTATTCTTAAACTATTTTCGTCGGAAAAAATGTACCGGAAAACATCGTAATCGATTAAAGTACACAAACTAATAATATTCTAAGTTTCTAGAATTTTTCTGAGTTTTTCAGAAGATGAGCTGCGAGTTTCCAAATGTTTCTAAAAATTCCTGGGAAGCCTTGAAAATTACTTTTTCGTTTTTTTTTCCAGATTCATTCTTTTTCCATTTATTTTACTCAAAAAAGGTTTTTTTCAATTTTCATCCAAACATTTTGAAAATAAGACATCCATCAATTTTCTTGACAATCAAGCTTTTTCTGACAAGATAGGCGGGCTCGACAAAATTAAAATGCAAATTTTGTATCAATTTTCTTCAACCCACACCTTTTCTGGCTTGTCAGATTTCATTTTTATTTTCTATTTTTATTGAAATAAAAACATCTTGAAATGAATCGGCTATTGTTTTTGATAATCCAACTTGTATTTTCTGTCATTTCTTTTTCTTGGTTTTCACATTCGGAATATCAAAGGTATTTAAAAAATTTTTAAATTAAATTTGAAAATGATTTATTTATTCCAGGAATCTGATAAATCCTGGAAATTCTCAAGATGAAAATGGACCTATGAAAACTGAAAAAAATATTCCAGAAAATGTATATAGTATTTTCATGAGACCCAAACTTGAAGAAAATACAAGAAAATCGTGGAGAGCACGACAATATGAATATGGTCCGATGTGGAGAAGATAATTTTTTAAATTAGTTTTTTATGTGTTGAAACTTTATTTTAAATGAAGATTTGTGAATAAATTTTTGATTTGTGGCTGGAAAAATGGGAAAATTATTCTTGCAATTTTTTAAGTCCAGAAAAACTCTAGAAAACCTGGAGAAAGTATCAATCAAAAATTCATTGAACAAGAAAACGCAATTAATTGAAAATTAAGAAATAAAAAAACGCAAGAGAATAAACCGCAAAAAAATAAATTATGGAACAGGAATGATAAATGATAAAAACAGTTAGTTCAAAATATAGATAGATAACTGATTATTTTTTAGCTGGAGCACTTGCTTTGTCACCGAATTCGATTTGGCAAAGACGACACGAATATTCGTCATCTGGGGCTTTTTCGAGTTGTGGACGAAGACAATACAAATGATAGCCGCGATCACAGTCATCACAAAATAACAGTTTATCCTAGAGAAAAAAAAGATGAATTTACGGCAGCATGATATTTCAATATCGAATCAACAAAAAATGTCTAACGTTCAGACGAAGAGATTTTTGAATGGAAACTATACTTTTTCATGATTTTGAAAATAATTTCAACCAAAACAGTACGTTTTGTGATTTATAAAACTTCAGAAACACTATAACTATCAAAATCAAAATTTCATCCAAAAAATGAAATCTTTCAGACTCTGAAAACCTTTTTTTCTAGTTTCCAATCTTAAAATATATTCAAATTCCCAATTTTCTATTCAAAACCCTAATTTTCAGAAATTTGTTCTCTTGGCAAAAATCTCCCATTCCACTCCAAAAAAACCACTCACATCATTTTCAGACGTTCCACAAATCGTACAACTTTTACATTCAATACACTGCCACCCGTATCGATTTATAATTACAGTCACATTTTTATTGAACGATAGACAAGACGGATGACCAGATCGACCACAATCATGACATGTCACCAAATCTTCGGGTTGTTTCGATGTTTTATTCATATAGGCGTTGCCAAGACACAAATCACAAAAGTCGGAAATTTCGATATTTGGGGATAAAACTGCAAAAAAAACAGGGGTTTTTAGGGATTTTTCAAAACTCGCAGCACTTACGTTTATGAGTAGGATGTGAAGAAGCGATATCGTGTGAATAGGATAAATGATAGCTTAGACCCGCGAGGCTCTTGTATTTCGCGCTGCATTCTGAAAAAAAAACACAGTGTTTTAAGAATTGAGCTAAAAGAAATGGTGGAGGTTTAGAGAATGAAAATTTTCGGAATCTCAAGAAAAAAAATCCAGAAATTCTAGGGCTCAAAAACCACTAGAGCAGTTTTTATTTATCAAAAAAATCTCAAAAATTCGGTAAATACTCCAGAATTTCTAGAATAAGTATTTCTTTTTCAATTTTAGTACCACACCAGCTACCAAGAACAAAACTACAACATGATTCAAAAAACGACTGTTTTGTGTGTGTTTTCAGTGATTTCGCGCATCATCCCTCTCGCTCAATAATTCAAGTGAGAGAAGGTGGGGCAAAATGTCAATTTGGTAGCTGGTGTGTGAGCTTCGAGAGATGATTTTTTGTCGACGAAATCACTTACTATCACAGGCATGTCGTTTCTCGTCCGAATCGGATGATGATGGTGCTCTTGGTGGCGGTGGATGTGCGTGGTTTTTTGGTGGGCGCCCGATTAATGGCTGAGAAGACGGTGCAAGTGGTTGAACACCACGATTTGTTGGGGTCGAGTAGGAATAGTTGGGATTCCGGGTGGATACCTTTTTTCGGCCTGGCGCGCTTTTTGGCACTCCGCCAGTTGTTCGACGACGTTTTCGAGTTGACCAATCATCCTCATCGGAAAAGTTTTCTTCTGGTGAGCCATCATCATCCAACACATAATCTTCTCGATATTCTTCTTTTATTTGTTGTCGACTTGGTCGCTCTTTCACATTTATTGAATCATTTGAATTATCAGAAGTTTGCTCTAAAAATTCAAAATCAGTTGAGGTTTCCATCCAATGTTTGTTTTCATTTCAAAAATAAAATGATAAATACTCACCAAAAGTGGTTGGTGGCTGGGGAATTGTTTGATTAACCGCTGAATCAAGTGCCGGATTATCGCGCAAAAACATTTTCACTTCCAACGCATCTGATGGTGGAATATCCTTGCGTTTGCGCCATCGTTCACTTTCAAACTGAAGAACTGTGTTTTTATCAGCACTCGGGTAAATATGATCAACAGTTCGAGTGGTAAAACGACATTCTCGTTGTGCTGTTGCAGTTTGATGATCGTAGTATGGATAACGAAGCCTGAAACACAAATATTGGTAAAATTACATGTATTCAATTATGGGGTGATTCAGGTCGATAAAAAAAGTTTTTTGACAAAAATTTCAATTCGGCTAATTTCAAAAAAAACTATATTTTTTCCATCGAAACAATTTTTGCCAACATTATTTGTTTTCGTTAATATTTTCTACACCCCTATCAATTTCCCAAGTATCCTCACCGTTTCTTGCGTTCCTCCATCGTTCTCGTGTTCCATTTCACGCAATTTCGCATCAGCTCCATATAATTCGTCTCAGAAATCATTTTTCAATGGCGAAAACACCAAAAAATCGATGGCGACTCGGCTTCTGTGCAATTGTGCGTCAATTTAAAAAGTGTGCGTACACGTTGACGACAAATTGCACTAGCAGCGTGTCTACGCAAAAATGCACACAAAATGTTCGAATTTCGGGCTTCTGGAAATCGCACATTTTCATCCTAAAAATCGATTTTTCAGCATGAATTCTGGAATTGCAGCTAAGCTGTGGTTCTCAAAAATATACTGAGAGCATGATTATCGATTTCGGAACCGTTTTTCTTGTATAATATATCGTTTTTTCTTTGTTTACATAGCCAACAGGGAGTTTTTACATGTCTGACACTTTTTGATTCTCTTTGTTTTCGGCTTTGATCAATTTAGATATCCGCTTTCAATATCTCACCAATAAAACAAAACTCTAGACTTTTTACCATGACAACTAAAATTTCATAATTTTCTATGGAAACATTTACATTTTTCAAATTTATGTCATCGTTTTTTTCTCTATTCATTTTGAAATGAAAGCCTATATTTTCCAAATTAAACACCAAATTACCTGCATCAATTTTTTGCTTCAAGTAAAAGTAATTGATAAAAGTGTTGTTTTTATTCCTTCCCGATAACCTAGAATAGTTATCAAGGTCGTATTTTCGTTTTTGTTTTGCTTCGTTTCACAACTTTGTTCTCGCTTTATTATTAAAAACCCGTATTGTTTTTACAGAGCCAAGATGAATATTTTCCGCATGGCAGCTGATATGTCGCATTTACTTGCGATTTTCATTCTCTTGGGGAAGATTTGGAAGAGCAGATCGTGTTCGGGAATCTCAGCTCGTTCACAGATTCTTTTCGCGATCGTCTTCACTGCTCGCTACTTGGATCTTTTCACCACATATATCTCCCTTTACAATACAATTATGAAGGTATCTAATACGTTTCTGATTTCTATATAAAATTTCCATATATTCAGATCACATTCTTGGCCGCCACCTACGCAACAATTTATTTGATGTTTTTCAAATTCCGCTCAACATACATGAAAGAATCCGATGTTTTCCGAATTGAACTTATTCTTATCCCTGCTGCTGTTCTTGCACTTCTTATCAATCATGAATTCGCGCCATTCGAATTGTTGTGGACATTCTCGATTTATCTCGAAGCTGTAGCAATTCTCCCACAACTTTTCATGCTTCAAGCAACCGGATCAGCTGAAGTCATCACTGCTCATTACTTGTTTGCTCTTGGATCATACCGTGGACTCTACATTCTCAATTGGATCTATCGTTATTACACCGAATCATTCTTCGATCCAATTGTTGTTGTCGCTGGTGTTGTTCAAACAGTTCTCTACGCCGACTTCTTCTATCTCTACGTAACTCGAGTTGTTCAAGTCAACAAAGCCATGGAATTGCCGATCTAAACAACAACAAATCAATCCATTAATATTTATTGAACTGGGGGGATTATTCTATTCGTTGCCTTTAATTTATTTTATCTACGAGTTTTTCTGTAGTCCAAACCATACGATGATTTTTAAAATTTTAATAATATAATATGTAAAGGGAGATCAATTTTTTTATTTACAGTGAGTGTGATATATTTATTGAAAGTCTCAAATTGCTTTGTTTATCCACCCGGGCGAGTCATGTATAAATACTTTCGAAAACCGTTTTCAAAACTTATTTTTCGGTATTTGGTCTTTTCTAACCCATGGTTATATATTTATTTAAAGTTTAAAAATTCCAGGAAAATTATGCATTTTTCAGAATCTTTGTCTATATAAATTTTCTTTGAAGGGTTCAATTTGTAATGTCATCTGGAAATTGGGATGATACTGGTAAGTTTAGATTTGGGGGAAACTTGAGAAAAATATGAAATTGGTCTTGCTGGCAATGATGGAAAAATCAAAATTTAACTGACGTGTTATGATTGATGCCTGATTATAATTTTTTCAAAGTTAGAAATGCCTTAATATTCAAATAATTTTTGGCGGAAAAATTTTCAAAGCGTGAACTAGAAACAGTTTATTTACACGTGTGTTATTGAAAACTGGAAATCATTTTTTATTTCCTGCTTTGTGAATCCCGAGAAGAGATGCTCACATTTTCGCCAGATCAGAATCTCATATCTTCCCATATTCTCTAATTTGCAGATAGTGAAGATGAAAATGTAGTGGTTCAAGAAACCGTAGTCGTTTTACCACGTGCAAGACAACCATCGATAGCGAAAAGTTTGGAAAAGGTTCAAATTTTGGAGAACAGCGTCGCTGGATCGGAGAAAAATGCCGGGGTTTGTATCTCAATTTTTATCTTACATATTTTTAAAGTATTCCTCCAATCATCATATGTTTTCAGTCTGACAATGATTCGGATTCCCTTTCTGTCGGATCTGATGATTTGGATAGTTTGGCTGATGAAACCGAAACATTGACCATTACTTTCGATTCGTTCACAAATAAACGAAAAGTGATTGGAATGTTCGATTGCGAATATAAAAATATTATCAGCGAGTTTGCCGATGTCGAGATTTTCTTGATTTCACTCGATTCGTTGATTGTTGAATGTGCTGCGCATAGTTATCATAATTGGGATGTTGCTGGACAATCTTTGATCATTAATAAACAGGTAAACATGGTTTAGATCTTAAATATTCAAAAAAAAAAGATATTGAAAAATAAAAAAATAACTTTCTGAAAAAATGTTGTCTCAAAGTTCAAAAAATCTACTTACATTTTTTAGATGTAAAATAGGTCAACTTAAGATAAAATCCTCTTAGAACGTTCAACTTCAATGGATATTTTCAGATCGATCGATTCTTGAAACAATTCGCCGACATTGGTGGTCGTTTCAAATTGGTTGTTTTCACCGATTTGACAACTCACTTTGCTCGCGATACAACATTATCATTTGCCCGTGCTTCGGCTTTCGCTCATCTTGCCAATGGCAAATATGCTTCGGATATGCTTTATTTCACAAGTCCCGTCGATCCGAATTGGGACAAATTATTGAAAGATCTCACACCATCTTTCCTTATGATTTCGGCTGATAATGTTACTCCAAATATTTGCGCTGAAACTGATGTTAATTTAACACCGAATTTTGAAACTATCAGTGAGTTCAGCGGCGAAATCTATCATAATCTAAACTAATTATTTTTCTAGTCATCGATGTTTTGAAGCGAGCAATGCCAATTGTTTTATTATCCTCAATTCGTGTCAATTTCTCATCAGCGGAAGCATATTATATTCAACCAAAATTAGTGCACGCTTCAGATTGGGATAGTTTTCTAGCTGCGCATTGGGATTGCAACTACGATTTATTGCGATCACATCAAAGCGGAGCTGTGAAAATGAGCCAATTCGAAACACCAGCTGATTTCTGGGCAAAAGTTATCGCTGACACGAAAGCTAGTGGAAAAGGATCGGAAAGTATTGATACTTTATGCGCAGCTGTTTTACTCTCATCTTTGATTTGTTCAAGACGTGGTGCACATCGGGTTTATTATGCGGATCGAGAAAATTCGAAACGTGGATTGAATGTTATTCGAGATAGACGACTTTTGTTGAATTTTGCAACTGCTTTGCTTGAAAAAGCTGATCATACGGTAGGAAATAATTGATGATGTTTTCTTTATTCAAATTCTTATGTTTTTTTTCAGAATTCAAAAATTGATTTGAGCGATCTTTGGGATGGTCGAATGATTTTCACAATTTATGATGAATTAGTTGCTAATGAATCGGTTCTTCCATACAGATTACAAGAAGAATTCGCAAAATATCATCAAAAATCTGGTTTAACTATTCCATTGGCTGTTGATACGAATGAGAAATTGTTCGATCCGATGCCAGAAACTCCAAATCCTTTGGTCGATTTGCCCATTTTATACTCGGTTACTTCGCCATTGTTGAAACGATTTGTGCCAGAAGTTGCTGAATTCACTTCTGCGAATTCTGTGGCTGATGGAGAAGTTCAAGGTTTGTCTGCGGTTTTTTGGGCAAAATACTTTTGACCCAGTTAGTAATAAAAAACGTGGAAGTCTCTTTTTTCTTTAAAAAAAATTGTCGATTCTATAATTTGATCATTGTGTTGTTTTTCGTGAAAAATATTTTTCATTCAATAATGTAATGATGAAGTTGTACATCAGCAAACAATTGTGAGAAAATCAATAGTTTCGAAATCTTTGAAAAAACAAGTATATCTTTAATAGATTTTCTAAATTCAAATTCCTCCTCTTTATCCTCATATTTATTTTTTCCAGATTATGCTGATTGTCTTCGAGAAATGAAACAATGGAGATTGAAATCGATCGAAGAACAATATGCACAAAAAGAGGAAAAAATCGAAGACGCGTGGGCACTGAAAAGAGCCAACAAATCTCGTCAATTCTTATCTCGATGGTATGAAATGTTCGCAAATTCGCTCGAAGGACGTGGTTCAAATCTGTTAGTCGATTTCTCGAGAATTCCAAAAGGATATGCGATTGTTGAAGAAACTGTTGTTGAAGACAAAAAAGCTGGAAAAGGTGGATGGGCTGGACAAAAATCTGGAGGAAAACCAGGAGCTGGTGGTGGAAAGAAAGGAGGAAAAGAACCGGCGAAATCGAAAAAGGATTTGATTTTGGAACAAAATAAGAAAGCACAAGATCAGAAATTGGCTGAAAGTGAGAGAATTAAAATTAAATATGGAACACAACAAGGAAAAGAGGCGGTTGCATTTTTAAATAATTTGTATTCGTCGCTTGATTTACCGGAATCCAAAGCTTATTGTATTTATGAAATTGTTGTGAGAGAAGGAAAAGTTATGAATGAGGATTATCAAGGAAGTGATAAACAAGAATCCAGGTAATTTTTGAGTGGTTCTGGGTTTCCAGTTAGCAAATTAAATCGATAAATTTTTCGCGATAACATTCAACAAAAATGTCTTTTTTCCTATGCAGAAAAAACAAAATTTACAGAATATTATTTTTATCAGTGACAACTTAAAATTAAGAGAGTTTAGACAAATAATTAGTTTTTTATATTTTCTGATCAAAAAACTATTCATCTGCATAGATCCATTAAGAACATTATTTTCTTGAATCCTCCTCCCCGCATATCTCAAAAAGTTGATTTTCAGACGTATAAAAGCGATTGATTTGGTCGGTCATATCAAGGATTGTTTTGTCAAACATTGGGATCATCTTGAACCAAAACAACGTGAAAATATTGTCGATTTATGGGTTTCATTAGGTTTCGATGCACCATCCGGATCAAAACCATCAGCCGAAGCAAAACAGAAGAAATTGAATCTTGGAATGAATATGATTTATTATCAATTACAATATGGTGGAGAATTAATCGATATTCAATCAGATCCGAAAAAAGATGATCGTGTTAGTGGATTTGCTCCAGATGGATGGCAAAGAAGAATGCTTGATTCAGTTGATCGTGGAAATTCTGCATTGATTATTGCACCAACATCAGCTGGTAAAACTTTCGTCTCATATTATTGTATCGAAAAAGTTCTTCGTGCAAGTGACAACGATGTTGTTGTATATGTTTCACCTTCGAAAGCTCTTATCAATCAAGTTTGCGGTTCTGTTTATGCTCGTTTCCGTAATAAATCAATGCGGCGCGGTATTTCACTTTTCGGAACTCTTACACCGGATTATGCGCATAATGCCATGCAATGTCAAGTTTTGGTAACTGTTCCGGAATGTTTGGAAGAATTGATGTTATCCAAAACACCCGCTATTCAGAAATTTGTTTCGCACATCAAATATGTTGTGTTTGACGAAGTTCACTCAATTGGGTAGGTTTTTTAGATTGTTAGAAGCTTTCTGACATAGCTTTATGGAAGTTGAAAAAATGTTTGAATATTTTTTTTTTCAAAAAATTTCGATTCTGAAAACTTCAAAATCGATTTTTTCTCGTTGAAAACTTTTTTACTTTCACATCAGCATGCTGCAGCAATCTATATCTTTGAAAATCCAAAATCACAGAAAACAACATTAACTTTTAAAATTAATTTTCAGAGCCTCACCTGAAGCGCATATTTGGGAACAATTGTTGCTTTTGATTCAATGCCCATTTTTGGCTCTTTCTGCCACAATTGGAAATGCGAATAAATTGCACGAATGGTTGAATTCTAGTGAAATTGCAAAAAGTAATGGAAAACGAAAAGTTGATTTGATCAATTACGGAGAAAGATATTCGGAATTGGAATTGTCGATTTTGAATATTCAAGATCCGAATGCAGTTGATAAAGATGGAAATCTTTTGAAAATTGAGCACTCAAAAAATGAATCGGCTGTTATTCCATTAATGCCATATGGTGTTTATATGCCAGAAAAATTGAAAATGTTTTCGATTCCGGAAGATCAACAATTGACTGCTAGACAAGTTTTGCATTTGTATACGATGATGAAAGAAATTGATTCGGCTGTTACGTGAGTTTTTTTTGGAGTATAATGAAAAACCATATTTTTTATTCCAAAATACCTTTATTTTTTTCCAGAAAAGAATTTGAGCCATGTCATTTCTTTGGTCAACATGGATCAAAAGCTGTTTGGATTTCAAGATCGGAACTTCGTCGACTTGAAAATGCATTGAAAAAACGAGTTTTGGAATGGTTGGAAACCGAAAAACCGAAAATCGATGCAATTTTGAAGAGTTTGTCCGAACCAGTTGAAACTCAATTAAAACATCGATCAGTTCCATTTGATAAAGAAAGAGTTGCAAATGATTATATTGTTCGATTAATTGATGAATTAAAACAAAAAGAAGAATTACCAGCTATTTGTTTCAACGAAGATCGTCATATTTGCGAAAAACTTGCCACAACTTTAGCCGAAGAATTGGAAAGAAGAGAACGGAATTATATGGAAACTGATGAATTCAAGAATAAATTTGCGATTAAGGATGAGGATAAATTGATGAAATTAGCAAAAAGAAAAAGAGATGAAGCTGAAAAGAAGAAAAAAGGTGATCGAGATGAAGATGCTGGTCCAGAAAAAGATGGAGATGAAATGGATGTTTTGGCGATGAAAAAAGCGCGTTTAGCACAAGCATTGGCACAATTCAAATTGAGAGGAAGAGGAGGAGGTGATCCTGATTTGTATCAAAAAATGTTGGATAGATTGAACCGTTTTGCAAAGACTCGAGAAAGTACACGATTATTATTGCGGTTGTTTGAAAGAGGTATCGGATACCATCATCCTGGATTGAATATGATTGAAAAAGGAGCGGTTGAAGTGTTGTTTAGATCTGGAAACTTGGCTGTGCTTTTCTCAACATCAACACTTTCTCTCGGGTAAATTTTGAATAATAAAAATAATTTTCTTGAATTTTCAAAATTAATTTTTGATTTATTTCAGAGTTAACATGCCTTGTAAAACTGTTATGTTTGGAGTTGATTCGCTCGATTTGACACCACTCTTATATCGACAAATGTCTGGTCGTGCTGGTCGAAGAGGTTTCGATCATTCGGGAAATGTTATTTTCATGAGTGTGCCAACTAGGTGAGCATTTTTTAGAGCAATAATTTTCAATTCTTTTTAATTTTCCAGCAAAATTCGTCGATTGTTAACAGCTTCTCTTTCAAATTTGCAAGGAAATCCACCATTCACTGTCATTTTCCTTCTTCGATTATTCGCCTATGTTCACCAAAAAGATGTTATTGACGAACAAGGCCAAGCTGTTTCAACAATCAAAGAACGTGCTTGGGCTGCTCATTCACTTTTAGGGCATTCTTTCAGTTTGCATACAAGACAAGAATCAAACGATGGAGTTCTTCAAAAACAATTGCGAATGTTCTCCGCGTTTTCATTCCAAATTTTGCGACATTTACAACTTATCACACCATTTGGTGAATCGAAAAACTTTGCTGAATTGGCTGTTCATGTTCAAGCTGGAGAATCAGGAACATTGTTGTTTATTTATTTGATGCAAAAGGGTTGCTTCCATGTGCTTCTAAAAAAATATGCGGAACAACCGGATAAAGCGAAACGTGTTATGTTGGAAATTCTCGCGAATTTGTTCACCAACAAACGAATGCCATTTTGGTATAATCCATCGGATAAAAGTGGAATGGAAGTCAATTATCAAGTTTCGTTGAATGGTTTGCCGGCTGAATTGAATTCGTATGTCAAGGAATATAATTCGACTGTTATTGGATTGTATAAACGATTCTTGGCAGCTTCGGCCAAAGAAAATACATTATTGGTTAGTTTTATTTTGGTGAAAATCTGCAAAATTTGAATATTTCGAAAATTTGAAAGCTATAAAATCCTTCTCTCACACATGAATTAATTTATCTAAATTCCTCCCAATTTCAGGATTCATCTTTTACTGTCAGCGGAAAAGTCGATGCCGAATCAACATCTTTGACCAATGATTATCTTGCAACTCCACTTTTCGATCAATATTCTCATGATGAATCATTCCTTCCAGTTATTGATTTCGAGAAACGTGATCATCGTGGTCGAAAAATTTATCGAAATGCGTTTGCTGTTGATTTCTTCACTCATGCTTCTCGTGAAATGCTTCGAAATATGAACAAATTGCATACAAATCAAGCATGGTTCCTTATTCACGATTTTGTGGTGAGTTAAAATTCTAGTAGTAAATTTGAAGTTGATAAATCATATTTTTGGAACCAGTTCAAATTTCTTTTTTCTTTGCAGACTGTTATGCAACGCCTCTCAATCGGACTTCAAAATATGGCTCGACCACAAGATCCACTAACTTTAGTTATCACCGAATTGCACAAGGAATATGATGAAATGTTCCGAAGTGTCTTCGGAATGAGAAGTCGCGATTAGAAAGAACTCACCCCAACCTCGTTCATTTTACAAGTAACCCTTTCCTTCTTTGTTCTTTTTCATCATATCTAGATTTTTCCCTTTTCCCATTTAATTAATTTTGTTTTTTTTTTCATATCTATCTAGCTACCCGATTTTGGTCCCAGTTTTCCCGGTTCCCCCCGCTTTTTTGATCTGTCCCCTTTTTTTGTCACTGTTGGTTTTTTCTTGTTGCTGCTTTTTTTGAATATTATATTTGAATGAATGAAATCTATAGTTTTTGTTTACTGTCGGATTAAGTTAGCCGAAATCTACTTTTGGAAGGGAAGGGATAATAATCAAAAAGAACGCAGTTTTTTGGGGGGCAATTAAATATTTTTATGTTGCGAATTTCGAATTTTTGCAATTTATTTGTTTTATCGATTTTTGTTACTCGAAATATATCAGATTTTCAGGTTTCCGAAGAACAATTTTAAATTTAATTGTAAAGATTTTGATTTTTTCCTTATCCTTGAATTTCTCTAATAAACCAACAAAAATCTCATAAATTTTGGTGCCGAATGAATTATAAAATCAAAGTACAACTTGATATATTGTTTCTTCTTCTCATTCGATTCTTTTCTTTTTTTTTCTTATCATTTCTATATGCAAATATACATACCCTTTTTCTATATAAATGATAACCAATCAACTCTTCTCAATAAATTGATAACTCACTTTTTCTCCACATTTTTCTCGCTTTTTTCCTTTTTCTCAAATAAAAATGAAACTAATTTACTGTAATTTCAGGTAATTTCACCAGCCACAAAAAATGCCAAAAAAAAAAAACAATATTTTTTGTAATGTAAAGTAAAGTGAGTTTTAATTTCAAATTTTAGAGCCATTTCAGGTTTTTAGCTAAATTCCGAGCTGAATCTGAAAATTCTGCTTGAAATTTGGGTCAAAACGGAACCCAAATTTTTTGGTAGAGTGTAAAGGGGTTGGAGTTGCGCTTGAAGGGTCCAGAGCTTGAGCTCGTTTTTTTCTTATCTTAAAGCCTAGGCGCTCAAGCCTAATGCCTTTAAGCCCTCAAGCCCGAATCTTCATCTAAATTTTTCAAAACTTCAATACCCTCAAATTTTCCAGGTATCTAGCGCAAAACCAATATGAATATCAGGTTGTGAAATTTTCTGGAAATAGTGTCGATCTGCCATATTATTTTCTCCTCCCAATACATATATTTAACCACAATCAAATTTTGATGACTATTCCAGGACACCACCTTCTTCATTCCAATATTTTGCCATTTTTTTTCTTTTCCCAAATTTTTAGAGGACAGTATTTTGTGATAACAGCAAGTGTACATATTTAATTTTTTTCTCAAAAAAAATGTTTTTTTCGAGAAAAGTACACGCCACTTTCTTTTTTAAATGCATTATTTGATGGATCGAATGGATAATATTTAGTTGAAATGAAATGAGAAATGAATGAATAAAGTTTTTTTTTGTTAAATTTTTTGATTTTATTAATTACAGAAGTAGATATTTGTGTTGTAACCACAGACTCGAAAATTTTTTTATTTTTTATCAGGAAAAATAAAAATGGGTTATTTTAGAAATGATAAGTAACAAATTCTGAAATAAAGGTAAAATGAACAAAATCATCAGAACACCAAAATTTCGAAAAATCAATAAAATAAATCTGCTAAAGTGCGCGCAGGTGCGCACCCTCCACGGAGTGTTGTTAGTACTTTGTTTGTTTTTTATTTTTGATTTGTTTTTTTTTTGTGAAATTAATGCATTGTCCAAAGTGAAAAAATGCGAAAAATCAAAAAAAAAACGTCCAAACTGACGCATTTTTTTTCGCAGAAATCGCATTTTTTCGAGCACTTTTTTCGCGTTTTCTGGTGTTTTTCGAGCCAAAATGGACAGAAATTGAAAGAATTTGTTTGAAATGGTGTTTTTATTGATACTGGAGGAAAAATCAACGGTGAAACATGAAAAAAAACAATTTTGAAAATTTCAAATTTTTTCGACTTTTTCGACATTTTTTCGACAAACTCATTTTTCATGTTTCACCGCTGATTTTTCTTCCAGTATCAATAAAAACACCATTTCAAACAAATTCTTTCAATTTCTGTCCATTTTGGCTCGAAAAACACAAGAAAACGTGAAAAAAGTGCTCGAAAAAATGCGATTTCTGCGAAAAAAATGCGTCAGTTTGGACGTTTTTTTTTTGATTTTTCGCATTTTTTTCACTTTGGACGATGCATAAATTTAAATGAATTTAAATGAAAATTTGTGTTTTTTTTTGAGTGTTAGTTAGAAAGAATTTGGTATTTTGATTGTTTTAAGCATTTTGATCATATTCGAGAGTTCATCTTTATTGTTTAATGAAGGATTGTGATGTTTTATCAAAACCCCTTCTCTTTCTAGTTCTCATTTATTTGCATTTTCTTGTTTAATGAACTTTTAATTCGATTCTCGTCTCGCTTATTAAAGGATCATGTTTTGAAATAAGTATGTCCTCGAAATATTCGACCTTCGTTGTTTTTTCTGCTAGTTCAATCAATTATGAGGAAAACAGTTAGTTTTTTTGAAGGTGGCCTTGGTAAAAATGCGGTAATTCTTATTTATTAGAAAAAGCATATTGAACTGAAAATTGACAAATTTTTCAGTTGAAATTCGAAAATATTGAGAAAAAAAAACAATTTTTTGGAGCAATACGTGCTTTAATTTACAGTAACCTCTACGGAGTGCAAAAACTTCGAAGGTTTTGTAATAACAATTCTCTGAAACGCATAATCTGATTTTTGAGCCGAAAACTATATTTTTTGGGTGTTAATTAATCGCACTTGGTCACTATTTTTATTCCAGATAATCCATTTCAATTTACGAAAGCCTCCAGTGTCAAACTAAAAAATTCGAGTCTCAAAACCGAGAAAATCTTTCAAGAGTAAGAAAGAGACCGCAAAAAATGACCTCGTTTTCGAAACACTCTTGTAGTAGCAACTCATTCTTTTTCACCCTTGAAACTTCAATTAGCCTTCAATTTCGAAATGCAAATAAACGGTGATCCCGAGTATTTCAAGAAAAAAACCTTAGATACAATTAATAGAATACGTGACCTTAAGTGTAGTTCAATTTTTATTTAAGTTTTATTTCATTTCTTGAAAAGCGTTACTTATTTTCAGTGAGTTTTTCAAATTTGATTCCAGTTTTGAAATTTTCGAACTTCAAAAATGTTCTACAAAGTTCCAAAGCCTTGATCGATAGACATAAACTTGCGATTCAAAATTTTCCCTTCTCAATAATTTCTGCCAAAATTTTCTTGATTCATAATACGATTATCCCTGAAGTCTCTAATAAGAAAAGCCTTTTCCCAACTTTTCCTCATTTCTTCATCATTTCATCCTTACGTAACTTTTTTTTGTTGTATTTCATTTCATATATTCTATTTCTTTTTTCTTTTTTCCCAACCACATAAACCGCCAAACTTGTCTGCGTCTCTCAAATTTCAATTATCTATCTGCGCGAATATTGTTATTAAGTGTGTTTTTTTCGTAAGCGAGGATTATTATTAGCCTAGCAAAATCTATCTATGAGAAAGAAAATCGGACTGTTTGATGAAGAGAAAATATTTGTGATTTCTCAAAAAAAAATTTTTGGTTTTGTTTGGGTGTTCTTGGGGTACTGTAGATTTCTGTTGTTAAAATGAAGCTGACAATTGGGATTCTCACAATTTTCTAATTGAAATTTGAAGTTCTTCTGATTTTTCAACCTGAAAATCTAAAAATTTTTGATTCTTCGGAGTTTTGTGATCTGAATATGTCTGAAATTCACATTTTTCAAACTGATTTTTGAAACCGTGATTCAATTTTCAAGGAATTCATCCATCCTTTCAACCACACCCATTTTTTGTTGCTTCTATTACATAACTGTATAGTTTCGTTTAGTTATGCATTTTTATGGGTTTTCTGGCTTTTTTCGGATTTTGTGTTTTGTTATTGTAATTTCGATTTCAATTTCGATTTCAATTTCAATTCTCATTTTTATTTTATTATAGAATCAGCTGGGTTTCTGTTGGTGTTTTCCAGAATCAGTTTTTTTTTTATTTCAAAATCTAATACTCCAAAAGTTTACTGTGCAGATATGCCTAGGGGTCAAAATAAAATGTACCAAAATTTAGTGCCAAAAATAACAAACTATTACTGTAGCTGTGTTTCGCTTTGAAAAGTTTTAAGAAATTGATTACAATAAATAACGGCAAAAGTATATTTGGTGTGAAATTCAGAGTCCAGAACTGAGCTCAAATTCAAATGCGTGGAAGTCTAGGCTTGACATTTCAATATTTAGATGTAAATTTAACTCAAAGTTCAGACAAGGTGAAGGTTTAGGGTTAAGTAACTTATTTCGAAGATATAAATCAGAAGTTATGAAATATTTTTCACCCACCTAACTCAAATATATACATAAGTAGTATATAAAATTGTTCGTAGTCATCTAAAGGGTTTTTAATTTTCCACCTTCTTCTTCTCCTTCATATTCTCATTTATTTATTTATATTATGACCTTCTTACTCTTCGTTTTCTATGAAATATTTTCAAGAATACCTCTTTTTTGTGTCATTTCCTCTTCTTGTAATTATTCCATCTTTTTTTTTGCTTGTTAGATTACTTTTTGCGACGACACGAAATAGAAATAGTGTTCTTCACTGTCATTCATTTTCTTTTCATATATGTTATTATTTATTTGAATTATTGGTATTGATTTAACCTTCTGTGAGCGCTTTTTGAGCTTTTTTCTTGCGAAACTATTTTGGAATAATTTTTATTCCACATTTTTCTAGAATCCACGTGGTGAACAGAGAGTTTCTTGAAATTCCTAATTCTCAAAAAATTTGATCTGAAAAAACTCAACCCATAGATTTTTTTTGGAAATTTTAAACCGCTAATCTCCCCAAACCCAAATTTTTCCTGGGAAACTGGTATTTAGCAAAAATAAAATAGGAATAGGAAAACGATTAGCGTTTCAACCCAAAAAAAAAACAGAATTTCTAGACAACTTTCTCTGTAATTCTTTGGAAATTGAAAGTTACGCAATTTTGCTTGCCTCTACGTTTCCATGTAATTTTGGAAGTCCAGAAAAGTTTCTTGAAAATCTAGAAAGCCTAAATTTTTTCTGATAGTCTCGAAGCCTGGAAAACATTCTAGGAAGCCCTGTGACTTTTGGGAATTATCATTTTTATGCTTGGAGAAAATCTAGTCGGCCCAGAAAACTTATCTGATTATTTAGAAGTTTAGAATATTTTTCGGAAAATTTTAGAAGCTCAGAAAAATTTCTTGTGAATATATTCTTTGAGGATCGGAAAATAGTCTAGAAGTTTAAACATATTTTCTGATTTTTTCAGAAGCCTGAAGAAAAATCTAGAAGAATGTTTACTTAATTTGGAATTTTTGAAGGCTGCAAGAATTCTAGAAAGCGCTTGTTTTGATTTCCAAAAATTCTCTGGCAATATTTTTAGTTTAACAAAAGACAGAAGAGAATAAGCGAAGCAAAGATATAAGTGTGATTAGTCATATAAATGTTTAAGTGGCTTGGGCAAGTCATTCAAACTATTTATTCCTTTTATCTCATCATTCTCCTTTTTCGATTTTCCCTTTCAGAACACCTCATCTCTTTTTCTTTTATTAATTTCTATGTGGATTTTTTTGATGCATCGGAATCGCTGTAGGACCAGACATTATTTCAGTCATCACTTTTCTCCTCTCTTCGTTCAGAAAAGTTAACATAAATCCCGTTTTTCTTGGTTTTCTTTTTAACAAACAAATAAATTCCATCGATATAAATCTTTTTTTCCAACACCCAATTAAATCTTCATAAATCTCTCAAAATATTTTCATTTCTCTGCTGATTCCCATCTTTTTATTCTTCTTATTCCAATTCATAAATTCTTGATTTTATCTGAATGCGCCTTTAATATTTTTGTATACAGTAATTTTTGGGTTTTTTTCCTCGTGAGACTTTGAGGACTAAAAATTTGCATGGAAAACTAGGATTCTATCACATTCGCAGAAAAATCTGGATCTTGTCGTGGCCTAGAAACCCAATATATCTCAAAAACTAGTCCCCGTCTTTAAAATCCCGAATTTTCTATAGAATTCTATCTGAAAAATAGAAATATTCACAGTTTTTCAAGTAAACGGCATGATTTTCGAAGTCGGAGACTAGAAAACCACAATTTTAACTTCAAAAAGCGTATTGGGTCTCGTCGCGATCAGCTACTGTACCATATATTCATCCGTCCGTTCCTAGCAAAATCAAAACAGGAAAAAAACAACGGAAAAGTGTGTCACTGAATGAGAATAAATAAATAAATATTGAATAAATGGACCCAATGTCCACTTGAGAAAATAACACATTTTACCCGACAAAAAAGCGGAACTTCTCAGATTTCTGTTTTTTTTGCAGTTACTGTATGTACTTTTTTGGGTTGAAGAGGGGCTATCAGAATATTTCGCCACGAATTTTTTCCACCTAAATTAGTAATTAGCCTAAATCCGCCCCACACACTTCAAAAATATGCAGATTTTCTAGGTGTGTTAATAAATATAATAATTCGTTAATATGGTCATCATCTTGTTATCCACTTTTTTTTGTTATTAATTTATTTACTGTAATAATTATGTAATAACTAACATTCATTATTTCTGTTTTTTTCGTTTTCTAGACAAAAATTTTTGTGGTTTTTCATATTTTTTTTATTTTATGGGTGATTCGGGTTTAAGGACTTTAAACAGTTGTTTCCCAATAGTTAAGCTTATCGTTCTAACCGGAGGCAGAAGCCTAAGCCTGAATTTCAAGTCTGGAACATTCTAAGCCCAAGGCATAATTTTGAAAATTTCCTGAATCTGAATCCAAGTTCTAATTTTTGAAGCGAGGATCAGCGAAACATCTATGTTCCTGCTAAACTCTTGATTTCCTTTCATATTTTAATAAACCTCTTTCCAACTTTTCCAAATTCCGAACCGAATCAAATTTCAAATCGGAACAATATCCACTTCAAATTCAAATAACTAAATAATATTCATTTTATTATTTATTGTATAAATAATAATGAAATAATAATAAAAACAACAACAATATCTATTGTTCCTTTTTCGTTCTTCTCACACCAAAAATGGTGAGGTGCTCTCGAAATATTCGTGTTCTTCTTTACCACATAACAAAGACGACAGTACTTCTTCCCTTCTTTTTCCCACCCCACATAATTTTTATTGATTTTATTTTTGTTTCTGCTCTCAATGACCTTGTCGTGGTATTTCTTAGATGGTAATTATAGGAGGAAACACTTCTGGATTTCTTTTTGTTTGCATTTTGGTTTTTTCATTGAGCTGTCAAAATCATATGGACTTTTGACTTCCTTCTTTTTTTTCGAGAGTTTAGAAAACTTTGAAAATTTGTAGATCTATTTTTTGGAATATTCCGAGAATTTATTTTTTATCAAATCACATTTTTTTCAGAATTTGGAAATTTTTATTTTGAGTAAAAAATTATGACCAATTTTATTCATTAATTTGTTGGGTGATTTGTTCTGATGAAAAATTGCAGTTTTTTCTGAAGAATTATTTTAAATAATTCTGAAGGCAAGAAAAAATTAAATTTGAATTTTTGAATCAAACACTTTGTAGGGAACATTAAAAAAACTTATTCAAAGAAAATTTTAAAATGTGGGCAATTTTGAAATCATTTTCAGAAAGTTTTTTTTAGCAAATGTTGAGGTATAAAATCCCAAGCCTGAAATTTTTTAAAAAGGCTCCCATATTCAAAAAAATATATTATTACCTCAAATTCCCCCTTTTCCCGCTACCATTTTTATTGTGACCTTTTTCTTGTATGCCGACATATGCGTGATATTCATTTTCTTTCTGTCTCTCTTTTTGTGTGCACATTTGCATTTTCCACCACTCTTTCATTATTATTATTATTATTTTATTGTATACAGGTTGGATATTTATTTGAATACCTGCTCTCATTTTTGAACGACGAGGATTATCCCCCACCAATTTTGCACCATTTTTATTTTTTGGATTTTTCTAGACAAAATTGAAAAACATTTTTGGATCTGGGATTTTGAGCTTGTCCTTTTTGATGCTGAAAACTCTAGCTTCCACCAAAAAAAAACCTGACTGAGAGACATCATTTTTTAATTGAAAAATATTCTGCTGAAAAATACGTTTCAAAATATTTGTATTTTTTGGGAGAGATTTTTAAATTAGTACTCACATCATAATCGATAATTTTAGCAGAATTTTCCACACTTTTAAGCTACATAATTATTTTTGGAACTGGATGAAAATTTGGAAAAATTTCTAATCCAGAAGAAATTTTCAAATTTCAGAATTTGTTTTCTGATTTCTTAATTTCATAATTCATATATTTAGTTAATTAATTACCAACTTTATTTTTTCAAGATAAAATCAAATCCAAATTTCCAAAAAAAACCAGTAATTTTCGACATTTTTGTTTATAATCCCCATTGTTTTCGCATATTTCGTCCGCTCTTCTCAAATATCCGGTCATTTTTGTATCTGCCGATGAAATCTTGGCGACATTTCCATATTTTCTATCAAGAATTTGCGTTTTATCGGTTTCCAACATCTTTTTTTGTTGAATTGCGAGAATATTTCAACAATAATGAGAAACAATTGTTTTCTGGATTTTGTTTGGTTAAATTTAGATTTTTTAAAACTTTTGTCTTATTTGAAAATTATCTTAAACTGGTGATTTAGCCTAACTCTGAATATTTTCTGAAGTAATTTTTTTTATTGTGTTCTGGTTTTTTTACCCTAGTAAGTTCCTACTTCAGATTTTGGAATTAACTTTTTTAAATTAGATTTTTGAGTTTTCAAAAATGTTTAAATTTACCATATTTTTTTCTTTGAATTTTCAATCTTAAATTCTTCCGTTTCTCATTTCCTCCCTCAAGTTTCTCCAAATCCAGAATTTTTTACAGTTTCAAAATGCGTAGTCGGTTACCCAATTTTGGGTCCGGCCCACCAATTATCCTACTTATCATAACTCTATCTAGTTTACTTTTTCAAACCACGTTTTCAATGAAATTCGATGCTGAAAGAATCGCAGCTCGTCTGAAAATCGATGAAAAATGGGATGAGATCGAAGCGGAAAATCTAGCGAAATCTAGAAAAGGTCGACAAATTCAACCGAAGGAAATAAGTATTCAAGTAAGTCAAAATTCAAAAAAGGCGGTATCTCAAGTTACCGGAAATACCGAAAAAGATGGCGGCCATTTGGCAGGTAATTGATTATTGTTGTCTTGAATAAACATACTCATGTTGAGTGAAATAAGTACATCTGTGCAAATATGAAAAGGGGGAGGGGGTTTGAATATTTTGAACACTTGTAAAATTGGATGGCCTTGGGACCAAGTACATGTAGTTTGAACATTAAAGGAACACGCACTTAAATTAAAGGGGTTTGAATATTTTTTTTTTGAAAACTTATGTCACTTTTCGTGAACTATACTTGTTTTCACTTCCAAAAACTCACATTCTTAGATTTTTTTGAAATTTGAAACTTCATAGGATTCAGAAATCTAGAAAAAATTCTAACAATTTTTGTGAAAAACAACTTTTTTTAAAGAATAAAATTAAGAATTTGAAAATTTGGAATAAAAAGCCATGTGGCAAAGTTTGAATTTTCAAAAAAAAATGTCTATTTTGCAGGTCACCGCTCCTTTGTTCTCGAGTCGACTATTCGATTATGGACCATCTTCTGGTGATTCAGAACTTCCACAAGCTTTGGATGTTGGAAAAAAGCTTGATCTTGCACATCCAATCTCGTTCTTCGGTTCCGAATATAAAACTATTTATGTGAGTTGTTTGAGAACTTGGGAAGAGTGGAATTTGAAGGCGGATAGATTTTTTGAAGCTTTTGATTACTGTAGTTCAATTCTAGAAACTAAAACTCACATACAAATTTTATTGCAATTCAGACTCACTATTTATCGAAAAAAATAACAAATCTGAATCAAAGTACCCAACATTTCTGGGGAAGAATTGGGTTTCAAACGAAGCTTCGTCTTGACAAAAAATTCCCAACTCCAAATCTATACAGGTTCTCTCAAATGGTGCAATCGGATTCGAAGCCGCTGCTCGATCCTACAAATCAGGAGTTCTACCAGGTTCAACTCGTCTAATCGCACCATTTTGGAATCGAAATGATCTCAGAAATGGTGGAAAAGTTTATTATCGTGAAGTCACTAGTTAGTTTTTTTTTCTTTTTGAACTTTTGAACTCAAAAAACTTGATTTTGCAGAGGGTCGAGTTTTGGAGCGTGGTCAATCTGAAATCCGCTATCAATATGATAAAAATGTAAAAGTAATTTCGGCTTTAATTATAACTTGGGATAAAATGCAACCATTAAACACGGCTGCTTTACCCGAAGATAATACGAATACATTCCAAGCTGCTATTTTTATAACACAGAATGGAACTTTTTCGAATTTTATTTATAGTAATATTGGATGGACTCAAGGAGCTGAGGTTTGCTTTTTGAGAGAAGCGAGTGAATCTATTGTTTAATTTTTAGGCTGGATTCAACGCTGGCGACGCAACAAATCATTTCAAACTTCCAACATCTGGAACTCCAAATATAATGTATCTTGAAGAATACGGAAATACTGGAATTCCTGGTGAATGGATGTTTGAGTTGTCCGAACTTCGAGTTATCAGTTGTAAATCTGGAATTAAGGGAGACACTTGTGATCAAGGTAATCTTTTGTAGATGATTAGGAACTTTTTATACAAAACTTTTGATCATTGCAGAATGCTCAAACGGAGAATGGGGTCCAGATTGTGCATATTGTTGTCATTGCTCAGAAGGAACTTGTCATCCAGTAACCGGAGATTGTTCACGTGGATGTGCACAATGTTGGGATGGAGTTGCGTGTCAAACTAGACAGGAAAAATGTGCAACACGAACACAATGCACTTCGAATGCTTTGAGTTTTAATGATTATGATCGATGTGGAGAACCAATTCAGAGATGTCAATGCTTGAATGGTTATAAAGGAGATGGATATAAACATTGTGAAGGTAAGGCTTGAAAATTTGAAAATTAAAAAATTCTAGAAAAAAACATATGGCTGCAAATCTAGAATTTTCAGACATTGATGAATGTGCTGCAAATTCGACACTCTGCCACAAAGATGCATTTTGCACAAATACACCCGGTCGATTTTATTGTCAATGCAAAGATGGTTTCACTGGCGACGGACAAACTGATTGTTCTCAATCATTCCTTTTCCAATATGACACACATAAACAATTACCAAAAAAAAGATATTCGAGAATGGAGTGGATTTTGAAGAGACCAATGAAAATATTTGGAGAAATTATTGATAAATTAACAATCACATCATCTGGTTTAATTGCTTTGGATGATATTCGAGAAGCTCAAGGGAAATTAGAAGATTATGTTGGAATTGCTCCATTTTTTGCGCCAATTGATATTTCAAAAAGTGGAACAGTTAGTGTAGAAGAAGTTGATGATCCAAATGTGTTGCAAAAAGTGACACGAACTATTGCCGAGAATTATAATGATCCAAGTTTCGAAGCAAAATCCGCACTCATTATCACATTTTCAAATGTCACTTCTGATACAAAACAATCTGGAAATACATTCCAAACTTTGTTGATTGATGGAAATGGAGCAAGAGAGGAGAAAATGAGTTTTGCTGAAATTATGTATCGAGAAATTGGATGGAGTGGAAATGCTGAAGCTGGAATTATCTCGAGGGATTCGTCATCTTCGATTCTTTTGCCAGCTTCAGGAACTGATCAAATATCACAACTTGTCAAAAATAGTAATATTAAACAGCCAGGAACCTGGTTATACAGAATTGGTGAGTTTTTCTTGAACAAACCCCGAAACCAAAGGTTATCTGAACCCTTTCAGATAAGCCACAACTTCTTCCATGTGCTCAATCAATTCAAGTCGCACCATTCTGTGATCATATTCAACCACGTCTTCCAGTCACAATTCCAGATGAAAAGAAGGAGGATTTGAGATTACCTGAACCTGGAATCTTCCAAATTCCGGAGACAATCAAACCAACTTTAGTTCGAGGAGGAACAAATAGAAATGTAAGGAAAATATTTTTTGGAAAACTTAAAAATTTTAATCTTGAGAAAATAATGTTCCAAAAATTTGATTTGCAGACACTTACTGTAACCAGTGCACCAATCGCCAATCTGAATCCACCACGAACAACTCGTCCACGCCCCAATTTTTCCGCCAAACCAACATCACATCGTCCGATTGTTTCGTTGTCAGATGAGGATTTTGAAATTGGGCCAGATGCATTTGAAGTCACATTCCCGCCATTTGTCACTGTGGTTCCCGAATTATTTAACAAGAAAACACAACAACAACAACAAAAATCGAAACCAAAACCATTGCCGGATTTCACAATTAATACTGTGAGTTGGGGAAAATAAAAACGGGGAATTTAAAATGAGCTATGACGTGGCAAAACCTCAAAAACATCATCTCAGTTTTCCACGTCATTGCTAGTGGTCAAAAATTTTAATTGGAAGATTTTTAACTTATTTATGTATAGAGAGTTATGACGTGGCAAATCTACAGTACGAACTCTCAGAAAAATGTCAGTTTTGCCACGTCATAACTCAACTTGATCTAGCTAAATTTCCTAAACTAGAAATCATTATGACGTGGCAAAAAGTAAGTGCGATTTTCTAGAATATTCCTGCGCTAGAGCTATCTCATCGAAGTTAATTATCAAATCCTAAAATTAATGTTTTCAAAAATAAGGGATTTGTTCAACCCAACATCAAAATTTTTTAGCCATTGCGAGAAATCGAGTCAAGTACATCGACCTCTAGAAAAACAACAATTCCATCAACATCAACAACTACTGAACTTCCAACAACATCTGAAGAATTTGAACATGAAACCACAATCGAATCAGATGAAGAAGAATCGCCATTTGAGAAAACTGGAAGTTTTGATGGTGATGTTGAAGAAATCACAACAACTTCAACTTTGAGACCAACCACAACAACAACTGAAATAATTGTGACACCAAGACGAAGAATTCCATCAACAACAACAACATCTACAACAACTGAAAGAATCACAACATCTGAAGAGATTTTGAATAATGATGTGACAAGTTCAGAAGAAACTGAGAAGACAATCTTTGTATTTACAACAACACCAAAAGCCACAACAAAACGAGTTCCGATAACTCGACCACTTCCACCAAATATAAATCTAGATCGAAATAACATTGAGCAAAAAAGCGAAGAACAATCAGAAAGAAAATTGGCAATTATTCTACCGGTTATGATTATTTTGGCATGGATGGCTATTCTGATTTGTATTGCTGCAATTGTTTGTTGTAAACGAAGATCATCAAGAGAAACATCGCAACTTCGAGCAATGTATGGAGCTGCTTATGGAATTCGACCAACTGGATATGAATCAAAACGAAAAGATACATCATATGAAGATCATTTGGAACGAGCTGCAAGATTAGGAGGACAACCAAGAGAACAGGTAACAAGAGAGCTCCTTATTTTATATTTACTTTGGTGTGCTATCTTGCTTGGTGTGTTAACCAATCCCTTTTTAACATTTAACAGATTGGCGCCGCAAAAATGTCATTATATGGAAGTTATTGGAACTTGCCACCTGGTCCATCATCAACTTCTTGTTCAAGTCAATCAAGTCAATCACCGCATGCCAGACAACAACAATCACCGCCAACATTTTTGAATCGAACACATTCAAATCAAAACAATAATCATTCTCATCACGGGTCATCATATCTTCATCATAACAATAATTCAACTAATACTTCAACGGTTTGTTTTTATTGTTAGATGCGGAAATTATTTTTGGTGGTGGAGATTTGTTTGTTGAGTGAGATTGGGAATTTTCTAGATCTGTACCGGAAATTCAAAATGTTAGGGAACATTTCTCTAACAAATTCTGTTAATTTTGAAAACTTGAAATTCTGACTATTTTTGTCAAGTTGTTTTTCCGGTATGCGACTTCACACAACAATTACATTTTCATGTTTTTTTCAAAAAAATCTAACCAAAATAATTAATATTTCAGAGGTACGCATATGCAGGGCACTACTAAACAATGTGTGTGTAAGTATGTGTTGGTTCATCGTCTACAACTTCTTCTTCTTCTAATAACATTTTGTGTGCTCATTCCATTTCCTCCTAATTGTTTTTGTTCTCTCAAAAAATCTCCATTTTCAGAAAATGTCCTCATCTGAATCCACATTAATCGAGTGTGTTAGATTATAAATTTTGAAATTAAAAATCGCCATTTTTCTTCATTCATAATAATTTTTTGTACTTTTTCAACCCCCTATTTTTGCAATATTTTTTATCACTTTTCACTTTTTGCCTACTTTGCCTCTGACGGGAAAACATCTCAAAAAACATGAATAAATGTTTAAAACTAGCAAGTGTTCATTTGAGAAAAGAAATTATAGATGGAATAAGTATTAAAACTTTTAAAAGTTACCAGTAAAACAATGAGACGAAAAGACAATATTATACAAAAACAACCTGGGATTAAGAAAGAACGGGGATGGAAAAATTATTTAATTACAAAAAGAGTTTAATTACATACCAATTGATTTCCGGCGGCTGCGAGCTTCAAATGCGTGATCGAGAATTTGGCTGAATTCGGGACGATCCATGATTTGGGACAAAGTTGCTGCAAAAATTTTAGGTACACAAATGAGGGGCTGAAAAGGGCCCATACATGGCACTGCTCCCAAAACTGTGAGGGGGAGATCATGACATTTGGAAAAATTGTTTCGAGGGGGAGGGGGATCATTTTGGAAATTTTGAATTCACGCCCGAATCAAAATTTTGATTTGGGCGGGTAGCTAATGAAAATTCACGCTTAAATCAAAGATCATTACATACAGGGTCTGTTGGGCGAAGATGCCCTGTATGATTTCTAATTTTCAGCCATAAAAACTTGAAATTAGCTTTTCCCTTATATTTTTGAGAAAAAAAAACTCACGAAAATCGTCAAAATACGCAATCAAATTGTCGTATAAAATCGTCCAAACTTTTCTGTCAGCAGCATTGAGTTTACACAAATTTCGAAACTCCGATAATTTCACATTGCGGCTTTTGATCTGAAAAAAATGTTTCTTGGGAAAATAAATCGGGAATAAAAAATCTCTTGAAACCAATTTTCAGAATCAGACAAATGAAAACTCGTAAAAAAAAGATGATTTTATAGAAATTTTCAATAAAATGTATATTTTTTTTAGAAATATACGTTTAAAATTTTCATAAATTAATTTCGAAACAGTACATTTTGATTCAAATTTTTGTTTAAAAAACTTTTTTAACGGAATATATTGTAAAATAAAGCTTTTTTTAGTAGGCAGAAGATATTTTATTTTTGGAAAAATAATGAAAATAGTTTTTTTTTAAATACTAGATATAATGTTTTCTGATAAACATCCCAAAAATACACTCACCAACGTGTCCAATTTTTCATTTCGAAGATCAAAACTACACGTGTCTTTTATCGAAAGATTTGATGAATACGAAAACTTTGATTGCGAATAAAGCGAAGTTAACATCGGCATCCAACACCATTTCGAATAATGTCCCAAATTCAAACTATCAACCAATAACGAATCATATTCCATGCATTTTGAATTGAGATAATGACCAAGAATATTATCACGAATATCAGGCGACAGATTGTTATATCCATCAAATGTCCAACTTCTTGGAATCGATTGAACACGTCCGCCCAAATGATTTCGTCTCGAAAGCGATTTTTTCGAATAACAATCAATTCGACTTGTTTGAACGTGAACAGAAATCAAGCGACTTTCGGTGACTTCTGAAAAAAATGAAATTTGCAAACAATTTTTTAATTAATAAACTAATTAATTACCATTGTTGTGTTGACTGTCATCTTCTAACTCATCCCAAAGTTCCGCATCTTCTTGGCGTTCTTTATTGCAATTCGCATAATACACTTTGGAAGCATCATCTCTGAAAATTTCAAAAATTAATGAAAATCAGACCTATTCTGGATTTTTCAAAGAAAGATTTTTTACAATTAGAAGACAAACTTGTAAACCTAGTCCTCCTACTGTTTTTCAATGTATTCAGTTAAAAAACTTTTACAAGAATATTTCTGGACTGCTTTCCTTCATCGAAAATGCTTACTTTGTCTGGTCAGTTGCAACAGTTTTCCACGGCTTGCGATTCGCAAATCGACCATTTCCTTTCGCATTATATCGATCCCATTCTTCACGTCCTCGTGTAAAATCTCCAGAATTTGCATAATTTTTGCGAAATTGCTCTTTTGCCGATACGTTCGAATCGTCGTCGCAAATGAGGAACTAAACGAAGATTGATTTGAAAATTGAGATGTGTAAATAGTAGAAAACTCACATTATTCGTCAAATACGATCCCGAACAACTGTGATCCTTCAACAATTCTTTGACATGTTTTCTGAAAAAAACATTGGAATAAATGTTTTTCTAGTTGGTTTTTGAGCCATACTTTGGAGCTCACAGGTCCAAGCAAAGTCAACCGGTTCCAAAAAATGATCCCTTTTGAAAATTCAAAATCCCCTGTCAAAACTCACTCGGCCACATTACTGCGTGTATTAATCGAAGGAATAATAACCGGCCAATACACACCATTTGTTTTCTCAAAAGGCCATTCGTACTTCTTTTCAAGTCTATGAATTGTGAAATCTTTATATGTCCATTCGTCACGATCAATCGGTTCTTCTGAAAAATCCGCACTAGACAAGAATCTTGAAAAAAAAACAAATAACATACGACTTGGTGATCGGCTATTTCTTGGACTATTATCATCATCTGACCAAGAATCAACACAAATCAAATCACCAGCAACATCTTCGTTTCCAAGAACCTCATCCAACATTTTTCGCATGTCTGAAATTAGAGGAATTCGATTTGGAACTCGGGTTCGAGTTTTAGAACCAAAATTTCAGTAGATCTCGGACCATCAAAAATAACCAGGATCACTTCAAAAATTTATCCATTTTTTCAAGCCCAAATTAGCGCTCCTGTGATTACTCTAGTCCAACATTCAGAAATCAGAACCAGAATCCGAACTCAATTTTTGATTTGATTCAGAACGGACCAAAAAAAGCCTGATTATTGAGTTTCGATCCCGATGGTTTTAGAAAACATAAAGCTGCTCTAATTTCCACATAAAATATTGTATCAAAACTCTCACCGATTGTCGGACCATCTTCTTCGAAACGCAAAATTTTTCCAGCTCTAATACTCTCACATCGTTTCTGGATTTCTTCATGAGCATTGTCGAAATTCTTGTAATTGTAATATTTTTCGAATAATCGCTCTGTGATACAAATTCAATTATTTACAGAAAATCAAAACAAAAAAACCAACTTTTTTCAGCTCTTGTTGGCATGTTTTTCGCGACTTTTGGTGGAATTCTTAAATCAAAGTTGAAATAAAGCAAGACTGGTGGATAAGAAATACGTGATGGCACAACTGGAAAAATGGGTTAAGGACCAAATATGACTGCCAAAATTCTAAAACTTACTGGGATCTGGTCCAAAAGTTGGAGCAACACTGTTATCTTCATATGGTTGTCTGAAAAAGATATTTTCGAATCGGGCGTTTTCAGGGAGAGAAATGGAACAGATTTTTTCAACAAATTTCAATAGATAATTCCTCACAAATGTATTCCATAGAATTTTTACTCAAAAAACTCACATTGGAATTCCAGAATAACTTTCATCCAAAAATTCATCACACGGTGTACTTGGCGGTCTCGAAGGTGGTTTTGAAAAACATTGTTGTTTCATCGGTGGTTCTTCGATTCGAACAGCATTCGATTGTCTTGCCAAATTCTGTTCATATTCCCTTCTTCTTGCTTCAGCCGCCGCTTTTGTCTTCATTCTAATAGCTTGCAAATTCTTGTCAATTTGATTCTGTTTTTGTGATTCTTCTTTATCCAATATTTGTTGTTTGCTGTCTTTGATATTTTTTCGCAACCTTTCCATTTCTTCCTCTTTTTTCTTGGCCTTTTCCTGCTCTTCTTGTCGTTTTTCTTGTTCGATCAATTCGCGGCGACATTCTTCGATTTCTCTCTGAATAATTTCGATTTGGTATTTTGGATTGTTACATTATTGAATTTTCAAGAGGATTTTGTGAAAGTGAAGAATAAAAATTAAAATATTGAATTTTGAGAATAATGTCACGTTTGAAAAAGTTCACGTTTTTTTAGAGAAATTTTTGATTTTATTAATTTTTCGGTTTCAAAAAATCGATAATTATTTGAACCCAATTCCTATTTCCCGACCGAAAATCCCAAACCAACCCTCTTCTTTTCCTCTTCAAATCTCTGTTGTCGTTCAATTTCTCGAATTCTAGCCTGTTTTTTCTCTTGTTCTTTCCTTTTTTCCTCCTCTTTTCTCTCCTTTTCCTTTCTCAATTCTTCCTCTTTTTTATCTCGAATCAAATCCAAAGTCGATGCTGAATTTGATGATGATTTCTTGCCAACCGCTAAAAATTATTTTCAACCATTTTTTTTCACAATCAGAAAAAAACTCACAATTATGCGCTGCCTCTTGAACATCTGAAGTCGATGCTGAAGTGCTTGGAACATTTCCAGAATCTGATTTTTTCAGCGGATCCTCTTTTTTCGATTTCAATGGAATACGTGGAAGTTTTGATGGTTGCGCGATTTGTAAAAGATTTTCGAGATCTGGTGATTTCGATTTTCGCTTATTTGATGATGAAACTGTGGCGACTGGTGCAGAAGATGAAGGAAGAGTTGAAGTTGAACAAGATGGAGTACAGACTTCGGATTCTGGCTTCTTTTTAGCTGAAAAATGAAAAATTCAATTTCAAATAATTTTTTACCACAAAAATGGAAATTATGTGATTTATAAATTCAATGAATGAAAATAAATAAAATATTTTAAAACAGTTTTCTGGGGCTGAAGAAAAAATTGGTGTTCCAAAAATTGTTGAATTTTTTTTTCACTGAAATTGGAACTAATTTGAGCAACATATTGTGATCTCAAATTTCAAATTTTGTCCACGTCAATTATGAATATGTCAATTATAAATAATTGGCCAAACTAGCTGTGACATCCAAATTCTTGTGTCAAATATAAATTATGCGATTGAGAACTTTTAAAAATGAAATTTCAACTTGCGGGTGACAATTGGTAAATTTGGATAATGAAACACTGAAAGAAAGAGTTTCAAAATTTCGAGGTTGAAATTTAATTTTATAAGTTTTCAAACTTTTATTTGAAATTTAACTCTGAGAAATATCCATTCCAGAAACGCCTGAACTTCAGGAATATCAAAATCTGATATAATTTTTGAACTTAAAATTCAATTTAGGACTTCAGAAGGATCTCTCAGATAACTCACATTTCGAATCGGATTTTGCTGATTCAGCTTCCTTTGCTTTGCGAATTCTTCTTTCCTCCTTTTCACGTCGTCTTCTTTTTTCCTCTTTTCTAGCTTTCTTTCTTTCCAATTCGGCCATTTCTTTTTGCTTGGCCCTCTTTTCTCGTTCGGCCTTTTTCTTATTTTTCTCTTCTACCATCTTTAATTTCTTATTTTCCAGTTCAACCCTCTTTTTCGATAATTCATCTAATTTTTCCTTCAAATCATCCTGTTTCTTTTTCAACTCGATTTTCTTATTTCTCAATTCAGTCTTCTTTGCACTCTTTTTCTTTCTTGCTTCCCATTTTTTCAAATCAATCTTTCGTTTCTTATTCTCTTCCGAATATTCTCGCTTCGATTCATCGAAATCATAACGTGAATCCAACATCAATTCCATTTTCTCCATTAACAACTTCGAAGGACCTTCAGGATTTCCAGGAACGAGTGGAGAGAACAATTTGTTGTAATCTAAGGGATACATACACGAATTGTCTTGTAAAAGACTGGCTCCAACTCTTTTCACTTTTCCAGCCAATTTCAAACATTTGGCAAGAACTTTTTCTGGATTTGCAGACTTCACAGCTCTACCACCTCTTCTCTTTAAAATCAGATCCAATTTGTGGAAGCTTTCCTTGTAAGATTGGGAATCTTTCTTGGATAATTTGACAATCGGATTCTTGTTTTCCACCTCGAATTTCTCCACCGATAATTGTTTTTTAATTATTACCGGCATTGCCAGCTCCGAAAAATATTCGATTTTTTCACTCGGTTTTTTGATTGGAACATGTTTGAATTTTCGGTTGGATAGAAAATTGACAACTTTCTTTGATTTGGAAGAAGATTTTGAAGGAACGAACTTTTGCGTTTTCGATAATTCTGATAGAATGAACGGCTCAATCTTCGATTTATCGAAAGCTAAAAACTTTTTTATTGATTTATAAATGATATCAAAAAAAACTTACGAGGACATTTCAATATTGGTAAATTATCCTCCTCAAAATTCTCTCGATTTTTGACTGCAGGTAGCTGAAAATTAATCTTTATAACTCCCTTACTAATTATTATAACTAATAAATTTCTCTTGATTTTTTTGTGCTCACCTTATCTCTTTCAAGCACGCGCATAGTCAATATTTAAACAATAATTATCCATATATTTATCTGTTTTGACTATAAAACCATTATATTGTGTTATAAGTGAGAAAGAGGATAGTGAAAACAACAAAAGAAAAGAAACATCTGTTAGTTTGGGATAGTGTGAAAAGAAAATGTGGAGAGTGGTTAGACAAGCAGAGAAAAGAAAAGAAAGAATGCGGGAGAGTCGAAAGGAGTACGTACTTTGGGGAATAGATATAGTCCTAATTAATAATTTATGATAATCTGAGATTATTCAAATGAACTCATAGAATATAAGAAAATTGTATTTTGTGAAACTATTTAATTAAAGTATTAAAAGGAATGATATTGTAGAAGTTCGAAAACGAACTTTACTTTTTACAAGGTTAAACTTTTCGAAGAAAAAAGGCAGTTGGTGGAATAGACATAGAGCTACACAATTCAATTCAAAATTAGGGCAAACTTGGGCAATCAAAAAGAGTAAGTACAAGGATTTTCGGGAGCTTCAGAACCCAAATCATTTTTTTTTCTTCAAGCTTTGTAAAGTCATGAGGTAGTGAAACTTGACAAATCTTGATCTCTAGAAGAAATTCTCAGTAAAAGTATTACAAAAACAACTACACTCAGGCAGTAGAAAACTCCAGAGTTTCGCCGAAATGGAACGAGAATGTTGCTAAAAAGGCTCCAAACCCGGTTCCGGATCTTTTCTCGGTACGCTTTGGCGATTCTCCGGAACTTTTTTGTCGTTTCTCCAGAGTTTTTTGTTTTTGTCGTCTGATTTTTTCGAATACATTCTAGTCTTTCACTCTCAAAAATCAATATTTATTTTCAACAAACAGGAAAAATTAGTTATTTTCTGATTGTTTCAATCTCCAAGCGAGTAGAATATAAGCATCAGAAGATTCCTTTGGCATTCTAATGAAGATTTGGTGTTGACTTCGGCAATTTTTTGACAAGAACTTCTGTTTCTTATCATTTTGAGCCAACGAGAAGTGATGCAGCACTGTGTGGAGACGCCATAAGCGCATTTCATGCTGAAAATTGAGAAAGGAAAATAGATTTATAAGGATGATTCTCCAAGAGTATTATTAATCGTCATTTCTCACTTTGAAATTGTGAACGACCTTTTTGAGATAGGATGTGATCATGGTCATAAACTTGAAATTTGGAAACTATCAAAGCTCAAAAACTCGAAGAACAAACGTTCATCGATTTTCTTTTTCATGACTCACCTCATAAATAGAATACATCTTGTGATTCACGATTTTGGAAATATTGCAATGCGATCCTCCAGAAATGAAAATTGAGCGGGCCTCTGCTTTCGAATTCTCCTAGCACGAGGGATTCAATTGAATCTATAAATAAAACTAGTATTCACTTCTGTTGAAGAAACTTCACTCACCAGGAGCAAAAATCGCTAATTGTATTCCAAGTTCAGGTTGACTTTTATCCATGACGATTTCGTAGGACGCACATTGCTTCTAGGCGATTTCAATTGTCTGAAAATTATCAAATTAGGCAAAGACACTCTGAAAACTGAGCATTTTTGAAGGAATAGCAAAAACTAGAAAAACGAAAAAAAATGAAATGAAAAAATGACTCGTCATTGTCATCATTCGATGGAGCGCGTTCGATCGACAGCGATTTGCTCCGGAGAATCGCCAAAATCAAACTAGAAAGGCGTGCCAAACTAGAAAAAACAGGCGCTCTCTCGATTTTCTGTACCCACTTTGGCCTATCTTCGGAGTTTTTGCGTTTTCTGGTTCCCCTCCGGAGTTTTCTACTGCCTGAGCTCATCATCGCCCTGCTCAGGCAGTAGAAAACTCCGGAGGGGAACCAGAAAACGCAAAAACTCCGAAGATAGGCCAAAGTGGGTACAGAAAATCGAGAGAGCGCCTGTTTTTTCTAGTTTGGCACGCCTTTCTAGTTTGATTTTGGCGATTCTCCGGAGCAAATCGCTGTCGATCGAACGCGCTCCATCGAATGATGACAATGACGAGTCATTTTTTTCATTTCATTTTTTTTTCGTTTTTCTAGTTTTTGCTATTCCTTCAAAAATGCTCAGTTTTCAGAGTGTCTTTGCCTAATTTGATAATTTTCAGACAATTGAAATCGCCTAGAAGCAATGTGCGTCCTACGAAATCGTCATGGATAAAAGTCAACCTGAACTTGGAATACAATTAGCGATTTTTGCTCCTGGTGAGTGAAGTTTCTTCAACAGAAGTGAATACTAGTTTTATTTATAGATTCAATTGAATCCCTCGTGCTAGGAGAATTCGAAAGCAGAGGCCCGCTCAATTTTCATTTCTGGAGGATCGCATTGCAATATTTCCAAAATCGTGAATCACAAGATGTATTCTATTTATGAGGTGAGTCATGAAAAAGAAAATCGATGAACGTTTGTTCTTCGAGTTTTTGAGCTTTGATAGTTTCCAAATTTCAAGTTTATGACCATGATCACATCCTATCTCAAAAGGTCGTTCACAATTTCAAAGTGAGAAATGACGATTAATAATACTCTTGGAGAATCATCCTTATAAATCTATTTTCCTTTCTCAATTTTCAGCATGAAATGCGCTTATGGCGTCTCCACACAGTGCTGCATCACTTCTCGTTGGCTCAAAATGATAAGAAACAGAAGTTCTTGTCAAAAAATTGCCGAAGTCAACACCAAATCTTCATTAGAATGCCAAAGGAATCTTCTGATGCTTATATTCTACTCGCTTGGAGATTGAAACAATCAGAAAATAACTAATTTTTCCTGTTTGTTGAAAATAAATATTGATTTTTGAGAGTGAAAGACTAGAATGTATTCGAAAAAATCAGACGACAAAAACAAAAAACTCTGGAGAAACGACAAAAAAGTTCCGGAGAATCGCCAAAGCGTACCGAGAAAAGATCCGGAACCGGGTTTGGAGCCTTTTTAGCAACATTCTCGTTCCATTTCGGCGAAACTCTGGAGTTTTCTACTGCCTGAGTTCTCAACTTTTTTCTCAAAACTCTGATATTATCAATTGGCGCTTGATATTTCGAATAGATCAAATTTTCATCGATTATTTTGCGTGTACACGAAAGCTCACTTATATCGTAAAACACAATTTCTGAGTTGTACTAGCCTGGATTAGTGAAACTCTCACAACAGAATAGTGCAATTTCGTATATACAAACTCATGCGTAAAATAAATGACCATTTGTTTTCTTTTTCCTTTCTTTTCAAAAAATTTTCCCCCAAAATTCTTTTGTTCGCAAAAACTATGATTCATATAACATATTTTTTGATCAATATATTTTTTGACATCTCACTTTTCATCGTCAAAAAAATGTATTATTGAATTATTCATGAATGAGTTTCATAGTTTGATGTACGAATTTAGAGATCAAATTTACTGATAAACGGTCGCTTTTCGAACTTGTTGATAACAATTTTTCGCCTTTACCCGTTTGTTTTTTCTCTCTGAAATTTAGTTAACTCACCTTTGATGACATCGTTTTATTTTCTTCAGGCGATAAACATGCGTTTCAAATTTATTACTCTGAAATAATTAATTGGTTTTCAATGACAATTAGGTTGATGTCAATTACATTTGCGTGTATGGGGTATTTAGAGTAACGTATATTGCAAAAATTCAATTCAATTAAATCGTCCTAGAAATTTAATTTCTCCTCTTTTTCAAAAAGAAACTTGTTTGAATTAGTGAAATAGAATCTAGATTTTAAAAAAGATCATCATAAACACAGGCAACCTTAAAACTGTCATGTTTTGACGGAAAGTAGGCTGGAAAAAAAGAAAAAATTAAAAATTAAAAATCAAGGCGCACGTGATTGTTTTTGTGTGTCTTGCAACGAATACAGTAAAAGAAGAAACATTTGTTGATTTGTTCATTTGTTTCTCACCACGAACACAGTAAATATGCTTCAATTATTTTGCGCCTTTGAACTGTAATTTTTTTCCGATTTTTTTAATTAAAAAAAGGGGAAACTTTAATGAATCTATGAAATTTAAAATAAAATGATCAAAAAAATAATTTTTGCAGAGCTAGGAAATGGAAAATGTTCGAAATCTCATTGAAGCCTCATTCCCGGATGTGAAAAATTTCAAAAAAGAAATAGATGTCAAAATCGAATGTCTAGAAAATGCCCGAAGTTTTTGGTCGGAATGTTATCGCGTCACACTAACTCCAAAAAATGCTGAAATTATGTACAAAGTTGTCTCACCACTTTTCATCAAGGTATTTAACACTAGTGATTTTTTTTAAATTAAAAAACAATTAATTTCAGGTTTCTCGAATATCCGACACTAACAGTTGTTTGGACGCAGACAATGAAGAAGAAAACACCAAAATTTTACTGAAACTATCAGAAAGAGAAACCCAGTTTCTCAACGATTTTCGCAATTTCGACTTCAAAAATTTCCCAATTCCCCGCAATTTTTTGGCAATTGATATTGATTTGGACAAAACTCCGGGTGGACTTGTATCAGAAGATTTGAGTGGATTTGCAAAATCAGTGCAATATATTCCAGGATTCACCGATTCACAAATGCTTCAAATTTTAAGAGCATTGGCAGGCTTTCATTTTTCAGTGTTATCAAAATCTAATGAAATTCTATGGGAAAATTATGAGAATAGTTTGTATGATGCAGATTATATCAATATGCTGGTATGTGACATTTTTCAATTGTTTTTATTCAAGTTCAAAAAAAAATTCCAGTACAACGATACTTTGGACCTCGAAAACATTGTTCCCGACCAATTTGCTGGTAAAATTCAATCAATAAAACATATCTTCAATACTGATTCTGTTCGAATTGCCCAAGAATCTGATAAATTGCAAAATATGCCCGAAGTTTTATCGCATAATGATTTGAATTCGTCGAATATTTTATGGAATACTGAAAATGGAAAAATTGCCGGATTTATTGATTTTCAACATTTGGCGAGAGGTTCGATTGTTTTTGATATTATTCGATTATTAACACTTGGATTATCTGTTGAGAAAAGAAGGGAAAATACGATTAGGTAAGTTTTTCGGAGAATATTTCAATCCAAAAAAATTGATTCAAATTCTGAAAAAGACCCATTTTAAAAATCTCGAGAAAAATGTTTTGTAAAAAATTTGAATCCAAAAAAAGGGGCCAGATTTTTATTAAATATTTTTCGAAAAACATTTCAAATTATTGTAAGGAATAAACTTCTTAAAAATTATGAAAACAGTGCAAATATAATTTTTTTTTAGTTGAAAATCAAAAATTTCAGCCAGAAATCGCCAAAAATTGATTTCGGAAAAAAACTTATAATTGTTCCAGATATCTCCAATTTTATTACGACTCCCTCGCCGAATTATTGGGTGATGAGCTGAATTTCACATTTGAACAGGTACTGATTTTTTTTCTTCAAAAAATAGAAATCTCCACAAAAATGAACTAAAATCGATCATATTTTAACACCAGAAATTCGAAAAAAAAAATTAATTGGATAGTCTTGAAACAGTAAATTTTTTTTTCGAAAAAAACCGATCAAATTTTAAATTTCCAGCTTCTTCTCTCATTCCACACACATTTTGGATTCGTCAGCGCCACAACATTATTTGGTTGCTATTATTACTATAAAATGTATAATGAAGACTCGATAAACCTTGCTGAGAAACAAAATTCCTCCTCAGACGCTCAAGAAATTCTTAACAGAGCACTTGGAATTATTGAAGATATTGAGAAATTGAGAAAATAGTGCGCATGAAAAAAATATTGCGAAATTTCAACAAATCATTTTTTTTCTCGTTGCTGTGATTATTGTTTGCATATAAAAACATTTGTTCATAACCAGTTTTTCCTTCTTTTTTTTTCGAAAAAAAAGCCAAATTTTCCATTAGTTTTAATTTTTAAACGGTTATCAGACGGAACATTATATTACACGTAAAGAACTCTTATCTATAAATTTGTGTTGAGTGACTGACTGTTAAGGCTAGTCATTTTATTTTATTTTTTATTGATTGTGGTCTCCATTTTTATTTTTATTTTGTAAGCAAGAAAAAATGTCAGATGAGGTTATCCTGACACCTACAATAAAATCACGCAAGAAAATTGATAAATCAATGATTGGAGTGCCAATGGATTTCAGGTAAAAACATTTTTATTGAATTATTTGTTCAAAATAAAATTGATCCAATTTTCAGACACTTGGCACATTGTGAGAATAAAACTGAATCGGAGAAAAATCAAATAAGAACATCGGTAAATGTGATTGATGCTGTTAATCAACCACATTATTATCAACGACCAACATCTTCTACAACTACATCTTTGCGATCGATTTTGAAAAAAGAGGTAAACATTTTTTGTTGCAAAAAGGGTGGCACATAAATAATTGGGAGAGGTTGTGACGCAGAGAAACATTTTTCGGTTAGAAATTCGCTATCAACAAATTAAAGGGTCTATGAACACGTTCTGTAGATCAAAATTGCTCGGGAAAAAGAGAAAAAATTTCTTAAATGTCTAGGTCTTATAAAAAATATATACAAAGATCACAATCCCAAGTTCTTCCTAATTCCAGAACATCAGTCTCGATGAAGTATTCCGAGCCCCATCTCCATCTCCATCTAACAATAAAATCTCAAATGCTCGAGGATATGTCAATCAACCAACATCTCATACTTATCAAAATATAATAATCGGAAATCGGCCGAGCACAAAAACACATCAAGCTCCTCCGCCACCTTTACCCGGTGGAGCAAAACCGAAACTGATAGGAACTGACGAAGAGATGGAGGTCAATTCAAGTCCCCCACCTGTTGTTTTCAGGTATTATTTAAAATCTTTTTGACAAAAATAAAAAAAATAAAATATAAATTTAGACAAATTTCGAGTACACCTGCACCAGTCGAATTGGAGCAACCCGAAATATTGACACCAGATGTGATTTTTGCCCCAAAACCTAATTCAATCGTAAGTTTCTACAGTACTTTACTGATAATAAGTTATTTGATAGATTATTGAGCGACCGGATATGTTGATGAGTTTCAGTTTGGGGTTAGATGCAGTAATTCCAGTCCAAGAAGAAGTCTCATTTGAATTTCCTATACAAGAAAAAATTGTTGAAGAAACACCTATTTTATTCTCACAAAGTCCACCAAACAATGAATATTTGTCTGAAATGAATTCGAAGATGTCAACAATTCGAAGTACTTCGGCACAAGGAAAAGAGGTATTTTTGAAAGGAAATTTAAAACGAGAAATCTGCATAAAACTTTAGAAATAGTGAAGCTCTAATGTTAATCGAAAATGCTAAATTTTTTCGTGGGAAAATTTCAGAGGGAACTTTAGAAAGTTCTCAAGAAAAATCCTTCAAAATAATTATTTTGTTCAGATACTCGATGATTTGGATGATTGGTTAGATGAATTGGATGATTTTGATAGAGAGAAATTATCAACAATCAGTACGGACGAAAGTGGTTATCCAACATTAGCATCACCTCAAGATCGACAATTCATCGAATTTTTGGTGGACAAATATTCGCTAGGTGTTGAGCCTGAAACAGTTCGCGTCAAAAAACCAATTCCATCAACAAAAAAGAATCACGCACCAATTCCAAGCTTCGATCCTTCATCAGATAATCGTCCTAAAAGTTTGCCACCTAATCGACCGCCTCCATCTTACGACACTCCAAGTTATGAAGCACCTTCAAATCTGATAACAACGAAAATGTTGGCGAAACAAAATGCAATCGATTTGCGATCGACAATTTCGTCGGATACTATTCCTCCGGAATTATCCAAATATTTTGATGAGAAGAAGAAATGGCGAAACTCAACTCCTGGAACAATTTCTTCTGGTATCACTGATTTTTCAACAACTTCTTCAAGAAATGAACAATCTGACGATGTTTTATCAATTGTTAGTGAAAGATCGGATCTAAATGAGATTGAGATTGAAGAGATAAATGAAGCCATTTTGCCACCGATTCCTCTTCCAAGAAAGAAGTTAGCAGTATCAAAAGAAGATGAGAATTTTGATATGAAAACTGATTTATCAAAGGAAACCGCTGATGAAAATTCGAACGTAAAACCTGAAGTCGATGAGGCTAAATTGACTATCTCAGAAGAAACACCAGACGAGAATTGTAATGTTAAAAATGAAGAAGAAATCGAGGATGAAGAAGATGAAGAAACATTTGTATGTAGATTCTGATAAAATAAAATTTTTTATTTATTTTTCAAAATTTTTGGAATTGTGATTTTGAAAGGAGGATAAGGAGCTCAATTAAAAACTAGAGATAGCCGAAAGGAAACATTTGTTTGATCAAGAGATACCTCTGATAAGAATTCTAACGAAACAACTAAAGTAGGAAAACCTGACTAACTAAAATAATTTTAGAGAATTCAAAAAATAAATACTGATAGTATCCAAGGTAACCAAAAATACTATAAAGTCTTAAAGTTGATTTTTATGAAATCTAAAAAACTTGAAAGGAAAACAGGTTTTCGGTATTTCAAAATCCTAGACCTAAAACAATTCTTGATCTGTTTCCATTGTCTGAACAAAACGTGAAAAATTAAAATTTGAAAAATAACGAGGAATTCGACGTTCAAAGACATCAATTACTAGATTTTAATAAAAAAACAGTTTATTTATTTTTAATATGTACAAGATTATTTGATTAATCAATTAAACAGGCGACATTTGAAGAGATCTCAAATTTTCTTGCGCGGCCTCGAAATCTTCTCGCAAATATCTCATTTTTGCTGGTGTCACAAATTCCTCGTTATAAACATTTTTCTGGAAAAAATCAAATGATTAGGAAAATGTGTTAAAAGTTCTTTAAAAACTCACCAAAGCCATTTCACTTCTCATCAGAGCATATTTTGCCAATTCCAAATCGCATTCATATTTTGTATGTTGATCGCATTCCGGTGAATCGTGTCGTTTAATCAAATCATACTCGATTTTCCCGATTTTCGCCATTTTTTCAGCCTCGTCACACATGTCTGAAACAAGGAAACAAATAATACAAAAATGAATAATTAGATTACGATCTGGCCCCAAAAACCGAAAGGCGTGGTTGTGAAAATGAGAGGTGAAAAAGAAACAAAAACAACAAATAACGAGGAAAATCGAGAGAGAAAATTGAAAATGAATGAATGAAAAACAACAATTTTTTGGTTGAAGATGAAAAGGACCACGTGAGTGGCTGAGAATGATAAAAACAAACAAAAACCAATAAAATGAAATGAAAAAAAGAGGGTGTTTAAATAAGAAAACAATATTGCGCGCTCTTTCTGTGATAAATCTGTGATAAAACTTCAAAGAACATATTCATGTTAAAACTATCAAATTTTCAAAATATCAATATATTAGTATCAAAGAACAACAAAATAAGAATACCTTGGATTTCAATTTCTCAAAGGGACACGTATATTGCCGAGGCGAATTAATTCGGCACCATATTTCTCGTAAAGCTCTCCGCCTTCCTGAAAAACTTTGAGTATTCAAAAAACTATTTTTTTTGTACTTATTTTTTTTTTAATTTTATATTTTCATTTATTATTTTATTTTTATTTTCAAAATATTCAACCAGTTTTGTATTTCGATTCTAATTCAAAAATCATATGGTCAATATTTACTCTTTATCTATTTTTGCAAACTTCAGCAGTCACGTGGTGAAATTGACAGATAACCTTGAATCTTTCGTTGAAAAAAATGAGAAAAGAAATCGTAGCGTGGAAATGGGAAAAACGAGTAATTTATTAGAGAGTATATAATTTTGAGCTGGAAAAACTTAGAGGATCAAAGTGAAGCTCAAAAATTTGATTTTCAGGGCGGTGAAATTGTTTCTGTGCCCACTTTAGGTTAATTCAAACCTAGTAAGAGGGTTGTGGCAAAAGTTTAGATTCGGAAAAAATCTGATCATTTTTAGGCTAATGAATTTTCATTTTCGGCTACTTTTTTATCCTATAATTTTTCGAAATTTTTTTTTCAAAAGCAGAAATGGACCCCTGCAGAAATGGACCCCCTAAAAGGTTTTCAGTTCAAAAATCTCTCAAACTACCAAAATTCTTACCTGAAAATCTTTTCCAGCTTCTCTCATAGTCAATGCTATCCGTCTTCCTCTTATATGATGTGGCAATATTCCATGACTCCATTGATATCTCGCATCATCAGCCATACAAAGAAAAGAGCGATGTGGCATATAAACATAACATAACTGTTCAGTCGAATCATTTGTCATTGTCATAACACTTCCATTTATCAGGTTTATACTGAAAACAGTAAAGTTGTTGTATTTATAAGAAAAACTCAATCTAATTTTCCCTTCCAAAAATATTCACCTGATTAGTCGATTTCCCCATATCCACATATCATCTTTATGCATCTCAATTCCACTTTTCTTCGATTCCTCATATTCCAAATTGCACATTTCAAAAGGCTGATAATTTCCCAATTTTTCACTGTTATGATTTCGCATTTTGTCGAGCAGGAAATCTGCGTATTCTGGCATTCCTGAAAAGTAATTTTCTAGAAATGAAAAATAAATACTCATTTCGGAAGTCGCGTTGCGTGTTGAACTCGATTTTTTTTTAAAAAGAAAAATTATTTTCTATTTATTTATTTAAATTATAAATTCCTCATTCCTAGAAAAATTCTAACAAACACTTACCTACAAATGTGTTAGTTTTCACTTTTTTTTGCTTAAAATTCACTTTTGGTCCATAATCCTGTTTTCGTCTGCCACTTTGTGATGGAGCCCAATCAACTCGGTCAATCATATCCAAAATATCAGTTTCTTCCTCATTTGACAAGAAATTTTGTATTAAAATAAGCCCGTTTAATTTGACACATGAATCTGGTGAGAAATCTCGACTTTTTTGTGTTTCACTGATTATTTCTTCAAGACTTGATTTTGAGGTGAGATTTTGTGAAGGTATTCCAATATTTCGTGTTGGATCGTATATGAAAATCTGGAAAGGAATATGGAATTGAAGGAAATTTGGGGAAAAAGAATTAAAAACCTGATAACTTTCGAATTTATTTCCTTCGATTCGTAAATTCTTCACACGATCCGAAGTCTCACAAAGACCACAAAAACGTGCTCCTTTACATCCACAACTTTCGTGTGGCGATGTACCCATTTGATTTCTGTATAATTAACGATTTAGTTAGCCCGAAACCAAAAAAAAAGTGGCAAAAAAAGAAAAATAAAATAAAATATGTGTGCGGCGGTTGCGAAAGTGTGTGTACATGTTGCACAATGTGATGAAAGCCACGCCCACTTTTTTATTTTTTTGAAAAATTGTTTTTGTTGGCCCAGTTTTGCTGCGAATAGTTGTTATTTCTCGATTTTCCATATTGAAAATGTTTTAAAGTTTTCCTATCAATTTCTCACTATCGTAAAATCAATGTTTCTTGTCCTTAGGAAATGAAGTGTCAAAAACTGATCTATGAAGTTTGTCATTTGTTGTTGCATCGTCATTTCTTTCATTATAAATAAATAGCAAAGCTAGTCTAACCCATTGCATTTATAGTGATGTCGCTAGCAGTTCGAAGTTTATTGAGGAATACACATCAATTAAAGGTAATCAATTGATTTTTCAAAATCTCATAGCTTCTTCTTTTTTTCAGATGTTCAGCGCGCCATTTTCCCTCTCCACCGTCGCTCAAACCGAAATTTTAGTAGAAAAGCAAGCTGATAAACGTATAGTTACTCTAAATCGACCAAAAGCGCTGAACGCATTGAATTTGAATATGGTTCGTGAATTTTATCCAATGATGAAAGAATGGCAAAATTCGAAAGATGTAAGCTTGGTTATTCTAAAAGGATCCGGCGAGAAGGCTTTCTGTGCGGGTGGAGATGTGTTAGCCGTCAGCAAATCATACAAAGAAGCTGCTGCTGGTGGTGAAACCACTATGCACAAAGATTTCTTCCGCGAAGAATATATTCTCAATCATCTCATCGGAACCTTCTCCAAACAATATGTATCGCTAATTGATGGAATTGTGATGGGTGGAGTAAGTTATTTTTCAACTTATTCCAAACAAAAAGTAAATTCCAGGGCTGCGGACTATCTGTAAATGGTCGTTTCCGTGTGGCTACCGAGAAAACAATGTTAGCAATGCCTGAAACAGCATTGGGACTTTTCCCAGATGTTGGTGGATCGTATTTTCTTTCTAGATTAAAGGATAATCTTGGAATGTTTTTGGCATTGACTGGATATCGATTATTAGGTGCTGATACTTTTCACGCTGGAATGGCTACGCATTTTGTGAGTTGGAGGTTTGGGTGGAGGATATGAGTTATGACGTGACAAAATTAGGAATTTCCTAAAAATTTCACACCTTTGCCACGTCATATGTTACAGCTCTATTTTCGTTTCAAAAATTCAATGATCATATTTCTTCAGGTCGAGTCATCATCACTTGGAGATCTTCAAAATAACTTGACAAATTTGAAAAATGTCACTGAATCTGCCGTCGACAAAGCCATCAAATCCCTCGAACCCTCAAATATCCCCGAATTCTCCCTATCAAATCATATCACACAAATCAAAAATTGTTTTGGAGGAAGATCAATCGAAGAAATCATCCAAAATCTCGAAAAAGATGGAAGTGATTGGGCGAAAAAACAAATCCAAACTCTCAATAAAATGAGCCCAACTTCTCTCAAAATAACACATCGACAAATCAGCGAAGGAGCAAGATTGAGTTACTCGAAAATCTTCACAATGGAATATCGATTGACTCAAAGATTCCTCGAAGATCCAGATTTCCATGAGGGATGTCGAGCAATTCTTATTGATAAGGATAGAAATCCAAAGTGGAATCCAGCCAAGTTAGCTGATGTTACTGAAGAAACTGTTGAGAGATACTTTTCGCCATTGCCAAATAACGAGGATTTAAAGCTCAATGAATAAAAAAGAACCTCGGGTTTCTTGTTATATGTATATTTATTTTTATTTGAAATAGAGAAATACAGATTTTTATATTTTTTTTGGAAAGTTGCAAAATGTGCGATGAAAAGTTCCTCAGGGATCTGTTAAAATATTTATTTTCGTATTATTTTTTGTAAAGCAAGCCAAGCTAAAAGTATTTTTCAGATGACAGTGAACCATCACAAGAATGGTACACTGTCAGGTGAGCTCAATGAGCAGAAATGTTTACCTCTGAAGGATAAATGGCTGCTGGTGCCGGCTTTTTTGAAGGTTCGCGGATTGGTTAAACAACATTTGGTCAGTTTTGATCATTTTGTGAATGAGGAAATTCGCAATATTATGTTGTCAAATCAGAAGATTACCAGTGATGCAAATTCGAATTTTTATTTGAAGTGAGTCATACATCGCAATCTTCCCCTCTGAACCTCAAAGTGATACACTCTATTAAAAAAAAATAATCGCGAGTGATACACCCTAATTTTTGTATGGAAGGCGCGAGCCTTCCATCAAAAAAAAAAATTTTTTTGTTCTCAAAAAAAAAATTTAAAAATTTTGCAACACCATTGCTCTTGGCAGGAATCGATCCAGCGACTTTCAGCATTATAAGCTCGCGCCTTAACGACTGCGCCAAGCTTGCACTTTTCTTCCCATTCTTCTTTTTTAAAGATATAATTGGTGAGATGAGAGATAGAAAAGAGAAGAGATCATCAGCTTGAAGAAAATTTGCATATTTTCTGTCTGACAATTGTCAAAATAATACTTGAACGAGTAAAAGTTGAAACATGAAACTTGGCACACATAAAATTAAGCGTAGTCTGAAGGGTATTGAACAATAAAATCGGAGGGAGACCCTAGAACTCAAGGTGCACACCCGGTCCACTGAAGAGGCCTTTTTTGACTAGTTTAGGGGACCGGGTATGCACCTCACTTCTGAGTCATTATTTCGGGTAGAACTGTTTAGAACTTTATATTAGAGGAAATTTGCTAACTTTCTATTCAAAAATATTTTAGAAAACCATACTAAAATGGTATTTCCTTGAGGGGTGAAAATGTGCATTTTTTACAAAAAAAAAATTTTTTTTGAAATCGAGGGAAATCCAAGATTTGATTTTCGTTTTTTCTTTAAATCAAACTAATGACTTAATTTGAGTCACTGAACTACGTGGTGACCATAAATTTTTAATTTCCTCGATGATCCCGACACGAAGATCGAGAGAAACATCCGAATTCCATCAATGTCAAAATCATACAAAATACATTGCTTTTCGTTTCAATAATGATGTTTAGGATTTAGAATGCTCAAATGGAAGTGTTTTATCGAAAATGCAATAATAATATGCCATGAAAATCGATTTATTGGGTCATAACAATTTTTCTAGATGGTCTCACTGAAACCATCGGAATAGATCTCACAATAAATGAAATTGTAGTATCAGAGTTGGAATTGATAGGCTATATGCACTAGTGACCCAAATAGCTCAGAAAAAATTTGTGCCTGATTTGAAAAAGATAAAGTGATTAATAGCAAAAATCAAAAGTTAGTATCTTTTTGGCAATTACTGTAACTCGTTTTGGAAAAGTTTCTGGTAGTATTTGAGGTCACCACGTAGTTCAGTGACTCAAATTACAGGGTGCGCCATAAATACCCGGACAGCTATAATTCAATATATTTTTCCAAAATAGAACAGTTTTTTTGTGTATGGTTTTAAAAATACTTAATTAGGTCCCTAACGAGTAAATTAAAATCAAACTCTCTTAACTTGGTCAATTCTACGAGTCGGGAGAACATGTAGAACTTCAGGGAAAATTTCATCACGGCACGCAGAACAATGAAAAAGTGGTCTCGCTATTTTTGGATGAAATTATTTTTATTGCGAAGGCTTCATTTGAGTTGTAAAATGTTTGAGAGGTTGTCAGAGAGTCCCAAGAAGCCAAGAAAAAATATAACATTGTCCACCATGTCTCACACCAAGTTTGGGTGGAGATTTTTGGAACAGTCTGCTTCATTGGGAGAAATCATTGATCTCCATTGATTTTGGGGTCAAAATTGGGAGTAAAGTTGAAATAAATGTATTTCTGGACTAACATATGTACCTAAGAATGAAAATCAGCCTCGATAACAAACATCAAGTGCTCCAGCCAATCACAGTACACAATAAAAGATAAAATCTCCCAAAATCGCTGTTGAGAAACAATTTTTTCGATTTGAGCAACGTTTTTAAATTGATGTTACTTTTGTCAGAAACGAACCCATTGCATAATTCCTTTCAAATTAGTTATCGGAAAGGTTCTAGGTAAACCTCCAATCATGTATTTAGACTATACTGAACCTAGTTTTCAAGTATTGGGACAATATGTCCGACAAATGGCAGCGTGCCAAGGTGAAATTTTCCCCAAAGTTCTACAAGATTTCCCAACTCGTAGAATCGACCAAATTAAGAGAGAATGATTTTAATTTACTCGTTAGGGGCCTAATTAAGTATTTTTAAAACCATACACAAAAAACTGTTCTATTTTGAAAAAATATATTGAATAAATAGCTGTCCGGGTATTTATGGCGCACCCTGTAAGTCATTAGTTTGATTTAAAGAAAAAACGAAAATCAAATCTTGGATTTCCCTCGATTTCAAAAAAAATTTTTTTTTTGTAAAAAATGCACATTTTCACCCCTCAAGGAAATACCATTTTAGTATGGTTTTCTAAAATATTTTTGAATAGAAAGTTAGCAAATTTCCTCTAATATAAAGTTCTAAACAGTTCTACCCGAAATAATGACTCAGAAGTGAGGTGCATACCCGGTCCCCTAAACTAGTCAAAAAAGGCCTCTTCAGTGGACCGGGTGTGCACCTTGAGTTCTAGGGTCTCCCCCTCCGATTTTATTGTTCAATACCCTTCAGACTACGCTTAATTTTATGTGTGCCAAGTTTCATGTTTCAACTTTTACTCGTTCAAGTATTATTTTGACAATTGTCAGACAGAAAATATGCAAATTTTCTTCAAGCTGATGATCTCTTCTCTTTTCTATCTCTCATCTCACCAATTATATCTTTAAAAAAGAAGAATGGGAAGAAAAGTGCAAGCTTGGCGCAGTCGTTAAGGCGCGAGCTTATAATGCTGAAAGTCGCTGGATCGATTCCTGCCAAGAGCAATGGTGTTGCAAAATTTTTAAATTTTTTTTTTGAGAACAAAAAAAATTTTTTTTTTTGATGGAAGGCTCGCGCCTTCCATACAAAAATTGAACCTCAGTGATAGACCCCCTCAATTAAAAAAAATAGCAAAGTGATAGACCCTAATGGCCCCTGCAGGGGGAGCGATGCGATCTATGAAGTGAGTTGGATTTTGAGGGGAAATTGAGTTGAAAATCGATAAATTTGACACAGACAGAAATATCCTCCGCTTTGTAATATATCAGGCTACAGTTCCCAACATATTCTGTCATTTCGAAAATAATACAAAATTTTTAGCTTCAAAAAAAGTCTTCACACAAATACTTTCTCAATTTAGTGGTAGAAGGCGTTTTTTAAGCCAAAAATCATGAAAAATGGTAGATTTCGAGCCTGAAAAATTGAAATTTCAGTAATTTTAACCCAAAAATCGATGAATTCTGAATTATTTAGGCCTACAATTGAATTATGATCGATAAATTATGAGAAATGCGATTAGACTCGAAAACACTCACAATCAGATTCATTTTCGAATTTTTTGTAAGATGAGCAATGCTCCTTACTTTTGGACAGAAATTTTCAGATTTCCACGTTTCAACTTTTAAAAAATCCCCTAAACATAATTATTTTCCAGATACAATGATATTCGAATCGGAAAACCATCAAGTGAAGAAGGTCTCAATCAAACCCACGACAGAATAACTCCACAAGAATGTCGATTACGTGATATGACATATTCAGCACCAATTTCAGTTGATATCGAATATACACGTGGAAATCAACGAGTTTTCAAAAAAGATTTGGTTATTGGACGAATGCCAATTATGTTGAGATCGAGTAAATGTATTTTGAAAGATTTGTCGGAAGAAGAATTGGCACGAGTTCAAGAATGCCCACATGATCCAGGAGGTTATTTTGTTGTAAAGGTAATAGTGGTTTGATGATTGAATTAATTGATTAATCATTGATTTTTTAGGGAAGTGAGAAGGTGATTCTGATTCAAGAACAATTGTCGAAAAATCGTATTATGGTTGGACGAAATTCTTCGAAAGAATTGCAATGCGAAGTTTTGTCTTCAACTTCGGAAAGGAAGAGTAAAACTTATGTTACGGTGAAAAAAGGAAAATATCTTCTTCGACACAATCAATTGACTGATGATGTTCCAGTTACTATTATTTTCAAAGCTATGGGAATCGAATCAGATTATGATATTGTTAGTACGATTGGACATGAGGAAAAGTTGGTTTTTTTTCTGTTTGAAATTTTTAAACTTGCAATCAAGATTTTACGAAAACAAAAAAAACGCATTGCGTGGCCGTCCAAGCCACACAATGAGTTTTTTTTTATGTAAAACGAAAAATCTGCAAATTTGCATAAACAAAAAAACTGTGCAAACACTTTTGTCTAATTCAAACCAAAAAAATACATTTCAAAATTTTTAATATAATTCACTAGGTGCTGTTAGGCTTAAGGCGGGACTCTTTTTTTTCAAAAGACATCGTTTTTTTCACGTCAAAATTTTTTCAAGCATAGTATAGGAATGAGGGATTACATAATACCATTCTCGACTTTCCATTCATTTCAATCAATTTTTATTCTCTGAAATCACCTCATTCACAACACTTTTTTTGAAAGCACTAAAAAGTTCTCATTTTTATTTATTTAAAAAATTTAATCAATTTTCTGTTGAGATGTCGATTTAATTTTCAATTTTCATGCTTATTACTCAAAAATGTGTCATTTTTTTCACACTTTTTGAAAATCAATGGATGCCGAAAGATGTCAATTCAATAAGTGGCATTATCTTTGAAGGTGAAAAATAAGTCTATCAAATGGTGAATTTTCTTCTCTCATGCATGGTTAAATACTACGAAATGATATTTATCAAAAATTTCTGAGAAAGTTCATCATTTGGTGAGCTTGAAAGTCTCTTCATCCCAATCAACGATACAAGACAATCGCAATCTTCTCATGGAATCAGCTCCAAGAATGTTGACTTCTTGGTAGTGAGCCTTCGAAACGTGGCACTCGATTTTGCTCTTCTGATCCTAAACCAAATAGTTTTATACTGAACATAAAAGGGCAAAGAAACCTGAATTGCAATATTGTACAAGGTATGCGTGGCGTTGCCCGATCCGAGTAACGCTTCCAATGATTTCACCGACAAACATGTAAACGGCGAACCGCTATTGCATAGGAACCAAATGTTGATGGCTTTTGAATTCGGTTTTCCTGCAAAAAAACTAATGCAGCTGATTTTTTACATATAAACTCCTACCCGCACACTGACAAACAAGCGGAACCATATATCGAATGTTCGGGCCATGAATGCGACCATTCACTGGAAAAGAAGGCGATGAGAACGTGCCGGGAGACAAATGAACGACATCGTTTGCGTGACCAATCTGAAATCATAAAATTGAGAATTATTTTTGAATGGGGCGTCCAAACATCAAAAAAATGAAAATTTCATGCTTGTCCAATTTGAATGAAAATGAGAGCTAACGGATTTCTTTCCATAGTACATCAACTTTCCACAAAAATATTTTAGTTTGAAAAGAAATTGGACAGGTTTGAAATTTTCAATTTTTGATTTTTGTACGCCACAAACATTCATCTTACCTCCGCAAGTTTGGCCTCGTTAATGTCCGTAAGCAAAATGTCAAACTCGTCATAAGGAAGAGCCAACTTTGTCCAAGACTCGTCTGACGAAGAGCTCTAAAAATATAGATTAATGTATTAATACATACATTTATACCTACCTTATTATGTTCACTCATGTCGGCCAATCAATCCTTGCTGAAAATAGAAAATGAACACATATACGTATTTACAACCAAATTCTATAATTCATTTAGGTGTGACAATTGTTCTCTTTACGACGACTGAGAACGATAGCTGAAGACTTTAACCAAAATAAGTTATAAGTTGAAATTGGTCCAATATTTGGTCCAAACAAGCGTGAATAGGGGAAGAATGTGATGTTGCATGTCTCTCGCTTTCCTCTGCGTCTAGCTCAACTGGGGCATGTGTGCTTGCGCTCGGCAAGGTTACACAAAAATAGTTATAATCCCACATTCCTATACTACTCATTTCTTAGCAAATTAATGATCAGTTCTTGTATCATAAATTGTTAAGTGCTTTTTTGTTTACAACATCCAGGATCTGATCGTTTTGGACGTTTTACGGAAAAATCGACAAAAACAAAATTGTCCAAAATTGCGACATCCAAAAATGAGATAAGGAGGACCATAATGAAACATTCTTCTGCCTTTGAGACATCACCCAATCGGGATTTTATGTAGATTTTTCCATTCATTTAGTGTTGAAAAGTTTTCAGAATAAATCAAGACCAAAACTTCGTATTGAAATAGGAAAATTCTCAAAAAAAACTGATAAATTTAGAGAAGACTAACATAATTATCACCTGAAATAAATTTTTTCTTTTTTTACAGTTTTTTCACCCAAAAATTATTATTTCCCGATTTCAGATATGTTTCCGCATTTGCGCAAACATTTGAAGAATGCATCCAACTCGGAATCTACACACAACAACAAGCTTTAACATATGTGACGAGTAAAGTCAAAGCGAGAAAGTTTACACCATTTGGAGCGCCGCCAGGAACATCGGTTTCATATATTTCGCCGCCAAAAGAACATGAAGCTGTTGATTTTTTGTCGAAGTGAGTTGTGCAAAATGTTTTATTGAAATTTGTCGTTTGAAAACATTCTTAAAAAAATGGATTTTTTCCACGTGGCTAATTGTTCGCCAAAAGTTTTGAATTCAAATTTTTTCCGGTAAAATAATCAGATAAAATGAACTTTAAAAAACACTCGTATTTTTCCGCAAAATTGAACAAATTCTCAGATTCTAAAAAATTGAGAAAATAAAGAAAAATTTTGGTTCAAAGAAGTAAAAGATCAGAAATTTGTTGCCTGAAAATAATACGTTTCAACATTTCTATATCATTTTTGAAATCATTAATTTCTTTGATTCAGCACCTTTTTAATTCAATAAATTGATTTCTCAACTCAATTTGTTTTGTTTTCAGTTCTATGATTACACACATCGCTTGCCCAGACGGAAATTTCAAAATGAAAGCAATTTATTTGGGACAAATGACACGTCGACTAATTCAAACCGAATTGGGAGAAAACGATTTGGATGATCGAGATTTTTATGGAAATAAAAGGCTGGAATTAGCCGGTTCTTTACTTTCTCTACTTTTCGAAGATGTTTTCAAACGTTTCAATTCGGAATTGAAACGAATTGCTGATAATACATTGATGAAAACAACAGCAGCTCCATTAGATATTGTGAAACATATGAGACAAGATATGATAACTAATACAATTGTAAATGCAATGTCAACGGGTAATTGGATAATTAAACGATTTAGAATGGAAAGATTAGGTGTGACACAAGTATTATCAAGATTATCGTATATTTCGGCACTTGGAATGATGACAAGAATTAATTCGACTTTTGAAAAAACGCGAAAAGTATCAGGACCTCGATCACTTCAACCATCTCAATGGGGAATGTTATGTCCTAGTGATACTCCAGAAGGAGAAGCTTGTGGTTTGGTCAAAAATTTGGCATTGATTAGTCATATTACAACGGATAGTGATGAGAAACCTGTTTTAAGATTGTTGTTGAATTCGGGAGTTGAAGATTTGCACAATTTACATTTTTCGCATGTTAATAAACCGTAAGTTTTTGGAATATTTTGGAAGAAGCCCGGGAAACATTTCTTGTAGAATTTTTCTTTAAAATACTTCTAAACAAAATATCGTAGTTTTAATTAAACTATTCCATGTCATATAAATATCAAATCAATAAAAAGTGTATATTTTTCAGAGAAAACACGTTGATTTTCCTGAATGGTATTCTGATTGGAACTGCAACTGATCCGGAAAGAGTTGTAAAAGCAGTTCGAGATGTTAGAAGAAGTGGACTTTTATCGGAATTTGTCTCGGTTTCTCGATCTCTTCAACAAAGATCGATTTTCATTTCTTCGGACGGCGGAAGATTGTGTCGACCATATATTATTGTGCAAAATGGGAAACCAATGTTGACACAGCAAAATATTCAGGTACCCTAAATTCTTAGCTTTTCTAAGGTCCCAGTTCTTGAAATTTTGAAAACTGATCAGAAGTTGACTAAAAATCCGAGTTCTGAACTGAAAATTACAAATTACACAATTTGTGAACTTTTTGCCCTAAATTGAGTATATAATAATTATTTTATTCAGGAACTCCAAGAAGGCAAACGAATTTTCGAAGATTTTGTCGATGATGGAATTGTTGAATATCTTGATGTTAATGAAATGAATGATGCTTTAATTGCTGTTTATGAAAATGAGATCAAACATGACACAACACATCTAGAAATTGAACCATTTACTCTTCTTGGTGTTTGTGCCGGCCTTATTCCATATCCACATCATAATCAATCTCCTCGAAATACATATCAATGTGCAATGGGAAAACAAGCAATGGGAACAATTGCTTATAATCAACAAAAACGTATTGATTCAATTATGTATTTGTTATGTTATCCACAACGGCCGCTTGTCAAAACCAAAACTATTGAATTGATTAATTTTGAAAAATTGCCGGCGGGAGCAAATGGAATTATTGCGGTTATGTCATATAGTGGATATGATATTGAAGATGCGTTGGTTTTGAATAAAGCATCTTTGGATAGAGGATACGGTAGATGTTTGGTTTATAAACATGTTAAAGGAACAGCCAGGAAATATCCGAATCAAACATTTGATCGATTATTGGGACCCGCGCTTGATCCAAACACGAGGAAACCCATTTTCAAGCATAAGAATCTTGATCAAGAAGGAATTGTGTTTGCTGGTGCGAGATTGTATGCAAAACAGACGATTATTAATAAACACATGCCGGTTGTTAGTGGAGGAACGAGTACGGGACCTGGATCAGCGGCGAGTGCAAATTCACGTGAGTTACGGGATTTTAGGAGAGGGGAATGTTATAGCCCAAGGTTTATTTTAATATGAAATTATGGAAAAAAAACTCTAGATTGTGTCCTGTAATAGCTGAATATTTTTAGAGAAAAAAGAAGATAAATCGTTGAATTCATCCCAAGAAAAATTTAGTAAATTCAATTTTAACAAAATTTATTTTCAAATTTTCTGGATTTCAAAATTTCTCGGAAGTTTGGGGTTTCGAGGAATATTGCTCGAATTTTCTCGAAATTTTTTCGGAAAAACAAAGTTTTAATCGTCTGTAAAAAATCCAATTTTTGACACGAAAAAAACATTTTTATTCAAAAAATATCAGCAAACTTTTTACTGAAAAAATTGAGTTTTTCCAAAAATTTTATTTTCTAGATAGGTTTTTTGAAGCATATTTTTTATTGTTAAAAAATCGATTTATTTTGCTTTCAACTATCTTAAATTTCCTCCTTTAAATCAAACCTCAATGTTCTTCTCAATAATTCTCCCTTCCTTTTTTATTCCAAAAACATTTTGCAGTTGGAATTGGTGGTCGACAAGTTGATTATAAAGATGTCTCAATTGGTTATAAAAATCCCATTCCATCATACGCCGAAAGAGTTCTTCTAACTTATAATGAAGACGAAGCTCATTTATTCAAAGTTCTTTTGCGACAAACTCGTCGACCAGAACTCGGCGATAAATTCTCATCTCGACACGGACAAAAAGGTGTTTGTGGTCTAATTGCACAACAAGAAGATATGCCATTTAATGATCTTGGAATGGTGCCAGATATGATTATGAATCCACATGGATATCCATCTCGAATGACTGTTGGAAAATTGATGGAATTGTTGTCGGGAAAAGCTGGAGTTATGAATGGAACTTATCACTATGGAACTGCTTTTGGTGGAGATCAAGTTAAAGATGTTTGTGAAGAATTGGCAGCAAAAGGATATAATTATATGGGAAAGGTGCGAAACAATGTTCTCCAATTATATTATTTTTTCATTTTTATTTTTTCCAGGACATGTTAACAAGTGGAATCACTGGTCAACAACTCTCCGCATACATTTATTTCGGCCCAATTTATTATCAAAAATTGAAACATATGGTTCTGGATAAAATGCATGCTCGAGCACGTGGTCCACGAGCTGCGTTGACTCGACAACCAACTGAAGGAAGATCGAGAGAAGGAGGATTGAGATTAGGAGAAATGGAAAGAGATTGTTTGATTGCTTATGGAGCATCGATGTTGTTGATTGAAAGATTGATGGTTTCGTCCGATGAGTTTAAGGTTAGATTTTTGAATGTTTTTTGGGGAAAAATTGGGTGAAAACTATCGTGAGGACAACATCTCACATCTTAGTACGAAGGTTTTGCCATCGAGCCGAAAATACGCGAATTTTCAGTTTAAAAAATAAAAAAATAACGGAAAAAATGAAAATTGAGGAATTTTTAATGCGAAAATCGTTTGACATCGTCTCAAAACTGTCATATGTTTTCAAAAATTGAACTCAAAACATTCGAAAACTGTTTTGATGATTTTTTCTCCTCGAGCTTCAAAATCATTTTTCTTAAATTATCTCCAATATTTTGAATCCGACGAATCCCTATGAATATTTTAAATCAATTCACCGAAAAATTGATCAATATTTGCATTGTTAGCCTAAAATCAGAAGTTTTTTCCCCGCTCATCATCACACTTTTTTCTTCTTCGGCTAGTAACAATTTCGAGTGGATTTTTGTATTTGCGCGTGGGTTGTTGGCCAAACGAAAGAGTTTTTCGGGGGTTTTTCTACGCAATATTGAACAAATTGAGAGATGGAGATTTGTTATGTGAACTGTTTGAGATTTGAGTTAGAGAAAATTGAGGGGAAATTGATTATTGAAAAGCATGAAATAAAATTTATTCTAAAAAGATCACGTTTGAAGTTTACCTGATTTTTGAACAAGGAAATCTAGTTTTCAACACAATTTTCAAAGAATTCGGAATTCCTTCAACCGAAAATTAGGATTTATTTTATCGTATCTTTCTTAATCATGTTCTAGAAAATTTACTGTTTAAAAATACAACATTTTTTATCTTAATTAGCTTAGAAATCGAAATTTCAAGGTTAATCTGAATCTGAACCGATTTCTCGGATCTCTCCTTCGAATTCTCAGAATTTGTTTTTTTTTCAACAAGATAGTGATGTTATCTTTTAGATTCGCTTCGTTTCATTTCTCTCTCAAAACACACATATTTTGCCACTTTTGCTCTTTGAATCAAACAAAAAGGTCCCTCCTCATTTCCCTCTTTTTTTCTGCCTTTCTTCCTCCAATCATTTTTTTAGTCCCAAATATCTTTCGTTTTTCATTTATCTTACTATTCTTCCCGCGAGATCCGACGAAAAATAGCACGATAAAATAGGAGAGTCGAAATGATTATTGGCAATATCTGTGCCTTCGCCTCCCTCACTTCTTCTTCTTCTTTTTCTTCGTTTACTCTTTTTTCTGTTTGTCTCTGAGATCTCCTCTATTTTATCCGATGGGAAGAAGAAGCTCATACGAGTGGAATGCCGAGAAATTGTGCAATTCAAGTGGCACACACACGCGGGATGATGAAAAAAAAAGAACTATGAAGAAAAACGAAGAAATGAGAGAAAGAGATGAGACAGAGAACAAACGCATGGAAATTAATCAATGAGCAGATCAGTTAGCTCTAGCTGAAAATAGATTTTGATCTTGACTGGAAAATAGTAGACGCTGAAAATGAAGGAAATCACGAAATGACTATGTTCCTTTGAGCTTATGGGTCTCGCAACGATTTCTGAATATAGATTTTCTTTTGTCTTGTCGAGAATATGAAAATTGAAGATGACTATGTTCCTTTAACCCTATGGGTCTTGCAACAATTTTTGGTCTCGTTGAAATAAAAACTGGACTAGGGAATTTGAAGTTATCTTGAAATTTGAATGTTAAAGAAATAGACAACTTTTAAGCTACGGTTCAAAGCAGCCCAAAATGACTTTCTTCATACTATTTTTAACACATCTGCAAAGCGAGAACTTTCAAAACCCACTCTAAACCTTTTTTGGAGCAAAATAAAAAAAATAAAAAACCCTCGTTTGAAAATAAAAAAATTGCCGCGATTGTGTGAGCGCACTGTCACGCGGAGTCTCGTTGTTTTACTTTTATTTTTCGTTTTTTGGCAAAATCAAGAAACCTAAAGAAATCGGATAAAAACATGGAAAAATCTAGCAAATTCATTAAAAGAAACAGTTTACATAACATTTGAGTGAACATTTGAGCAAAGAGATGTTTGGATAGGCTTTGAAACTTCAAAAAGTGGCGAAATCTTGAAAATCGCAAAATTCGAGTATTATTTTGCGAATCATCACTTTGTTGAGCCTCCACATTCATTATTACCGAATATTGACGTCGTTTTCTGAAATTAGCAACAATTAAATCACTTTCAGATTGATTTTTCAATAAAAATTTGAAATTTGATGGGCTCACAGCCAAAATCGTTGCAAAACTGACAATTCCAATTGTTTTTTGTTAGATTCTGCCTAGAGTCACTATCATCTAGCATCAAAGTTGAACAAAAAACTCACAAAACATCAGAATCCGCTTGAATTTTCCATTTCCATCGAAAATCCTTCGAAACTTGTAAATAGTCGAGTTTTCCCTGAAAATGAACATGAAAACTATGAAATGTTTATGAAAACTCACCGAAATATCAACAAATACAATTCCTGATGTGCTGCAATACTCAAAAACCAATTTTCATCGCGAAATTCCTTTTTTTCGTGAAAAAAACGAAAAAAAAAATAAAAGTAAAAAAATTGTCTGCAAACACGCGTTCAAATACACACCGTCGCCCAAAAATGCACTAGATTATCTAGAACTCGGCGGGCGTTCAAATTCGAATTATTTTTTTTCAACCCTGCGCCATTTATTTCAACGGGCGTATTTCGGATGATTTCTTATTGGAAAGTGTGTAGAAAAGTAAGAAAAATCAAAATATTGGGGCAGCCTGAAACTCAGTTTTAAAAGTTGACTATTTCTTTAAGCTATTTTTGAAGCTGGACAAAATTCTGCGAAAATTAGTTTTTCAATTTTCTCCAACCATATTCTACATTAGATATTCAGTCAATCTTTGAGATACGCAGCCAGTGTTTCCAACCGATTTACACTGTGTTTGAGTAGCTATTTGTTCATCTCTTTTGATTTGTCCGAACTTGAAGCAGCATGAATTTTCTCGTTTTCGACAACCCATTTTTATTCATAAAGTATCCCAAAAAACATCCGAACTTTGGAACAAAAAATCTATAATTTAAAAGTTTTGAATTATTTCTATGAAAATCATACTCTAGCTTTTCTTATGCCGTAAATTTAGGTTTTTTTTCAGAATTCTGGCCCAACATTCTAGAGTTTTCTTGAAAATCGAAAAGTTCCACTCTAATCCTTTTATTCCTTCAGGTTGATGTTTGCACTGGTTGTGGTTTGATTGGCTCAAAAGGTTGGTGCCAAAAATGTCGTTCGAGCAAAACAATGGCAAATATCAAAATTCCATATGCGTGCAAATTGCTCTTCCAAGAATTGCAATCGATGAATATCATTCCACGTCTTGATTTGGCTCGTTATACCGAATAATTATTATTGTTTTTTGTTTGTTGGTTTGTTTTTTACCATTTCGTTGTTAAAGTTTTTTGTTGTTTTTGAGTTTGAATAAAGTTTTAAGTTATATAAAAAGAGTGTAGATTTTTAGTTCGACAATATTTATGACGTGGCATAACTCATTGAGTTGAAAAAATATCAATAGAGCAAGCGAATAAACTAAAAGTAAAAAATCAGAGATAAATATTTTTGCAATTGTTTTTCCAAATTAGTCTGAGCAATGCTTATTTTTCCAAGTCGATTAGAGACTTGCGCAGAAATATTTTTTCTAACATGAGCAATGCTAATATTTTAAAAAAGAAAAAAAGTTGGAGCTAATTTTCAAGTCCCAAAATCTGAAGCGCAAGTTTTTTTTTAAATATGAGCAATGTTCAGATTTTTACACAGAGTTTAATTAACTTCTTCCCAATTATTTATCGTATTTTTAAAACTTCACAAGATTCTTCGAAAAAGAGTTTGAAAAATGTTATAACATGAGCAATGCTTCTGTAAAAGGATTAGAAACTCGAAATTTAATTTTTTTTTGCCAGCTTTGTGCGATTTTTCTATAAAAAAAACTTAAAATCTGAATCTGAATCTTAGTCTATAACATGAGCAATGCTACCATTTTTTACCTTCCTTTCAGCAATTTCCCCCAACTCTAAAATTCAATTTAGTCTCTCCGATCTTCTTTTTTCTTCTTCCATCTATCTATCTTTTATCCTTCCTACCGTATCCGCCTCCTCTTCTTTTCTTTTCTCTTTTCCTCGTTTTTTTTTCTGATCGCAAGCTTTACATTGCACACATCGTGTAGAGGAGATATAGTGAAGAGATTCAGAGAGTCAAACACTCCCGCCTCCGATTGCCCGCCGCATTTTAGTGTACACTTTTGAGTTGTGTCTTCTCGTATTCTTTCATTTCTGCTCAATAGTCATGCCAGCTCCATCTCAAGGTAATTCTTTTTTTTTTTATTGAGTCAGGGTCTTCTTTAAGTCTTCAAGTCCTTAATTATAGACCTTAATCTATATTCTCTGTGTTACTTTTAATAATATTTTGTTTTTTAGATCAACTTAAAGAGATCTTCAATCTTTATGATGAAGAACTCGACGGAAAGATCGACGGAACCCAAATCGGAGATGTCGCTCGCGCCGCCGGACTCAAACCAACACAAGCTATGGTAGTCAAGGCTTCCGGACAAGAATTCAAACGCAAAGGAGAGAAACGTATCACCTTCGAAGAATGGCTCCCAATCTTCGAACAACTCGCCAAAGAAAAGGTAACATTTGATTTGAGGGGCTTTTTTGGGGCTTGAATTTGGGATTTTGAAAGTGGATTTTTGAGTTTTTATTTGTTTAGCAACTCTTTCCACTTGGGAAAAAAAGAGATATTTATTTATCTCTTATTTTTTCAATCAATAAATATCTTGTGTGGGAGAAAACAAAAAAGAGTGTAATAATTTCAGGAACAAGGAACATACGCTGACTTTTTCGAAGGATTGAAAGTTTTCGATAAGGACGAATCTGGCAAAATCTTGTGCGCAGAAGTCAGACACATCCTTTTGGCTCTTGGTGAAAGACTCACCGCTGATGAAGCTGATGAGCTTCTTAAAGGAGTTGAAGATGCCGAAGGTATGGTCAAATATGAAGATTTCATCAAGAAGGTTTTGGCCGGACCATTCCCAGAAGATTAAGTTTCTAAATATTTGATCTACTGTTTCTAATTTTTCTGTGCCTTTCCAACTTTCATAATGAACCTTTTTTCTGACAAAAAACGAAATTCCCTTATTCTTATTGTGTATAAATTTACATTCGTTTAGTAGCTCTTCTCTTTTTTCCTTTTTCCTTAATAAAAACAAAACAAAATCAAATGTTTTTTTTTCTGTTCAACTACTGTCTTTTATTGATTGATCAAGGTAAATTTCATGTTTTTCATATGCCAAGCTTTTATGAATAAATGATTTTTTCCTAAGATTGTGAGAGTTGCTACAGTAATTTGAAAATAACTATTTTTTTGAAGCTCTTGAAATTTTCTACAAAATGAGCTACAGTAATATTGGTTATGGTAAAAATTGAGCATTATAAATGTTCCAGGTGTTCTCTTATGGTTCATGGATATGTTTGTTCAAACCCAGAAAAATTTTCAGTTTCGAAACTCCTGGTCTTCTCTACAATATGAGATACAGTAATCTTGTGGCAATTGAGTTTCTAATTAAGCTTCAAAAGTTAGGAAATTCTTTAATGGTATGTACATCTAATTTTTTTTTTGAAAAATTTAGAAATTATTATTATTGAATTAAAAAGACGTGAGAAATAAAAAACTAGGTCAAGTGACGTGGATTTAAAAACAGTATAGGTAGCCATGTCGTCAATTGCGATGCGTGTGAGCGACACGTTTTTAGAAATGAAAAATTAGGAAAATCCAATGGAAAATATCGAGGTCAACACGCATCGCAGAACCGCATCGCAATTGACGACATGGCTACCTATACTGCTCAGAGAAAAGGTGGTCCATGGGCAGCCCCTTGGAGTGCCCCGAGGGCTGGTCCTAAGGGCAACACTAGTGCATTCAAGGGGCGACCTAGGGGCAATTAAGAAAAACTAGGGTATGACGTTTTTAAATTTTAAAAATTTTGACGTGGAAAAAATCATTTCTGTTTTAATTTTTAATTTTCGCCATGGCAAAATTCAAAAAAATCTTGCGCGAGGAAATCATTCACAATGGTGATTACCTTCGGAAATCTAGTTTATCTATTTGATCAAAATTAATCGAAATCAAAACATATTTCAAAGTGAAAACTTTTATTTTATAAAAATGAAGCTTCTCAGAATTCTCATTCATAGTTTTCGGAATTTCGGCCCTGCTATACATTCCCGAAATAACAGTCGGAACATCGAATAACAATTTTCTAATGAGCACATTCTCAGACTTCTGCAATTTCGGACTTGGACAGCGTGAGATAACATAATTTTCCAAATTCACAAATATTCCAAATAGAAATACTCATAATATAAATTCCTTGATTTCCAAAACTGTTCCTTCTTTTCACTTTTCAATTTTTTGGGACTTGTAGCATATAAAATATAATAAATCGGAATTGAGTTCCCCACTATTTTCTTGAATACCGAAATAAGTGAAATGAAAGAAATTTATTATTTTTTGTGATCGAAAACGTAACTAGGTCACAAAACTAGGTCACGTGCTCAAAAAATACCCTTCAAATTTTTTTCCCATTAGAAAATTTGCCCTTCGTGCTGGTCCGAAGGGCAACACCCCGAAAATAGGGGCAAACCAAATTCCTACGGGCAGCCCGGGGGCAAAATTTTCTCTGACGAGGGAAGTGTGTGACCAGTCCCCGGAGATTTTCAATGAGACTTATGTTTTTTAGGTCAGTTTTTCACGCTGATGAAGCTCCTGTTTTCAGTTTTTGCTGAACGACTCTCTGAAGAGCTTGATTTACCCAAGTCACAAATTTTGACAAAATTTTCCAAAAATTTTCAAATGCAATCCATGACCTGAGCCTATTTTCTGAGCCACAAAATTTTTTTCTGAAAAAGTATGGACTTACTAATCAAAAATTTGTGACTTTGGTAAATCGACCCTCCTGAACAACGTGATGCATTCAGTTTTCCATAAAAATAATTTCTAACATGAGTTATGGGCTCCTAAAAACCCGATTTTCAGGAAATTCTCAACTTTTGGCTCATTTTTGGGCTCTTCAGAGAGTCGTTCAGCAAAAACTGAAAACAGGAGCTTTATCAGCGTGAAAAACTGACCTAAAAAACATAGGTCTCATTGAAAATCTCCGGGGACTGGTCACACACTTCCCTCGTGAGATGTTTTTAAATCCACATCACTTGACCTACTTTTTTATTTCTCACGTCTTTTTAATTCAATAATACTCCGAAAATGTCCAAAAGCAACTGGCGAGAGAATATTATTTAGATCTTATGTACAGTAATCAATTTTCTAATTTTCTAAACGTGACCTTTCCCATTTTTTTTTCAAATTCAATTTTTCCAAAAAAAAAATTTCTTGTCATTTTTAGATTCTTTCCCATTTTATATTGAATTTCAGTTATGTTCTATTTATTATTGAGTATTTTAATGATATTTTCAAAATCAATTATTTTTTGCACAACTCGAAAACCTGAAAAATCCGAATCAGAAGTCAAAAAACTCGAATCCAAAAGTTCCTTGACGCCCGTGATTTGTCAGAAAAAATCGAGTGATATAGAGAATACGGTAGACAAAGTGAAAAGCTTGGAAAAGGTTTCGAAACCTGACGAAAATGCAGAAAATGTGGTTTATTTGAGGTTGGCTGATTTACCGAAACTTGACAAATCTGTGGAGGATCTGCATAATCGTAAGTGATTGTTTTAATCACATAGTTAATTAATTATTTAATTTTTTGTAGCAGCAGTTCACGATCGTGCAATCAAAAATGCCATTGAAAATACAATAATTGATCCAAAACACACTACTTTTGCTGGAAATATTGATGTTTTATCGGTGAGATTTAGAAATTATTAAGGGGCCGAAAATCCACGTGGCAGAATTTAAAAATCAATTTTTCAGCAGTAGTTCTCTAAAAAAGCAGGGGGATGTTTTTTATTTCAGAAAATTCACCCTTGAAGAATACGTTTCTAAATTTCTTGAAATTAAATGTTCATAAATTGTTTTATTGGATTCTTAATTCCATATTTTATCTAATTTTTAGGCCAAAAATAACACGTGGCAAGAATTTAAAATTGGAATAAAAATTGAGCAATTTCGAAATTTTGAATTTTCAAATCTCAAATAATTCCAGGAAAATGAGCGCGTGGAAAAATCGGCAAAATTTTTGGAAGATTTGGAAACTGATATGGGAAAAATTGAGAGTAAAGAGAAAGAGAAAGAGACAACTGAAACTGAATTACGGGTAATTTTTGTTTTTTTCTAATTGATCCTCTTAAATTCAAATAATTTCAGGTCAAGGTTCGGGAGGACAAATGTGTGATGTTTGAGACGAATGAAGTGCCAACTGATGAGTTGGAAGATTTGAAATGTGAAAATAATAATAAATAAATTTTGAAGAGTTTAAAATTTGCAACAAAATGAGGTACAGTAATTCTGAAACTCCTGGATTACTTTGAAATTTGAAACTTTCAAAAAATGAATTTATTTTGATTTAAAAAAATATTTCACAAGAGATCAAAATTGCATCAACAACAGAAAAAGGTCATGTTGAAGAATGACAAGTCCATCCTCGACAAGTTACAAAATGTCCCTCTGAATGTTTGATCGGACCATGTTCATAGATTTTTCCAGAATTTTGATGATGATGTGGAAAAGTTATCAAACCATTTCCAAAAAGTATTTGAGAATTTGAGTTTGTGAAAATACAAATTGAATAGAAGAATATTAGAAAATAGAACATTTTAAACTGTTTTTTTTATTTATTTCAACAAAACCATGTCTTCTTTTATATTAGAGATCATTAAGGTTGTTTGATCTTTTAATTTTTTCTAATAAACACAAAATACGAAAAGAACAAACATTCATTTTATTTTTTACACGACTTTTCTCACTTTTCAATTTCTTTGATAATTTTTGGTATTTCTTCTAACATCAAAGGTGTATTCATTGATCTTCCATGTTTTTCAAATGCTTGTTTTCCAGCTGTTCGAACTAGCCAACTTGAAGCAATTCCAGCTTCATGGAACGATTTTTGGAAGGAATCTGAGTTTCTGGAAAAAAAAAACATTTGGGAGGGGGTTGTTTGGAGTAAAATAAATGCGCTGGAGGATGAAAAAATATTGAATTTCAACGTTTTTCTTAATTTTGGTCTTAAATTTAAATCCTGTTCTCTAGAAGTTATAAAAATTTCCCAAAAAACTCACTTCTTCGCCCAAAACAACAATAATCCCAATGTTCCAGCCGTCAAATCGCCCTGCCCTCCACATCTTCGAAAACTCGCTTCAAATTCACATTTCGAAACTTTTCCATCGGAAGTAATTATTAAATCAATTTCTCCTTTCATATAAATCGCAACATTCAATCGTCGACTCAATTCAATTCCCAATTCTTCCAATTTCTTTATTTCTCTACAATTTATCACATTATCTTCATCCAAAACCGCTTTACAAAGTCTCGAAAATTCGACGAAATTCGGTGTCAGAATTGTGGATGACATATTTTTCGGAAATTTTTCGACGTTTTCAGCGACGAACCACAAACCATCGCCGTCGATTACAAATGGAATATTCTTTTGATTTATCAAATTGAATAATTGATCGATTAGTGGATTTAGGCTGAGATTTCGACCTAAGCCTGGACCAAGAATTATTGCATCCAGACGAGATAGTTTCTAGAATATTAATCTTACAGTACTCTTCAATTCGGCTACTGTAGAAAAAGCATACCGGCAAAACATCTTCGGGTTTCAATCCTGGATGAACAATCAAATCTGGCGAATATGTTTTGATAATTGGTGCAGCTTCATTCGAACAAAAAACATAGATCAAATCAGCTCCCAATTTACAAATTGAAGAAGCTGCAAAATACGGTGCACCTGTGTATTCAATTGATCCACCAATTACACCAATTCGACCACAATCACCCTGACAAGGAAAAATAGGTTTCGGGGTACTGTAGCTAATTGTAAGAAACTTTGATTGAAACATTTCTAAATTTAGAGGTTTACTGTAGAATTTGGGTTACGGTATCTAGGAAAAAAGAAACTAAATGGACAACTGTGTATAGTTCAACGGTCACTGTATTTTTGAAGAAAAAAAATATTTTTTTTCAAAATGTTCCAGCAAAAGGCTCACCTTTCTCAAATGTTTTCCCAATTTCGGTAAAAGCCGCAAAAACTGCTCCATAATCTTTTTGCTTTCCTATTTAAAAAAATATCATATTTTCATGTAAAAATAAAATATTTCATGAAACTTTACAAACTGTCAAAATGAGAAGAAAACAATAAAAATAGATTTAAAAATATACAAACTTCATAAATATATACAAATTTTGAAAATATCACAAATTCGAAAAAAAAATTAAATTTCAGAGGTGGACCGGGATAATTTATGAATCAATGCCTGAAAAAATTGATTTTTTTGTTTAAGATTATTTAGCAATCTAGAGTCAAGAAATCAACTCACGGTGAAAAACGATGGATTTTCCATGGGAACAGGAGTTGTGGGGTCATCTCTGGAAAATTAAATTTATTAGGCATTTTAAAAAAATTCAAAGGAAAAAAGGTGAGCAGAAATAATAACAAATTAATTAGAGCTAATTAACATGTTAAATAATCTAGAAAATTTGAAAAAATCCTTCTGCCCACCTATTTTTTTTTAAATTACATTGTATTTTCAGATGGTCCTTCTTGGTTTTCAGGTTCACTTGCAGGTTCAATTGTTGGTTGTTGTATAATTGTATCTTCTGATTTCTTCTCCAATTCTTCTTTACATGCTGATTCCAATATTTTTGAGAGTTCTTGGATTCGAACAGCTGCTGGCTTGATTCTAGAAAAATATTTTTGATATTTTCATTTCACATTTTTAGAATTTCCCAACCCAAAACCAACTTTTTCTGAGCTTCTTGATATTTCGGTGATTGATATCTGATTGATCTTCGAATCGCAGTCCGATCAATTCCCATATTGGAAATCTCTTTATTGGTGATTTTCTGGAAAAACTATATTAGATTTCCACGTCATACAACCGTTTGTAGAAAAATTTAATAATCTAAATTCGGGAAAAAAATCTGTGGTACAGTAGTTCTATATAAATTTCGGGACACTTCTAGATCTATTAAAAATAGAGTAGAGAACAATGGAGCCCGGAATAAAAAATATGAGCTCGAAATTCAAAAAAAGTGTTTCTCCAGAAAAATTCTGAAAAAACCAAAGTTTGCCACGTCATAACTTACTTTGAAAGTCAAAGTCAAGTATTTTTTCATCAAAAATCTAGCTCACCTTCATTTCTTGATGTGGAATTTCCAAAAAATCAGTACATTCTTCAATAAATTGTTGTAATCTCAAATGATCATTTCTCAATTTCAATAAATATTGTGCAGTTTGCATTGATAATTCAATTTTATTCAATTTCACTTTCAATATTTCATCCAATTCTTGTTCCTCATATAATTGTCGCAATAAATGACTCCTTTTTTCCAAGCACAATCCAACCAAAGTTTGCGAATATTCTTGAGTTTCCAAAATATGATTTTTATCAAAAACAAAGAATTCTGAAAACTCTTCTTTAATTCCAGGTGTGTCGAATTCTTGCAACTTTAATTTCCTCGAAATATCTCTCCAATCTTTAGCCGATTTTATAAAATCTTGCGAAGTTTTTGAATGATTATCCAATTCTTTTCGAGATTCTCCAGCTTTTTGAACACATTTTTGGAAATGTTCTTGTTTTTCCGGCGAATTTTGGCTGAAAATTGCGACTGGAATCAAAGCGGTTTCGAGGTAGACTGCATATCGAGATGCTATTTGAATTCGCTCGTCATTTTGAAGCTCTTCCATTATCAAACTGAATTGAGTTGTAAGAATTTGTGAAATTTTTTCGAATAACTCTGCAATTTCTTCAGCATCTCGCAAAAAACTCAAACCATCCATGATTTTTTGTCTTCGTGTTTCGAACAATTTTGCTTCAGGTATAGTAGAGTTTTCTGAAAAATTTTGAGATTTTTGAGGATTTATGGGTGAAAACAAAACTGTCAACAAAAAATTTACTTTTTGAGAAAAAAAACTAGATTAGAAAATGTTTTCAAAGGAAGGAAAAGTCCGAAATATTTTGAAAATTTCAGATGTCTAATTTCTGAAAATCGGTTTTAAATTATTGAATTTTCTTCGAATTTTCAAACGATTTCTGAATTTCAAAAAAGGTCCTAAAATTACGTATTTTCTAAATATCAGAAAACTCTGTTTTTTTGTTTTGAAAAATTCTGAAAAATTAATATTTCAAATCTTGGAACATTTTCTGTTTAAAAAACGCACCGACATATTCCAATTTCTGATGTCCAATACTTCTCAATTGTGTTTCTTCACATTGCGGAATAACCAAATAAACATCATTATCTTTTTCCAAATTTTTGAAATCCTTTTGTTTCGGTTCAGTATATCGAATTGATGTCAACGAAATCATAGAAAGTGTGACATTATTCGAATATCCAAGACATTCAGAAATTGTCGGAAAATTGAAACCAATAAATGGACATTTTGACATATCACATTGTTCGATTATTGATAATTTATCGATTGATAACAACTTTTTCCTTGGCGCAGTTTTCAAATAATTCGAAATTGTAGCATATTTATCGATTGATGGATTATGAATAAAAAGACGAATTAGACAAGTGATTGTATAAGTTAGCCATTTTGGAAGACGATTTGAGGAACTTGTTGGTAATTCAGTGATTATTTCATGATCATATTTGATTCCTCCTGACATTTGATCATAATATTTTCCTGGAAGAGAAAAGAAATTCTAACAAGGAAACCTTTTTTACTCAACACTTCAAATCATGATGAAATTTGGTCCATGGACAGCTTTTGGGGCCATAAGAACGCCCTAAAAATTTTAGTCTCCCAATGGACCTCTGAGCCAAGTTCTGGGCTCTCAAAAGTTCAAAAATTCCCAAAATTGGCTCATATGCCATATCTCAATTCACGATCGCCATAGCTCAATTCACGATCAATTTTATGAAAATCTGAGTAGCAGATGATGATCAGCGTGGTCGATTTACCCAAAAAACATCAATAAATCAAAATTTCAGAAAAATTTTTGATTTTGGAAAAAAGAATGAGCAGGGGCACATATGAATTTTCAGCCGAAAAATAAAAAACTTCAAAATTTTTCAAAAAATGTTTTTTATTGATGTACTTTTAGTAAATCGACTATGCTGATCAATATCTGAAACTTTATTTCTCCCAAAAAAAATTTTGAAATGGAGCTATGATGACTTTTATGACCATTTTTAGGCCTTTTTTGAGTTTTTGAGAGCCCAGAACTTGGCTCAGACGTCCATTGGGAGACTAAAATTTTAAGGGTGTTCTTATGGTCCCAAATGCTATCCATGGACCAAATTTCATCATGATTTGAAGTGTTGAGTAAAAAAGGTTCCCTTGTAAGAGCAGGATAGTTATGACGTGGAAAAATAAAACTGCGGAGAAAAAAGAGCCATAATTAACAAGCCTGTCAATAATAATAATCATACCTTTAAATTTAGTGGCAATCGCATCCATATCTTGTTTAACTTTCGTCGTTCCTGAACAATACACTTCATCATCCGAATTATCACTTGTGATCGAGAATCTTCCAGTTGAACAATGATACAAAGTTAATCCAAGACACCATAAATCACATTCGTCTCCTGTATAACCAATTGTTGTTCGCCACGTTTTTTTTCTACGCAAATCATTTGCCATATTTGGTAGCAACATATTTTTCGTGCCAACAATTGAATACATTTCATTTGGTGTCGTCTCATTTTTATCATCGAATGCTTTTCCGGCTCCTAAATCGCACAATTTGAAAAGATGATTTGATCTTCGGCCATTTGTTGGGTTGCCGGGGAAAACCAGAATATTCATATTTTTGATATCACGATGTGCACTGTTGCGGTTTTTGAGAGCAGAAAGAGCACAGGCTGCAAAAATATAAAAATATTTTTCAAGTGAGTTATGACGTGGAAAAGTTTGTATTCAAATTTTGGAATTTATTTTTATCGAATTTAGGGGTTGATTTTTTGTCAAAACATTTTCAAGATACTTTTTTAAGCTGAAAATCGACGTGGAAAAATTTGAAAAAAGCTGAGTTTCGTACTGCTGAAAATCCACGTGGCATAATTTAACAAATAATTGGAATCTTCACAACTGGAAAAAATTTTGAAACTCGAATATCATTACAGGAAATCCACGTGGCAACAAATTTTTAGTCAGAAAATATTGCGCCAAAATTTGAAATCCACGTGGCTTCAGCATTTCAAAACTTGTAATTTTTTTTGAGTTTTGTTTTTTGAAACATTTTCACGTGACCCATTTGTTGCCACAAAAAAGACCAAACAAAAAAAGAAAACAGAAAAAACCAGATGAAATCGAGTATTTCTAAATAACTCTGACTTATGAAATAAAGTCAAAAAAAATATACAAATAATGGAACAAAAGTATTCTCAGAGAAAAACTAAAAAGAATAAGCATGTGAGTTTTCGGGGATACTGTAGATTTATGGCAGGAGATTTTTGATCTACTGAAGTTTTCCCTAGATTTTCTAGGGTATTGTGAATGAACATCATAAAAGTACTGTAGAAAATCTCACATTCAGTACTTTGAAAAATCAAAAAAACTCCATTTTTGCAGGGAAAAAAAGATAAAACTGCCAGAACACTCAAAAAGAAGCACAGCAATGGAAAACTGGCACAATCGGGAAGAAACAAGAAACACGCAGCGAAAAGCAAATTGAAAGCGATGAAACAGGTGAGATCCGCCTACCGAGTTAGTAGTTTTTTGCGTTTTTCAGAGTATGCGCGAAGGAAGGAGCAAGAGTAACACACATTCGCAAGGTTCGCAGAGTGGCGATTATTTTATTGTGAAATCAACGGCGCCTACGAATGTTCCAAAAGGTTTGTGGATGGAAAAGTTTTTTCTCGAATCTTGGCTGAGATTGAGGTTTAAAGTTGTACTGTAAATTTTCAATCATAAACTTAGTTCTCAAGTAGCCGCGCCCAGACAGTCTAATTAAAAAATACAAACATTTTCAACAATTTTCAGAAGAAGCAATACGATTGGCACCGTCACAAATCACAACAACAGCTCCAACAGATGAAGAACAAAACACCGCTGACACAACAAACTATTTCAGTGTTTCGAGAAGTGTAATGGCAGATAGGAAACCGAATCAATATGAAGAGGAAGAACCGAATGAAGTTCGAACTCCAATTAGTCGAACACCGTGTGTAAAACGGGAAAAAGATCGAAGAGGACATGAGAATCGACCGCTTCGATTAGCACCACAATCTGCAGTTCCGGATGATGATGACGTCAATAAACTCATTGAGAAATATAAGAATCCGAAAAGAAGTCAAGTTATGCCGGTGGCTAAACCGAGTATTTTAGTGGATTCGATGGTTCGCTCAAAAATGTCTATGCCCTTGTTACGTGTGAGTTTATAAAATTGCTATTTGTCACGTCATAACTTTATTTTCTTTAGCCTCATAAATCGCCAGCGAAGGAAAAAACATTGGTTGAAACGCAGTCTGATGAATTTGATGATGGTCCAGATATGAAAACTGCGCCAATACGAAAAGAAAAACCATCGGCAGAATGTAAAACGGCGAGATTAGACGGTAGGGCTAAGAACAATCCTAAGCAACTTGTTACGCCTAAGGAGTCAATGATCCATAACTTCTCGATTTTCAGTTATCGAGGACATTTATGATAAATATCCGAAAATCGAAGAAGTTCTACTTCTACCATCTGAAAATCCATATGGTCCAAACGAAATGCCAACTTGGATGGATTATTTGGAGCCGACGGATGAAGATATGACAAATAGTGAGCCGGCTTGTTCAGTGGGAGCTGAACAAATCGAAATGTATCACTCGAAAAAGTTCAAACTCAAATATCCGCCGGAGAAAAAGTGAGATAATTTTGACCTTCATACTTCAAGAACTCTTTAAAATCAAAATGTTTCATTCAGAATCACCCTCGATCAATGGCAAACGACTCAAATGTTGATGCAAAATGATAATCTGTTTTTCACGCCTCCACTCATCTTCAGTAATACGATTCGAAGTTTGATCAATGTTGCATGTAAGAATGAGTTTCTCTAGTTAGCCTAACTAATCATAGTTTTTTAAAGCTTCAAAACATAACAAAAGTAAAAGGGATGACGACGAGGAGAATTCCACGCAACCATCAGCGGAAGCAATTTTGAGAGTCGTGGATCATGATCGACTTCAGTGTTATACATATTTGGTGAGTTTGTTCAAAGAGGAGTGGGAAGAAAAAGGAACATTGCATCTTTCTTAATTTTTGGATTCTTAAAAGTGGGGTCTGACATAAAAATCGATTTCTTTGATAAAATTTGAATTCAACAATTCGTTTCCTTGTTTAAAAAAGCCATCGACAAATTTAAATAAAAATTTGAATTGACAGAGAAAAACAGCTCCAAATTACTGTACATCTGGACTTTCAAGCCATTTTACACGGAGTTTCACTCTGTTTTTGAACTTTGAAATTTTTTAACTAATTTTTGAGAAGCTTTTAGAAAAATCCTTCGATGATTGTACTAATTAGAACATGCTCTTTTAATTCAGCATTACTTATTTTCAGACTCCACGTCTTATTTCTATTTTCCTTTTTATTTAATTTTAGTCTAATTGTTTTCTTTTCCAGCGTTCGGATCCGATTCCAACAGCTGGAAAGAAAGTTCTAATGAAACCTGAAGATGTGCCGGATAAATCGACTTTTGTGAGGCCTTGAATATAATAAATGGTTTTTCCGATTATCCCGGATTCTCGAAAAATTCTCAATTTTTTCTAACAAGGTTCATCTAAACGCGAAGCGCAGCAACTTACAACAATCCATGATAAAATCACAAATCTCATTTTCACGCAATCCTTTTGCATTTTCCGGTTGTCTCATCAAATTTTCCAAACTTCCAAGTGCGAGTTCCATTGCAAAAGTTACGATTATACCATTTCCATTCGATTTCTTAACAACACTTCCAATATATTGCACAATATTTGGCACGCCTTTCAAATTTTTCAAAATTTCGATTTCAGTCATCATTGAATCGATGTCTGATTTTTTTCGTGCTACTTTGATTGCACACAATCTTCCGGCTTTTGTTCGACCTTTGTATACTTCTGAATAAGCGCCTCTTCCTATCTTTTCATCATTGTAAACTGTATATTCTTCACCGTCTTTGATTGTTGAATCGGATGATGATTGATTCATCTGAAATTTTATGAAAATTCGGTTAGATAAGTGTTTTGTAGATCCAAACCGGACTTCAGAATCTCTCACAAAATAAGAAAATATTTTGAAACGTATTTTTCCGCAGAATAATTTTTAGATCTCTGAATTTTTTTTGGTTTAAAAATAAGTACCACAACATTTTTATATCAAATCTTAAAGCCAAACCCAAAAGTTTTTAAGTGAAAAAATGGATGTTCCTTCGAACTACTGTAGCAAAAATACAAAAAAGTTTTTAAAAACTCAAGAATTTCGACGAAAATTGAATTTCAAAATATTCTTTTTCTAATCACGAAAATGGTTTAAAAAAATTGAAAACTAGAAAAAAAAGAAGAAAAAAGAACATTCAACCTTCTAGTTTAGAGACGCAGACGCAATTTGATAAAATAAAACACTCATAGTTGCGAAATATTGCGATCTGTTCTTTTCAAAAATTGATTTTTTTTTCAAATCAGAAAAATTTCGCATGACTGGTAGCTCATAGAGAACTCGATACTGTAAAAATGAACAGCTATGCTGCTGAAAGAGCCGAGGAAATGAACCCTGAAAAACTTGCGATTAAATAGTATCGGCCTTGAAAAATTTAAAAGAACGTGTAAGTCTGTGTTTTTTGAAGCAAAATTAGTCGATTTTGGATCTCCGAAACACCTATCTAACTTAATTTTCTCATTTTCTCCTCTCCATCTGATGCTCAGTGCTTAGCGCATCGGGTTTAAAACCTCATATCAATACTTCAAAGATTTTCTAACCAACCTCCTTACAAAACGGACAAGATTCGACACTTGACATTACAGTTTTTACTTCAAAAAAAATAAAAAAAATATATAGAACCCTCTCTAGGTAAATAACAATTTTGTTTTTGACTAAAATGTTATCAGTTTAGTTCAAAACAAGGTTAAAGTTATTTTGTCAAAGACAAGGGATTTTGAAAATTTGAAGAAAAAAACCAACTTCATTTTCATTTTGATTTTCAGCAGTACATGATTTGAATAGCTCTAATTTCCAAGATTCCATTTTATCTTTTCAGAAAAAATAATAAGAAATTAAGAAAAATGCGGTTAAGCACAGGTTAAATACAGATTTTTAAAATCAAAAATATTTCGAAATAAGCGGAAAAATGGGCGTTGATCACCATTAATAATTTAGTTCAATTTTTGAACAAACAGTTTCATTTTTAATGTGAGCAAGAAAGAAACAATACAATTAATGAAATAAGTGAATGAACAGAAATTGTACAAAAATTACCCATAATCAGATGAGAGAATTAATAATTAATAATTAACAAAAACTATAGAAGAAACAAGTTAGAAAGGGGCTCTTTGGGTTGGGAAAGGAAAAGGGGGAAAATGAGGAATTTATCCAAAAATAATTATATATTTTTGGAATTTTTTTTTTCAAATTTTGGAGCTTCATTATCTTCCTTCCCATTAGACATATTGCTATTTTTTTGATAAATTTCTCTTGGTTCAACAATTTCTCAGCCAATTTCACCGAAAAAATCCCCTAATCAAATTCCATATCCTCCAAATAATCATCGCTAACACTTCCATTTGTTAAACTTGTCGGTGTTGTCAAAATAGTATCCCGTGATTCTTCATCCAATTCAACAATTTGAGAACTTGGTGGACTTGGAATTGGTGATGAATTCCAAGAAGATGGTTCACTAACATCTTCATCGAGTTCAACAATTCCGCAATTTTGTATCGGTAGATCTTCATCCAACATTCCTTCATTTTCAATAATTCTATCCTTGATCTCATTTTCAACTCGTTCTTCTTCTTCCTCATCAATCTCCGTAATTCTTCCAGTCATATTGAAATCATTTCGAGGTGAAATGAGAATTTTGGGCTGCCACAAAGTTATCTCATCTCCTCTCAATGCTTCTTTTTTCGGCAAAAACATCAAATCATCATATTCTCGAGCATTTCTCAAATATCTTTGAAGTGATTCGTCTAATCTGATTTTTTTGGCTGTTGCTGGTTCATCGTCTTCCGGTTCAATAATGAATGGTTCTTCGGAGGAAGGAGAAGATGTTGATTGAATTGGTTCGAAGATTTCTTCCATCTCATCATCTTCGGATGAAGAATCTCTGCAAAAATTGAATTTTGGGGGAAGGTTTCCAAAGTGTAGGACCACGTTTTCAATTGGAATTCTCTAAATATCATCAATTTTTAATCCCAGAGTCTAAATTATTCTCAAGTTCGCCACGTCATAACTCATTTTATACTGAATTCCAGTTTCCGGAAAAATTAATTTATTTTGTAGCTTTGATCACGATTGAGTTATGACGTATCAACTTGAAAAGCTCCCCGAATACTCGATTTTAAGAAAATATCGAAGTTTTTCGGTCAAATGCGCTCCAGCGAACATGAATTTTTAAAATCGATCTCATTAGATGGTATTTTCCGCGGATTCATTCAAAATTTGAAAAATAAAAACTTACAGTGGAATGGAGTTCGGAGTGTCGTTGGAAATCGAAAAATTCTCCAAACACGAGCTGATTTTGTCAAAGCGACGTTTCGAGCGTGGAACATATTCCATATCCTGCAAAAAAAGAAAGATATATGAATTTTGGGACTAGAAAATGTAAACTAGAGAAATTTTGTGACTGTAAATTGAAAACTAGAGAAAAAATACATTGAAATAATTTTACTACCCCAGATTTTCCCGCATTTTTTGAAGACCAGAGGCCTAAAATACTGAAATAACTAGATAATGTTCATCGACAAAAGTCAGAAGCCTGGCATATTACACCGTGAAATGAAATATTATTTATTCAAAATAAAAATCTATGATAAAAGTGAACACTTTGTTTGAAGAAAAAAAGGAAAGCAGAATTAAATGAAAATACAACCGCCGTCCTCTCTTCTTTCTCTAATACACACTACGAGAGACAATGTAGATAAAAGAGAGTGCAGAGAAAGAGAGGAAAAAGGCGAGTAGGTGGCAAATGAGGAATATTCTCTTGTTGCCAAGGCTACTTAATACATACAGTTAGTTAGCGAAAATGACTGCTTATCGGAAAACAGAAAAAGGACATCTGGAGAAAAATAAATCGAATAGGGAATTATATCTTGACATGCAAAAGAATAAGAAAAAACGTCTGAACGAGTAAACAAGAATGACGCACTCGAAAAACAGAACCAGTCCTATGATTTCTTATATGTTTTGAAACTTCTTTTTTGTTTGAAAAATCGAGCTATCATTAGGCTTACAATTTGGCCAAACTTATGGTTATCAAATTAATTAAGGGTTTCTAAGTAATTTAGGCTATAGTTTCGCTTAGCCTCGATAATCTGAGGTTTACACATCGTATTGTTAGGTTTTTAAGGTAATCTTGACTTAGATCTAACATTTTAAGGTAATTTTTCTAGGTACTTCAGGCTATTTGAAGATTACAAGTAGGGTTAGTTTGTCCCGGCCAAACGTGGGAAGAACCGATTTTGAAGATCATCATTATGCCTAGCTTGATAATTTTGAGCTTACAAGTAGGATGAAGGAAAACATTAGACCTGACTAATTGTTTAGAACTAATGGTAAGCTTCAGGTCTAACTTTAGACTCGCTAGCTGAACTTTTTGGAAACAAAATCAAGTTAGCTATGCAAAGTACGGTAGCCCGCGATGTTTGAATTCGAAATTTGAAAGAAAAATATTAATGAAAATGTTATCACGAGTCAAATTCTGAACCGTCCAAAAATTAACCATGTTTAAAATATTTTTAAAAAACAATTTGATATGAACACAACAGCACTCATGACTCAAAAACAATAAGAAAAAGAGAAATCAATAAAACAGTCAATATTTGTAAAGTCATCGAAAAAGGCGAGCAAAACAATAAGAATAACTACATTTTGTGAGTGGAAAATAGAATACACTTTTTCTTCGAAACATCTGTTCTTTTTCAGAGTATTTATTTATTTATAATTTCATGAATATGTCACAAAATGATTCAGTTCGCTCAAAATTTAATATAAATGTATGTTTTCTAATTTATCACAGAAATGTTTTCTTCAAGAGGGCGTTACCTCCTTAACAAAAAAGTGAAAAAAGTTCAGAAATCGATGAAATGTGACTTGATTAGGTCTAATCTAACAAAGGAACAGTTTCAATTTGTACAGGAAGTATTTTGTATGTATTCTGGTAGATGTTGAAAATTATTTGGAAAGCTCAATATTGAAAATGAGATATGACATGGCGAAGTTTGAAAATTTCGAAAAATCATTACGAGGCTATAACTACTACGAGGTTATAACTATTTTCATAAATTAAGGTTTTTTCAACTGGATTGGGAATATTTACAATTTTTAAAATTTTGATCCGAAAATCTATAATTTCAGAATTTTCCACTTTTGAAATTCTGGTCTCGATTTATTCTGCATTCGTTTTGGAGGATGAATTGAAAAAAAAATTCGATAAAAAATTATATCAAAAGTTGGAAACGTATTTTTTTTTGTTTTTGAAAAATTAGATTTTTTTAGTCAAAAAAAACTTAAAGTTTCTGAAAATGAACATTTCAGGTGAAAAACAAGAAGACATTCACTTATGACGTGGCAATTTGAAAATTGAAATTTTTAGGGGGAAAACTCCATGAAAATTCGAGCTTTTTGCATAAAAAAGCTACATTATTTGGATATTCTGGGCGAAAATCGAAATTTTCAGTTTTCGGACATAAAGAACATCAAATTTCTCGATTTTTGTCGAAAAGAAGAAATCTCCCTTGTAATTCCATGATTTTTCAAAAATTTCAAAGTTTGCCATGTCATAACTCATTTTCAGCTGAGCTTTGCAATTTTTAGCGACATAATCCTGGATCAAAATGTACCAGTAAACATGAATTTAAAAAAAAAACCTCCAATAAAAGTTTTCATCGGAACTGGTTTTCCAAATTTTCAACCAAAAAAACTCACGTATTCAAATTCGACAGGAAATGGACGTTTTCCAAGCGGTTCTTGGACAAAATATTGGTGATTTTCTGGGTGTTGAAATGCGTTTGTGTTTGGTGACAATTGCGTCATTCCTGAAATTAATTGTTTCATTTTGAAAATTCAAAAAAAAAAAAAGAGCGAAGGAGAAAACGAAACTTGTTCGATTTTATTTTTTGTTTTGTTTTTTTTAAAGAAGTAGAAAACAGAAGAATGAAAACAAAACAAAATAGAAAGAGAGAAGATATTTTGTCACAAAGATCAATTTTTGAGGAAAAATGCGGTTTTTGCAAAATCATGAAATTCGTGGGAAATGTTTTTTTGATAAAAATTTTGAGGACAACAAATGTTTTAATAAGCCTATTCAAACTAATATTTTGTAAGAGAAAATGTAAAAAAATTGATATTTTTTCTGCAAAAAATAACATGACTCATGTTAAACGAAATCTAAGCAAGTTACATTAAATAGCAATAATAACAAAAACAAAATGAATTCACAAACTGATTTTAAAAATGCACCCAAAAAACACGCTCCGCCCACATTTGATTTTGGTGAACCTTCGCGAATTTTCGAGAAACAACGCACAAAAAATGCGCACGTGGAAAACAAGCAGAAAAAGAAGGAGAGAGAAAACGAGAGAATATTCTAGGCTGGTGTCGTCTGCGTCTCTCGCTACACTCACACTATTTCGTCGCTCTCACTGGGTTTTGGCCCCATTTTTTGAACTGAACTGAAATGAAGATGATACGTTTGGAATTGGAATTGAAATTGACGTTTTTTCTCGCCTTTCAGGAATTTTTTGGAGACAATGAGAAATGATAAGAAGGAAAATTATATTGCTTTAAAAACAGTAGTCTAAAGTAATTATAGATAATTTAGTTTTTCTTTACATAGGCTTCGGCTTTTATAGAACCCATTTTCAAATATTTCAACTTTCTCCACGTCATAACTCAGTTGAGCAAAACTGTTTTCAAAAGAGAAAATCGTGATACGCGAGTCTAAAACTACTAGAAATAAATTTCATCGAAAATTTCAAAAAGTTCTCTCAAGAACAATTGTTTACATTAGATAAGTCACTGAATTAACACTATTTCACACTTCGGAAAAATACAGTTTTCACCATTCAAAGCTAAAATCCACATATTTTCGCAAATTCTTCTTACTCGAGAAATATCTCGTATCAGAAAACTAATTTTGTTGCTTTCTTCATTCAGCAAAACTAATTTCCATATAACCCACCCCAAAAACAAAAAATGACTCACACTAATTCTCTGTGTTCCTATTTTCAGTAGCTTTCGTTTCGTTCCTTCCAGAAATTTCTCGAAAAAAAAGAAAATGAGAAATTTCTGGAAACATGCAAGCGCGCTCCAACGATAACGTGACCTGCACCCGCGTGTTTCTAATTTTTGATTTCGAAATTTCTTTTTTCTGTTTTTTTTTTCGCCGAAAAATTCATTTGCTCCGCCTCCCTCGTTGATAATGTTTAGTTTCTCTATTTCTTTCGTCTTGCTGCCCTGCTTTGGTTCATTTGTTTTATCGATAATATAATATAAAACATTTTTTCAGCTGAAAATGTCGTTGAAATTGACATATTTCGATATTCGCGGACTCGCTGAGCCAATTCGACTTTTGCTCGTCGACAAGCAAGTTGCTTTTGAAGATCATCGTGTCAGCCGTGAAGCATGGGCTGAATTGAAGCCAAAAATGGTATATCCAATATATTTTTTTCGGGAAAAAACTAGACTAACTAAATTTTTGCAGATTTTCGGTCAAATTCCATGTCTTTATTCGGGAGATGAGGAAATCGTTCAATCGGGAGCAATTTTGAGACACTTGGCTCGCATCCATGGTTTGAACGGCAACACGGAAGCCGAAACAACATTCATCGACATGTTCTACGAGGGAATTCGTGATTTGCACTCAAAATATGCGCATGTTATTTATACATGTTACGAGGAGGGAAAACAACCATTCATTGAAAATATTTTGCCAGTCGAGTTGGCGAAAATCGAAAAACTTTTGCACACTTTCAAGAATGGCGAACATTTTGTGGCTGGAGATCATGTAAGTTTGACACGTCATAACTCGTTCTAGTTTGAAATGAGAAATGAAAATTCTTGCGGTATAGAAGTCAGCAGGTGGAAAACTTATTGTTTTTTATTACAAATCTGAACATTAGTTGTGACGTGGCAAGACCCTAATTTTGCCACGTCATAACACGCATCCAAGAAAAAAACGTGTCTTTTATCGGAAACGTATCTAAAGTGCATTTTGATAAAGAAGAAAAAAATAATGTCATCATTTTCTTATCAAATTTGTAAATAATTTGGTGATTTTTGAACTGGAACTCGGGAATTCTGGAAAATCGGGTCATGTTTAATTATTTAGTCGGGTATTTTCAAAACCCTGAAAAAGTCAAATTCACTTTTTTTACAGGAAAGCTATGCTGATTATGTGTTGTTCGAAGAACTCGACATAATTCTCATTCTTCATCCAACTGCTTTGGACAAATTTCCAACTCTCAAAAGATTCCACGAAAGATTTGCCGAGCGACCAAACATCAAGGCTTATTTGAACAAAAGAGCTGCTCTTAACACACCAGTTAATGGAAATGGAAAACAATAATTTTTGAGTTTACTTTGCACTTTTCTAACTTATGAATATTTTGATAAAAACTCTGAAATTCATCTAAATTTAAAAAAATATTCACATTATTCTCACGAAAAATACAAAAAAAATGGCAAGAGAGTAAAAGAGACTAGAAATGCATTGAGCAAAAAAAATACATCAAATTGTAAACTATGAAAAATTACTAATAACAAGTAGAAAATTATGCGATGTTTAAAAATTAGGTGAAAAGTTGCATAAGTGCTCGAATAATATAATGACTTGTACCGTATTCGCCAGCTGGAGCCGAATCATAAAAGTGTTTGCAGATTCCACGAGCTCCGTCGCATTTTTTCCCAGATCCACAACATTCCAAAACTATTGTTTCCATTTGTTTCTGCAAGAGAAAACAAAACATTTTCAGATAAAAAATTGGGAACCAGGCTTGTTGGATTTTTCGTATGTTACCCTAATTATATTTTTGAGCTAAGGAAAAATTGCCATGTGGATTTGCGTACTCGAACAATTATTTCCACGTGAATTTTTCGACGCGAAAATTTTGTATCTACAGTAATCCTATTTTGCCATCTAAAGAAAGTGCCACGAGAAAAATTCGGTTTACAGGAACCGTTGTAAAATTTTCGCCACTTTAATTTTTTTTGTCATCAAACTTATGGAACTACTGTAACTGTGCATGTGCAGTTTTCAGGAGTGTTAAGGTCAAAATATTCGTGTTTTTTTTCAATTAAAAATTTTTGAGCTCTATCACTTGGGCTCATTTTTCTGTAAAAACCCAAAAAACCAACATTATGTTCGACGAAAATTCGATTTGCCAAATGAATAACTGAATCAACATCAAATGGTCGATCACGTGGAACATTTGGCTCTTCCAATAATACAAGTTTTTCAATTCGACCAATTAACCAAAGTGCCTCGACTATCTGCAAAATATATTTATCTTTTACTGTTTCAAAATATTTTTAGAAGAGATTTATATAGACTGTGGATCATTTCATTTCATTCTCAAATTTTTTCATATTGCGTTTTTTTTTTTTGAAGACGAAAACGGAAAACGAAACCCAATTTGATAAAAAATTTTTGATATTTTTTCGTGTGAAAACTTCTATAAAATAAATTTTCCAAAAAAAAACGCACAACTTCTCTATATTCCGGTTCAGCAATTCGATTCAACGCTTCTTCAACTTCCAACGCAAACTTAATTTCTTTTCTCGTCATTTCTTGCGTCAAACCCCAATGCAAAACCGTATCATTGATTTTCACACCATGTGGCATTTTGTGTACAGTATCCCATAATGTGGCATAAAAATTGGTTGGCACTCGATTGAGTGCTCCATCAATTCTTCGATGTCGCAACCAAATTCCAAATTGAAAATCATCTTCTTCCAATTCTTCCTCTTCTTCTTCTTTTGGAATTTCCATCAAACCGTGACCAGATCCAACACTTCGTGTTGACTTTCGCAGAGACTGAAAAAATAGGCGGTTAGAAAAAAAATTAAAATTTAGTTTTTTATAAAAAATTTTAAAAATCGGATTTTTCCTCAAATCTCCCCGTCCCCACAAACCAACCTTTCTCTCTTCAATTTGTCTTCTAAAACTTCCAATTCCAGTTCTTGATTCTCTAATCGTATCTCCATGATGAAATCCATCATCCGCATAATCTTCCAATAATCTTCCAGACAACAATGAAAATATCATTGATTTCAATTCAAACGGGCTAACTGTCAACAATTTTTCAGCTGCTTCAGTTCCTGATAAATTCCTCAATCTAGCCAATTCAGATGCCAAAACTTGAATAATCAAACCAATTCTCAATCGGAACATTTCGACAAATAATTTGGGTTCAGTTCGAACAAGCGAGCCAAGATATACAATTATTTCTTGGGATAATGTAAATGAATTGGCATCATCGTTATATGCACGATTCATGATTTTTTCGAGTTCTTCGTTGGTTTTTGGACAAGTTATTACTTCTTCTTTTTTTGATGCCATTCCAAGCTGCAAAAATAATTTTATTAAAGATTTTTTGAGAAGGTTAACAAAACAACGTTTTTTCTTAACATTTTTCACTTCATTATAATTTTGAAACGTATAATTTCCGGCTGGTTTTTCAATTACTCCTCATTGTAAATTTGATTTTCAAAAAATGTGGAATAATTTCCGCGTCATAAAACTGCCTACCGTAATCTGTTTCTGTCGAACAAGCAAATGTGTTACAGCTTTACTCAATTCTTCCAATTGTTTTTTCAATAATCCAGCTGTCAATCGAACCAATGCCCATTCTCTCGCTTCACAAGCTTTTGCATGAACTTCTTCCATCAACATTCGAACAGTTGTTGCTTGACATCCTAATTCAGTATCATAATCTGGTCCACTGCAAAATATGTGATTTTTGACCAGAAAATGTTAGAGGAACTTACAATTTCATCCAAAGACAATGAATAATTGAGATTTGCTCCTCTAAAACCGTAGTTTCAGTTAATAAATCCAATAAATCATCGGCTTTCATTTCAGACATTTGTTCGTGTTTGATATCTCGAATTCGACCTCTGGAAAATGTTTTTTGAACATTTCTGAATTGAACCTGACCCAAGACTTCCCCAAAATCTAACTCACTGTGTCTCATTTTCCGCTCCTTTTTTCGTTGTTTTCAATAATTGTTGTCTCAATTCTCCCGAACTATTTTCTCTGACTAATCCCAATGGTCGACTACTAGATGTTGGTGGAGAAGTTCTCAATTCAGATTCTGATGATGGCATCGCTTTATAAGCCAATCGCAATTTCATCAAATCTGTATCATTACTATCCAATGCAATTGATCGATGTCTCATTGATGCTTTATGAATCATTGAATATGCGCTTCGATCTTTGACTGATTCTCCTCTTCGAAGTGTTGGTGTTCTTCCAGTTCGCGGTGATTTCGCTTCAATTTGATCTTCGGTATGAAGTGTGAATTGGACTTTTTCCGTTGTTACACTTCGTAACATTTCTTCGGCGGATTTGTCGCGGAATTCGAGTTTGCTGACGGCGGTTGTGCGGAAGAAATCCGATAGATCTTTCATAAGAACTCTGGAAAAATAATGGAAATTTTTGAAAAACATTTTGAGGTAGAAGAAATTTTTCACAAAATAATTTTGAGTTTTCTCGAAAACCAACCTAGCTCCACTCAAATATCCCGTGTTAATTTTCTTAATTGCACCAATCACTGTCGATTTCATGTGTCGATTCAAATGAATATTCGAAAAATGCGACAATCCTTCAGTTGATAACATTCCTTGAGTTATAACAAGTACAACAAGTGGTCTTCCAGATATACTAACACTATTCCAAGATGCATAAATATACTGTAGTTCACTACTCCATTCATCTGTTAAAATTCGTATGTCATACATAAGATGCGATCTTCGACTATCCATAAATTGTGGTGTGAAAATCACAAATTTATTTCCAATTTGATAAAGTCTTGAAGTGCTCAACAATCCGATTGCTCGATCCAAAGGTCTTCCGGATAAATTCAATTTTTTTGATTCGCCAACTTTTGCCAACATATGACCTAAAGCAGAAGCTGGAAGAATTGTAAAAACTGGATCGATTTCATCAACTCTTTGCACATGAATATCATTCGCTTGTAATTCTCGTTGAACTTCAACTGATTCGGCTAGAATTGTTACTTGAACTTCGCAAGGTGGACGCTTTTCGTAGATTGATAATCGACGAGAAAGTGGGTCGAGTTCGGCAGGACTAAGGAAACCTTCGTAAAGTAGGCAACAAATTACATAGAGAGATTGAGCCCAAAGAAATGGTCTGAAATAGAGAAAATTGATTATACAGTAGAGAAAGGGAGGTGAGATTCAAGGTCAAATTCGATTTTTTTATTTAGAGAACTTGATTTTTCAAGGCTCCATCTATCTCAACAGTATTATTTTGAAACTTACGTAGCTCCGCCTGGAATTCGAATCTGAGAACCAGGATGCAATTTCTCGGCTGCAACATTCTCTCGACTAACAACATACAATTCAGGAATAAGTCGAAATCCCTCTTCATTGGCCACCAATGTTTTATTCAATTGTTTCCAATACATTTCAACAGCATCATCATCTTTTGAATACATTGCATCTAAAATCAAATAACATAAAAACAATGGCCATTCACATTCGATATTTTCAAATTGTTGCAATTCTGATTTATTATAATACAGGCGACTTGAATCTTCTAATACAGTTTTATAACCATCTCGCATAAATCGTCTACATCCATATTTTCCTAATAATCGAGAAGTTATAGTTTCTCTGGTACTTTGAACTAATTCTGGATCTTCTACACAAAATGCAGGATAACTTATGATTCCCAGAAGTGCTGCATCGGTTTCCTTACTGAAACTTTCTCGAGGAAGCATACTTGATAAAACAGCAGAACATTGTTCAATTTCATCAGGTAGAACATGAACAACAGAACCACGTGATCCATCAACAAATAAATCTCCAACATCATTCAATGCTTGTAATGCAGCTTTAACCATTCCAATTGATGTCGCATTCAATTCTCGAATTCCCTGATTTGTTTTATCTCCTTCTTTCCCAAACTCCATAATCTGGAGTTCGATAACCGGTTTCGATATAATAAACAAGATTTTGGATAAATGCGACTTCGTCGAAATTTCGAACAATTTGCAAACCGGAAGCTGTGATTTGAGCTAAAGTGAGAAGAAAAAGAGAAACTGCGTCCATTTGAAGATGTCCCCAATCTGCATCACCACAAACTGTTCCTTTTGTGTTTACAGAAAATTTGGAATGAAGTGCATCTAAAGGTCTTTGGAACTTTTTGAATAATTCGACTTTGTCTGCTTGTCTCATCATACATTCCATCACAGATTGCATCATTTTTACGCTGAAGAAAGGTAACTATGCGATTTTTTGTGAAAAACGTTTTCTAGTAGGATGCCGTTGATCACGAACCTGTTTTTAAAAACTGCAAAGCTCCATTCTGAATATAAGTTATGACGTGGCAAAGTTTGATAATTTTTTAGAATTTGGAAATTCAGAAATGAACATTTCGAAACAAAATTGTCACGTAAAAATATTATGTGAACATTTATTTTTTATGCATTTTCATTTCTAAATTTCTAGAAAAAATTGAAATTCCCATTTTCAATAGTAAAAAAGGATAAACGTGAACTATTTGACGTCAAACACATTTTCTGTTTCTCAGGCATTTCTCAATTTTCAGAGTTGAAATAAACCGTTTCTGAAAACGAGATCGTGATCAACCAGGCAAACTTTTAAATAATGCAAATTATTTCATCAAAAATCTTAATCGTGAGTTGATATCCGTAGTTAAAGAATTTTTAGGGAATTCTCACCATGTAAACCCCAGTTCCTTGGCCTTTGTTAGATCTTCATCAAAATCTGCGCATTTCATATAAGCTCTATACAACGCCCAGAGTGCGTGTGCAATATAAACATTGTCTCGAATCCACGCATGACCTGGGAAATCCTTTTGATTTGCGAAAAGTGCGGTGATGGCATTTTGATGCTGACAAATCGTTTGTTCCACCATAAACAGGATCCGATCCAATTGGACCCCCGATCCACTGCGAGATCTCATTCTGTGGATGGTTTAAGACTGAAAAATAAGCATTGATTTAGTGATTCAAGATTTGGCCAAATCAAATTTGGCTGCACAGTGCCCCCAACGCGTAGCCAGAGAAAAGTTGTGCGCATTTTTCGTGCATGTACGGTAGAGCGCACAAGCCTGTTTGTCGGTTTTTTGAAAATTTAACACTAGGTTTTTTCTTGAAACGATCATAATTCAGTTATACTTGCATGAAAACTCCCAAACTGAGCTATATGTTCTGGAGAATAATGAGAGGAACGTTTTGATATAAAAAATGTGAAGACTGGATTCAAAATAAGTTAGTTAATATCTTTTGAAGAAAAACAATTCAAATTTTATGAAGGAAAAATGTGATTCGGCACTTGTTTTATGATAAATATGTAAATTAGAATACTTTCAAGGTGTTTTAAGAATCATTTGATCAAAATAAACTTCTGAAATCTGGTTTTTTGTTCAATTTTGGGCGAATTTCGATGGAAAAGAAAATAACAAAAACGGCATAATTTTGAATTATTATTTATTCCACATACTCGAGTAGTCCTATTTCAATGTTTTGGAAGCAGTAAACTAGATTTTATCAGCTTTCCTGGGTCAAAAATGATGTTTTTGCACAAGGTATTTTTTGAAGAGCTCTTGTTCATTTCATTCTCAACCATTTTTCATGAAACAACTTGGAATAGCTTCAATTTTTCTTCCTCTGTCTTCTCCATATTCGATTTAGTTACAAAAATAACATTTCCAGCATTTTTCAGCAAGAAAACAAAAGCGCAAAAAAAGATGAGAGAGTGCGCTTTGCTGAAGAGACGGATGAGAGATAGAGAGAAAACGAGAGAGTGTGTGGTGTGTGGAGTGCTGGCGCAATACGCGTTCGGGACACTGTGGGCTGAAAAATAAAAAAATCATCCTCGATGGCCGAATTTTTTGTGCGAAAAACCTCGGTCACAATCGATTTTTCTTTTTGTTTTTCGCGTTCTCTCGGTTTTTTCTGTTGTTTTATCGCCCAACAGATGTGTTTTAACCATTATACATTTCCCATTTTTCATACACTATTACTACATCAAGTTGCCTAATTCAAAATTTGTAAATTACAGAGAGAAAATGACCGATTATATGGCTCAAATGCTCAATGAATTGATGGGTTCGCAAAGAGATGCGATGCCCGGCGAACAGAAAGAGTTGGAATTTAGTGATCCGAGCGTTTGTACGGATTTCCTTGTGGGGTTTTGCGTACATGATTTGTTTCGGAATACAAAAAATGATTTGGGATTTTGTCAATATGTAAGTTTTTTTTAGAAAAAGAAAAATCTTATAGAAAATGACAAGTTTCAGACAATCCATGACGAAAGTTTGAAAAGAAAATATGAGAAAAGTGATAAGCGGGGAAGATTGGGATTCGAACGCCGATTCCTTGAAAGAATCCAACGAATCAATGATGATTGTCAGCGAAAAGTTTTGCGAAACATGGATCGATTAAATGTCACACAAGGCGAAAATAAAGTATCGGAAGAGGTTTTCGCGAAAAAATTGGAGGAGTTAAATGTGCGAAGAGAAGCTATAAGCAATAAAATAGATGGTTTGATGAATGAAGCACAAATTCATGGAGAATTAGGAAAAGTTGAAGCAGCTCAAGCTGCTGTTGACAAAGCTGATCGGGCAAAACAAGAGCGAGATGAATTGGATAATGAAGAAACGAAAATAAAAAATGAAAGGGCTCGCGCACTAAGTATGGAAGAAAGTGTAACAATGGGAAATCGACAAATGCAAGTTTGCCAAGTTTGCGGATGTTTTATGCTTCAAAATGATGCGCAACAAAGAATTGATGATCACATCACTGGAAAATTGCATATCGCATATCAAACAATTCTTGATAATATTGAACGATTAGCAAAGGTTAGTCAAAAACTGGTTATAAATTATTCCAATAAAGAAATTCAGGAAATCGACGATTTTCGTTCAAAACGACGTGGAAGTTCTGAAAGAGAAGAAAGACGGAGAGATGATCGGAGAAGAAGTCGAAGTAGAAGTCGAGATAGAAGTCACCGACATGGAAGTAGTAGTAGAAGTCACGGACATCATTATCATCATCGAAGTGATCGACGAGTAAGAACATCAGCCCCTTTCTCTTGTTTTCAAAATATTAGCAATTTCAGTCGCATCGCCACTAATCTACACCGAAAAATGCAAAAAAGTACGTTTGATCAAATCAATTTGACCGGTTAGTTTATTTTTTCACATTTCAAACACGCATTTTTCAACAGGAAGATCTGTCTTTTTTTGCATTTCCCGGATCTCAAAGTTTCTCAGAGTTAGTCTCCGTTTTTTTCTTTCCGAAAACATATATCGATTTTTATGAACTTGAACTTTTTCAGATCGTTTCTTCACCAATTGGTTCGATTTTTCAGTGTTAGTTTTTTTTCATTTTGAAAATTTTGAATTTTGTTATTTTTGATATTTGATATAATAAACTCGTTAAAACTATGGGATTTTTTTTGAAAAAGAAACAATTTTCAGATTGTTTGACAGAGTTTAATCGGATCTTCTCAGGTGCTTTCATAGAATGGAATTCCATCAGCTTTCTATTCTACAAATTTTTAAGCTTTGTACATTTTAAAAGCGGAATTTCAGCGACACGCATTTTTTTCTGAAGAAAAAACGGCAACGCCAGTTTAAAGAGACATGAACCGTTTGTAATGGAAAAACTCAGATTGGCTGAACCATATGAAAAGTTATATACACCATTAGAATCTACGTAAAAAACTGCATCGAAATAAGGTTCGAGTGGTGGATTTAGTGTAACTTTTTTCTCGCGGTATTCGTGACGGGACCCTATTGCTTTTTCGAAAAAATTTCCTTTAAGAGAGAGCGTGCGAAAAAGAGAGACGCTATTAATATTAAAATATAAATACGTGGCGAGTTTTTCAGAATTTCCAGTAATTTTTGTTACAAACACTCAAACGCGCTCCAACGAACAGCCCGCCAATTCAAAAGGACGTTTTTATTTCCGTCGATTTTTTTATTTCCACACTTTCGCCTTCAAAATATGTCGAATAAACATGTTATTTTCCACCGCGGAACTCACAAACTCGAATTAGATATGACTCAATTGAACAACGGATTGGATTTTCCAGAAGATACCTCGAAAAAACAGTTAAATCACAAGAAACAGCATGAGTAAGCCTTTTTCTTTGAAATTTTTACAACAGAAAGTTAGTGAGAACTATTTTGCAGGCTGTTCAAAAGATTCGTAGAAGATGTGACAAAATTCGAAGAAAAAGTCAATGAATCAACTCGTCCATATTATCAAGAATCAACAAATCGAATTATTGATTTCTTGAGAGCTCCCAAAAATACTCAAAATGCTCCGATTTCGGTTTTCATGCAAAATGATGATTTGACGACGATTCGAACTGCATTGGTACAGTGTAATTTCACAGATATTTCGAGGTTTATCGGGGATTTTAGTAGGAAATTGAAGAATCTTGATCGAGAAGAAGAGGAAAATGAAGAGGAAGGTGAAAAAATGGAAGAAGAAGAAGAAGCCGAAATTGAAAGAATTCAAGAGATTGTGATTTCAGAAAATGATGCAATTCATACAGTTATTGATAGAATATCAAATTTGGTAAATTTATTTGGGTTGAAAGCGGAAGAAAAATTTAATAAAGCTATAAAGATTCTCTGAGCCCAAAAATTTGATTCATGGATTTTTCGGATTTCAGAAAAACTCCATTAAAAATTAATAATTTCAGCCAAGTTCGATTGGATGTGCTTTGATTGTTCAACAATTCGAATCGCTTCGATCACAAACTCTCGATTCAATAATATCCCTTATCTATAGCAATCCATCAATTCGAAAAAGAATTCATAACATTTATTTAATTGTCTGCGTCTCAACATCTTGCACATTTTTCACAACAACTTGCTCAATCGATACTTTGAATCTTCTCGATATTCAACAATTCCAATTTGCAAGACTTGATGAGATTTTCGAAAATATTATCACAACTAACATCAAACCTGCGATTTTCTCTGGAAAGTTTTTGGATTATTTGAGAACTCGATTTTTCTCATGCGATTATTCGGTGTCTTCATTAATTAAGGCTGTGCAATTTGCTTTTTTACAAAAATATGTTAGCGATCCTTTTTGGAGAGAAGATGATTGTGAAATGCATACTGAAGAATTGGAAAATTATTTTGAAATGCTGAATTTCTTCAGAAAAGAAGTTTTGAGAAATGAAACAGAGAAAGGAAAATTGCACATTGAAATACAAGCAAATGAACAATTTTGGAAAAATATCGAAGAATCTATGGAATTCAGACAATGGAAACAGTTTATATTTGATGCAAAATCAAATGAATCGCTGGAAATGGTTTTGGATAATTTGAGACAATTGAATCTGGATGAAGGAACTTTTAAAAATTTGGAGAGACTTGTGAAAAACCTTGAGAGCTCGAGCTCAGAAGATGTTTCACCGACAAAATCAACGACTCCTTCGAAAACAATGAAGTTTAGTGAACTTCGGAAAAAGAATCAAGAAGCATTGCAAGCCAAACAAAATAATCCAGTTAGAAATGCAAAAACTGCGATATTCAATTTTGTATTTGTAAGTTTTTTGAGGGAGGATTTCTGAGTCGAAAAAAATGAACAACTCCTTATAATTTCAAATTTTCCAGGACCTGTTCAAAAAAACACTTCAACCTTATCCATCCACGTGGCGAAATGTAATTGGCCTCGAAAATTCTTCACAAAATGATTTGTTTTGTCGTGTTGGTCTTGACGCGAATGATGAATTTGATATTGAAAATGCTTTGCTGGAAAATGTGACTTATAAAAATGAGGCGATTTCGGTGGCTTGGAGAACTCTTTTGACACATAAGAATTTCAAATGTGTTCCTTTATTTGATTGGGCAAATGATTTTGTTAAAAAGGTGAGAGGGTTAATAAGTTATGACGTGGCAAAGTTTAGACTGATAAATTGTGAATTGAATTGTGGTTTAAAAATGAGTCTGATATGATCTTTTTTTTTAAGTTGAGTTTGAATTTCAGATTTTCAATGTTTGAAAATATTAAATTTGTGATATTTTAATTTATAAAATATGAATTTCAAAACTTCTGCCACGTCATAACTTTTTTAATTAGATTTGTTTCGATCTATACGAACTGGTTTTCCCTCTAACTGTGAATAAAAAACATTTTTCAGTACAAAAGTGATTCGAAAACTCGAAAAGAAGCGTTTTTCGGTGCCGCCGGACAACTAGAACACATTGGTTTGATTCGCGGGGGAGCCGATAAGAAAAATACGACTATTAATGTTTTGTATCATCCAATTTCACATATTGCTCATATTTGAAAAGTTACGCGGGTTATTTTTGAATGAAAAATGAAATGAAATATTGAATTAAAATATTTTGTGTATTTTTGAAGTAACAATTCGTTTTCCTGAATTTGTTAGAAAATAATTGTTTACAGACACAGATTATTCCTTCATAAAAATTTAAAAAATATATAAAAAAAATTTGCAGCCAAAAAAAAATCCTAGACTCACAAATTTTTCAAAACTTTTTGATCTACTTGATTTTTTGTGTTTGTTTTTTGGCGCTGGCAGATGATTTTGAATTTCTTTGTTTTTTTTTCTGTATAAAAGGCGAGCGTTCGACGGGAGTTGGTCTCACTTCGTCTCAAATCGTCTTCACCACCGCCCTTCCTCTCCACAATTTGCTGCCAAGCTGTCTACAGTATGCTGGAATGCAGTTTGGTGATGGGCTACAGTAAGCTGAAACGATTGGATGTGTTGTGAGGTGAGTTTGTGAATTTTTTTGAATATTTCACATTTTTTCTAAAACTTCGGAAAATTTGCCTGAATTTTTCTGCCGAAAAATAATATCAGTATTTTATTGTATTTTTTCCAGGAAAATCAACACACCGTTTGCCGCGACGACTCTACGCCTTCAACACTGCCGACTCCACAACTTGGACCTCAACGACCTCAGCACAACGACTCTGCCGCAACCAACCCCCAGCACGCCGACTCCACCTCAGCGACCGGACATCAAGATCAGGTCGTTTATTTTCATTTTATTTTCATTCTAGGTTACCTTTCCTCTAGGTTTTCTCTGGTTTTTTTAAAATTTTCATTTGAATTTAGTAGTAGAGGTTCTCTAGGCTTTTTACTGATCTTAGAGATCGATGTTAGGGCTCTTACCAGGTCAATAAAGTACTGCGAGGCAGTGGTACTTTTTTGATTTGGTTCATTTCTGATTAGGTCTGTTTTTTTCTTGATGTTAGGGCTCTTACCAGGTCAAGAGAGTACTGCGCAGCAGTGGTACTTTTTTGATTTGGTTCATTTCTGATTAGGTCTGTTTTTTTTCTTGATGTTAGGGCTCTTACCAGGTCAAGAGAGTACTGCGCAGCAGTGGTACTTTTTTGATTTGGTTCATTTCTGATTAGGTCTGTTTTTTTCTTGATGTTAGGGCTCTTACCAGGTCAAGAGAGTACTGCGCAGCAGTGGTACTTTTTTGATTTGGTTCATTTCTGATTAGGTCTGTTTTTTTTCTTGATGTTAGGGCTCTTACCAGGTCAATAAAGTACTGCGAGGCAGTGGTACTTTTTTGATTTGGTTCATTTCTGATTAGGTCTGTTTTTTTTCTTGATGTTAGGGCTCTTACCAGGTCAAGAGAGTACTGCGCAGCAGTGGTACTTTTTTGATTTGGTTCATTTCTGATTAGGTCTGTTTTTTTTTTCTTGATGTTAGGGCTCTTACCAGGTCAATAAAGTACTGCGAGGCAGTGGTACTTTTTGATTTGGTTCATTTCTGATTAGGTCTGTTTTTTTCTTGATGTTAGGGCTCTTACCAGGTCAAGAGAGTACTGCGCAGCAGTGGTACTTTTTTGATTTGGTTCATTTCTGATTAGGTCTGCTTTTTTTCTTGATGTTAGGGCTCTTACCAGGTCAAGAGAGTACTGCGCAGCAGTGGTACTTTTTTGATTTGGTTCATTTCTGATTAGGTCTGTTTTTTCTTGATGTTAGGGCTCTTACCAGGTCAAGAGAGTACTGCGCAGCAGTGGTACTTTTTTGATTTGGTTCATTTCTGATTAGGTCTGTTTTTTTTTCTTGATGTTAGGGCTCTTACCAGGTCAATAAAGTACTGCGAGGCAGTGGTACTTTTTTGATTTGGTTCATTTCTGATTAGGTCTGTTTTTTTCTTGATGTTAGGGCTCTTACCAGGTCAAGAGAGTACTGCGCAGCAGTGGTACTTTTTTGATTTGGTTCATTTCTGATTAGGTCTGTTTTTTTTCTTGATGTTAGGGCTCTTACCAGGTCAATAAAGTACTGCGAGGCAGTGGTACTTTTTTGATTTGGTTCATTTCTGATTAGGTCTGTTTTTTTTTCTTGATGTTAGGGCTCTTACCAGGTCAATAAAGTACTGCGAGGCAGTGGTACTTTTTTGATTTGGTTCATTTCTGATTAGGTCTGTTTTTTTTTCTTGATGTTAGGGCTCTTACCAGGTCAATAAAGTACTGCGAGGCAGTGGTACTTTTTGATTTGGTTCATTTCTGATTAGGTCTGTTTTTTTTTCTTGATGTTAGGGCTCTTACCAGGTCAAGAGAGTACTGCGAGGCAGTGGTACTTTTTTGATTTGGTTCATTTCTGATTAGGTCTGTTTTTTTCTTGATGTTAGGGCTCTTACCAGGTCAATAAAGTACTGCGAGGCAGTGGTACTTTTTGATTTGGTTCATTTCTGATTAGGTCTGTTTTTTTTCTTGATGTTAGGGCTCTTACCAGGTCAAGAGAGTACTGCGCAGCAGTGGTACTTTTTTGATTTGGTTCATTTCTGATTAGGTCTGTTTTTTTTTCTTGATGTTAGGGCTCTTACCAGGTCAAGAGAGTACTGCGCAGCAGTGGTACTTTTTTGATTTGGTTCATTTCTGATTAGGTCTGTTTTTTTTCTTGATGTTAGGGCTCTTACCAGGTCAATAAAGTACTGCGAGGCAGTGGTACTTTTTTGATTTGGTTCATTTCTGATTAGGTCTGTTTTTTTCTTGATGTTAGGGCTCTTACCAGGTCAATAAAGTACTGCGAGGCAGTGGTACTTTTTTGATTTGGTTCATTTCTGATTAGGTCTGTTTTTTTTTCTTGATGTTAGGGCTCTTACCAGGTCAAGAGAGTACTGCGCAGCAGTGGTACTTTTTGATTTGGTTCATTTCTGATTAGGTCTGTTTTTTTCTTGATGTTAGGGCTCTTACCAGGTCAAGAGAGTACTGCGCAGCAGTGGTACTTTTTTGATTTGGTTCATTTCTGATTAGGTCTGTTTTTTTCTTGATGTTAGGGCTCTTACCAGGTCAAGAGAGTACTGCGCAGCAGTGGTACTTTTTTGATTTGGTTCATTTCTGATTAGGTCTGTTTTTTTTCTTGATGTTAGGGCTCTTACCAGGTCAAGAGAGTACTGCGCAGCAGTGGTACTTTTTTGATTTGGTTCATTTCTGATTAGGTCTGTTTTTTTTCTTGATGTTAGGGCTCTTACCAGGTCAAGAGAGTACTGCGCAGCAGTGGTACTTTTTTGATTTGGTTCATTTCTGATTAGGTCTGTTTTTTCTTGATGTTAGGGCTCTTACCAGGTCAATAAAGTACTGCGCAGCAGTGGTACTTTTTTGATTTGGTTCATTTCTGATTAGGTCTGTTTTTTTTCTTGATGTTAGGGCTCTTACCAGGTCAATAAAGTACTGCGAGGCAGTGGTACTTTTTTGATTTGGTTCATTTCTGATTAGGTCTGTTTTTTTCTTGATGTTAGGGCTCTTACCAGGTCAATAAAGTACTGCGAGGCAGTGGTACTTTTTTGATTTGGTTCATTTCTGATTAGGTCTGTTTTTTTTCTTGATGTTAGGGCTCTTACCAGGTCAATAAAGTACTGCGCAGCAGTGGTACTTTTTTGATTTGGTTCATTTCTGATTAGGTCTGTTTTTTTTCTTGATGTTAGGGCTCTTACCAGGTCAAGAGAGTACTGCGCAGCAGTGGTACTTTTTTGATTTGGTTCATTTCTGATTAGGTCTGTTTTTTTCTTGATGTTAGGGCTCTTACCAGGTCAATAAAGTACTGCGCAGCAGTGGTACTTTTTTGATTTGGTTCATTTCTGATTAGGTCTGTTTTTTTCTTGATGTTAGGGCTCTTACCAGGTCAATAAAGTACTGCGAGGCAGTGGTACTTTTTGATTTGGTTCATTTCTGATTAGGTCTGTTTTTTCTTGATGTTAGGGCTCTTACCAGGTCAATAAAGTACTGCGAGGCAGTGGTACTTTTTGATTTGGTTCATTTCTGATTAGGTCTGTTTTTTTTTCTTGATGTTAGGGCTCTTACCAGGTCAAGAGAGTACTGCGCAGCAGTGGTACTTTTTTGATTTGGTTCATTTCTGATTAGGTCTGTTTTTTTCTTGATGTTAGGGCTCTTACCAGGTCAATAAAGTACTGCGAGGCAGTGGTACTTTTTTGATTTGGTTCATTTCTGATTAGGTCTGTTTTTTCTTGATGTTAGGGCTCTTACCAGGTCAAGAGAGTACTGCGCAGCAGTGGTACTTTTTTGATTTGGTTCATTTCTGATTAGGTCTGTTTTTTTTTCTTGATGTTAGGGCTCTTACCAGGTCAATAAAGTACTGCGAGGCAGTGGTACTTTTTTGATTTGGTTCATTTCTGATTAGGTCTGTTTTTTTCTTGATGTTAGGGCTCTTACCAGGTCAAGAGAGTACTGCGCAGCAGTGGTACTTTTTGATTTGGTTCATTTCTGATTAGGTCTGTTTTTTTCTTGATGTTAGGGCTCTTACCAGGTCAATAAAGTACTGCGAGGCAGTGGTACTTTTTGATTTGGTTCATTTCTGATTAGGTCTGTTTTTTTCTTGATGTTAGGGCTCTTACCAGGTCAAGAGAGTACTGCGAGGCAGTGGTACTTTTTTGATTTGGTTCATTTCTGATTAGGTCTGTTTTTTTCTTGATGTTAGGGCTCTTACCAGGTCAAGAGAGTACTGCGCAGCAGTGGTACTTTTTGATTTGGTTCATTTCTGATTAGGTCTGTTTTTTTCTTGATGTTAGGGCTCTTACCAGGTCAAGAGAGTACTGCGCAGCAGTGGTACTTTTTTGATTTGGTTCATTTCTGATTAGGTCTGTTTTTTTTTCTTGATGTTAGGGCTCTTACCAGGTCAAGAGAGTACTGCGCAGCAGTGGTACTTTTTTGATTTGGTTCATTTCTGATTAGGTCTGTTTTTTTTCTTGATGTTAGGGCTCTTACCAGGTCAATAAAGTACTGCGAGGCAGTGGTACTTTTTTGATTTGGTTCATTTCTGATTAGGTCTGTTTTTTCTTGATGTTAGGGCTCTTACCAGGTCAAGAGAGTACTGCGCAGCAGTGGTACTTTTTTGATTTGGTTCATTTCTGATTAGGTCTGTTTTTTTTCTTGATGTTAGGGCTCTTACCAGGTCAAGAGAGTACTGCGCAGCAGTGGTACTTTTTTGATTTGGTTCATTTCTGATTAGGTCTGTTTTTTTTCTTGATGTTAGGGCTCTTACCAGGTCAATAAAGTACTGCGAGGCAGTGGTACTTTTTTGATTTGGTTCATTTCTGATTAGGTCTGTTTTTTTTTCTTGATGTTAGGGCTCTTACCAGGTCAATAAAGTACTGCGAGGCAGTGGTACTTTTTTGATTTGGTTCATTTCTGATTAGGTCTGTTTTTTTTTCTTGATGTTAGGGCTCTTACCAGGTCAAGAGAGTACTGCGAGGCAGTGGTACTTTTTTGATTTGGTTCATTTCTGATTAGGTCTGTTTTTTTCTTGATGTTAGGGCTCTTACCAGGTCAATAAAGTACTGCGAGGCAGTGGTACTTTTTTGATTTGGTTCATTTCTGATTAGGTCTGTTTTTTTTCTTGATGTTAGGGCTCTTACCAGGTCAAGAGAGTACTGCGCAGCAGTGGTACTTTTTTGATTTGGTTCATTTCTGATTAGGTCTGTTTTTTTTCTTGATGTTAGGGCTCTTACCAGGTCAATAAAGTACTGCGAGGCAGTGGTACTTTTTTGATTTGGTTCATTTCTGATTAGGTCTGTTTTTTTCTTGATGTTAGGGCTCTTACCAGGTCAAGAGAGTACTGCGCAGCAGTGGTACTTTTTTGATTTGGTTCATTTCTGA